CTATTAAATTTGAAGCTATTGTAATTGAATTAGTTAAAAATTTATTATTTTAATTTATTACTTGATTTATTGATTTTAAGTGATTTTTTGTGGCTTTAAGTACTATATGAAATTTGGAGTTCCTAGAGGCTTTATTAAATTATTAAATAGTCTTAGGATTATATAACTAATTTTCTGGTTTTTTTAATAAATTATTAATATAAAAATATTAATTAAATTTATATTTACCTCTATTAGGGTCTGATTAACAGGGGCAGTTTTGTTCCCTTTTAGAAGTTCTAGGGTTAAACCTAGGGCTTAGAGTATTTTCTAAGGTATCTTCTTTAAAGGTTGCCTGAGCGATTTGGCTCGGTTGATTTAAATATTTAAATATTAGAAATATTTTCACGTGATCTCTGAATTGTTTAGTTATATTAAAAAATGATAGTATTTTATCATATAATTTAATTTTATTATTTAATTTTTTGCTCTAATAATTTATAAATATTAAATAAGACCCATAAATAGCTTTAATAAAGTTATATTAAACTTGGTGTGGATCATTTACTTTATTTATTTTAAGTAATTTTACTTTAGTATAGATATTTTCCTATAATAAAATATATAAATTAATTAAATATTTATTCTGCAGATTTTTAAGCATATAATATTACTTAATAATATTATGTTTTCTTGATTTATTAGTGGGAGCTAGTTTCGTTTGAAGAATCCGCAACACGTGATATGGGGTTTCTTTATTAGATACTAAAACTTTATTAGCTGATAATATTAAGTTCTTAATTAGAAGTAGAATTAGGGTTAAACTCTTATTTATATAATAATATTCTTAAAGCGCTAATTTATAATTATGTAAAAGATCTTGATAAAGCACTCAATTATTTTAGATTAGATTAATAATTAATCTAGTATTCTTATTAAGATTACATGGTTCCGGGTGACTAGGCCATACAGGTTGATTAGGTATAGTTATATGACTGGGATTAATAAATTCCTAAATATGTTTGTTTTTAGTAAATATTTTAATTATGTTGAACCAGTATATCTAGTTATATAACTAGTTTAATTAAAAATTAAGCTTTATATCTATATTAGCAAGCTTAAATAATCAATAAAATAATTCAAATTGTTTAATTTTTATTTCACCTTATTTTTACCTGACTTTCACCTTACTTTCCCTATATAAATTAGTGGTGGAAGTAAGAGTTTAATAAATTAAAGATAAAGTAAAAGTGAACTAGGTAACTAGGAGTTAATTAAATCAGATAGGTAAATAATTCACTGCAATAGTGAATAGACAAGTAATTAATTAATTCGCGTGTGTGTGAATTTAATTAATAAATCAATAAAATAATTCAAATTAATCAAATATTTCAGACAGGTGAAATAAAACACTTAAAGTGAGTACACGGGTTGAATAAATTAAATTAATGTAAATAGTAAATAGTTCACTATAATAATAAGTAATCAAATAATTAATTCACGTATAGGTTGAATTTAATCAAATAAACAAATAATTAATTCAGGTATAGATATGAATTCGATTAAATATATGTGAATTTAATCAAACAGGTAAATAATTAATTCACGTGTATGTATAAATAATAGGAACAAAGGGCTAGACCGGGCTCATAACTATCAGATGAAATGTTAACCCGGGCTTATAACTATCAGATGAAATGCTAACCCGGGCTTATAACTGTTAGATGGGGTAGGTAAGTCACGTGGGTTGAATAGAAATTTCAAATGGCTAAATAGAATAAGGGAAATTAATCAGTCATATAAAGTAAACAGTTCACCTGGACCACCTAGATCTGAAATAGATAGACTAGAGGTTTTACTATTTGCTATATATGTAGATAGGTGAAATTGATTGAATAAATGAATAAAATTTAATTAAATAAATTAAGTGGGTAAATTAACTTAATAAAAAGAATAAATTAATACAGGTTATTAACTGCATATTTATAAATAATTAAATTAGGGCTAATTTAATCTGGCCTTAAGTAAATATTACAAACATAAAATTATTAGATCTTTTTAGGCCTTTACTTATAAGTTATATTATTAATCTAGGCCTTTAAGATTAACCTTATAGATTATTATTAAATTAATATTTAATTATTTAAATAATTAAATAATTAAGATTTTATAATCAGAATAATCAGAATAATTAAGATTTAATATATAAATTATAATAAAATTATTTAAATAATATCAGAATAACCAGGGTAGTAATATTTACTTTATAGCTTATAAAATAAATAAGTAAGATATTCTGGATCTTTTATATTAATTATCTGAATAAAGCCATTAATCATAGTAGTTAAAATAAACTTTTAATTTCTTAAATAAGAAATTTATCAAATTATGTTTTTTAATTTTTATAGGATTCTAGTAACTAGTGGTTTCTTAATTAGGAAGATAAGCTAGTCTAAAATAGAAAATTCTTCAGAAATTTTTTTTTTTTATTTTCCGCTCATATTGAGCTCAGTTTTACCTCACTTTTCCCATATAATTTGGTGGTGGAAGTGAGAGTTCAATAAAGTGAAAGTAAAGTTGTAATGAATTTTGAATAATTTCGGTTGTGGGGCTAAATCAGGTGATTCTGATGAATCAGGTGATGTCAGGTGACCCCATTTGACACTAGTAAAATATATAGCTTTTATAAAAAAGAAAGATCCTGAGAATTAGAATATTTAAAAAAATCTCTGGGCTATAACTAGTTATTTATAAAGGATTATATATTTAACTATATTATTTAGCTAGTTAAGTAAGCAAAATATCTTAGAATCTGGCTAAATAAGACCTTCTTTTTTAGCACCTATTACTTTAAGATAGTAATAAAAATAAGTAATAGTCTAGTAGTTCTTTAGACTATCTTAGGCTCTACTTAAAGAACTTTTTTATTAGCTATAAAAAAAATATATTTAGTAATAATAATCCCCTAAATACTATATAAGGCGACTGCCTAGTATAGCCCCTATAATAATAAGATTAAGATAAAGAAATTAAATTAGCTGGTTAACAAATTCGAGTAAGTTTAAATATATATTATAATATTAATTAGCAGTATCTTTTAGAATATTACAGATATAGCCCTAGGGGTAGAACTTTATCTCTCCCTAGTATATATCTAGATATAGTAAATTATTTAAAAAATAATAATATAAATCCAGACTAGGCCACAGGTGATCCTCCCTAAAAGACTTTTATATTAAAAAGATAAGATAGTAATTAAGCTATCCGGCTATACCCCTTTAGAGATACTTAAGTAGAAAATAATTAGTTTTTTTTATTTAAAAGACCCGGGGCAATAGTAAGAAAGTAAAGTAGCTTATATACTTGCCTTATAGAAGATACCTCTATAGTGTATTATTAATAAAGTAAAAAAAACTATTTAGGTTTATAAGAAAATCTGCTAAAATTATACAAAATAGATATAATACTCAGACAGAAGCGGTTATTACAGATAAATTAAAATTATAATAGTTTTAATCTAGGTTAGTAAGATTATTAAAAAATACTTAAAAACTAAGTTAAACTTTATAATATATATAAGTAAGCTAAAAAAGGCCTGAATAGCCTTAGAGAAATATATAATAATTAGTTTAATTATAATTTTCGCGAATAACTAAATAATAATCTTAATTATAAAAAATCTTAGACATCTCTTAAAGCAGTATGCCCTATAAGTTATTTATAAGAGAATTCGGGCTTTACACCAGGGCCTACTAGAGACAGATATAGAGTTATAATAGATCTTTATTTATATTAAGATTAAGGAGAACAAGAGAATAAATATTATTATTAAAAATATTATAATTAAATTAAGTTCTGTAAAATAAATATAAAGACTAATTATATACTTTATAATTATAGTAAAGTAAAATATCTGGCAGAGCCTCTGCGAGCAATAAATAAAGTAATAAGGAAGATAAACAGTAAATAAACCTATGCAGCAGCTATTACTTACCCTTAATAAAAAGAATTTAAAATAATATAAATACTTTAGTAAGCTGTATATATTAATTATTATATAAATATATATTATAAAAATAAGATTAAGGCACTTCCTTTATAAAATTAAACAGATTAACTTAAATAAATATTAGTATAATCTAGGATCCTAAATCCTTAAATATATCCTTCTAGAGTACCTGCTATATATTATTTATTATAAAAAATTTATAGGAAGTCTTAATATAGTTAAGGGGCTATATAAGTATATATAAGATTATAACATAGTTATAAACTACCCGCAGGTAACCTGTTATATTATTAATTATATATAATAAACTAGCCTCCTCTAATAATTCTGATTCGCCTAATTTAGGAATAAAGAGAAAAAAAAGGCCCTAGACCTTAGTAGCCTTTTAAAAGGTCTTGAACTAGATGATAAAAATAATAATTATATAGAATTTTAGGGGAAGATACGGAGGTCTCGTACTATTCCCAGGGATGTATCTAAAGATAAAATAAGTAAATAAGGGAATATAAAAAGAGCAGAGGCGCCTTTAGATAATATAGTAAATATATAGCAGGCGTGTGGTAGCTGTGATTTAGTTATATTTTACTTTTTGATTATCTACTGCGACTATAGGATTTATATATATATATATATATATGGCATTCGGAAGCAAAATTCTGCTTTATTAGAGAAGCACCCGCATAGCCTGTTGCTTCAATAGATAGGCTTTATCAGGTTAATAGAATTTTGATTAATTGATTGATTGATTGATTGATTGATTGATTGATTCTTCCCATTTTTTTTCTATCTTTATTTACTCACCTATACTATCATTTTACAGATTTCAATGTTCAACACCAAGTATCATTCATGATAGCTTTGTGTCTCGAAGATATATGGAACTTGCAGCCAAAGTCAATATTTAGGACAACAAAATAATAAAGATAGAAACAGGAACGAAAAGGCAAAAGAAGTGAACAAATATAAAACGAGAATTGCATCCTGATGAAACCATCCTCTAAAAAGACAGCTTTTAAACGCTTTCAGGCTTCAAGAGAAGCAACAGCTCTCTTGCATATGCTGCAGCTGTCAACGCGGCATAATTATGCCAATCGTCATTCTTGTGCGAATCACAATAGTCACAAATTCCGCGGATGGCAAGGCATTTAAGATCGTTCATCAACCCTGCCGCTTCCATCTCGAAACACAGAATGTTAAGACCCGGATCATTTGCAAACTCATCACGAATTGCAGGGCACTTCATCACAGAGTCCCCGGATGCAATAGCCCCGTGGTGGACCGTTGTAATGCGACTCGTATGACGTGCAGGGCGCTCAACCGCTTGCTTAGGGTCACATAACTTGCATGTCTTTTTGCTAGAGACATGCAGGTAGTCAGCTCTGTATAGCCGATCGAGTTCTGGTCGGCCGAATTCTGGCATGTCATCCATACGTCCGATGTGCTCCAAGATGCTGTCCGGGTTCAACGGATTGTCGTATAGTCTTTTCATCTCCAAAGCAACACGAAAGAGCTGCTGGGGTGGCGCATTCAACTTCCCCGTTCTTTGAAACCGACCGCCATGCAACATTATGCCGGCGTCATGGTGAATCACGCTCTCAAATCCATCTCGTGGCGAGCTGACAACGACATCGCCAAGTCGAACATCATTTTCCATAGTCGGCGCGCCGCCTCCAATGCCAACCATCAATGTATAGCGCAGGTTAGGGAATGTTCGAAACAAGTCTCGACCAACGCGGGCTGCCGAACAAGTTCCATATCGACGAGCGGGAAGACAGACAATAGCGACTTTGTGTTGTCCTATACACCCGAACGCATATGTATTGATGTCATTGTCTTCCGCCAGCTCTGGACCGTCGAACTCTTCGTCGAGCATGCGGCATGCGGCTTCATACTCCTCTTGCAGAGCGCAAATCCACCCAATCTTGTACTGATCGAAGGTTTCTCCGGCTTCCATATTTGTTCAAAAAGGGTTGATCCCAGTATTGAAGGAAGGTAGCTTCGGGTAGTGAGCCCTAGCTTAATATAGGAATAAAGACTTGATAAGATGATGCAAGACCAAGTCACAGACTTGAAGTCCCAATGATAAAGATGGTAGTGTTAATCAACAGAGAAAATATACCTGAGAAAGGAAAGCTCTCCATACCAGCAACGTCTCAAGCATCCTATTTATTTTCAAATCAACCAGGCGAGATAGGCAAACCGAAACATATCCCAAGCCACGAAATAGCACTTGCAATATTTCAGACGCGGCTATACCAAGGTCAAAGCACAAGAACTGTTCATTCGCAACCAATCTCTACTAATATCCTACCACACAGTACTTCAATGCGCGAAAGCCCTTCCTTTAAGGTTGTGGTTGAGGGCCAAAGCGTGAAATGAGCGCCAAAGGCTCCAATTGCCGACAATAGTTTGGAGATGGCTTACAGCCGCATGTTCCTTCTTGTTTGGAAAGTCATCTCTTGAAGATTGCTGGATCAAAAATATCTACTGTGAAAGTGTGAGGGAGAAATTATTGACTGATCATTGAGCTCCAAGCATCTAATCCTTTTGTCAGCTCCATCAAACATGCTCCTTGGTTGATGCGCTTAACGTATACTATATAGATATAGTACTTTAGATATGATCCTGCCTTGCCTACGCGTAGATCTCCTGGTTCTGCTACATTTCAAAAATACTATGGAGCTCTCTCGTCAAGCAAGCCCCGCTTCCCCGCCCAGCCTTGCCATTGAATGAGTTGTTCAGATATGACACTTCACTCTCTTGCTAGAAACGTAAATAAAGTTCTGCTACGTCATCGGCTATTTTTTATCAATGAAAATTCCTGTGGTTAACTGTAAACTTAGACTGTTAAATGGTTGGAAGATAATAACACAAGGTATGTAGCTCTAGCTAGTTAGCGGTATGTTCAGAGCTTGTCTAGAAAGTACACTCTATTTACTTGGAGATTCGGTTATATTTTGAACTGCTTTCCTTTCCTTATAATACGAGATATGACATAGTAGAGGATTCATATATTTTTGCTGAAATCTAGAGCCAAATGTTCCATCACATTCTCAACCTCACTACTCTTTCTCTCAACCATTCCTTTCTCCAGAAACTGGCACATAGAAAATTGATACTTTGCTTAATATAGATACACATATCTTAGATATCCTTCAAGCCCCAATAATCTCTCTCTACTATCCAATTCACACTGCATAAACATGTTTCAATGAGAACTATATCCCATGTACAGCATCCAGTCTATCGTGAGCCATTAAAAGTGGATCAACTATCCCGAAACGGCAAGATGGCCGAGTGGTTAAGGCGGCAGATTGTAAGTCCGACAGAGCCGAGATCACAAAAGTTATCAGCCATTAACATTAGAATAGTAAGCCCTGCTGGCGAAAGCTTCGCGAGTTCGAATCTCGCTCTTGTCAATATCTTTTTTTTCGGCTCACTTTATAGAGTGCTTATCTGGGGTATTTCCTTCACTGTTTTTAATTTTTGATTTATAGCTATGACAATATATCTATGAGGAGCATTGTTATACCTTATTTTCTTTACTTTTTCTTTTTCCAAGTAGATGATAGTCGTGACTTGACAACCACACCTGCTGATGTTTACTTAGATGACGTGCAACAGTCAGTACATTCCAGGCCGAAAAAACGCCAGTCAAGAATCTGAAAAGCCTCGTCTTCGTCAACATTGGCATTGACCGCCATGCAGTTGACCATCATTTTCACGAACAAATCGCCGCCAACTACAGTCCTTCCTGAACAGCACTTCAAAGTTCCAACGCCAGTGTCAAATCTGAAACGACCCTAATGTCTAGTCTTCATTACCTTGACACGATCGGTTGTGATATCTGACAGGGCTAGTGGCTGGTTTCATCGGCGTTGTGGTTGTAACACTTGACAGCCTTGCGATTTGTCGGTGATAGCCGCATTCGTAGCAGACTCTTTACATGAAACAGCTTGGCTAAAGGAGAAAGGACAAAGGGGAGAAGGAAAATATAATATTCTGTACATAAACATCATCAAGGACAAACAAACATGAAATTCAAATGATCACATACATCAATTCATTTGGGGTTTATGGGATCAAATGCTTCGTAGACAAGACTATTTTGCTTCGTACATGCTATTGCCTGTAGGTCTATTCTAAGAAACTATTGAAATACAACCATAAAATAGACAAATTATAACAACAGATAATAAGAAATCTTCATTTGAGACAACGCTCAAAAGCACCTAGGTTCATCTACCAACCAACCTACAAGCCCCAACCTATCCAACCCACCAAAGAAATCTAAATCTTCAATAGTCACACAACCCCAATCCCGGAACCTAATTACTGTACGGAGAAATATCCCTACCCAGCCACATAGCAAAAAGTCCACTACACCCCACAAACAACGCTGAAACATGTGGCAGCAAGCATACCGGGCAAACCCACGCCATGATCCCAGAAACCCAATCACACGAGGTATCGTACTTTTGCAAGCCCGCAGCCTCACAAAACACAGCCAAGGCTACGAATGAGGGCATCATGAAAGGATAACGATACAAATCTAAATCTCTGTTGGACAGGAATCCGTACGATCTCGATAGATAGTCCACACTGGCCCTTGTGTTTGTATCACGATGGCCTGTCCTACACGAGCGCAGGACCTTCGCTTCGAGGGTTTGAAAGGTGGGGTAGTGAATTCATCAGGCAGGTAGGTAGGTATTTTAACAAACATGAAATTTACCAGGCCGCAAATACAGAGTACGCCGTAAAGCAGGTATGTAAATCCCAATGCTGAGAATTTCCCACATACGGAGTGAACTCAACAAGGCCCAACATGCTCGGGGCACATGGTGCAATCAATCGAGATTGCTGATCGGGCGATTCCTACGTCTTACTGGTCGATGAGACGGCTTTCTCTGCAGCCTCGCCCGGGGGGTGCTAACCGGGAAATCCCTAGTGGGATGTACGTGCCAGGGCGATATATTAGCAGGGCAAATCACCCTCTTACTTGGTTCCAGTCGAGGCAGGGGACATCTCATCCATGGCATTTTGTCTAATTATAGTGGAGGGACCGCTTTTCGCGAGAACTTCCATTTTCTATCTAGAATCGGATTCGAGAATCGTTGCGATTAGGTTTGGACGTCCTGCCTCGTCCTCGCTATTGGCGATTTTTACAACCGTGAGTACATACCTAGACTCTATGAAAGCATTCTCGTACTCCGTATAGATCGCTCAACAAGGCTGGCTGGTGGCGGCCACAGCAAGCCACAGCCTTCTCCTCGTTCCTTATCCATGTATATAGTGAAATAGAATATTCTGCAGAATCCCCACCCTCTTTGGGGATAAGAAAAGTCCAGTCCACGCCATGCCCCCCTCCCGTTATCCGTCGATCAATCACCGCACCCCTGTTTTCTTCCCCTCCCCACGTCTCCAAGCCAAGAAATATCAAGATAACAGGAAATGCAGAAGCTATGACCCTTTTCTCGCGTGGACAACTCAGCAAGAAGTACAGAGCTTTGCATGACTATCCCAGACCAACTTGATTTGTTGGACATGGATGTACGTACTGTAATATGTACAGGGATGGAATACTGCAAGTACCTCTAGTACAACAGGCAAGCGAGCGAGCCAGTAGCAGTCAGTAAGAGCCGTGAGCCCGAGCACCAGAGGCTTGGCCTGTGAGTAAGACGGGTAAGGAGTGATTTCCTAGTCCGTCAATAACTACCTACTAATGAGCGATTATGCTAGCCAGTGAGTACCGGGCCAGTGTCAGCTCGTATAATAGTGGATACACGGACACAGAGTCCGTACACGAGCGGGGGGTGGGGAGAGGATTGCGTACAATGTACGTCCTCCATGGAGTACACAAGCGGGGAGATTCGATGATCTGTCGATTTCAAGCACAGGGGCAAATTACACATACCGCGTGAAGGATGTTGGCATCGCATACGCGAGACGAGGAGGCGGGGTGAGTTGGCTATGCATACGGAGAATTGGACATTCGTACGAATAGTGGGGATTCCCGGGGAGTGCCTAGGTAAGGATGAGGTGATCGGGTTGGGCTTGGTTAGGCTGTAGATTAGTGAGGTGGTTGGGAAAAGTACGGTTGTGAGATATGAGGTGAGGCGGGTTAATGCAGGCATGCAGGAATGGCTTGTATGGATGTGATGTGTGGCTTTTGGCGGATGGGAGACTACTGCCAGCGGGTTGTTTGATAATATTTGATTGATGGTACTGCAAGATGGCTGGTACTTTGTTCGTTCGTTGTTTCATTGATCATTCGATAAGGGATGAATTTGCAAGGCTGGGAAGAAAAGAGAGTAGTGCTTACTAGACTCGTGCAGGACGAGTCTAGTTTCGAATTGTGGTCGTGTGAACTGCCCAAGCAAGGAGAAATGTGTGACTAAGAGGAGCAGAATAATCCCGAAAACCAACTGACTATCGTGCTTACTATCTAGAACCTGAGTCATTGGTCAAGTCCTTGAAGTTTCTCTGTCTGATGTCTGATGTCTGATACTCCGATCAGTCAGGGCTTCGGTCGTACTCAGCGTGTACCACATGGTACGACTCATGTCATGTCATGTCTATTAAGCTACTCGGTGAGAAACGCGTAGTCATGTTCCGAAATTTTGGAATTTTTATATCGGCTATTTGTCATTTATCTCATGTTCCTCCGAAAACAGAGCTTCCGAAAATAAAACGCAACGCTGGGAGATCCATGTCATCGAAGCCAATATCCACGTTGGATGCTTAGATACATAGCCGGCTCCTCCCGGACAGATGACACAGCCTGGTTTGCCCTTTGCCGGGCAAATGTTGTATGAGGCATTAGGCGTTCCCGTCCGATATCGGCTAGTTGGGGTCGCTCAATGTCGACACCCTTTTGAGTCTTCTGGGCTTTGAGCTGGTCGGGCATCTCTAGGTGCTGCAGACCAGGCAGCCGCAAGGCCGGATCGAAGTTGATCAGAATAATCGCCTGATTCCCGGGGGTAAGGCCGTCTTGGTCGACAGAGTAGAGTATTGACCGCTCATCTGCAACCGCCTGTACCTTCCCCGCTCGTTTGGATGGACATAGAAGTTGGTTAAGCTCCGGCGGAGCATTATCCGGAGGCCAGAGAGATATCCCGCGGGTTGTATAGCGCTCTTCGCTGTTCTCTATCGGAGTGCCATCCGGTGAGGCCAATTCAGGCTTGTACAAAAGTCCCTTGTCGCCTTCGTCTCCGTCCTCGTCGATGGGGCATTTGCGTTTGCGCGAAGCCACGCGCAAACGCAGTCGGTCGTGTGGCACGAAGCAACCCCCCGACGGAGGGAGCGGGTCATTGACAAGATCGACAAAGCTCGAGGCTGAGATGTTGTATGTGCGAAACTTGGTTTTGGCCAGGATGAAGTCCTGGCGTTGGGTTGGGCTAGCACCACTGGCGCTGCCGGTGGCACCCAATTGGTATTCCTGATGGAAATGTCGGCGTAGGCGTTTTCGCGGCCGCTCGTAATTGGGCTTGTTGGAAGAATCCAGGGTTTTGGTCAACGGTTCGTCGGGCAAAGGAGCGGGGGCTGAAAACTGTCCTGCGCTGGCCCCCTGTCGCTTACTCTGAATCTCGGCGGGCGACGGCAGGGGCTGCACGTAATACGTGCGACAGTTTTCGCTGCCACCGTCACGCCACTCGCGCCGACACTCCAAGACCATGAGTTTACTCGTCGACTCGTCATGTCGCAGCGAGAGATCGGACCAGGTGTCGTTGATCGGCCCTTCGCGATGCTGTCGCCGCCAAGTTCGGTTAAGAGTCACGGGGCCCGTGTTCTTGCCGGGCGACAAACACGCCCAGACGTAGAACGACGTCCAGTCGACCTCTTCCTCCTCGAAATCCACCTGCGTCGACACAGCATATAAATGTTTGTCGTGGACTCCAAAACAAACCGTTTGCCCGATCTCGCAGCCGGCGAAATTGTCCAACTCGATCGGTTTCTCGGTGATGTGCTGCCCCGTTGTCAGATCGACGCAGCTGACCGCCCACTGGGGATAGCCATGGTAGCCCAACGCCGAGTGCGTGCCGTAGTAGAGATAGGCGTTGTCATGACGAACGAAGAGCCGCCTTGTTGACTGGAGCTGCGTCCGGAGCCGCAGTCGCCCATTTTTGCCGCAATTGCCCTTGCGCCGCATGTCCACCGCCAGCAGCCAGGATTCGCGTCGCTCCACAATCTCTACGAGGAAAGCAAGCACCCCGTATCCGTATTGCATCAAGGATATTTGCGTCGTGTCTTCTGCCGGATTGCATCCTGGGATGGCGCGTGAAAGGACGCTGTAAAGGTTCAACACCTGTTCGATCTGGCTGGCGCCGTGTACATCCAAGGCGCGAATCTCGTCGTTGTAGATGTAGCAGAGGGAGCCACCGCTGTAGAGGAATGCGCTGCCGTAGCCCAAAACCGAAGCTGAATACGGTTGGGCTGTTGCAAACGCTTCCTTGGTGTCAAACAAACGCCCAACTGCTCGGCGATAATTTTTGGTTCGTTTTGCTTCTTGGCCTTCTTTGGTTTGGAGGAGGTTGTGCTAAATTCAATCAGTATGGGTTGAGAACCAGGGATGAAATCGAGAAGAGTATAAAAGAAAAGGAAAAAGAAAATCGCGACGTGAAGCAGATGGCAATGGAAACTCACCTCAATTGTCTTCCGTGCAATTGATTCACATCGCATCAAAGCATGGAGAGACCGATTTACGCGACTCAGATGGACGAAATCATGACAGTCCAATGATGAAGCTACCTGGTAGAAAACATCGTACGGGATGGAATCCAGATTCTTGGTCACGACCGTCATGACCGAGGTAGTGTTGTGTAATTTGAAAAAACATCTGAAAAAGAAGCCCTGAGTCTGGAAGTAGGAGGATATAAGATCAGAGATAAACCGTCAGCGTGGCTTTAGGATTTTGCCTCCCAAAGATTAATATAGAAAGAGTGATAAAAGATGGAGACTTCCGGATCCACAAAGACATTTAGTGCCCAAAGGGAAGACACCCGGACCAGAAATCGAATGAATCCATGAGGCTAGTCGTGAATGCAACCGGAAAGGGAGCATATTTAGCCCTTTCAGAAGATGCGGCTCTTCAAAGACACTTTAGAAAAGCCAAAGAATCGGACAAGGAATAAAATTGCTAAGTGTAGGATTGGAACTTCGGTGAAAGCAACGCGATTGGTGCAACCAAGCGCTTGTTTAATCCTGGATTTTACGGAAACCTGGGCTAAGCCACGAGGGGCCCGCACGTCTGATGATGAGGATGATCGTTTGTTTGGCCCCTTTCGAGGGTGTCCGCGGACGGCGCGGAACAAACGGGAGGAAGACAAAGAGCCTCAAGTCCTGAAAATTACTAACAAACCCCTGCGAATTTTTTAACGAGGCTGACTACCCACCGCTGTTTGGTCTGGTTCTACGAGTTGTGCCACCGTGATCTTTCAGTCCTAAAAATAATTGTACCTATACGAAAGAGGCGACTATTGATGACCTTGATTCACATTCTAACTGAGACCTGCCAAAAGAGAGAAACAAAAAAAAAAAAAAAAAAAAAAAAAAAGGGCCAAAAGGCAGAGGCTGAACTGGCAAACTCTAGGCTTCACCGACACGCGAAAGCACCTCGGATGAGGCTCTAAGGGGTCAGCCAAGGCCAAATTGGCCACTAATTTGGGGGCTCCCAACCGAACGTGTTTCATTACGAGCAATTTGCCGGCACCAGTCGCATAGTCTACCTCGAAAAGGACTAACGAGCCTCTTTGTCTGAGACTTTCGCGGCCTCTAGGCTCTCAGCAGTCAAAACCACGCAGGGACAGGCCCCCTTCGTAAGCTTAAATTGCGACGCGCATGATGACGACGATCCGATGGCACGAGATCTTGAACTAAAAGCCTGCCAGTGGATTCAGAGCTCAGATGCGGCTCTGGTTGCTGTCATATCTCGCATTCGTCTGTTGAATGGCCTTGGCCTTTCCCTTTGGCGGCGCATTCGGCGTTCAGCCTATCAGCGCCTCAGGCACCGACTTCCGACGAGGCTGAGGGTGTGATGCGATCGATGCTATAGCTCGGACGATCCTGTCGCTCACATTGGCAACCTGGATCTATAGCCTCTCTCTCGTATATTTTGAAATCCTTGGGTTCTGTTGTGGAATGCTGTGGCCATTTTATCTCCGAGCCGCTGATCATTTGCCCACTATGTTGGCCCACGTCAACCGGTCTGCTATCCCAGCCTCTACAACTCCGATCCGATCAATTCTAGTCAGTTAACCTAACCCAAAAAAGCCAATGATGAATGACCAAGCAATTGCTCCAGTTCCCTCCAGAAGATAAGCGTGGTGATGGGTAGTCAGCCCCGCCCTGCACTGCCCCAGAATGAGGAAGGGGGTCTACAAGGCTAGCAAAGCTCGAAACACTTGAGGAATGCTGGAATCACCAAGCATGTCAATCGCGTTGCATCTGTGCACTTGACTTTTCAATTTGTCGATCTATACGTCACGAGTGACCTGGAGCTACTAGCTACACGACAAGTAACTAGTTGATGACCCTAAGCGTGATGGGGCGCCTTATTAGCCGCGTTTACTGCGTAGGTACGAGTACCACAACCTAACTCGAATCCCGGTTCCAAGTTGCATTTCGGTGAAAGGTCAGCGCCAATCAGAAATGGCCCGAACTGGGATCAAGATAAGCACTTGGTATCCCGGTTCTGCGGGGTTCTCTGGTTGACAAATAACTATAATGGGTCATTCTCAACCGCTCACGGACGTTACACCCTGGCACGAGACATGACAATCCGAGCCGAGCATCGGAGCGTGATAAACCAGGTCTCCGCATGAGCTTCCCACGAATCGACTAAGAATGGGCGCGTCTGGATCGTCGTGGTGACTAGGTTCCATGTAGACTCAATGTGGATGCGCCAACCCCTCGCCCGTCACATTGACTCGGTACGAGGCTGTCGTGTTGGGTTTGTCACCGTTCCACGGAGGCCGTACGGAGTACGGAGTAGAAGGTCGACCAATTCCTTGACCATTCCCACTGAGATGAGTGATGGGGCTCGAAATCCCGTGTCAGACTTGCCTAATCGACAGGCTGCAATGATATATAACATGGCGAGTCATATCCTCTTGCCACGTCTCTCTCAATTTTCCTTTTTCTTCAAAGTTTTATTGGTTTGCCCCTTCTTGATGCTTTCTATGTGCAGCATTAATCAAAACTTGATTCCATTGATTCCGGATATGTCTCGAGGGAGACTTCCCATTCCACTATTCACGGGTGATTGCTCAGAACCAGTGGGCGGCGACTCATGGTGACTCCATGGCATGACTCATTAGTCATCGACATGACAATCGCACCGCATCACCTGACTCAGGAGAGGCGTCTGCATCAGTCTATACACTACTATTAATAAGGAACAAGGAAGAAGTAAGGTGTCCATTGCCCATGGATCGGAAAAACCCACGGCACGACCGGGCGCACCGGGCACCTGATCAGCAACGGGACACAGTTGAAAGGACCAGCCGAATATCCGTTTTTGCCCCGGATATCGTCATTTCAGGACTCAGCCCAATGGAGCCCTGCAGGGCGAGAGTCCAATGGGATATGCTGGTGCCTAGACGAACATTCCGGAACATTGCCTTTCCCGGGCAAGCGTCTGCCCTACTGGTGGGCTGCGACGGACGGATCCATGGATCATGATGTGTTATCCAGCATCTCCTTGGTTGAGGAGCCGACGGGATTCGTGGACTCGATCATGCTTAAAGACCACAACTGGTTTCGAGTGGAACTAACGGAACTGATGGGCCTAGCGTATGCACCGGCCATGAATATGTCGAATTAATGGGCGGGAGTTGAAGGCAGCGACCGTGTCGGTGACGGTCGAGGGGAACTTCAACGTGAACCCACGATGGAATCAACGGTGATGGCAGACCGGAAAGACAGGACGGGGGTTTATGCGATTAGATAGACATTGATGCTTTCCTCTGTAACGAGCAAATAGTAAAGAGAAATGATGATCCAGGAGTTCTTCATGTTGACCGCCGGTGCCCTAAGCCTCGTGTCGGCCCCACCGACTCCCCTCCCGAAGCGCACGTATCAGCCAGCCCTGTCGCCCCAGTGCCTGGGGATCTTCATCTCTTTAAAATCTCTCGTTGCGCCGTTTCCTTCTTTCTTCCTTTTCTTCCTCTTCTCTGTCCTCTTCTTCTCGACTATCCTCCGTAACCGTGGTTGAGAGGTATTGATTCACTTGCTTTTATTCATTACAATCTCTTCGTGGAGACGGACTTGGCAACAGTCTGATCTCCTTCCCCCGCAGCAGCCCCTCTCGTTGTTGGATCGATCGATTGATTGATGTACTACCGTCATTCTGCTCCTCCCCCTCCCCAGGGATGGTCTCAGGGATGGTCTGGTGACTACCCTCGCCAGCAACCGGGATACTGGCCTCCCCCGCAGCAGCAACACTAGTCAGCTTACCTTCCTTGATTCCTTTCCTTGTCTCCACGGCCTTGACTGACTCCTCCCAGCCCCGCGCAATATCCCCCGTCAGGCCCTCCACCTCCTCACTCGTATAACCAATATCCCCCTCAGCATTATCCCTCGCCTGGCCCGTACGGTCCCCCTCATACGCCAACCCCGCCTCCGCAATCCTCGTCGCCTTACCGGTCATACCACAGTAAGCTCTTCTCTTCCGTGATTTCCGGCCCAAAGTCGCAATTGGCATCGCTGACAATTCCCAAAGGCCACTCGCAATCATGGCATCAAAATAACACTCCGCCGCGTCCGCCCCAGGAGGCACAGCACTTCGGTCGCGGAGCCCCGTCTAATTACCGATTCCAGTACTCCACTTGCACGGGTCGCCGGAAAGCCCTGCTGATCGGAATTAACTACTTTGGGCAGCCCAATGCGCTCCGTGGCTGCATCAATGATGTCGCCAACATGTCGAACTTTCTGCACGAGAAGTTCGGCTACCGGAGAGAGGACATGGTCATTTTGACGGATGATCAGAAAAATGCCATGAGCGTGCCTACGAAGGCCAATATTCTGCGCGCGATGCAGTGGCTTGTGAAGGATGCCCAGCCGAATGATTCTCTCTTTGTTCATTTCTCCGGTAGGATTTACGCCGATCGGCTGGAAATTAGAAGACTAACCGGTTTTAGGTCACGGTGGACGAACGCCAGATCTTGACGGAGACGAAGAAGATGGTAGGTTTTGTCCCCTATTCATTGTGAATTGTGCTAACACGGCCAAGGCTACGATGATGTTATTTATCCTCTGGATTACCGTACCGCTGGGCACATTGTGGATGACGATATGCACGCCATCATGTACGTCAATTCTCTCCGCCCGTATGTTTCTATACTCATGATTTCTAGGGTCCGTCCACTCAGGCCCGGTGTCCGATTAACCGCCATTTTCGACTCGTGTCACTCCGGTACTGCACTTGATCTGCCCTACGTATACTCGACACAGGGTATTCTGAAAGAGCCCAACCTGGCCAAAGAGGCCGCACAAGACCTGTTCAGCGCTGTCCTCTCGTACGGCAAAGGAGACCTGGGCAGCATGGCGCAGACGGCCATTGGGTTCTTCAAAAAAGCGGCCATCGGCGATTCCGCCCGACAGCGCACGGTAATGACCAAGACCTCGCCGGCGGACGTGGTCATGTTCTCGGGATCAAAGGACACGCAGACCTCGTAAGTGCTCCCTTTATTCTGACGCGGGCTCCACTAACCCAAACAGGGCGGATACATTCCAAGACGGAGAAGCTCGAGGAGCCTTGAGTTGGGCTTTCATCAAGTCATGGACACAGCAGCCTAATCAGAGCTACCTGCAACTACTCAACTCGATTCGGTCGGAATTAGAAGGAAAATATACCCAAAAGCCGCAGCTGAGCTGCAGTCATCCATTGGGTGAGTATTCTTACATCTTACACCGAGGTGTTTCTACTAACAGTTGCAGATGTCAATTTGCTTTTTGTTATGTGAGAATATATGATGAGCCACGATGTATGCCTAGTAAATGCGTTGAATGCGTTGAATTAATTGGATGTTCCGATACTGGTAGAAGACGAACCAGGGTGTTTAAGTATCTATATAGCATTGCGTTATGGAGTAATGTTTCGGTTTTCCTACAAATGTGACTTCAGCATAATACAAGATATATTGCAGGATATCTGCCTTCACGAATCCCTCTGCATCATATCCTAACATCGATATTAATCATAATTATGACATGTAACCGACACTGACCAAAACCAAAACCTCCCACAAACCACAACCCAAATTACCAAATAATTTGTCCTTGAAATCCCCTATCCATGCATACCTTCATAGTTCATACCCGCATCTCACACACCCATATCACATCCACCAGCAACAACCATCGAAACAGACAGCTCATAAATACACAGCCATCCCTTGCAGAATCACAGGACTATTTTCCCTTTCTTCTCCGCACTCCTCCACACTCCCTACGTCATACCCCATAGGACATGCACTCCGCCACAAATAGTCCATGCCAAGCGACAAGGATCATGCCGGAATGTTTCCAGAAAGGGCTGTTGTCTTGGCGGTTACGGACCTTGGCTTTGCTTTCATCGTCAACAGTCACGTACGCTGTAAAGAGTGGGTGAATGTGTCATATCTTCGGAGATCCATCCCTAATGACAAACAGGCAGACAGGCATTATGAGATTGAACCTGCGAATACGATCGCGCGCATCTCCCCGCCCCTTCCATGTCTTTTCAGGCGGGAACTCAAGTCTGAGCCTACCGCGAAGCATCAACACCGGTGGTACCCCTTGGACGAAGACAAAACGCGATCTACACCCAAACACTCCGCAATCCTTCAAACCCAGTCCGCACCCCTCACCACTCCCCAACCTCCCCACCACAACCAACCCGGGCAGGTAATAACTAACCAAACCCATCATATAGAATTCAACCCCCACGCCTACACCTCCGGCCACTGGCTCCTCAACAACCACGAACAACACTCCCTCCGGCACATCGAGTTCGATTTCTCCGCCCTCTGCCTGAAAATCCAGGCCCTGTGTCCTGAAAACGGACCCATCGTTAGCTGCGAGAAGCTCGAGGGCGGAAATAATCGCGTCTTCGTGTTCGCGCTGGATGATGGGAGACGCGTTGTTGCGAGGTTGCCGTTCCGGACGGCGGGGAGGACGGATGTGCTTGTTAGGTCGGAGGTGGCGATGGGGGAGTTTTGTGAGTTTTTCCTTTTGTTTTTTTTTTTCGGGGGTTTCTGTCTGTTTGGGTGCGTAGGTGTAGGGTTAATATAGTATGATCTATGCTTGGGGGAGTATTTATCTAAGGATAGATGGTAGGCAAGAGTAACTTACTATAATTACAGTGCAAAGCAAAACGCAAACCCCCGTCCCGAAAATCATGGATTGGTCCGACGACGTCGCGAATCCTATCGGCGCCGAGTATATCATCATGGAGTGTGTGTCTGGGGTCCAACTGCACCAGGCATGGCGTGATATGTCCGGCGTTCAGCAGCTGAAGTGCATACGGTCGATTTACAAGGTCCTGAAGCCGGTCGTCGAGCTTTCTTTTCCAGCCTACGGGAGTATCTATTTTACGGGTGATGTTGAGGCCTCTGTTGCGAGGGATCTGGATGATAGGTTTGCTATCGGGCCGCATTGTAGCGCGAGGTATTATTGGGAGGCTGGCGTTATGTCCAGTGATAGAGGTGGTTCTGGCAGGGGGAATCGGGGGCCTTGTGAGTTGATTTAGCACTTTTTTATGAGGCAGAGTTGCTGATCTACGAAGGGGTTGACTTTAATGCGTTCTGCGATGGATTAGTAGATGCCGGTCTCTCGCGGCTTCCATCACCAGATCTGCCCGTGCGAAAGAGACCATCCTTTTATGGTTCTGTGCAGGATCACATCGAGCTACTGAGCCATGCTCGTCGCGTGCTTCACGCCATGGCGGCAGATCCTCGAATCAAACAATGCGTCGCGCCCACGCTATTCCACCCCGACCTACACAAGCGCAACATATTCGTCTCACGAGAAGACCCCACGGTCATCACGGGGATAATCGACTGGCAAGCCGCCAGCATAGAGCCCGCATTCTGGTATGCCGACGAAGTGCCGGACTTCGCAACAGTGAGAGACCAGACCTCCACATCTACCTCAGATGAGGAGCAGACGCGAGATGAGCACCTCTGCCACCAAGCGTTCGACGCCATCACACAACTCCAACTGCCCAAGATCGGCCAGCCTCGATCGATGAACGCCAACCTCTTCCGACCGTTTCGATACACGCACAATACGTGGGCCAACGGGGCTGTGGCGCTTCGTCACGATCTGATCCAAACGGCGCAGTATTGGAACGCGATGGGGTTCGTCGGCACTTGTCCGTACGCCACCCCGACGGCGGAAGAACTCGCCACCCACCAGGAAGAGTACGAGTATTTCAAAACCGTCTTTCAGCTAGAGCGTATGCTAATGGAGGGATTGAACGTTCCGTCCGACGGCTGGGTTCCGCCCGAGGCATGGGAGTTGACGCAGCAGGTGCATAGGGAACTGTTCGACGAGTTTGTGCGGGCGGTCCTCGACGATCCGGACGATCACATCAACAGCGAAGAAGAGGCGAGAATAGTGTGGCCGTATGATATTTGACGTGGTCATGAACTACCTAGTAATCGGTAATGACAGTAATCACCCAGCCAGAATGCTGTTACCTAGCCTGGCCGTGCGTGAATCGTTCAGCGACAGCTGTCATATCGAGTGTCGAGGCCGATCAGGTGGAGCAAATCAACGGTGGCTCAAGCGCTGATGACGAACCCAGATGACGAGGAGGTGAGAAGATTCCGGATGGCGGACAGCGACCGGGCAAAGGGGTGTTCGCAATGGGTTATGTACTGGGGTGTTTGTTGATGGTTCTCTGGATGCATTGCGCGTGGCTGTACGCCTCTTCCACCGTCCGTCCCATGGTTAAGATCGCGAGGCTGCGATGCGGTGGACTTTAGATCTCGGCCGTAGACGGAGTACCACCGGCCAGCCATCCGTGGATCGACGAAACAAAACACAAAACATACCGAAACCCCAGCAAAGCGAAACGCAACAGGCATCAGGATTCAGGATGCAGATGTGCCAGCCTGCCATGCGCGGCCAAGCAGTAATCAGATCGCTTACCCCATACTCCCAGCAGCCCACGGAATATTAATATCTGCCAATAAGCATAAGGTGCCGGGATCGGCAAACACAGCGGATCCCCATTGCCGCCCATGCATGACCGGACGGCAGGCATTAGACTGCTAACTTGCTAGGTGTTAGTTTTAGTAGTCCTACGGAGTCGGTTGAGGGCTTTCGTCGACGAACGAAAGTGAATCACCCAGCCAACGCCGAGCCCAATTGCCCCCTTCCTTTGCGCATCCATCACAGCTGCGGAATTGTGCGTCCCTGACTCAATCGCCCATAGTAATAGCCGCTGTAGGAAACCATTGCCATCCAAGTGGACCTCATAATTTCAAAATCGAAAAAACGAAAGAAAAACTTTAAACCCAGCCGCATCGCATCGCATCGGAACAGAACTCCAGCGAGCGAACCAATCCCTGCGCTGCGTCGCGCACATGGACTCCATAACATGGGACTGGGAGAATCGATCCCACCCGTCCCATCCTACGGAAATTCCCTTGAGGCTGTGGGGGGCAGTGCGATCTTTGGATCAGAGGGGCGGACGAAAATGAAAACCCACGAAAAGTGGACAGGAAGGGAAAAAAGCCGCTGGGTCCTTTTCCGTTCCGTTGCCTTCTCTGAGCAGCGGATCTGATTAGTCCAATGCGAGGAAATTGTTTCACCTTGCAGGCCAAGCGCAAATGTGGCTGGTTCTGCAGGAGGGCGCTAAGGTCTTTAGGGGGCCGTTAGTGCGCTGCAGGTCGGTTACACACAGATTGGTTTTATTTCGGATGTTGTCCAGTTTTCATTATTGGTTTCTGTCGGGTCAGGAGGAGGACGAAAAGAAAAAAAAAGGAATGAAACAATTTAACAGTACGGAGTGAAATGCAGGGACAAGGAGGATCTCCGGACTGTACGGGGTGTCATGATTTGCAGGGTCTTGGCATTCATTACTACTGGCTTTACTTCATGTTTACCTGCGAGAGAGGACTTTGGCATTATTACTACAGAGAGACTGAAGTGTACTCCTACTCCGTAATTCGGATATTCCGTCGACATAAAATTCCACATCTCCACCGGGGCAAAGTGGTAACCAGATGTGGTATCGCAAGGTATCATCATACGTAGCTAAATGTATGGGGTGCATCACACCACGGGAAAATGACCCATTCCGTGGGTAAAAAATGAGACAATGGAATTCCATCATTCCATCATCCGCGGCCGGAATGATGCTCTAATTTTCGTCGCCGCCAATGATTCCGGCCCGTGGACCTTGCGGACTGGGTCACTTGGACCACTTTCTCTTTTTTTTCTCCCCCTCAACTTTGGTGCTCAGAGCTGAGCAAAGTATAGCCTCGTTCATTCTCCCGAGTCAGGAGGCATAATGTCATACGCACGCAATGCACGCGCCTCGTCCCCTACCGTGGAAGCCATCCGACATCGCCCAGCGCCTATGCATGTTTCAGGTAGACGTGTATTTATAGATGGGGATCGATAGAATTTGCCGTAACGACATTATCAATCGCAGGTCGGTAGGGTAAGTAGGTTACTGGACAAGGTTGGCCAGTGCCAATGCCCGTACAGCGTTTGCCGCCGCGCCATGGAACCCCTCGCAATGACTCGCGATGCGAGATCTATGAGGCCATTCCGAAGATCCGATCGTAGGAAAAGGAAATGAAAGGGGAGGGCCACTCTTCTTTTTGTCCCCTCTGTTCTTTGTCCAGTGGAACTCAGGCAATACGAGAAAGGAGGCTACAGCGCGGATACCAGTTGAGGGTGGATGTAAACAGTAATACCGATCCAGTAATGGACCAGTTGAATCCATGATGCTCCGGAGTTCCACTTTGTCTCCTTTTAGTCTCTTTTGGCATCCGTGCTATAATTATTTCTTACCCCCCCATCCCCATCCTACACCGAGATGGGACGAACTGTCTGACTCGGTCGGACTTGCGCTGAGAAATCCTTTCAGCTGCTAATCGACGACGATTTTTTTTTTTGCTCCATCGCTCGCTACCTTACTTTGCCCTACTATCATCTATCACAGATCTGACCCTCGTTGCCCTGTGTCTACTATATCCTATTGTTCCGCTTATACATACCGCGCGGACGTCTAATAATATCGGATTAATCCACCCTGTACAAAATTCACCGCATACAACATTCGTTCTGATAGGCGGGCTGTGATCAAGGAAAAGAAGAAAAAAAAGACCGATCACTTGTACAACAGAAACAGCACGAACCGATCGAACCAACCCAAAGCAAAAATGTTGACCTCACCTACCGAATCTCTATCCTCGGCCTCCTCTACCGCCGGCAGCCCTATCGCCCAGAGCCCTCACCCCAATGCCTGGTTCCCACCTATTCCTCGCCGCCGGGCGGACAAGACAGTAAAATTCAACCTCCCCCGGCTACCGCGGTACTACGCGACACCATTGAACGAGGACACGGACTCGACGCCTCTGCAGGTGTACGGGCTCGAACAGCGTGAACCGTCGATCGCCGAGAAGCCCAAGCTGCTGCGGCGCATGTCGCACGCGCTCGACGACATCAAGGAGGACTTCTCGCTGCAGCTGGAGCCGCGCGAGAGGCTCAAGAGCCGTAATCGCCACTCCACATTCATGCTGGATACCAGTGTTGGCGGCTCGGGGCTCCGGTCCAGTGGCTCGTCGCTGTCCGGCGGAGAGAGCCCCATGACTTCGGAACCGCCTCGTCCTCGTCCCATCTCGACTTTTTCCATCGATAACTGGAACCCCCCGGCCCCTGCGCAGTCGCTCAGTCGCAGACTGTCGAATCGCTTGGGATTCTCGCAGAAGAAGCGCTTCCGTCCAGGCCAGGGAGCGAGTATCTCGCAGCCGAATCTGATCGGGTCCTCGACTCAGATGTAGATTGGCTACGGTATTCGAAAACAATCGATCGGCGCTACTTATAATATCTTCGGGCGCAATAATTTTCCATCAATCGGACTGAACAAAACAAACCAGAATAGGTATCTATTCGACACGAAAACAAAACAGCATTTTGCCATTGGAGTTTTTCTCGACATCTTCGCACGGAGGCCTTTTCCATTCCTTTATTTTCTCATTCGCATTTTAATATCCGCATCCGCCAAAAGTCCCTCCTTGGTTGTTCAACATCGGCATTTACATACTTGATTCCCTCCTTAGACCGCTGTCTTTTGTCGCATTAGCTTGGGTGTTTGGGGTATCCATTTCCTTCGAATCTTCTGTTTTCCTTCTACTCACATCTGCATGTGGTTGTTTATTTGGGCTTTGCTTGGTTTTCGTTTTTGTTCTCGCGTCTGTCTGTCTGTCTGTCTGTCTGTTTACATTACTTAGTCAGCTCATCCTCCGATGTTTTCGTGCTCTGGTCTTATTTCGATCTTCCTTACCCCTGATTATCATGTCAGATATTTAGAACCGAATACATACATACATCATACATCATACATGCATAGTTACAGAAATGTCTCACCGTCAAGCCAACCGCCCGAATTAGTCGCAGGACAAGACATGATCTATATTTGATACGACAGTGTACTACCTACGTAGATACCACCCTGCCTACCCTGCCCTACCTTACCTACTACCTTACTCCCAACGCAAATAGAACCTATGTAAATGAATAGATAGATAAATAGGTAGACATCAAATCCCCAACCAATCAAACCCCCTCCACCCTGCCCCTAACGACACCTAAATAAATAGACACGCGACAACCAACCATTGCCCCCCGGCTAGTCCTATTCCGCCTAGCCGTGGCGCTCCCTTACGCTACATACATTGCTTCTATCCGGTCTAGCGAGACCGCCAGAGCCGTCACAGGGTCCGGCGGTCCCTACCGCAAGTAAGTAAGACATGTTCGCGCCGTTGCGACCAGAGCAGGGACGCGCCGGTCCTATGACAGGCCGGTCGGTCAAAATGCCTAACTATTTCCGCCGTAGGTGCACCGTAGGCGCCAGAAATGTCTTGCTGAAAGACTGAATGTGTCGTGTCAGTGGCGTGCGGGACTTACGCCGTTAGTTGGTGTTGGTTACTCCCACTGGTTCACTCACTGGTTAGCGATTTTCTATTTTCTACTTCCTGCGTACTGCGTGGTCTTCGGCGGAGTACGGAGTACTGCGGTCTGCGTGGTTTGTATGCACCTAGTGGTTAGGCTGCTGGCTAAGGTAGCTAGCCAGGTATGTAAGGATAGGCTGACTATGGAGTCGCCACGTTGCTGGTGATTGTTGGCGTTGGCGTTTTTTTGTTTTTTGCTTTTTTTTTTCTTGGGGGTTCGTGGGAAAATTACTCTTTGCTTTGTCTTTTGTCGGTGCTATTTTCGGCCTTCGGGGTAGGGAGAGGCGTTAGTGGTTTTCTTTCTTTCTTTCTTTTTCTTTTTCTTTTTGTTTTTGCCTAGTTTCTCTTGTTCGTGTTGAAGTTATTGGCTAGTGTGTTCGCTGCCTGGCTGTTTGGCTGTTAGCGCCCTGAGCGGCTGTGCTGTGCTGTGACTGCTGTCTCTGCTTGCTTGTTTGTCTCCTCTGCTTACTCGCTTGCTTGCTTGCTTACCCTAGACTGTGGCTTGTATACACCACACCATACGAGTACTGCGTAAGAGAGAGAAACCCGTCCCGAGGGGTAGTTCCTTATGTCAGATCTCCTGCCCTGTTTATCGACCCATAGCATAGCCCCTAGTCCTACTTCCCCCTAACATGCTCCGTAATGCTTACTTACATACCCTGGCACAAGTAACTATGGGCTATGGAGTAAGGTAAGTAAATGGATACCGGAAGTGTCCGCGTTGTCTCGGAAATTTCGAGAGTGGAGGGGAGGGGAAGGGTTAATTTCCGCCCGACCTAGAGCGGCGAGATGAAGTCATTTAATCGCTTGGGGGCTTTTTTACGGAGTAGTCCCTGGAGAGGATGAGGATCCGCAGTAATATAAGTTAAACTATCCTGACTGGTGAGCTATTGCCTAAGTAGGTATGTGTACTTCTCATGACGTATCATTCGAGGTAGATCCTACGGACGAGGCAGATGGCCAAGATGTCACTAGGTAGTTAGGTATAAGGATCTCGGATTCGGTCGCGGTTCTGCGGGTTGAATAATCATTGATTGTCAAGGTAGCAAACAGTACAACTGGCATGATGGTATAGGTATGATATAGAGTAAGTAAAGTGTCAAGCAGCGCAGCAAACAAATGAAAAATGTCGACTCAAACAAGGAACATGGATCTAACGCCGTTTTCCACCCCACTCGCTACTAAGTAATAAGTATACCAATAATCACAAATAGAGAAATATCCGCGTATCAAGCAAGAAATCAAACCGAATAAGTTCCAGGGGGAGGGTTCTTCTATCCAATAACCACCGCCCCTTCCCCTTTCCTTTCCTCTTTTACTTTCGACGTGTCTCGTCCATTCGTCCATCCATCCCCTTTCCCTTACCCCTTCCCCTTCCCCTGTCCTCATGAGCACTTCCCCATATGTATGCAAAGCACATCCAGAATAGACACGGAGATGAGGGCAAACACCCCGACCCTTCCCTTCCATCCCATCCCATCCAACAACCTATCACCACCACCACAACCAAGACATCATAGCGTGACGCTCTCCAAATCCCTCATAACGACCGACATCTGCGCTCGCTTCGCCGCCTCCGCCACAAGACTGAAGTCCCGCAAGAACGGCGCCGTAGCGGTCGGCCCGCCCGCGCCCTCAATCTGATGCGGATAAGTGGTCGCGGACGATTGTCGCACCAGGCCTGGGCCTGGGCCTGGGGCCTGGGACTCCGCGGTGCCGGGTGCAGGGGCCACGGACGTCTCTGTGTGTCCTACTCCGGGCTGCAGCTGCTGGTGCTGGTGCTGCAGGTGGTGCAGGGGATCGACGGCGGGCGCGTGATGCGGGTTGGGGTTTAGGGCTGGGTTGGAGGCGACGGTGGTGGTGTTGGCGGATGGGGAGGAGAAGAGGAGCGGGTTTGAAGGGTTCGGCGCGGTCGCTGTCGCGGAGGGTATTGTTGTGTTGTAAGGTGCTGTGGACGAGGCGGGCGGGTTGAATGGATGAGGGGTTGAGTCCATGTTGAGGTTCATGTTCACGTTCATGGTGGGTGGGGTTTATGATTGTAGTGGAGAGTAGGTTGAGTAAAGAGTAGAGGGCGTGATATCGTAAGAGCCAGTCTTGTGTTGTCTATCGGTCTATGTCGGAGAAAAGGAAAGAAAAGGTCTATATCGCAGATGGAGATCGAGCGGGAGAAGAAAACTTCATGGATGGAATGGTCTGATCGGAGTCCGGTGGAGACGGCGGGTTCGACAGCGGGTAATTAAAAAGGCATGGCGTGATGAGAGTGGGAGAGAGTGAGGGCGTGGAGAAAGTGGGAGGAGAAAGCGAAGAACGAGAGAAAAAGCGAAGAGATAGGAAAGAGTGCTACGATGTAGCCAACAACACGTGGGGCGTGGACTGCAAACGATGACGTCCAGACGAGACGAGAGACCGAATGGATGACGCCGATGCAATTTAACCTTTGCGAAGGATGAGAAGAAGCGAAATGCTGCAGGCAACTGCAGCGAAAGGATGCAGGTAAATAGGCGACTATCACCGTACTTTTGTCCGTGAACTTCAGGGGGCAAATAACCTGGAGATCCTAGATGGATGATCGACAATGCCCCTTCCGTCGGTCTATCACATCAATAAATCTTCCTTGCCGTCCGGAGGAAAAGAACGACGCGATTAATTCTTCCGAACGGCGACGAGGAAATTTTCGGCTTTCGATTTCTTTTTTTCCAGAAGGAAATTCTGCCGCGAGCCCGACAATTACCCGGACTGTAACACCACCGTATCTCCGCCATCTCCACGCGGGGATCTCGCGCAGACGCAGGTACACCGCCCGTACGGTCGTACAGACCAAAACCTGCCGAGGCTGAGGCTGCGCACGTGATCTCATGTGACTTGCCGATATCTCTGCGCGCTAGACCCGATGGGGAACTCCCCCACCATCTCCAACCAAAAAGAAATCCGAATCATGAGGGACCGTCATGATGCACCTCACTCGCTGTCCTGTGATCCGCGCTGATCTGCCCGTGCCGTGGGGGACCGGATAATCGAAATGGCGGAAACTGACGACTACGATGCCGGGGGCATGTTCAATGACCCCGAGGGCTTCTACGATCCTGAACCGGAGCCCACCTTCGCCGAGCACCCCATGCTGTCGGGCCAGACGGTGCGCGTGAGGCTGGTGGGAAGCCATCCTCTCTATGTATGATCCCTTTGATCCCTTTATATCAGGCATTTTCTAGGCCATGGAACTGCCCAGACTGACAATCCAGGGCGACCTCCTCTGGAACGCCGGCCGAACCAGCGCCTTCTACATCGAAGAGCGAGCCCAGGAACTCATCGCCGGCAAGGACGTCCTCGAGATCGGCGCCGCAGCTGGTGTGCCCAGCATCGTCAGTGCCATCAAAGGCGCCCGCACGACCGTCATGACCGATTATCCCGATCCCGATCTCGTCGATAACATGCGCTACAATGCGACGTCCTCTGCGTCCATGATCCCCGCGGGCTCGAAGTTGCACGTCGACGGATACAAATGGGGGGCCTCAGTCGAGCCGCTCCAGGCATGCCTTCCGGCTGGAGAGACGAGATTCGACGTCCTGATCATGGCGGACGTGGTGTATAGTTACCGCGAACACCCCAATCTGATCAAGACGATGCAGATGACGTTGAAGAAGTCGCCGGAGGCGGTCGCGTTGGTGATTTTCACGCCGTACGAGCCGTGGCTGTTGCCGAGGACGGAGACGTTCTTTCCCTTGGCCGAGAACAGCGGGTTTAAGGTGACCAAGATGTTCGAGAAGTTGATGGATAATGTTCTGTTTGAAAATGATCCCGGGGTAGGTTGACTCCGTTCGCTAGTGTCGAGCATGTCGCTAACTGGTACAGGATGAGAAACTTCGTCGGACTGTTTTCGGATACGAGATTAGATGGACTGAGGAGGAGTTGAAATAAAAGTTCATTGATAGATTGGTTGGCGTTGTTGGATGCTAGAGTTTTATAGCCACGACCTGAACGAATGTACAGAGTATAGATGGTGGTAATCTACCATCACACCTACTACACACAAAATTATACCCAATAGAAACAAAATCGAGAATCTCAATTACTGGTCCTAATCTTCCGCCACAATAAGCCTTAATTGCCCTCCTAACGCCCATCTGTCAAGCCAAAACCCGGCATCAAAAAAGTCACATGTGCCCCGCACCCCGCCCTTAAAAATTTCCCTATCGCAAAAGCCCCTCACAACCACAACTCCAACATCAAACCACACCATGCCGGTACGTCCTCTCCTGTCCATTTCCTACTATTAACTAAACTAACGCCCTCCAACCAGCTCATAATCCTAACCGGCTTCCCCTGCTCGGGCCTCACCCACCGCGCCCAGCAACTCGCCTCCGCGCTCGAATCCACACAATCCACCCTCTTCAAATCAGGCACCATCCCCGCCTCCAAGCCGCGATACAAGATCAACGTCGTCTCGACGCACGATGCATCCCACCCGCGAACCGTCTACGACCATGCGCGCACGGAAAAGGAGGCCCGCGGCGTGGCGTATACGCGTGCGAAACGACTCCTCGGCAAAGATAGCTTCGTCATCCTAGACGGCATGAATTATATCAAGGGATATCGGTACCAGCTGTGGTGTGAGGCTAAGGCGCTAGGGACGACATGTTGTGTGGTATGTGATCGCTTGTCTTGTCTTGTCTTGATTGTGACGGTGGTGATTCCGAATGATGAGCAACGCGCTGACGGTTTGATTCGATAGGTACATGTCGGTACACCGGTTGACCAGTGCGTCGCGAACAACGAGGCGCGCATCCGTCGTCAAGAAGCCCAGACCCAGACCCAGAGCGAGAGCGAGAGCAAGACCGACACGAACGAGACCGAGTCCGCCAACCCAGAATCCACTACCACCACCACCACCGACCCAACAGAACCCTACCCCCCGGAACTCCTCAACAACCTGATCTTCCGGTACGAAGAACCCAGCACGCACAGCCGCTGGGACAAGCCCCTATTCACCGTCCCCTGGGACGACGCCGAGCCCCCGATCGCCGACATCTGGAGCGCCCTAACCGGCATCCCGCACCCCTCTGCCACCGAAGCCCCGACCGAGCCATCCGCCCTAGCCTCCACGTTCGCATCCACACACATCTCATCCGGCGCCAGCGTCGCGGGGTCCCTCGCCACGACGACCACCCGCGCCGGAGGCCTCGGACGCCCACGCGTCAAAGTCCGCCCCCACCAAGCAACCGTGCAGCCCGTATCCATGGACTCGTCTGCCCTCTACGACATGGAGAAGCGCACGTCGGCAATCGTCTCCGCGATCCGAAGCTTCACGCTGTCGACGCCGTCCGCGGAGGCGGCGCTCGCGCAGGGCGACAACGCGCGAGGCATCAGCATCGCCGTCCCGGAGGCGTCGACGCCCGTGTTCATCCCCGCGCATGTCGCGACCACCGGCACGACGGACGAGCTGGCCGGCGCGGGCGGCATCCTTGCGTTGCCGCGGCTGCAGAGGCTGCGGAGGCAGTGGATCTCGCTGAACCGGGCGTATATCGCGGGCGGGCATGCGGCGAATACGGCGATGTCCGGGGGGTTGGTGTCGGGGCAGGTGGGGGATGCGTTTGTGAGGTTTTTGAATGCGGAGTTTGGGGTGGGAGAGGAATAGGTTCTTTCTTACTTGCCTGTTCTCGTTTCTGGATGGAATAGGTGCATTTGCATTGTTTGGTTCATTTGGTTTTGCTTAAGCGAGAGAAAAGTTACATGCGGATAGCCTGCATCTGCGTACTGATTTATAGAGATTTGCCTGCGTTGGTCGATCAAATGGTCAACTAACTAGCAGGTAGTCAATACACTTACGAATCATGAGATCTCAATTCTCAAGCACATTAGCTAAGACATTCAACTACAAGTCTACTCGAAATAGAAGATCAAAGTTGAGAATAAAGATCAAAAACTTTTAAAGTATATACCACAGGCATAACCATCCAAGTCACAAGTCCCTAAACCCGTAAACAACGAAATAAATAAAAGATGTTAAAAAATGTCCATGATCCAAGATATTTTCCAAAGAAAGACTATATCCAAAACCGAAATAAAACCCAACCGTCAAAATAGACTGGAAGATAATATGCACAAAGTAAGTCAAAAGGAACCCCAAAATAAGCAGCAGCCGCAGATCAACCGGCCGCGTCTGTACAGGAAAAATAACCAAAACAAACAGGATATCAACATGAAATGAACCAAGCCAAACCAAACCAAGTCCAAAGCCAAAGTGAAAAAAAACCCCAATATCCTCTAAATAGTACCCAAGAGTCCCAAATCCCAACCCATATGCACGAGTGTCCTGTTCCCATCCGTTTTTCGTCTGTTTTTTGAGTGTCGTCTTTTTTGTGTCTCGGACCACGAGTGTTCTTGGACTGCGAAAGCAGGTCCGTGGAAAGTGGTCTTGTTGAAGATCTGATGAGACATGACGAGAAAGAAATACAGAAATCCCACCAAAATACAAAAAGTGTTTTATACAAAAAAGGGGTTGTGGCAAGAATGACAAAGCAACCTTTTAACATGAGAATGAAAAGGGAAAAAACAAAAAGAAAAGTTAAAAAAGCCGTGCCTTGCAGCTTCAGGTTTGGATAAACCGCTGCTCCTCACAAGCCTCAACAAACAAGAGCTTAGCTCCGGGTCTGTTGGGAATCACGATGATCTGCAATGGTCCATGCATTGCCTCGTTCGGATTCAGGTAGTCCGCGGAGGGATGATGGTCGCGAAGACACATCATAATTGTTTGTGATGGGTGTTCCTGGCATACCCTGGAAGAATCAAACATCCCTGGGAAATTAAAAAGAAAATCCAGTGGTGGCCCTGAAAAAGTAGCACGGACTGTTTCCGTGACACCTTCCACACATCATCAAAAAGGGGGTAGGAGAATCTCATGTCTGGGATCATGAAATTCTGTTTAAAAGGTCATCCGAGCTGTCGGCAGTCTGGAAGGATTTCAAAACCGGGTCTAGCTGGCATGTCATTCAAGCCGGGAGACCGTGAGTCATCTGAGCAGCGGCCTGGCTGGCTTCAATGTGGCGGTAGTTCAGGCCCAGAGTGATCAACTCCTGAAGGCTGGCATTGACCTTCTCGTGCATGGAAGAATCCTGGGGGATGATGTTGCTCAGTTCTTCAAGCAGGCGAGAGCGGCAGTTGTAATAGTTGCGCTCCGCGTTCTGCAGTCTCTGGCCGTGGTGGGCAGAGGTCTGCTGAACAGCCTTCAGGGGGTTGGACTGGGACTGGGTGGAGCGAGTCCGCTTCATCGTTTGGGCGCCAGAGACACCGGCAACTCTTCTCTTGCGGCCAGCGGCTTCCTTCTTCTTGGAGGCTTGTCCGGTGGTAGGGGAAGCATCTGGGGAGCTGGGGCGCTCCGAAGAGGCGTAGTCGTGGACACGTCTCATGTGGTCAAAGAGGTTCCATCGGCGGGGAAATCCATATCCGGGAACGGATCGGTCACATCCCTCAAACAGGCAAAGATGAGGGTTATCGCCATGGCCGTGGAATCCGTGGGCCTCACGCTCGTGACGGAAAAGGCATGCATTGGAAGAAAACTGCAATTGGGCATCCATGCAGGCAGGGACCTTGCAGCGGTAGGGCTTCAGGTGAGAGTCCAGGTATTTGCTAGTTATCAATGTTAGTTTGAGAACACGTCAGAGGACTGAATTGGGTACAACATACTGGTAAGCGCATTTCTGGGTAGTCGGGGGGTGGTTGCAGGGCTTGTCTCCAATGGCATATGGGCAGTAGTATTTTCCATCACTGTGGGTCGGAAGGGAGTAGTAGTAGTGATCCCGGGGATTCCGCAATTCGGCTCCGTCCTTGGATCTTTGGCGAAGGGGCTCCTTGACGGGAAGAGGTGGGAAGAATTCGGCATCCTGCTTCACCTGGGGCTGAGATGGAGGAGTTTGCAAAGCCGGCCTACGCGCACTCTTGGAAGGTCGAATAGTCCTGTTGAGCATCGTGTCAGTTTCAGTTGGCGAAACGAAACCGGACAAGGTGTAAAGGACTGACCTGTTGGGGTCTTGTTCATTCAGAGGCGGGGTAAGGGGGAAGAGCGGGTCTCCGAGGTTGATTCCCTGGCTGCCAACGGGGGTTGCGGTGACATCCTTGAGCATGGTATCGTCATGGGACATGAAAGAGGGGTATCCAGTGTGGGAGCAGGAAGAAGTAACAGAGACATCATTGCTTGCTTCCGTCAAGGGAGGAGAAACGGGGACTGGGTGAAACATGTTCGAAGTGAAGTGGTCCATGGATGATCCGGGGTAGTTTCTGGTATCTGCCACAAGGGAGTTCCATGCATCATCGGTGTGGGAGCTGTGGCTAACGGAGTGGGCATCGTCGGAAGTGCAGGACTGGGAACTGTTTTGAGTTCCAACATCATTGTCAAATGCACTGAAATCCACTAGCGAGGAGTAGTGGGTGTTGAAATCCTGGGCATGTGTGAAATCCAATTCACTCTGGTCTCCCATATCCTGGAGACCCGGGAACTCGGGCCCAGGGTGATACATTACATCACTTGGTCCGACGGTGGAAGGCATGAGTTGCTGAGACAACGAGAAAGACAACATCTGGACTTCCGGGGATTCTGGCTTGACTGAGGACATGACACCACCGTCAAGTCCATCGACATCATTCACGGACCACGACTTGAGTCCGGGGGTTCCATGGCTCTGGTGTGTGCTTGAACACAAGGAGAAGTTATCCTGGCTCGAAAGTTCATCATCCGGGATCACTCTGGGGGCCATGTTTGAGATTCCTTGGACTAATTGGTTATGCCTGGACTGAGACATCTGATCCATGTTCTGAAGAGCGGACTGAGACAAAGAAACTTCTGGGTCGTTCTTGATCTTTGGGGACATTATAGTCTGAATCCAGCGAGGCTGGAAGAAAAGAGAAAATGCACTAGAAGATTTACAAGTCAGTATGCAAACGTTTTCCCGAGGTCATGTCATCATAATAAAACAAAGAAAGCAATGCGTCAAAAAATGCAGAATCCTGCAACTCTGTTAGCTAAACGGCAACGCCTCACGAGCAAAGGAATGTACCAACCACAAGTGGTGTCCAAGAAAGGTAAGGCATAAGGTCGTATATCCAGGGCAAAAAGCAAATTCGAGGTCCAGTGGTCTAGAAGGGAAAACGGCCAGAAGAGATTTGGGGAGCAATACTAGCGAGATCAGGTCCACAACGCTTAGCTTGAAGCTACACGCCGCCAGGAAATCCGTCAAGGCCTCGGATACCAGTTGGTATCTCTCATCCAGGTGTTTAGTCCCGAAGACTACAATTGGTGCCAAGGTGCGAAGGGTCATATGGTCAGGTCAAATGAGTTTCATTTCGTTGGTCCAGGATCGTGTCGAATATCACAGTGGTTAAGTTCATCATCATCATTTGCAGTGTCCAGGGTATCAAAAGCATTGGTTCTCCAGAGTGGGATCAAAAAAAGACATCCTATTGGTTTCCAGTCCGGCATGGTTCTATGGGTTCCAGGTATTCTCAAAGGCCAATATCCAACTTGCACTCCAGGTTTGGAGGAAGTAAAGGGAGTAGCAGGGTTCCAGATGAAGGTGGTCCAAAGTATTTCGATGAGTGTGCATCATTAAACAACACTCAGAAGTGTCCAAGTCACACAGCGGTTGCTGTGGACGGCTAATGTCCAGGGATATTCATGCAATGAAGCCGTCGAGAGACGGCAAATCCTTAGGCAAAAAGATCAAAAAAATCCGGGGTGTCCAGGGTTCCATGGTGTATTAAATCGGTTGAGGTCGGCAAAATTCATCCAGGCACAGTCGGTTGTCGAGACGCAGAACGCAGAAGGAAACATGCAAGACAAAAGGCATAAAGCAAAGAAAGGCATAAAGCAAAGAAAGGCAAGGGAACTACCTGTGATCTATCGATATTCGGAAAGTCGAATAAAGAAAAAAGAAAACAGCAAGGCAAATCCTATCCAGGATATGGACTGAGTTCCAATGGGCAGTAAGGTCTTTTTTTGAAGCCAAGGAGTATGAGTTCTTTCCAAGATCCACGGGGTTGGACACGGAGAGAAGATAAAGAGAAAAGACGAAGAAGCCTTTAGTAGTAAGTGGAAGACGGCAAGTAGTAGCAAACAGGGTAGTGGTCAAGTGGAGCAGCAGATTTGACTGTGACAAATCTAGCAACAAGTGGAGTAGAAGGAGGCAAAGTAGAAGGATGATGGAAGGAAATGGAAGCAGGGTGGAGGCAGATCTGGGTATCTTGATGACGGAGGATGGGTTCTGTTTCGGATTGAGAAGGTGAGATGAGTTGAAGAGATCGAGAGGGACGAGATCCAGAGGGGAAAGGGCGGCCTTTTAGAGTCTTTCGCAGCGGGCGGCGGGAGATGAGGCGTGGGGGGCCAGGCCGACCGAGGAGCGTCCAAGCGTGTGCCGGGCGTGCATTTTGCTGCAGCCGGGATTGGCGTCTAGCACGATGATTTGATCCTGCAAGACATGGCGGTGATGGTGGTGCGACCGGAGGTGGTGTTGTTTGCGTCTCTCGGCCAATAAACCCCAATGGATACCCGTCTGCTGGCCCTGACGTGGCAGCGAGTGGATGTATCACTCGCAAACACATGTAGCGGTGAGGCGCCCCCCACTTGATTTGCGGTGTTTATTGGCTGCATCGTCCCGAGCGCGGGCTGCAGGCTTGCATCACCAGCAGGCCCAGATGATGCAAACCCGCAGCCCCCTCGACCATTGAGAGTCCCCGTTGATCCGCCCGATCAATCAGCGCCCGTTAGTTCGCTCTGCCCCGCTTCCCTCGTGAAGGCCTCCCCTTTGGCGCCCTCCCATCCTTTGGCTCCCAGCGCAACACGTCAATTCTCCTACGTCTCGGGGAACATGTCTCCTCACCCCCTTCTGCATGCAAGCGTCGGATGGACGAGAGTTTGATACTTCATCCATGCGTCTCATGCTGTCCAGCGACGCATCGCGAGAGGGGAAATGCGCAAAAGTACGCTGGACAACGCGGCGCCGGGTTTCAGGAGGAAAAGGGGGTGCATATATCTACACATGGGCGCGAATGGTTCGTGTCTTACTGGGTGGATATCGGAAGATCCAGCACGGGAAGCCCAAGTTGGGTAGCAATGCATTTTGGCAGTCTCCATCGAACGTCTCGGGATTTTCTCGAGGGGCTTGGAGTTTAATCGGGAGGCTAGGGTATTTGGATTTTGCTTTTCATTTCCTTTCATTTCTGTTCGCATTATTGTTTTTTGGTTCCAATCTAAAATTTCCCTGTTTTTCTTTTTCCTTTTCAGGAATTTCTCCGAATTTGCCGACCTACTACTTGATGCACATGTCAGCGATATGAGTTCCGGATGATCAATCAATCCAAGACAAATGACAAGTACACGAGAAGGCAGGTGATATATCAGACAAAGGTGAAAGATGGTATACAGTTGTCGTTCAACGATCCGAAGACCTCAGGTGAACTATGCTTATTGGTATTGTGTTCATCATTGAGATGCCAAGACCCGTGGGCTGTCGAGAAAAGAAAAAACCGAAAATCAAAAATAGACTTACCCTGATTATTAAGGAGCAAACACCGGTTTCAGCCTTCTGCCAATCGTAATTTGGTTCTGCCTGCATCAAGGCAAGATCCAACTAAATCCCGGTCATTGGCCACGATGAGTGGCCGGCGGCAACTCCGGGATGGCAGGCTGTGTCAGGGGAGTCGAGTGTTGCTGGGAAAGAAAAGGAGAACGGAGTTTTGGCCAGTGCGAAAGGCTTTTGTGCAAGCGAGACTCACGTGATGCGTTTGCATTGTTTGCATTCTCGGGCCGCAGTCGTTGAACCGCAGCCATTAGTCACCTTAGCTTGGGCCACCCTCCGGCCCGAGCCGTACTCGACCAAGGTCGATTGAGCCCTACACAGTATGTGGCTGACATGACAGCATCGTTGATGGGTTCGACTTTGAAGTCGGAAACGCAGGTATATGCGAATTCACCTTCTGTTCTCGCTGCTATCCATGATGACCCTTATGGAAGGTCTATGGCATAATTCACCAATTCTTTTTCAGACATATAGACACCTGGCCAATACATACTCTATGCTGGAGCTATATGTGACTGCGCCATCACTTGTGCAGCAGCAGAGAATTCGAATAAACCCGAGAGAAAACCCGTCAACCTCTTGTACACGACTACTCGACTTCATAATGTCACCTCATATGGACGCTTGCCTGATTGACAAAACTGTCCGATGTCGTCTCATGATCCTCCACATCGGGTAGCCTCTAGAAAACCAACCATTCGGAATTTTGGTGAAATAAAAAAGATTGCGGATATTCTTCTCCAGGATACTTTCACACTTCCATTTCTCTTGTATCACTTATGGAAATCCTCAATCTCAAACCGATAGGACTCCCGTTCTTCAAATAAACATGGCATCGATTCTCGCTTGATGTTGATGGGTAGTCCCAAACAAGTAATAGGCTACGTCCAAGTTTAGACCATCACATGACACTTTCATTGTCTCGAAAATGAACGCCTAAGCTCCTCAGAGATCTATTTATTCTCATCCCCCGAACACATTTCATCAACTTTTCTTCTCCACTTGAACTTGTATCCATGAATTGGACAGGAGGCCGTCTTTATAGACATTCCAACACTAGCCACAATGCAGGTTCTAAGAAACGAAATAAAGATCCTCAAAGATTCCGATCCACCATAACCAAAGACTCGAATTGGATCCCTTTCTCCCAGTTTCCTAGTTCCATAGCTACAGGGACACCGAAAGAAGAGCAAGCGAAAAAGATAGGTGACAGTGACACAGTGAGCGTGCTGTATGAATTAACGCTGAAGTCCCGCTAACCAGGGATCTTAGCTTAGTGCTAGGCCTTCCCATCTGCAACCCGCTCGATACGCAGATACATCTGTCGAACCTTCTCAACAATCGCAGTTCGTCGGCCGTGTGGACCGTGTCAAACACCAGCTGCTAAATACGAAAGATTGGGCCGCAGTCGCAGTTGCAAAGCCACTCGAAGTAGCATTCACACAAATCGAGGAGATCGAAAGATTTGGGAAGCGACGAAAGCTTACAGACGCCGATCGGATAAGACTGGCTGGTGCTGAGAACAATGTTCCTTTGATAGACCGGCCGTTCTGCAAAGGTGGTGGCAGGAATACGCCGTCTGAAATGAGAACGATCAAAAACCTCAACATCACAATTAATGGACGCAGTGTGCCGGTGGAAAACTTGCCAGCACAAGCCAGCAGTCTCCCAACAAATGCTTCTACACAGTCAATGCTTTTAGTCAGTGAAGGGTCAGCATATTCCAGAAATCCCGAAACAGCAAAACCATCTAGTCCCCGAAATGTCGGAGAATACTTTGATCAAGACTCTGTCAATCTCATTCACCCAAAAAAGTCTCCCTCGTGTCCTATGTCTCCCAAAATGCCTGCGGGCACAGGGCCTCAATCTCAGAACGCTAGCCTAGACGTAAAGAAAACATCTCTCGATGAAGGGGACCCAGCCATGAATCAAATACCACTACAGACCACCCAAAAGGACAACTCCACTCATGATATTCAAATAGCATTCAACAGAAGACGCTTCACGATCGATGACCAGATCGATCAAATGATTGTTGAGAACGAGAGGAGGCTAAATGCTACCAAGAGAGTGGCCGGGTTGACCCATGGACCAAGTCAGGGATCGCAAAAGAAGCTCTATCATGAATCTGTACTCTCGCCAAGAACACTGGAGACATTGGAGTGCTACTCCCACAGGCCTGAGTATTATCTAGAACAGAATCGATCACCCTCCGGTGAACCAGCACATTATATACGAGATTTGCCCAAACCAGCTCATCGAAAGAAAACACTCAAGTCATATGAGACTACTATCACCTTCTCATCTGATATATCAAATGTTTACAAATCACCGACGAAAATATTCGGACAGCCCGTTGTGCTTGATGATAACGGCAATATCGGTCCAAAACGATCTATGTGGAATCTAGACTCTAAAGCTTGTACTCCGAACAGATCAGCCAGAAATGCTAATGCAGCAGAGGGAGGTTTTGCTCTACTCAAATATCCCAACATAACTACTCCTATCAACTTATCACAAGATCCGGAGGTCCAACCCCAAATTTTCGCCCGAACACAAAGTCCAAGCCACGGAAAGGACGAAGCCTTAGCCGGTAATCCCATGGCCATGATTCCTTTCCCAGCGGCTCTATTAGAAGGATATGTCCGAAACGAACAACGTACTTCTAGGCAGGGCGATAAAGAAGCCGATTTTCTTGTACCATCAGTATGCTATCGGGACAATCTGCCTACTATAAACAGATTGCAAGCTAACACTACATCGTCGCCTGATCCGCTCTCGTTTCAATTCTAATTATATCTTCCTCGCTTGAGATATTTGGCTTTGGCTTCTTTTTTTCGGATGTTGTTTGAATCTGTGATCAGATCCCATGAAAGATGTGTGTATACGGCGGTCTGCCGGCTGCGAGTGGCATTGTAAAATCGATTTATATGTTAAATGACATGAGTGACATCATCAAAATCATCGACGAAGACTGGGATTGGCAATAGCTGTCTCGAGCTCGAGCAAAACCCTGAATGAACCCGAACGCGGGCGCAAGATGTATTTGTTCTAGATATAGTACTAAATTTGCAATTTTAAGCTGACCTGACGACTTTAATTGGAAGACTTCTCTGAGGTATCACATTCAATAATCTAATTTAGAATCAGAAGTAATCTTCAGACATCTGGGTCACAAGATGCAGTGCCTGACAGCGACCATTCAACCCCTTTACTACCCCAGAGACCACTATCTTATCGCCGAGCCGGAGCACAACACATCAGCCCCGTAACAACCGCCCGGCGATCACATGCCCGGACAACGTGACTGCGCCCAGCTCTCTCCATAAACAGTAGTCCCCATCCCCATCACAACATCCCATCATCACCTCATCCAGCAATCCAACTTCCCTTTCTATCCCCATACATCCAAGACCTCAACATCCCAATGCGTCACCTCCTCCCCGCCCTCACCCTCCTCCCCATCCTCACCTCCTCCCTCCCAACCACCCGCGAGCTCGCCCCCCTCCCACTCGTCATCTGGCACGGGCTGGGCGATGACTTCCAACGCGACGGGATGCGCTCCGTCGCCGCGCTCGCCGACGCCACAAACCCCGGAACCTACGTACACCTGATCCACCTGGCCTCCAGCGGCGCCGGCGACCGCCAAGCCAGCTTCCTCGGCGACGTGAACGCCCAAGTCGACCAGGTCTGCGCGCAGCTGCACGCCGACAACATCCTGCGCACAGCACCGGGGATCAACGCACTGGGGTTCTCGCAGGGGGGCCAGTTCCTGCGCGCGTACATCGAACGCTGCAACGACCCGCCCGTCCACAACCTCGTCACGCTGGGCAGCCAGCACAACGGGATCGCGGAGTTCCAGGCCTGCGGGGCCAGCGACTACCTGTGTCGAGGCGGCGAGGCGCTCCTGCGGTGGGGCCGGTGGTCGAAGTTCGTGCAAGAGCGACTCGTCCCTGCGCAGTACTTCCGCGACCCTACAGAGCTGGAGGCATATCTGGAGCATAGCAATTTCCTAGCGGATGTGAACAACGAGCGAGGGGTCAAGAATGCAACGTATAAGGAGAATCTGGCGCGGGTGAATCGCTTCGCGATGTACCTGTTCGAGGAGGACCAGATGGTGCATCCGAAGGAGAGCGCGTGGTTTGCGGAGGTGAATGCGACGTCTGGCGAGGTGACGCCGTTGCGGGAGCGGGAGATCTACAAGCAGGATTGGCTGGGGCTGAGGGAGTTGGATGAGAAGGGGGCGTTGGAGTTCAAGACGGTCCCTGGGCCGCATATGCATTTGTCGGAGGAGGTGTTGACGAAGTTGTTTACGGAGTACTTTGCGCCGGTGGAGGTTGATGTTATCGCGAGCGAGAGGGAGGGTCTGTGGGTTCAGGCTAAGGATGTTACGAACCCGCTGGTTCAGCAGGTTGGGTACTAGTAGCGAGGCTCTGCGCTCTATGATCTTAATGTAGGTATATTTTAAACGGAATGGCACCCCATGCTGGATAGTATATAGTTAAGCTGTGGATTACTTGTGCTACTAGATACATGTAGTCATCGCCATTGAGAAACAAGAGAAACTATTTGAACAATGGTAGAATTTGCAAACATATAAAATAGAAACGACACTCGGGCGAAGGGCCGAAGAAACAATGAAAAAAGCACAGCTTGAGAAACAACAATGTGTACGCAGTACAGCTCTATCAACAAACCCGACAGAAAAAAAGACCCGTTAAGTTGCAAAGGATGGTGATAGGTTCTAAACATAGGAAATTCGGTGCGATATTATAGCACAGGGAATGGAAAGCCGAAAGACTGAAATCAACACAAATCAACAGAATAAAGGGATATGTGCACAAGTAGCAATAAATGATAATAAGAAAGGTCATCGGGCATTACCGAGGGGAAAGAAGAGGAATAGAAACGAAGGAGAGAAAAGTCACGTATATATGACAGTGGAAGTTAGTATGGAGGACGTCCGATTCCTCCGGTGGCACTGCGTCGACCAGTTCGCGACCTGCCCACGACTTTCCTGCTTTCAGCATCCATTGGGGACAAGAAGCCACCAAGCAGCTTTTGCACATCATTCCTGGTGGGATCTGTGTCTTCGTGGCCATTGGTCTTGGGGTGTTCATCATCATCGGCTGCAGCCGCGAGGCCAGTGCTAGATCGGCTTTTGTGTCTGCTGAGAGATCTGCCAGCTGTGGCATTTGCCTGCGCCTTCGCGCTTGCGCTGGACTTCCTGCGGGGCCGTCCGGGAGCAGTTGATGGCCGCTCGGCCGATGCCAGAGAACGCTGGGACTCATTGGGGAAACCACCAGGAATAGAAAGGGAGGGTGGAATTGGAGGAACCGGAGGAATGACATCGGGGCCATTTTCGCCAGAATGGAAGGAATATTGCGAACCGTACGTTAACGCCGAGGCCTTGGGGGTTTCGATGCCGTCGCTTTCTAAACCCGAATGTCCGTTCTTGATAGACTGAGGTCTCAGTGAGGATCCCTCACCGTCAATTTCGGACAGGGAATATCCACTGACCATGCTCTCACTGCTTGAAGAAACAACACTGCTATTGGCGGTATCCAAGCGGCCACGTAGCGGACTAAGTCTCCGTTTCCCTTCGTTGTTGACCGAAAGAACCCGTCTGAGCTCGTTCACGTGAACCGGAGAGTCGCGATTAGAGTCGTTAAGCTGGGAGCCTGACGAATTGGGTGCACTGGTCCGTCGGACGTTTGGCAGACCTGCTGCGCCGCCCGAAACACCATGATGAGCGGATGCCGGAGAAACGGTGGATGGAGAGCTGTCACCATGACCATTGTGGTAAATATGACTGCGCATCGCCATGGTCCCCGATTTGGAGCCGCTGAGCGACAGTGCTTCAGCTTTATCTTTCTCAGCGGCTGCCAGACAGGTTTCTCTTGACCATGCCGACAGCATCTGCTCCTTGACGGTCGATGGCAGAAGGCTGCCCTTCGGGGTACCTCCAGCAGACGAAACCTGTGCCAGGATAGGGGTAGTGAAGCTCCGTCCAGGAGAAGTGGGCGGACTATGAGTTGTCGATAGAATAAACCCGTTATAGGCCTCCTCGAGGCGGTTGACAAGCTCCTCAATGCCATAACCGAAAGGAGTAAGTTCTTTGATCTGCTCCATGCCGAAATTCGCGGACTGAGATGTCCGGTCCTGAAGTATGTCGTTGAGACTGGCTGCCGGAAGACGTATCTGCTCCACCCAAATACCATATTTCTGCCTCTTGACAATTTCATTCATGATCTCGCCTCCGACGTGACAATTCTCCAGGTCGAATTTCTCAGTCAGTGCCCACAGATACCCAAAAACTAAGCTGGCGATGTTGACTTGGGCGATGCCGGAGCTCACACTATCGACAGTGGTCAGGTCATCTTGGAGTTTCAGGACCATCGGAAGTCCATATCTCGCAGCATTCACGCCAAGTTTATCAACAAGGCTAACCAGAAGGAGGTGAAGAAGCATGATTTCGGATTTCTCCTGGGGAAATTGGAGGGCAATATCGTAGATCGTCAAATGAAGCAAACGAAGGAAGTTCGACTGTGCCATTATTAGAGCTCTCTCTCGTTGGGCCGTGTTAGAGCTGACAGTGCGTTTTCCGGGCTTCTCGGCAATGTCAGTCAACTCGCGCTTCGGAGATTGACTGTGCTTTCCAGGCTTCTCCTTAACTTTGAGGTCATCCTGGTTCGTTTCCATTCGCAACCAAGCCAGGAACGCATCGACGTAGGCATAGCGAACGGTCTTGTTTGGCTCACGCAGCAGCCACTGAGTACCTTCCCATACGTAACTGCCCACACGGTGTCTGGATTCTACACCGGCTGCTTCCGCGGGCTTCTTGGAGTTTGCGACTAGAAGAACGTTTTTGATGGCTTTGAGGGCGGTGACCTTTGCGCTGGGCGAAAAGAACACTATATGCTTCTTTTCACCAGAGCCTGGAGAGCTAGCACTTGGTCCAAAGCCATCGAGCTGAGTCGGGAATGCTGAGTTTTCGGTTTGCTCATTGGAGCTAGAAGGACGCAGACGAGTGAGAATAGCTCTTATCATGTCGACAACCTGATCACCATAGTATATGTGGGTCGTAAGATCGCCGATGCAATTCTGGAGCAAAGAGAGAAGCTCCTGTTTCTTGGCCGACGGCTCACCCATGGTATCGGAATGGCCGTTCTGTTTCTCAGAAGCTTCCTCAGTCGTTTTCTCGGCGCGCGATGGCGACACCAGGAAGGACATGTATTGCATCAGACCCAGCAAAATGTCGATGACGCTGAGTCCAATCATGTTCACTGGAGATTTCAACAGCCGGTCGATCATGTACATGATAGTGAAAGGGCCATTTAGAGAGTCTTCAGTCGGCTTGAGCTCCAGCAGGAGTTCCATAGCGGCGGCCAAAATAATGAAGCGGACTTGAACAGGGCACCATTTGGCGACAAGCTCAATCAAAGACGTTTCCCAGGTATCCTTGGTGTTCAGTGACATTGCCCGGTTGTCGGTCTTCCCTTTGCGCAGAATGAAATCCAACACAATTTTAGTTGTGACTCGGATTTGACCACGACCGCTTCCAGTGACGATTATGCGTTCCAGACAGCTAAGAGCAAGCAGTCTCACGTCCATCTCCGCTTGTCTGTCCATATCCGCCGTGGTCCGGGCCGCCAGTGTCGGGTCTCCATCCACGGCGTCGACGTTTTCCACAGTTGCGGTGCTGACTCGGCGTGGGCGCGTCATGAGGTCAGCTTCCGCTTTCTCTGACTCGAGAAGCTTCCTTTCCAAAGTCAGGAGCAGGTCATCCTCTCCATTGTAGAGGTTCTGCAGAATGACCGGGAGTATGATGTTCAATGAGTCTCCGCCATCTGCCGCCAGTCCTGCCTCGGAGCTGATCACGCCTTTAATCGCCCGTAGTCCAGCATTTCTCCATCGGATCGCTAACTGAGGGCTCGAGGCATCTCGCGCCTGGGACGACGCCTCGATATCCGCAAAACTCGCGTACGTGCGCACAACTTCTCGGTACTGGTTCGCGAAGTCCTGTTCCGCAGACAAAGCGGCCATGTCCTGGTGGGAGCAGAACATCTCAAAAGTCGAAATGGAATCCTCAACCATCGTTATATCACGGGAACGTAGGACCGTTTCGATCACCGTCATGACCGATCGTGCGTAGATGGGCAAATCGCGGGGTACTTTCTCGATGAGCGCGCTGAGGATTTGAAGCGTAACCTGTACATTTCTGCAAAGCATATCGAGTCAGCTACCGGATCCAATACAACCCCGATCGGCTTGAACTTGAACTCAACAGTATTTCCCAGTGTCTTCTACTCACCCAATCTTACGGCGCCACACATCCCGAGCGGCCCGTTTCTCAAGAAAAGCGCCGACTTTGGTCAGCTTGCTTCGGCGCGTGCTGGCATAATAGAGAAGGTACGAGAGTTCGCTCGAATTCGGTTTGACATATTGTACCCCTTTCTGATACTGTGGGTAGCACTTGAGAATCAAGACCTGGTGTTTCGGCCGGCATTTTTGGCGTACACCTTCCATTGGCTCAGCAGTAGCCGGAGAAGGCTCCAAGTGTCCGTAACGCGGGAAAGATCGAAGGAGATTCGATAGTGATATCCAGAGCAAGTCAGGCAGTAAGAGACTGTGAATAAATTCAGTAGAGCCAGATCATGGGCTTAACTCCGGAGCATGGAATGCGATCTGATGTCACCGCGCCGTATCCGGCCAGAGTGGAGGGTGAAGGGAGAAGAAGCGAAAGAGAGTGAAAGGAAAGAAAGAAAGAATCGCCAGGTCAGTCGGTCAGGATTACCACCGAGAGCGGGGTTCAATCCATCGGAATCACGGTTTGCCAGCTGTACACGGTGGATAGACTGCACAAGGAATGAACGGAGGCTGGATAAGGGAGGTGTGCATTGGAGGTTCCAGCGAAGTCTCCCGTCGGGAAAATCAGCCTGTCCGCCCCGTCAAACTTGGCGATCAACACGACACGAAATCTCGGTCGGCAGAGCGACGTTATTGTTCTTATTAGGATCGCTGCTACTGGTGCTATTCCTGTCGTTGGATTTATTGAACCATATTGATTTCAATTCTTAACATCATTTATGCCCTACAGAAGTGCAGGAAGGACAAGAACAAGAAAAAACACGTCAATCCCAACCACCGAAAACGTCATCGTCGAGAAGCGACTAAAGTCTGTCTGTCCAATACACTACCCAGGAACGAGAGCACTTGCATGAACACCGATCGCCAAACATCCCCCCAGCTTTGTCTCTCGCAAGGGGCTGTGTTCATCTCCTTAGTCTCTCATGTGGCACACTCCCATTCATCGATCAAGATAGCTCAGTTCCCCGCATTCCGATCAGGCGTTGAGATCAGAAATCATGATGGCCCGAGTCAAAAGGGGGTATGGATATTTCTCGGTAGTCGCGTGGCGTTGGATTGAACTTCCTTATGGTTCCCAACAGCGATAACCGGTACCGTGGACAATCGCTGAAGAAAGAGAACCTCGGTGACACATGACGCCGAATATCGCGAACCAACGGAATCGACGCGTTTAACGTTGCTATCCAGAAAATTGAGCCGAGGAGCCCTATTTCCCTCAAGCGTAGATCCTAAAATTCCGCCCGCAACGATTTCCTTATCTGGTAGGCGCCGGGCAATATTGGACTCCGACGACAGATAAACCGGAGCTGAAGAGGCCCAAGACAACCACCGTCAACCAGACTTGTTTTGAAAGATGTGTCACCTTTAATCATGTCTTCACTGCCTTGTCTCCCACCTGTGCTTGGTTCTCCTGGCTGTCTTGAGCTTGCTCCCCCTCACGTTGTTCTCCAGCCTCCCCGGTCGCGCCCTCCTGGTTGGCATCGAGGCCAACGCCCGCCAAATACTCAATCACTTGCGGTCGGATAATGTCTCGACGGAAAGCATCTTCTTGCAGAAGTCGTAGCGCACGCAGAGTTGCACCCGGATGGGTCAGGAACTGAGCGTACTCCGGGGTTTTCCAGTAGGAGTAGAGGTAGGCAAGGTAGGCTGCGAATGCCTGCGCTTCAGGGTCGACAGTATCATTGTTCAGATCGCTTTCTTCGCTGGTTCTAGAGATGCCCAGGAGATTGGGATAGTTGACTGCAAGATGCGACAGGTAGTATGGGTTCGCGAGGGAGGAGACAAATTCGAGCTCTAGGGTGAATCGAGGATTCGTCAGGGTCGGAGGAGGTTGCTGGGGCTGCTCGGACGGTGGCTGTGGGTTCATGTTGAAAAGATATGAAGCTTTGGATTAAGATGCGGTTGGGGCAGGAAATATTTTGAAGAAAATGTAAGTCTGCGACCGATATGCGCCTATGTTTGGGGAGAACAAAGCTCAAGCGACCGCGGAGCTAAGAGTTGGAGGTTGCCAAGAAGCGATGCCATATCCAGACATCCATACAACGAATGACCCACCGTATCTCCACCCGTCTTCTACTACACGTCCAGCCATCTGTGATATATAGTATGCTCGATATGGAGCTTTCCAATATGACTATTCACTAAATCCATTCAGGATTAAACGCTCACGTGTAGCAGTCATATGCACCGCCATATCTTATAATTCATCAAAGTCATATGCTAGACGAGAGAAACCGCCACCAAAACAAATCGCACAGTTTATTTCCCTCGGAGGTAGAGAAATGCCTTTCAAAAGCCTGAATTCTGGTCAACAATATGCTGGCTTGGACAAGCGTAAGTTGAGTATTTTTGTACAGCCAGTGATATTAAATTTGCGCTTTCTCTTTGGTTGTAAATTCCGGTGCCTTGTGTATATCTCGCCGACCTCGAGGGTACTGGACACTGGCTTCAGATATCTTAACAAGAGTAACATGGCTTAGCGAGAAAGGTATCACACGAAGAACTAGCTCTATGCACTGATCCTTATTTAAAAATGCTCTCATTTTTAGAACAACCCCGTCAACCATATCAGGAGCACTGTGTATAGTAACCAGAAACCCATGAAACCAGAATATACTCAAAATAATCTAGCCATCTTAAAACAGAAGAAAATTTGTTAGGATCTCTTGAGTGTCAGCGCCAAATAATATCTCAAAGTCCCATGCCATGAAATGCAAAATTCCAATGGCAAGGATTTTCAGAGAAGGATTGTGTGACCAAGATGGTATTTCACCAAAGAGAATCAGTATAGGTAAACAAAGTTAGTGAAGAACCCGGACTTGTTCAAAGACATGGGCTCTCCGACATTTATTTTCAGAGCTTGTGACACCGATGACTTGGTGCGACCATTCTGAGGCCTATGCTGTTCAATAAAATCCTCCACGCTGACAAGAAGAGCGTCAAGGGTGCTGACTGAGGGATCGTGGATAGCAGTAAGACTTTTCTTTCGAACAAAGAAGGATAGTTCACCAGGAACTGTCCTCCCCCTTCATCGAAATTTTATCGATGTTGTACATAAAGTCAATGTTGATGTGCAATGAATGGGGTCGGGAACAGTATTGGCTCCCAGTCTTTAAAAATAGTGTCCTGATTTGTTGCTAAGTAGAATATACTCCTGAAGAAGTTCTATGTCCTCCTCGGTGGTAAAACAAGCCGTACCACTGTCCTGTACAGGTGTTAGTACAAGCGCCCCCGGCAAGTTGTATAGCAAAGCACGACAACTTGGTCGCCAATATTGGGGTCTATAACTTTCTCAACCACAAACTCATGGCTACCGATATAGTTTGGAGGACAATTGAGGTGACTACGTTCGAAATGGAGATCTAGCCCTAATTTGGATCGGTGTGGGTCCTTGTTGGGGTAGAAAAGGCAAGATACGGACGTACGGAGAGACAAAAAGGGACAAGACTTACACAAAGTGCAGTGGTGGAGACTTTCAGAATAACATCGGTGGGGAGTTGAACTCGGGAAATGGATGGTATTTATCCTGTATCGTTCCAACATTGTCAATAATATGCATGTGTAACGGATGAATGAAGTAAATATTAGTAGCAAGCAATGGTGAAAAGTCTAGTAGAGGTTAAGTTCATATAGGAGGTCATGTACACGATTTCATGATTGCTGTAAACTGGTATCTAATTGCTGACATTGATGAGAATGCTCTTCACAGTGAGGTACTCATCGATGCCTCCACGCCCTCCTTCGCGGCCATATCCAGACTGCTTAACTCCTCCAAAAGGACTCTCACACGCACTTAGCATGCCTAAATTGATGCCCACCATGCCTACTTCGAGACTTTCAGCAACCCGCCACATCCGTGGGGTTGATTCAGTCATGACGAAGCTCCCCAGGCCGACATCGCAGTCATTCGCCTTTTCCAAGACCTCTTCTTCGGTATCAAATGGATATAGAGCAACTACAGGTGCAAAGGTCTCCTCCTGTGTGGTCAAAGACTCCATGGACATGCCGCTCAGCACAGTTGGCTGGAAGAAATACCCATCAAGATCTCCAGGCCGGAATGGACCTCCGCCGAGCTCAACAGATGCACCGCGACTCGTTGCATCTGGAATACCGGGGAAATAAGTAAGTGTCTGTTTGAGAGGCGTTCCTGGGTAAACTCACCCTTTATATGTTCCATCGCCTTTCCAACGGCTCGCTCATGAGTAAGAGGACCAATGAATACATCCTTTTCCATTCCATCCCCGACCTTTAACGTCTTGATTTTGGCGATCAGCGCTTGCATAAATTCCTGGTAGATGCCCCTTTGAACGAAGATACGGTTCGCCGTGACGCACGTCTGGCCAGAATTCCGGAACTTGGCAAGCAGACAAGCTTCAACGGCCGTTTCAACCTTCGCATCGTCAAAAACAATGAACGGACTATTCCCACCAAGCTCGAGAGAAAGCTTCGTGAGGTTTGTGCTGCACTGCCTCGCAAGCAATTGGCCCACGCGCGTGGATCCCGTAAAACTGAGCTTGCGCACAAACTTAGACGTGCAGAGCGCCTCTCCTACTTCTCCCACTTTATTCAAGGTCGTGACAACATTGATCGAGCCAACAGGGAAGCCGGATTCCTTCGCAAGCACAACCTGGGCCAACGCACTCAGGGGCGTCTCGCCAGCCGGTTTCCAGACCGTCGTGCACCCAGCAGCCAATGCTGCACCAACCTTGCGGGTGATCATCGCGATGGGAAAGTTCCACGGCGCAAGACAAGCCGCTACACCGATCGGTTCCTTGATGGTTAAAATGCGCTGGTTGCGATTCGCAGACGGAACCACTTCCCCGTGAGTTCGCTCGGCTTCCCCTGCAAACCACTCGAGAAACGAAGCAGCATACAGCACCTCTCCTTTGGCCTCCGCGAAGGGCTTCCCGTTTTCCATCGTCAGGATCAGTGCCAAGTCATCCACATGTTCGTGGCAAAGGGCGTTCCACTGACGCAGACACCGAGCCCGCTCTCGTGCCGAGGTCTTTTTATACGACTTGAATGCTTCGTGGGCCGCTGCGACGGCTTTGGCCGTATCGGCGGCGCCCATCTCCGGCACCGTGGCGAGAGTCTCCAGGGATGCCGGATTGCGCACTTCGAATGTGGCGCCATCTTGAGCGTCTACCCATGACCCTGCGATAAAGCCCTTTGTTTGGAAAAGGTCTTTGCGCTTCAGGTTTCTCGGAATAGTCGACATGGCTTAGCTGGGTTGGCTTTGGCGGTAGTTGCGGATAAAGCGGGTGTGTCGAGATTCTAAAAGTTGGGGTAGAAATCGCCCAACCACGCGAGATAACGGCAGCGTTTGAGCGAGAGAATGGGCGACGCTTCATGGCGATTGTGCGGATCGAGGCCTTTATATTGATGTGGAGAGCCCGTAAGTAGCCGAAGATAAGATGAGTCGGCTTTCTGAATCCTGTGTTCGTACCGAGGGACGAGTTGGAGGATCATCTTCATCTTTATCTTTGGTATGGCTCCATTCTCCAAGTGATCATCCCCGCAAAGTCCTCAAAAGCTTGAGAGAGCGGGGTAGGAATGCGCACAAAGCGAGCTGCCAATGAGAGTCACTGCAATGGCGTCATGGTTCTGACGTGTAAACTGTACAGACAACACAGCTGAACTCAAACTGAAGATAAATAATCTATCTCGCATTTCTGGTGTTCAATTCCCCATGCCTCTTTCGTACGTATACTTTTCCAACCATGCCCACCATCCAAAACCAACTTCAGCAAGGCGCCGTCCCTGGCGCCATATCCAATGTTGCTCCTCCCGGAACTAAATTCCATGTACTAGAATGCGGCTGGATGGAGTGTGACGAAGGCTTGGTCACTCGGGGCGGCAACATCAGCTTGAAAAGCACCGAGGGCCAATCATTCGTCAACAAGCGAAGAGAACTGCCCATCTACTGCATCTTGATCGACCATCCGCACGAAGGCCTAATCCTCTGGGAAACGGGTGCTGGCAAGGACTATCCCACAGTATGGGGCCCAGCGGCGTCTGATATCTTCGCTCGCGTGAACTACGAGCCGCGCCACGAGCTTCGTGCGGCCGTGGAAGCCACTGGGAACCGGATCGAGGATATCAAGAAAATCATCATCGGCCACCTTCACCTCGACCATGCGGGCGGGCTAGACGAATTCCTAGAAACAACAGATACCGAGATTTGGGTTCACGAGCGGGAGCTGAATTCCGCCTTCTGGTCCGTTGCCACTGGCGCGGACGTCGGTGTCTACTTGCCGCACTATCTCAAGCTATCTATGTAATGGTTGATTGAATTTGCTTTTGAAGTCAGTCGTACTAATATAGTTCTAGGAACTGGAAGACCTTCAATGACCAGACCATGGACTTCTGTCAGGGGATAACCCTGCACCATCTCCCCGGGCACACTGACGGCTTGGTGGGCATGCAGATTAACATGCCGGAGACGGGCACGTTTTTCTTCATCAGTGACCATTGCCATGTGAAAGAGAATGTGAAGTTTCCACCACACCTCAATATTAACGAGGACTGCATTAACTGACATCATTCATAGTGGGTCGATGGAATTCCCCAGGGCTGGCTCGCTCGAGACCACCCATCTTGGTTCAGAAGTACCCAGAGACTCAAGCAGCTGGAGCGCATAACAAAGGGACAGATCATTCCTGGCCATGATAAGGAGACATTTTTGGATCTTCAAAAGCAAGCCAAGGTATTCACTTAGAATATACGGGGCTTGACTGAATTGGCATAGAGGGGATAAGAAGTATCCCAGAGATTGAGTTCAGAAAGAACTCATGTCCTAGATAAGTCCTATACAATTTGAGTTGTCTGCATGATAACAACATTTCAAATGTTCATACTTTAAATATACAGAGCCAACATCATTACTTGAGGATAATCCTACAACATCCTTAACATGAATACTCCACTAGCTTCCCTCCACCTTGCTCGATCTCACTGCTCCTTCACCTTCCGCTCCAGCACATTCAACCCGATCATCCTCTATATGAATTGATAACAAAGACCAATAATATAATTCATTCAGGTATATAGTTCATGAAAACCAAAACCAAACTGTCAATTTTACATCCATTGTATTTCCGCCGTCAAGCGACTACAACCCGCTCACCAAACAACCCAAGACTCTCGCTATTCCCATTCGCGTCTTAAAACCCTTCATCCATATAAGTCAAAGCGAAAGCCTACTCCGTGCCCTGATTCTCGCGCCATAGATGTAGAATAATATCGGCATCGGGATAAGCAGTGCGGCAACACATCCTAGGACCGTACAGGCCCATTCGACACCGAGACCATCGAACTATATCATTAGTAAGTCCATCTCAAAAGTGAAGTCTCAGGACAGGAAAACGCACCATATACGTCGCAAAGAGAGGAAAGACTGCACCCGCCAGGGACCGAAGGAACGTGTGTGCTGCAATAGCCGACGCAGCCCTAACAAGATCGACCCGTCACTACTATATTCTACCAAAACCTCTCTCAGGAATGAACTCACCTCTTTCGCCTCGCCTCAGTCACGTAACCAATTGACGGCAAAAACATCGCCAGGAGCCCGAACCCCGTCAGCAGGCCAGAGGCAGTAGGTGCGAACCAATGGATATCACTACGATAGCCCGTCCAGCCGAGCCAGAACAGGCCCGCCGAGAAAATAACAGAGCCCGGCATGGCCATCGGCAGCAGCCACTCCGGCACCAATTCCCCTCCATTCGCTCTAATCTGGCGACCGAGTTTCGGCGAGCCCAGAAAGAACGCGACGCCCGCAAGGAGCTGGCCCACGATGACGCCGATAAAAGGGAGGCCGCCGACGCCGGGGTTCATGCCGTGAATTTTCTGGAAGATGATCGGGTAGGCTGCGAGGAAGAGGTAAAGGAGGCCGTAGACGAAGGCGCCGAAGATGCACATGCAGAGCATGATCGGGTCGAGAGCGAGCATTTTCAACGGTAGAGCGAAGTAGTTGTGCAGGATTTCGTGGTAGTTGATGTCGATTTCATCGTGCTCTGCGTGGATCGACCAGTCTTTTGTCTCGCGGCGGAGACGGGCGGCTTTCTGGGAGAGGAGGACGGGCACGTAGGACTCGTTGTAGAAAAGGAGAAGTGAGATGAGCGAGGCAGCCCCGAGCATTCCGGCAATGTACTGCGTCCATCGCCAGCTGAGGTTCTCGTTCATTATGATGAATCCGCCGATATTAGGGGCGAGGAGCGGGCCTACGAAAACCATGAGACTGAAACCTACCATGCCGGCGCCGCGAATCTGGGGCGAGAGGATGTCGCTATAGACGGCGCCGGAGAGTGTCAAAGGGCCAGCGCCACAGAAGCCCGTAAAGAACCGACAGATGAAGATCGATTGCACGTCCTTGGATACGGCTGTGGCGAAAGCAAAAATGGTGAATCCGAACATGGCCAGCAGGTAGGGAGTCCGACGGCCTTTGACTTCAGAAAAGGGCGCCCAGATGATGGGGCCTGCCGCAAAGCCCAGGACATACAGCGAGACTCCGAGGAAGCCGACTTCGCGGGAGATTCCATAGATTTTCATCAGGGGATATATTGCTGTAGCGAATATACTGCTGGTGAAGGCAGCTACCATAGTTGCTAGACCAAGGAGAACAGTAGTGTACAATCTATGATGGGGTCAAGCACTGGTCAGCTCCGATCAATGATTATCACCGAAATCATCGTGAGGTTTACTTCTTCTTCACAGGCCAGTTCTGCGGATCAAGAGGATCGGCATTTCCATCGAGACGAACAATGTTTGAGTAGGATTTGGAAAGGTCGCCGTTGGTTGAGCTAAACGCCGATTCATGTTGTTTAGGCACAGCTTCGTCGACTAGTATTGTCAACATTGTTAACCACGAAGGAAAACAACGCAAGTGTAGATCTCACCTTCAGTCGACGGGAATTGGAAACTCGAACTATCCTTAGCATCTCCCATCGTTCGAGAGGATATGTATAGAACCTTTTAACCGAGATCCCTGTCACAAAACCAGTCTTACACCTCGACCACATGCGACCTTATATACGAAGACAGAAATCATGTTTCCGAAGGCGCAGAATCATCCATGGCTCGACGGTTCTGAGACCGGGGATACCATGTCGTGTCATACTGCCTACCAGCCTGATTCTCGGCAGCGAGACGGAGAGGATCACTAATACGTTCGCATTGAGGCATTCGACACGGGAAGTTAAATCACTGTTCCTTCCCACCCTGGTACTCTTCCCGGTGAATTGCCGATTAGTGATTATCGGGATGATATCGAGACTTTGTCGACATGTGCGAAATGCGTGATCGCCGAGGCTTTTGGCAGGTTTTTATAATATAGTGCTCTTCTTCATCCATTCGAACAGGAAATGGAATGAATACACCAAATGCAGCCGGGAATGAAACCACCTCTACTCAATCTATGGTACTTGATAAAGTTACGTCGTAGGGCTGGATCCGTCGTTTCACTTCACCCCACAACAACCAACTCTTTCCCTTTCAAGATCACGACAGGTCCTATCGAAAACCGCGTAGGAGTCTGGAAGCAATATATAACCCAATAAGAAGCGCGAGCTTCTTGGCTAGCGCTCTCAAGCCTCCATACCTAAGTATAGCTTCCCACTAGGCAATAATAGAATCCGATATGTCAGGCCGCATGTCCATGCATGCACGTGTAGCAGCATTTATTGGGTGAACTATACCTGCGGCATTATCTAGTTTGTGGGCTATCTTGGCGCTTTGGTCCTGGTAGGGCTGGAAGTTTAATTGTTGTTCTTTGATTCTGTTCGATATGTAGCGTGGAGCATTCCACAAAGGATGAAGGAGCATTCTGCGAATTGCGATTATGATGATACCCATTACAATTAAGGGACTCAATGCCTTATGCAGTAGAAAAATGGAATTCTCATTTAATATTATATTTGACATATGACAGATATGATCGAGAAATTTAGCTACTCAAAGTCTACATTGAAATGCTGGGTATGATCAAGACCAGGGGTCCGATATAACTGCTGCCTAATGATAAGTTAGATGTCAGACCAACGAGCTATGGAGTACTCCATAGACATTTCCTTGTGGTTCGATCTCTCAACGTTAGTAAACCATTAGTGGCAACGAGCTGAGGCAAGAGCAACCTCCAAACCAACCATGTTCCGGAATCACTTCCGGCATGATGCAAGTCCGATAAGGATTCCCGGCTCGCTACGAAAACCGCCAGAGCACCAAGCCAGATACAGGCACCAAATCTCCGAAGACCAGCCTATCTGCGCGCGCAATCCACGGACGTGCCCATTGCTGTACACGGGGGCCACCACGTGCCCTTGGCGTGGCGGACATCGCCAAGGCGCCCAGGCTTGGCGAGGCACCAGGGACAGGGATCCAAGCTTCGCAGCGAACGGCTAGCCTCCGCACGTGTATCCTGACCGGGCATCCTATTTGCCCATGCCGGAGCTGATTCACTGCGCGGTGGTTGCGGTGGTGGTATGCGCCAAGGAACGCGGGACATGGGGAGAGTTGCATTGCGCGGTGTCCAAGATAGCACTTTTTCTTTTTGGGTGACGCAGATGAGAGGGGAAGTTGTCTTTCCGATCATCTCATTTCCTAGTCTTGGCTGTCGCCGCGAGCTAGAGATCATAAAAGGGCGTCGTTCGCACCGTGTTTGGCACTGATCTTCCACAGCTGCAGACCCCGGTTTCTTACCTACCTAGGTATCTCAATCGGTCTTCCCCATCAGAGCTCTGTCAACATGAGGTCTTTCGCGATCTCGGGTTTGGCGCTGTTCGCCTCGTACGCTGCTGCTCAAACCCATCAGCGTCTGGGTGGTTGCCCTTCGCTGGGATGTGTCTTCCCTCCTGACCAGTGAGTTCCGTCAGTTTGTTTGCTAGCCGAGATGGATCTGGGCAAATTTGAAATGAGGCTAACGGTTCAATGTCGCCGATAGGGCCGACTTCCTTCCCGGACAGCGCTTCGATATCCGTCTGGAGGTTCACTCGCCCGTCAACGGCTCCGAAGCCCGCAAGGGTGAGCCCGATCCCAACTTCAAGTTCACCATTGCGAAGAAGGGTGAGAAGGCCGTTCCAGTGGATGAGTACTTCGACATCGATGAGGCGAAGCTTGAGAGATGGAATTTCACCTGGTACGAGGGTAAGTCACAAGAAACCTTGACGAATTGGTACAATTCAGCCGGCGCTAATTTGGATAGACCTCTTCGCTGAGGACGCCGGCAAGGCCTCTCTCGTCAATGTGACCTCCAAGGCCTACAGAAGAGTTGCTTTGTATGAACCTGGCGAGTACGAGGCCACTCTGACGTACTATGGCAAGGAGAAGACTGTCGCGAACTGGTTGGTTCGTGATGTCCCCAAGAAGCGTCGTGCGAAGAACGTCGTTCTCTTCGTGGGAGACGGAATGACCACCAACATGATCACTGCAGCCCGTTTGATCGCTCACAAAAGCATCAACGGCAAGTACATGACCAAGATGGCGCTGGACAAGTTCCCAGTGCTGGGCCACCAAATGACCCACTCGATGGACTCGTTCATCACCGACTCTGCCAACTCGGCAACGGCCTTGTACTCTGGCCACAAAACCACTGTCAACGCCTTGAACGTTTATGTGGACTCTTCCGAAGACCCTTTTGATGACCCCAAGTTCGAAATCATCACTGAGATCTTCCGTCGTCGACACCCCGATGCTGGTGTTGGCATCGTCTCGACTGCCTTCCTTGCCGACGCCACCCCGGCCGCTCTGTCGGCTCACACCAGCGACCGTGGAGAGTACGAACACGTCATCAGCTCCTTCTATGAGGGTCTGACTGACTTCGACTGGAAAGAGTGGAACGGCCCCGACGTCCTCTTCGGTGCGGGTGCCGAGGCTTTCCTGAAGAGCGAAGACGCCGCTCGTGACTACTATAACCTGTTCGCCGAGAAGGGATACAGCGTCAGTTGGAACAACACTGCACTGCACTCTGCTCCCAACGACACCCGGGCACTGGGCGTTTTCTCGACCAACAACCTGGCCACCTGGCTGGACCGCAATGTCTACCAGTCCAACCTTCAAAACCAGAGCAACTACCCCGACGGGTCTGGTCGCGATGCCGAGGATCTCCCCGGCCTCAAAGACATGACCCTCAAGGCGATCGACGTCCTGAATGAGCGTCATTCGGATGACGGCTGGTTCCTCATGTCCGAGGCTGCCAGCATCGACAAGCAAATGCATACCCTTGACTACGATCGGTCCCTCGGTGAACTTCTGGAGCTGGACGACACCGTCAAGGCTACCATTCAGAAGCTCGAAGCCCTGGGCGAGCTCGAGGACACTCTGATCGTCGTGACCGCCGATCATGGGCACGGGTTCGACGTCACGGGCGCCGTCGACACCAAGTACATGAACGCACAGGAGGACGACCGAGCGAAGCGCAGAGCCATCGGGTACTACGAGAACTCGGGTCTTTCGCAATACACGGTGGGCGGACCCAACGCGCTCCGGTACTCGGAGGGGGTCCATTTCCCGGCACGGTGGGATCCGCGCTACACCTTGCATTCGGGAGTGGTCGCGTTCCCCGATCACCGGGAGAACTACGAGGTGCACAAGGACGGACCCCGGCTCCCCGCCGTTGAGCATCCCGGAAGCAAGGGCAACTTCGCCAACTATAAGGACGCGGTGACCGGATACCTGGTCAACGGCACGCTACCCGTGGACGCGAACCAAGGGGTGCACTCGCTGACCGACGTGCCCGTGTTTGCGCAGGGCCCATGCCAAGAATTGTTTGGAGGCGTGTACAACTCCATTGACATTTTCTTCAACATGGCCGAGTGCTTGGGTCTGGCCGAAACCAAGCGTGGGAAGAAGGGACATAGGAACTGATCCTCTTCTTGCTCGGTTCGAGTCGAATGTTTTCTTTTCTTTTCTTTCTCTTTCGAATTCTTGCATTATCAGGGGGGTTGGGAGCGTGATGAGAAAAAAACCTGCAGTGTATTATTAGTAGTTTGAATGGATGACGATGAATCCGACCGAACCTGTTTCCTTTCTTTCTTTCTTTCTTTCCTTTCTTCTCTCCTCGCTTGCTCAAGTCGACCCCGTTCCCTGCTCTCCGGAATGTCAGGGGTGATGTCACCGGCCCTGATAAGCGATCCAAATCACCAGCCCCGGCAAGCAAGGACATCGCAGGCTCGCTCCAAAAAAGCAGGTAACTGTCATGCAGCGAGCGATAGAGGGGCATCAGCCTATCCACATTCCAAAGCCAAGCCACGCAGCACCCACCGGCGTCGAATCTATCGAGGTACGTAAGCAAGGACCGAGGGGTTGGTTTGGGTCTCCAATTGCCAAGAAGGGACCAGACGGAGTAATCCTAAGGGGAGGGGAGGACGATCGACGGGGTTGGGATTGACATTGAGGAAAGAGATAGGGGCGTGTCGATCAGGGCGGTCGCCATGGATTCGGAACTCTTCCCAGTCAGTCGAATGAAGATGGTGTGTTAGCAGCTCGGTTGACATTCCTGGCGGTGGGAAGACAAGACAAAAAAAAAGAAAAAAGAAAAATCAAATCTACGGACCGGTCAGGAATGCGCAGCTGACGTCGTTGGGGCGCTTTGTTTTTTTTTAACCCATCGTGCTCTGGACATTTTCCGGGGAGGCAGGTCGGGCGTGTGGCTTTAAATAGCACTGGCAGCATTTGAGTACCGTGGGGATTGGCGTGGAGGGATCGGGGGTACCTTGGAGATTTGGACGCAGTTGGACTGCTCACTTCTCCCAGGGGAATCCAGCGGAACATACTCCGTGCTGTGCTATTTACTCCGTACGTGTCCAGGATGCTGGCTGTCGATTCTGCACAACATCCGGGGTAACCGTCGCAGGGACCGGGCGAGGTGGAGTTGGTCGGCCTGTCATTCATCTCGATTGGTGTCGACCGTGCCTAGGGTGCTTCCTGCATGTGCCCTACGGTTCTGTGCCGAATCCTGGGATAATAGGATGAGAGGATACTAGTCAACCGAGTATGCTGTGTTGAGGTCTACGATTTAGGAATTGCCAGATCAGGATCGATATACTATAATACTACGTACACTCGAGGAGGCCCGGCGTGGATGCACGTCGATCGCAAGGAGTCTAAAATCCCGACGGCGAAATGCTCCGTATCGCAACTGTCGCCGTACGCAACCACGTTAGATTCGGTTGTTACCACGGCGCAGGTTGAGAATAACAATTACGCAGTAGAGAAGAATAATAAAAGAATAATAATAAAAGCGGCGAGTGGTTAATGTAACTCTTCTGCAGCTTAGTCCGATGGGGTCTAATATTCGGGGGTTTATTACCAACTGCCCCTTTCTTTCTCGTTCTCCCAGTGGATTTCCGATCCTCCTGATTATCAATTAATTCGCTTTATCTTCCGCTTTCTTCCTCTCACATCCTCTCGCTGCTCTCGTCGAGATCTGGGAGTCCATCTGCATCGCACAAATACTCCGGAGTTTGATTATTGACCAGCATCCCTCTCCATCTGATTATTTGCCATCCTGCCCATCTCCACTCCCTCCTAATTAAACGGTGCAATCAGACGAACCGACACGCAGGCCACCCACTTCTTTCCTTCTCTTCCCTCCCCCCCTTTTACCCCCCGACGATCCTTTCTCTCTCTTGCCTCCAAGGGGCCGCTTTCTTTTCCGCTTTCCTTCTCTTTCCTGTCAATCAATCCGTCATTCTTTCTCCCTCTCGCTTTCTCCCTCCCCTCCCTCGTCTGCATTTCTTTCTTCGCTTTGTCTCCCGCGGCTGGCTCTTAGTCTTTTGTGTCGCATCTCCTCCAGGATCAAAAGATTAACTCGAAACAAAGTCGCCTCAGACACCTACAAGGGCCAACCAACGGCTTCCCGACCGTCCTGCATACTCCATCTACAAGCTCCTGCAATTCCACCCCTCCAATCGTCACTCCCCTGACCGGTTTCCGCGCCATCGCTGTTTCAGCGGTAGCCTAGGCCCTCGTTGCTAAGGACTTTCGCGCTGGCCCTTGGATCCTTGTGCTCCTATTCTGCCTGCGCCCCGGTTTTATGCTCTTCTTCTAACTCCCAATCATCGCCCTCCTTCTCGTCCTCTTCCCTGCCGCATTGCGTGGACTCCCATGATGGCTGCTTCGCAACGTCCTCCAGTTCTATCATATCCTTACCCACCCGGCGTGTCGCTGGGCCCGCCAGGTGCGTCACCGTCCCTTATCACGTCGCTCGAGGCGTTTGCTCATCTCGTGCGCGTTTCACGTCTGGCGGGGCCTTCTCCCCTTGGTTTGAGCACGATGCTCTTATCATCGTGTATTTGAGGCCGTGCTTCGCCAGTCCCCCCTCCCAATCAATCTTTTTTCTTCTCTAGATTATCTCTAACATCTGGCCTGTCACACCTTACAGCGTCGCCGCAATTGCCGGTCAATTTGGGCTCCAATAATCCGTTTCGCAACCGTGCGTTGTCGCCGTCCAGCTCCATCACATCGGGAGGTCGTCCAGAGCGACCGACCTCGACCAATCCTTTCTTGGACGACATCGATCCGTCCTCGCCTCAGTCTGCGCCCGTGGGTAGCATGACCTTTCCGACCGAAAGACAAGACGTCACAGGAAACACTCGCGATCTCTTTGTACGTTGAGCCTCAGATATCCCGCCCTCAACTGCTCGACATGTCTAACCGTGGTGTGATCATTGTTATAGGAAAACCTCTCTTTGGGTTCCGCTCCTCAGCCGACCGGATATCGACCCGCCCCGCCCCCTCCGACCAAACCTCAGGTGAACGGTGCCAGTTCTCGCCCTCCTCCGTCTTCGAGGGAACGTCCCGAGCGCCGTCAAAAGGATCCTTTGGATATCTTTGCCGACCCCCCAAGACCTTCAAAGCCTTCCGGCTCCTCCGGCCCCAGACCGCGCGATCGTGAGAGACGGCCGCGTCGCAACTCGGAATCTTCCATAATGGATCGCGCACCGAAACTCATCGACGTCGATGACGAGAAAAGACGGCGGGAGCGACGACGCCGCGAAAAGGAGAGGAGTGAAAGAAGCGACTCCAAGAAAGACCCCAAATCGCGCTCGAAGAAGCAGAACTACCAGCTTGATATAATCGACAAGCTGGATGTCACGAGCATCTATGGCACCGGAAGTGAGTTTGTCCCAGTACTGGTACATATTTGAAGGACACTACTAACCTAGTTTCCTCTTCAGTGTTCCATCACGACGGGCCGTTCGATGCTTGCAACCCTAACCGCAACCGCAAGGGTCTGCGCACGGCTCCCATGCAGGCTTTCCCGAAGGACTCCACCAACATGGCTTTGGGAGGCGCAGGACCTCTGAACCAGAACATCGATCTGAACCTTTTCCACGGTCGAACTGAGGAGGGGTACAATGATTTCGCTGCGAGTGGTGCCGACCGCAGAACCGAGGGTGTCAGTTTCGACCCCAAATCACGCATCGAGCCGGTTCACGGCGCTCAGACCATGGGCCTGGGAACCAGCACTTTCCTGGACGGAGCTCCTGCCAGTCGGTCCGCGATGCAACGCCGAGCTAGCGAGAATGAAAACCAAGGAGGTATGGGTGGCGGCGGAGGTCTGCAGCGCAAGAAAAGCTTGGCCCAGAGACTGCGCGGAATGAATCGAGCTCCCGAGCCTTCATACACTGCCCCTGCCGCCAACTCGGGAACGATCCGTGCCAACGAGAAGAATCCCTTCTTCCAAGACTATGACGATGCTTGGGACAAGAAAGGCGCCCGAATCGATGAATCACGTGAAATCGGCCGCACTCGTTCGTCCAGCAGCCCGAAACAGAGCCCCGGTCTCGAGCGGTGGCACACCAACGAACGGACGAACAGCGGATTCGATGAACGCCAGAACCAGAACCAGAACAACGGCGGTGGTTTTCTCAATCGCATGAAGAGTTTGAGAAAGCCTCGCCCCGAGAGACGGGTCAGCGATGATTGAATGATCTGATTCTTTGTCGCATTTGTTGTAATTCACAACGCACTCTTTGTTCTGGACAATGGGTTACTGGAGAAGAGAATCAACGGGAGAAAAGCAAAACAACTCTTTACATGTCCTCGCAGGGCGCGAGATCTGAGCCAAAACATGGCAGGGGTGCCTTAATAATCTCCAGGACGACACGCGGAGTATCATACCGTCTGTCTCTTCGGTGGTTGGCCTAGCTGGCTGTTCATTGGCGATGAATAAATGGCTTCGAAGAACGACAGCCACCCACACTGTCTCTTGAGTTCATGAGACTATCCTCTCTTCCCTCTTCTCTTGTTTGCCTTTTGATTCTCTTGACCCTTTTATCTGTTTTCATTTCTCCTACATGCGGGCAGTGCAGGATGCAAAAGGCGGGCGTTATGGTCTTTGTTTTTAAATTCGAGGCTGGGAATCGGGCATGCATGGCTTTACTGTTTCTACTTTAGTCTTTTGAATCCTGAGATATTAAGTCAATTCTCCATCTTACCCTTGATACTCTAATGTAACAATAGTTTAATTCATTACTCCGCAATGGTGCAGCGGTTCCCTGTTCTCTTCCCTGTACGTGCAGCAGTTCGTAGCAGTTGGTCCTTCGGGCTTTCTGGAATTCTCCACAGGTGGATACTATCGAGGTTTCTTTTTCCAACGTTTACTAGGTGGTTCGAATCCTGGATTCCATGAATTCTCATTCTGTCAACGCAACCAAGATCCGATGACATTGTCACGTCACTAGCTAGCTAATGAACTACTCAACATAGTAGATCAGTAAAATAGGTAGCTTATGTAGATATGCCATAGGTGTATTTATTTATTTGCATGTATTATTCCATAGAAAAAAGATGAAGAAAAAACAAGGGTACGATAAGTAACCCACCACAAAAATCATATCCATACGGACGGAGTATATCCAGAGCAAGTCAAAGTCAAAGTCAAAGAAGCCTTAGAAAACACATTCATATTCATCGCGCGCCCGACCCAACCCCGTAGAACCCCTAGACAAATCAAGAAGAATAGCAAAAGAAAAGAGAAATGAAAAGAAATAAGCCCGACAATATATTAACCGAGAATGAAGAACCTCGATTCATCCGTGTTGTGTTGTGCATAACCGCGAAACAAATCATGTCGTGATAATAGGAATAAGCCAGTCCAGCCCTCTCTACTGGAATAAGAGAGGATGGGTGAAGAGCAAATAGAAACGGCTTAGGTCTATTGCGCGTCTACCGCGCTCGAGAGCTCCGCAGGTTGAACGGGTCCGGGGCGGCGATGCCGGCTTTACGGTGGGATTGGGGCTTGGGGCGGGAGAGTGTGTATCTATTTTGGGGCATTCGTTAGAGTCTAGGTTTCATAGAGTGTAGAAGAAGAGGGGAAGGGACGTACTTGGCAAAAGCCCTGGAGAGAGCCTTCTTGCAGCTGACTTTTTGGCTGCCGATGAAGGAGTCGACAGTAACGGCGATGGCGCGGTCGATGTCCTGCGACGAGCAGTATTCCGATAGACGCATCTTGCAGAAAGACTCGGCGATACGCATGATAGCTTCCAGGTGACGGACCTAGTTGATTTATTAGTTTGAGGGGGGCTATGACGGGATGGACAGGGAGTGGACATACAGTGATGGGATAGGCGCCCGTTGCTAGGGACTCACGTCTCATGTCGGCGAAGAGACGGGCGACCTTGTCTTGGTCGATTTGGTAGAGCTTGGGGTGGCAGTGCTCGCGAGCGTAGAGGATGTATTTCCGGAGGAGTTCCTGAGGAATCTCACCCTCTCGCTCCTCGGCTTCCTTGAGCTTGACGTTTGCACGCTCCTGGATTTCCTCCTGTGTCAGGGGAAGACGGTTACCCTTTTCATCAATGCGATAGCCTTCTTCGTCGACCATCTGTCCCTTGGCGTTGAAGAGATTGCCATCCCCATCTCGCGTGGGGCGAGTGGGGTTTGCGCGATGGTGCGATTCCACGACGAAATTGGCCAGACGCTCGTCTTCGGTCGGTTCGACCAAGTCGCGGACGACGCAGAGGATATCGAAACGGGACAGGATGGGCTCGGTAAGTTCGACGTTGGCGGAGAACGGCGCCGTGCTGTTGTATCGGCCACCGATGGGGTTTGCTGCTGCGACAACAGCGCAGCGGGCTTGCAGAGTGGTGACGATACCAGCCTTGGAGATGGAGATAGTCTGCTGTTCCATAGCTTCGTGGATGGAAGTACGGTCCTGGTCGTTCATCTTGTCGAACTCATCAATGAGACAGGTACCGCGGTCCGCCAGCACGAGAGCACCACCTTCAAGGGTCCATTCACTGGTCAAAGGATCACGACGCACACTGGCTGTGAGACCAACGGCACTGGCACCTTGACCGGTGGCGAAGACGGCACGGTGGGCGGTCTTCTCAACGTACTTGAGGACTTGCGATTTAGCGGTACCAGGGTCACCGAGCAAAAGAACGTTGATATCTCCACGAATGTTCATCTTGCCTTGCGCTTGCTTGCTGACACCACCAAAGAGGGACAGGGCAACTGCAGTCTTCACATCCAAATGGCCATAGATACTAGGGGCGATGGATCGGACAATCTTGTCAACAATCTCTGGATCCCTTGACAAGGCCCGGATCTGGCGCTCATCCTCTTCGGTCAAGTGGAAACCAGCCAGCTGGTCATGGGACTTGACAACGTGGTTCGCCTCGATGATGGTTGCAAAGACGGGGAACCCGTTCTTGTTGTTGAGCTGGGCGTCGTAGCTGTTGCGGTAGATACCCGTCACCTCAACTTCGTCTCCGGGTTTGGCCGAGTCGATCAGATCAGCCAGAAGCACGACTTCTCGTTGACGTGGCAGACGGCCGGCGGGAACAGAGCCAGGGGACTCTTGCAAAGTCAGCTTCTGGTAGTTGCGGTAGACGGTCTTCTCCGAGTTGACAGTGAACGGTCCTTTCGATTGACAGTTCTGGCAGTACGAGATCTTGACTTCTTGACTGGCTTCCTGCTGGAATGGACCCAGCGTGATGTTACACTTGCTGCAAGTGAACATGACAAATTTCAGCTGAGGGAAAACACCGGTGCGGCGTGTGACAACTCCAGTGACCCGAATGAGGCAGTTGAGATGCTGCTGACGCAACTGTCGTAGCGTGTACGTGACCGGAAGATCTGTGATACGGACGTGGATCTCGTTATGGATATCGTGGTACTGCGGGTAGTGGAACAAGGTACAGTCAAGAGCGACTTGATCGAAAACCTTGAGCACCTCAGTAGGTTCGTTCGCAAGGAAAAACGAAAGCGCCGCCTTGGCGGTGCTCAGGTGGACATAGGACACCTCAAGAGAGGCAGAGTTGACCTCACCCAGGAGCTTGATCTTGTCTCCGTACACGGAAGCACCGGAGGCATCGATGTATTCGGTCAAGAAAGTCTTGAACTGTGAGTAGATGGAGCGAAGCACTTGGGGCTGGAGGACCCAGTCAGTAACATTAGTGGCCTTGACATCCAACATTTCGGTCAGAGAGAGCTCCTCCATGGTATCACCGCCCATCTCAATATCGCCTTGGTCCTCATCATACTGATGCCTCCGTCGACGAGGTTGGCGAGCGAGATCAAAATCGCCATCTTCATCCGGCAGGAAAGCTGCAGGCAAATTGCGGCGGCGTTCAAGTTCGCGGTCTCTGCGGTTCATGCGAGACTCCAGCTCGCGACGGGCGCCCAGGTCAAGCTCTTCATGATCATCGTCATCATCGATGTACTGTCCTCGGTAGCGGTCGTCTGCGGTGCTCCGATAATCTCTCTCGAAATTATCGTCGAACAGATCAATCCCTCCCTCATCCTCGGCCAGTTCTTCAATATCATCAATGTCGTCCATATCGGCGTCTTCGTCTCGGTCGTCATCATCAAAAGGCATCCTAGGAGGGGAGGAAGCGGGAGCTACAGGGGTCAGTCCAACAACTACCAACGTCGCATCAAAGGCCAATCCACTTACGGCTGGATGGCGGAAGGCTTGAAGCGGCATCATCATCAGGCTCTCTGGATCTCTTCCGTCGATTGAGATTTCCGAGCCCGCGGTTTGCGGCGGAATTGCTCTGACGGAGTGGTGGTGAACTGCACAAAGAGTTAGTGCCAGGACGAAAAGAGAAACAAAAATGAAAACACCTCAAAAAGGCTTTTCAAGCGATCGAGAAATTTGCGCATACCTCATTGTGTGCAGGGTTCAATGTGACTATTTGGGAGGAGAATAGACAGGCCAAACCGATCCCGCGGATGTTGCAGTGTGGGCGTCTTTTTCGTTAGCTGGGAAAAGAGGGAGAGTTCAATCCTTGGCGCCGGGGTGAAGCGCGTGAAATACGCGTCGCGCCGCCGGACGCGTGAGAGTTCAATTAAACCCCGATCGGGAAAGGTGGTTTGCTGCCAGCTTGGATTTGGCTGCGCAAAGGCTTAGATTATTGCTGGAAATCCGTTCAGGACTCGGTTTATCCGGCTCAAAAGGCTTCAAATGTATTCCTCCAAGTTCCTTGTATAAGCGCTCTGCTACTGCTATTCCTCTAGTGAAATGCCTAACTATTCTACAGTGGCGATCTGACATTCCTCATGACCATCACAATTTCAGCGAAAGATCATAGATTCGACGGACTCGAAAATAATCCCTGGACAACCCATTGTAATTCATCATGCCTAGTGTATCCAGCCAGCCTCTCTCTTATTCGGATTCTCCTAGGTTTTCAGCCATAAACAGGCAGCGTCAAACTTAGTTCGCGAATCCAGTGCAAACAGAACAAACACTTAGAGTGTGTCGCGGCGCGTTACCTCGACTCTGCCCGGCGAGCTGAGCGCAACGTTAGTCTGACGTCGCTGGGGGTTTTGTTCACTGACCAGGCCTCTATTGCATATTGTCTTCATTGACAACTGATATACACACTCCTTTCCTGACAGAACAAGCGAAATGGCAACCAACCCTGATTCCGTCGACCCTCCCACCAATACCACACAGTTGTTAAACGGACAAGATGCCGGCCAAAGGCGCGAGAGCTTCAGTTCGCAAAATTCCCAAACTGCACGAGAGTAAGCACACAATTTACATCCAACGAATAGCGCATATGCAGCGACCTTCCTCGATTCCACGATAGCCATCTAACCCGTGTTGTTTTCAAGATTCCTCGAGAGTCAAATGCGGCTAGAAGCCGATGCCCGCGAGGTCCTCCCTTATGTGAGCATCCACTTGCACTTGCCAATCACTCGCAAGCCCAAGGCTAACAAGGCCAACTCTAAGTCTTTCGATACCTGCACGCAAGCTCTAGGACCCCTACGACAGAGCCTTTTCGCCTGTCTCACCTGCAACCCTCCTCCTTCGGACCCCGACGCACCTCACACTGCCGCAGGCGTCTGCTACGCCTGCTCTATCTCATGCCACGGCGAACACACCCTTGTCGAGCTATTCAACAAACGGAACTTTGTCTGTGACTGCGGTACCACGCGTGTTCCTTCGACCTCTCCCTGCACTTTGCGCGAAGACCCCCAGTCCGGCAAGAAGGGCGTGCACTCGGAAACGCCGCACCCGGATAACAAATACAACCACAACTTCGAGAACAAGTTCTGCGGATGTGGCGAAGACTACGATGCGAACAAAGAGCGCGGCACGATGTTCCAGTGCCTCGGGCTCGGGAGCGCGGAGACTGGCGGGTGTGGTGAGGACTGGTGGCATCCGGAGTGTCTAATCGGGCTGCCTCGGAACTGGTATGAGGAATTTAAGAAGGAGGCAAATGGGGATAAGCAGGCGGACGAGGACGAGGAGGATGAGATCCCGCTGCCTCCGGGATTTCCGTTGGAGGATGACTTCGAAACGTTCATTTGTTTCAAGTGCGTTGAGTCGAATCAATGGTTGAAGAGCTATGCCGGAACAGCTGGGTTCTTGCCTCCTGTCTCCAAGGAGGGCGGTCTCCCCAAAGTTACGACAGATGTTAAGCCAGCCCCAGAGACGTCGGTCGCATCCGCGAATCAGGAGGAACAATCCGCCAACTCGAAGAAGCGCAAAGCAGAAGACGACGATGCTGAAAACGAGCCCGTGTCGAAGCGCACAAAAGAGGATGACATCCAGGAAACACCTACAGAAACCAAGGCCGAACCAAAAGAAGAACAAAAGCCAGACTCAGAAACGACACAATCCGAACCCGCGAAGGATAAGCACAAGCACAAGCACGACTCCCTGCCCTCGTCCACCCCATCCGGCACCTTCTCCCTATTCCTCAAAGAAGACTTCCGCGACCATTTCTGCCGCTGCCCCGAATGCTACCCCAACCTCTCCCACCACCCTCAACTCCGAGAAGAGGAAGAGACCTACGAGCCTCCTCTCTCCGAGATAGGCGACGACGCCAACGGCGGAGGTAGCACCGGCACTGGCAGCATTTACGACCGTGGCGAAGCCGCTCTCAACAATATGGACCGCGTGAGGGCCATCGAGGGCGCTATGGTGTATAACCACCTGCGAGACAAGGTGAAGGAGTTCTTGAAGCCGTTCGCGGAGTCAGGAACTGCAGTCGGCGCAGACGATATCAAATCTTATTTCGAGAAGCTTCGTGGAGATGAGCAGCCAATGCGGGATGCGGCTGGACAGGCTTCTAGGTCCAAAGGGGACGATGATAATGATAACGATGGAAACAGGCAGGAGCAAAGTGGTACGTATCGGGTCTGCTATTTCTTCCCTTATATCTCAATCTAACGTTGGGCCAGGCTATTGATTGTTTCTGTACACTGGGTATGGTTTTTGGATTTAAGGGAACACGATTGGGATGGAATCTACTTTATCCTAGGCGCATATGGTGGGGATTAGGATATGGACTCTGACATGAGATAATCTAAATTGACCTTATAAATGTCATACTTCTTGTTTTACTCAATTAAAAATCTAATTTGATGTCTTGATCGCATACTGCACATTTACTCCAAAAGAGTATTTATAATAGACAGGAAGAAATAACATTCCAGATCCGAGTTAGATTGAAAACGCCGTGGGCTCCATGCCAAAGAAAATGCTAAGCTGTATCAACACCTATACATATATACTTGTCGGGAATATCAGAAAAGATGAGCGCGTAACTCGAAATCCACTCCGCTACTCTTTAAGCCGTTTCGCAGCTCTCCCCATCAAACTATCATCCGGTAGCCCGCTCCGCTTCGTACCAGGTAGACTACCCGTTCGAATATCATTGTCATCCTGTGTAACCCGCCGATGAGGATATTTACCTTCGAAACCCTCGAAGCAATTGGCCGGTATCGGGCCACCGTTCCTGAAGAACGGATGTTCGAGGGCCTCGCGGGCTGTGATTCTCTTAGTGGGATCATACTCCAACAGACGCGAGAGAAGGTCAAATCCATCCGCGCCCGGAGTTCCAGCATTCGAGGCGGACGAGTAGCCGCCATTCTTCAAGCAGTTCTGGTACCAGTTCTCTAAGTTCGACGAGCGAGGCAGGTGGCTCGGGGCGCGGGACATTGCGAGAGACTGCAGCTGGGAGTATTCAGGCATGGAGACGATGCCCGGCCAGGCGTCTTTGGTGGGCAAGCCCATGATTTCGATGATCTTCATCATCTGGTTCCGCTGGAAAGGGACGGTCTTTTTGCTGTCCATTTTGGCTTCTTCGCCCTTGAAGATGGGTCGGAGAGAGAGCAGCTCGGCAAAGATGCATCCGACGGCCCATAAATCGACGGCTGGCGTGTAATGTCGGCTGCCCATGAGCAGTTCGGGGGCGCGGTACCAAATAGTCACGACGACTTTGTCGCCGGAGAAAAGAGAATTGAGGGGTTTGTAAAAGAGACGTGCAAGACCGAGATCTCCGACGCGAATGGCCCCCTTGGACGTAACCAGGATATTCGCTGGTTTCAGGTCTCGATGCAGGACCCAATTCGTGTGAAGGTAAAGTAAACCATTGAGTAGTTGGAACAGGATCGACCTGACCATTGGCGCTGGAATAGCATGCCGTTGAGGCTGGGTGTGGTGATGGATAATTTGAAGCAGATCATGCTCCGTGTATTCGAAGACCATGAAAATGCACTTGTCTTCTAAAATGATTTCTTCTAGCTGTACCACATTGGGATGGTCCAGCTCGGAGCACAGGGACATCTCCCGGATCGCTGATTGAGAGAGGCCCGTGTACTGGATAATTTCACCCTCTTTATCCGGTTTGAACCTGTGAGTGGTCAGCCATCGGAAGCCAATTAGATAGTGTGAGAATCCATGTCGACCAACTTTTTAATTGCAAATTCGCCTTTCTGGCCATTTTTGCCAACGGCCTTGTAAACACGGCCATAGGTGCCGCTACTGATAAATCCCACAATGTGATATTTATCGCGCACACGGACTTTACTGGTATAGCCAGTTCCAGTCGGTTTTCTCGGATCTATGTTGTCTTCAAGTCCGCAAAAACGTTAGCCACCGGATCCATCATCATTGCTCTGAACATGCTTATGGGGTTAAAAAGGATCTGACATAACAATGGGGGAAATGAAGAGACAAAAAAAGAAAAAAGAGCCGAAGGAAGATAGAACGAATAGGACAACCATTCGGGCCAATGACCAACGGCCAATTCAGAGGGAAAAGCCATTACCACGTGGATAAAACCCGCCGATGGAATTAAAGAACGGGAAATTCCTTCCAAACATGATGAAAGAAAAACAGACAGAAAGGGCCGTCGTGGAACTCGGCGGTCACCGAGGAAGTGTCCTCCAAATTGATTTGAGATAGATTGCAACAAAAGCCCCTTATCCACCAGAACACATGGTGACGGGTCTAGACAAGAAAAAAATAAGTTTAAAATAGGAATCAAAAGAAATTATCAACCATGTGGCAAATAGACAGGAATGGTCAACGAAGAGGTGAATGGGGGGAAATAATATTAATATTAACCGGTATTACCATCGACAGCGGTCTGTAGACTCTTTTTCAAAGACAGACTCTGGCTGACGGTGGCCGCTGCGGGCCTGGACGATGCAGTGAACGGACCGGACGATGGCGGGTTTGTCAGACTCATGGAGAGCGCGGCGAAGGAGGCGAAGAGTGGAGGTGGGCTACTAGTTCCTCTAATATTTATCAATCGGAGAAGAGAGAGCAATCGGGCCCATGGAACCAGCGGTGGTGTGGACTGGACAGTACGGAAAGGCTGTTCTCCACTGGAACAGCGAGCCTGCAGCAGCAGGAAGAATAATCAAATGGCAAGGCAAGGTAACAATGGGGAGGGGATGATTTGAAGAGACAAATGATCATGGCGATGCGACAAACATGAACTTTGGAAGCTGATTGCTGCAACCCCCCATATCGGCGGTTTAGTCAGCAGGTGGCATGACTTGCCGTCGGGATTTGTATGGTGGGATCTGCTGATCGACAATAAGGATCAGGAAGGGACTGGTTTCTAGTAGCCTACAGGCGAGGAGAATCCTTGGGTCTGTCAAGGGATGGGCTTGGGGGCAAGAGCTGGGGTTGGAAGGGGTAAATCTATTCCAGAAAACTCGACTGATTAGGCAATAGGCGTGCGGATGGATCTAGGTACATCCCTACTCCGATGTATACTAACTTCCCGCGAGATATGAGAAAACATATTATAGTAAAATGAATTTTAAGTGATCATGGGCTCATCAATTGTGGCAATGCAACCCTTGATTATGCTCCCAGCCAGTTCTGAGTTAGTGGTGACCACTTGCTGAATGGTCTACAGTCATCTGGAACTTGAAGCTTCGTATATATACATGTACCATCCCGGACGTCAGCATGATGAACAGGAACAAGAAGATCGACAGGCATTCTAGTCGGATTCCTAATGGATAAACTCCAAAGTCAATACTAGAGCCTCAGAAATGCAGAAGATAAATTGCGCATCACAACGAAGAGCAATCAATTTCCTCCCAGCCATCTCACGCTAATATTTTCCGTGTGTACCTGAGGCCACAAGTCCGCTATCGGTCCCCCTTTAGCACCCGGGATTTCTTATTTCCGACTCTCCTCCGCTGCAACGTCATCCATGGATCCTGATGTCCCATGATACAAGTGCTCATGTCTCATGATAGAAGTGCCGCGTCACTGATAGTCCATCAATATAAACGTTCAGTCTGATTTTGACGCTGATGATGCCCGAAATTTCTATTTAAAGCTTACCAAACCATTTAATCTAGATATAATCGAACACAGAGCACCCGATCAGCTACATGATGACCTCTGTTAGTCCAACCCGTTCTCGGGTTACCCCGTACCTGATATACCTGGTGTTCATCACTACGTTAGGTCCGCTGCAGTTCGGATATCACCTGGTATCTCCCCTGAACCCCATGGTACCGTTAAATCCAGTCCTCTGACGAGTGAATTGCAATAGGCCGAGCTCAATGCGCCTCAAGCTGTAGTTACCTGCGAACGAAAGAGCATCCATTCCTCTCCGGCAGCCACATCACACGGCCTACCACAATGTATCCCGATGAACCCGTCTCAGTTCGGCTTTGTATCGTCTATCTACACGCTCGGTGGATTCTTGGGAGCCTTACTGGCAGGGCCCGTCTCAACCAAACATGGCCGTCTGTTAGCTTTGCGGGCGACCACAATTTTCTTCATTCTAGGCCCCATAGCGGAAGCGCTTGCACCTAGCATGTCCCTGCTGGGATTTGGAAGGTTCCTTTCTGGTGTGGGATCGGGGGCTTCCATAGTTGTCGGACCAATCTACATATCGGAGATCGCACCCCCAAGCGCCAAGGGCTTCTTTGGTGCATTCACCCAGATCATGACTAATGTTGGCATCCTCTCGACCCAGTCACTTGGTTATTTTCTGAGTGAAGGAAGCAAGTGGAGGATTATCCTCGCAATCGCAGGCTTCATTGGATCTTTGGAGCTCCTTGGATTGTTCTTGGTCCCAGAGAGTCCTACGTGGCTTGCGGAGCACCAAAAGGTGGACAAGGCCAGACAGGTTCTGCAGAGAATACGCGGCAAATATGCGGACATTGACGAAGAGATTGAAGGATGGAGAAATACGGCGGGCGAATCTGAAACTGGAGAAGAGCAGTCACTGCTGACACCTCCATCCGCCAACATACCTCCGAAGCAACCTCCGGTCACCATCCTGAGTGCTGCGACGAACCATTACTACCGTCCGGCCATTATTGCCGTCGTTGGAGTCATGGTATCCCAGCAGTTCACTGGTATCAACAGTATCATCATGTACAGCGTGTCTCTGTTGCAGAGCATTCTCCCCACCACGGCAGCTCTCCTGACCGTGATCGTTTCGGCGATCAATCTCATCATCACACTCGCTTGTTCGCCGCTGCCCGATAAGATCGGTAGGCGAGCCTGTCTCCTGCTTAGTATCAGTGGGATGGGATCTAGCTCCATGCTTCTCGCCTTGGGTATCTACTCCAACCTGCAAGCTTTATCCGTGATTGCAGTTCTACTGTTTGTTGCTAGTTTTGCCGTGGGTCTGGGACCGGTCCCATTCATCCTGGCCTCTGAGCTGGTTGGTCCTGAAGCGGTCGGGGCTGCACAGAGCTGGGCACTGGCAGCCAACTGGATCGCAACGTTTATTGTGGCCCAATTTTTCCCGATGCTGAACGATGCCTTGGGAGGCCGCGGTAAGATCTACTTGATCTTTGCCGTGATGGCCTTGATCCTGGGAGGGTTCATCTACGGGTGGGTACCGGAAACCCGAGGAAAGGCCAATGCGGACGAGGTCTGGGGAAGAGGGGACCAGCGCAGAAGGGACTGATTTGGGTTAGAGCTAGACTGGATTAACTTGACCTCGAGACAGACAAAGCGGGGATGTATGAATACTGAATAGAATGTATGGATGGCCGGGAGCCATATTTCCACAGGTCCAACACATGGAACACTCTCAACCACTCTCAACCAGGTGCACCACGTGCAAGGCATCGTAATCTGGGATAACTTGGCTGCGTTTCTATCCCGACTCCAAGCGGACCGAGGGTTCGGCGTTGACCGTCTTAATTGATTAATTAATATCGACGAGATTAGAAATTACAGGGTAACGCGCCACTAATCTTAGCTAGATGATCCATCTGTCGCTAGTCTACGAGGCATCTGACACGGGGCATTCGGTGATCTGGGTCAAACGAGCGTCCCGGCGAACCATCCAAGTCAATACGAGGCAAATTCCAAGTCCTCTGGGACTGTTAAGAATAGAATACACATTGCGTCAGGATGATGGGGTTTGCTTGAAGCTATCAAGGCAACAAACGGATTTATGGCCAATGGGCACCAGACCGAGGCTGGATGATGGCGGGTTTATCTGGCGGGGGTGGGGTAAATCATCCTGATCTTTGGTCTGAGTTCCCCTCATCTGCCCCGGAGACCTTTGCCACCCTCGCCGACAAAAGGAAGGCGATAAAAAAAGAGGGGGGAGGCTAGAAGAAGTCTCGGACCAAAGATATAGCGTCGTCTTCTCAACCGATATCTCGCATCAAACCCCCAAACCCAAGGCGGGGCAGGACCGACCACCTTCCAAGGAGTTAAAATCCAACGTGCAGGATAGCCCCGAGGCCATGCATGACTAGCATGACTAGCAGGCTAGTAAGAAATGTTGGCATAATCTCCACAATCCTTGTATCTGCGTGCTATCTCCGTAACTGCGTATCCGTCGTGGCAAGCAGTTAAATCGATTACTCCGGCGGACGAAGGACGACCGGAGGAGGCTGAGACATCATCCATCAATAAGAGTGCATACTTTCCGACTTAGCTCGGAGCCACCACCACGGACGCTGGGGTTTTAAATTAGCGGAAGTGACTTGTTCGGGAGCAGTGCAGCAATCCTGCAGGCCAGAAGTCCACTTAGTTGGCGCGGTAAGATGTAGATGATATGCACCGTGCAGCGTAGGCCCAGGGATGATGGAATTAGAAGCAGGCCACCCCCTTCCGCTGTGCCACAGTGGCAGGTTTGCTGAAACACGGACAACGCAAAAAAGAAAAGAACAAAGTCAGAAATACGAACCATTATTAGGAAGGAATGCGGGATTTATTCATGAGGCTCAGGCTCAGTCAGGGGGGAGGCGGTGAAGACAGCCAGACGGAATACTAGGGAGTCCGAACTTCCTAACTAAAGGAACCATCATCCCCTGCCGACCGAAGATGCATGGGCATTGGGCACAGGCTCAGATGATATTATCCAAGCGCCAATGACCGTTGATGGAAATCCCCCCTTCATCCTGAAAGCATTCCATAGGTACTTTACTGAGCCACATCAGGGACTGTGGTACAGTCGCCAACGCGACCGCCTAGGCAGCCACTTTCCCTCTCCAGATGCCGGTGGAGTCGCCGGTGGATCCAAAGGCAAGACCACTTTTCTGTCAAGTTCTAGTTCTAGCCTGACGTCGCGCTGTTGGGGAAATGGACATGCCCGCCAAGGCCGTAACCGAAGGGTTCCGTGTCTTTATTGCCGTTAGGAGGTTTATGTGGTCATTGGATGTATTGGAATGCGCTTGATGAAGAACGAGGGCCATCACATCATGCATATCGGCCAGGAGTTCCTGTAGTCCTCTGTACTGTCTCCGTAACTGTGTCTATGCCCGGATATAAATAATTAAATTAAATCTCGAGATAACTAACGGAGCCTCCCGGTCGAAGTTAATTAAACCCTCCAAAATTAGTAGTCCTCTGCCATTGCTGACCTTCACTACGGCTACAAGCTCGTAAATAGTAATCCGTCCAGTCCCCCCCGCCCCATCAGACCGTCGCCGGGATTGTGAGCTTGTTGTTTCCTTTCTTCTTTCGCCCGGTCGTTCGCCTCTCCTATTTTTCGTTTTGGATTGATTCCCTTCCCATTCATTCCCTATCTTTCTTCTTCTTCTTCTTCTTCTTCTTTTTCTTTCCTCATCCTTGGTCACTTCTTCATCCTCTTCTCTCCCCGTCCCAATTGCATCCGCTGCCTCTGCGATCTTTCGGTTTCGAGCAGCGTGTTCGGTACGTTGTTGTGGCTCCGAGTGTCGTAATTCGATCGACCCGGGCGGATTGTAGATCAACCCGGCACTCCAAGCCGACAACCTCACCGCGACCTCTCGCCGTCGCTGGAGGGCTGCATCCCCAACGCTCTCCATCCATTAGATCGGCCAAACCGCCCAATTAACCCACCAAATCTCTGTTTATCGATCCTTTGGTCCTCTACATCCTCTCAAACACCGAATCTTCCGTGTTGACGCGACGTGTTCCGTCTTCCGTCTCACTGTCTGAGTCCCGCCCGCACTCCCGAACGGCCATTATGGTGCGGTTACCAATTCCTCAACGCCTGACCTCCCACCTGAGTACGCGGAGCAATGCCTCGACCCCCGGTCAGAGCCGAAGCGCAAGTCCCATGAGGTTTCCGGATTCCAAACCTCCTCTGATTCTCAAAGTCAACGTGTTACGGGTGAGTGATCCGCCTCAGCGGCAGACATTACGTCAAGCTTTGCCGTCGTTTCCTGAGACTGACTGAACCGCCTCGTTGCAACAGGGGCGCAATCTCGCGGCTAAAGATCGGAACGGAACTAGCGATCCAGTGAGTTACACCTATTGCCCCTCAAAACCTCTCCTGACCACCAGAACTGATTGCCGGTCTATCCGCTTAGTACCTAATCGTTACACTCGGAGATGCACGACAATCGACCCCTACGATACCGAAGACCTTGAACCCAGAATGGAACGTTGCCTTTGAGATGCCCGTTGTCGGGGTGCCGCTGCTAGAGTGTATCTGCTGGGATCATGACAGATTTGGAAAGGATTACATGGGCGAGTTTGACATTCCCCTAGAAGAGATCTTTTCTCACGGGGAGGTACATCAGCAGGTGGGTTTTGACCAGTTGCTTGGATAAGCGCGGGACTTGCGCAGGCTAACGTTTCTCTGAAGCCGATGTGGTACACCCTCAAGTCCAAACGGTCCAAAAAGAAGGACAGCACCGTGTCCGGAGAGATTCTTCTTCAATTCTCGCTTGTCGACACCTCGAACCCCACCGCGACTCCCGATGAAGTCTATCAGAAATTCAAGAATGTAGTGTGCACCAGCGAGGACGACGATGAATACCCGCAGATTCCGGCGACCGTGTTGGGCGACGCAGACAGAGACGAAGAAACGTCGGATGAGACCGACGATCCCGCGAAACCGGAGGTCGTTGAAAAACGGCGGAGAAGGTTGCGGCTGGCCCGACTCAAGCGCAAGTCATTAGCAGCTAGAGCGTACCAGTTCTCTGGCGCTGGAAATGGTGTCCAGGGAATTGTGTTCATGGAGATTGTCAGAGTCACGGATCTTCCGCCGGAGCGAAACGGTATGCTTTTACAGCTTTCCCCCTCTCCTCGCCCAACCGTCAAGAGTCGAGCATGTGGCTGACGCTAGAAATCCAGTGACCCGTACTTCCTTTGACATGGACCCGTTTGTTGTGACTTCATTGGGAAGAAAAACCCTGAGGACCCCGGTGATACGCCACAACTTAAACCCAGTATACCACGAGAAGATGGTGTTCCAAGTCATGAAACATGAACAATCATACACAATTGGCTTTACTGTGATGGACAGGGACAAGTTTTCTGGAAACGACTTTGTCGCCTCCGCAGGGTTCCCACTCCAGACACTGATCCAGTCAGCTCCTGAAGCCGATCCAGAATCAGGCCTCTACAAATTTCTGGACCCTACTCTTGATCCAACAGGATCTGACACCTCTGAAACCGAAAATACGGCTGGAATAAAGATCGATATCAGCCCGTCTCCGTCAACCAATAGCCTGTCGAAGATGTCGAATAAAGCGAGGTCTCGGAGCAGCACTGCGTCCATGTCGGGCCAGTCAGTGCACTCGAGCCAAGAGCTATCGACGTCGCTTCCTCCTACATTGGCCGTCGAGGAGGGCTCGGGCAGTAATATCTCCAGTGCCCCGACCGCGACAAACAACAGCGCAATTGCTCCGCTTGAATCGGAGGGACTTGAGTTGTATCGCATCCCACTGACGCTGAAAAACAAAGAGCGATGGGAGGACAAACATTCTCCAGAACTTATCGTGAAGGCTAAGTACATGCCTTACCGCGCTCTGCGTCAGCAATTTTGGCGGTTGATGCTTCGACAATATGACGCCGACGACAGTGGTCGCATCGACAAAGTGGAGCTTACGACGATGCTCGACACCCTAGGCTCAACGCTGAAAGAATCTACAATTGACAGCTTCTTCGAGCGTTTCAGCGAGGAGAATGAGCTTTCTGAGACCATGGATCTAACCTTCGATCAAGTGGTGATATGTCTGGAAGACACCCTTCAGGCTTTGCAGACGGACCCTCGTTCAGGCATTAAGAAGCTTGTGTCTACATCCTCCACGGGCAGCCAAGCAAGCGAGGACCCGTCCAGTGGTGACGATGATTTGGAGGCCACCTCTGCTCCTTCTGCCCCTCCCCTTAACACTGATCCTCAGTCGACGTCCGTACCTACTCTGTCTAGTGAAGATCAACTCGCCTTGAATGAAGAGGACCTTCACCCAGATGACCTAGGTGATGAACGGGGCGAGGAGCATGTGATTGAAATCCGCGAATGTCCGTTGTGTCATCAGCCACGACTCTCAAAACGCTCCGACGCGGATATCATTACGCACATTGCTACTTGTGCGAGCCGAGACTGGCGACAGGTCGACAATCTTGTGATGGGCGGATTTGTGACCTCAAGTCAAGCACAGCGCAAGTGGTACACCAAGGTCATCACGAAGATTTCTTACGGAGGATACAAGCTAGGAGCCAACTCCGCCAATATTCTTGTTCAAGATCGCATTACAGGACAAATCAACGAGGAGCGGATGAGTGTCTACGTTCGCTTGGGTATTCGTCTGCTGTACAAGGGACTGAAGAGCCGAGACATGGAGAAGAAGCGAAGTATGATCCTCTTAGTATCCGAATGGCTCAAAACAAAATGCTAACAATCTTTATCAGTCCGCAAAATCTTGAAGTCCCTCAGTATCAAGCAGGGCAAGAAATACGACGACCCTGATTCGGCAAGCCAGATTCAAGACTTTATCAATTTCCACCAACTTGATCTGTCAGAGGTTCTGCTCCCTCTAGACCAGTTCAAGACTTTCAACGAGTTCTTCTACCGCCAGCTCAAACCAGAGGCTCGACCTTGCTCGGCTCCCAACGAGCCTAGGATTGTGGTCTCTCCGGCTGATTGCCGATCGGTCGTGTTTGACCGCATGAGTGACGCGACTGGCATCTGGGTTAAAGGACGGGAATTCTCTATTGAGCGACTCCTTGGAAATGCCTATCCCGAGGATGCTCATCGGTACCAGAACGGGGCCCTGGGTGTCTTCCGTCTTGCACCGCAGGACTATCATCGTTTCCATATTCCTGTTGATGGAACTATGGGAACACCCAAGACCATTGAGGGAGAATACTACACCGTCAACCCAATGGCCATCCGCTCTGCACTGGATGTTTATGGTGAGAATGTGCGGATCCTCGTGCCGATCGATTCGCCCGTATTTGGCCGTGTTATGGTGGTCTGTGTTGGTGCCATGATGGTTGGAAGCACCGTGATAACCCAACAGGCTGGGAATAAGGTTTCTCGCGGCGACGAACTTGGATATTTCAAATTCGGCGGCAGTACCCTTCTTGTTCTTTTCGAGGAAGGGGCCATGAAGTTCGACACGGATCTGGTGGACAACTCGAAAGGACCTCTGGAAACTTTGGTAAGCATCCCTCTTCCTCCCCCTTGCTGATTGAGACGCACAAGTTTTGCTAACAGGGTCCTCTTCCGTCTTCTAGATCCGTGTGGGTATGGCTGTGGGTCACAGTCCAGAAATTCCTCAGTTCGAACCCGATATGCCTAAGAAGCGCGAGAACCTCACCGCGGAAGAGATTCAGGCCGCCAAGCGCAGAATCGAAGGTAGCTTGGCTCCACCGGCCGAACGCGACGAGTTTTCATAAACACCATTCGGTATTCTTGGCAGGTGAATTGTTATTGTTAGGGCGTTTCTTGGTTTGATTTGAAGGCCAGGAGCCATTCATTCTTAGCGATTTAGCTATCATTGTTGTGACTTTTGTGATAAAGCTGGACCATGGGCGTCAGCCAGTGGAGAGAAGTGCATGTTAAATAGCCGTTGGACATATCTAGGCAATGAAAGGCCACATGTAATTTTGACATAACACATATTTTCTTCCTCGATTTCTCAATTCTTATGATCCCATAGTCCATACTACTGAAGCTTCGTCGCGATTGGGAAGGCGGACTGAGTGTCACTCCCAAAAGGGATTAGTGTCATCCCCCACGCGCCACGACCAAAACAACCGCGTGCTGCGGCGACTTGCAAGAGTAAACCCCCCATTGACCCCGACAAGGCCGGTCTTTAAGCCCTGCTGCGCAAGGAGCATCATCTTCATCCCGCCAACGGCATATGCGTTCATTTGAATTGTCTTTCGCCGCAATCTTCAATTGCTTCTCATCGTTGGACGCGCGCTCCAGACACCGACGACACGTCTTAGGAAAAACCTCCCCCCCCGTTGACCGAATTCGCGGAACCGACCTTCCCTAGTCAACTGCGACCGCGCGACCACCATTCACTCGCGCCAGTCGGATGAAAAACACGTTTGAGAAATTCGCAACGACGCGGATTGGTTATTATACTGAGCTTTCTCGACTGCTGAGCGTGCTGGGGAGGTGTACTACGTTGTTTTGGGAAGGGACCGCGAGAAACACGACAAGTCGGATCGTTCGCAAGAGACCGCCCACCTCCTCAACACCGCGAATATTCTCGGATCAGTGAAGTGAAAACCCGCGATAAAGCGCTGCTGAGCAGTAAATCATCTTTCTTAGCTCTTATCTGCGTCTCCTTCATTTATACACGCCCCTCCCCCCACTTTCATTCGGTCCTGACATGACCGTCACTGTTGTGGCTACCCCTACAGCGAAGACAAAACGTCGCGACCCCCTAACAACCATTAACATGGCAACGTCCCAGGCGCAGGCGCGTCCTGCGTCATCTGCCACGGGTAAAGCGGGTCGGAAAGGGACGAGGTCGAGTGCGCGACTGAGTCTGAACAGTCAGGAGAAGAGCGAGGAAAATTCAACTCGCGGGAAAAGAAAGGGTGAGTTGTCTAGACCCCTAAGACTTTTCATCGTACTACGGCTCGGAACGCGGAGTCGCCAGCATGCGCTTTAAATGCGCAGTAGGATTGCTCGCTAATGTTCGGCTACGGTCGCTGTTGCAGGTTCTTTCGATGACGATGACGATGATTTCCAGTTCACCCGCATCAAGAAATCAAAACCCGCAGTTGAAACTATTCCCGAGCTTCCTCAATCCGTACCTGAGAAAGCTGCCCCGCAACCGTCGCCCAAGCGAGGCCGCCCCCCGAAAAAGCGACCTGCAGAGAAGTCGGAGGCTGTTGCGGAGGCAAATCATACGACGGAATCTCGAACAAAGCGATCAACGAGAGGGGCAGCGAGAGGGACGGCGAAGCCCGCAGCGCCCGAGCCAGAAGCTCAAACACAAGCGCAGTCACAACCACAAACACAAACGCAAACGCAACCGGAGAGTGCTACGCGCTCAACGCGCAACCGTGACCACACTGAGCCAGTACCAAAGGAAAAAGCAGTACCAAAGGAAAAGGAGAAAAAGAAGCGAAGAGGGCGACCGAGCAAATCGAATGAGCCGGAGCGACAAAACGGGTTCGTATCTCCAGAGCCTCAGAAGACTGGGACGGCGACGATTGCACTTCCTATGGCCGACACGCCGGTTATCCAGCGGAATAAGGAGATGAGAGGGCAGACAAAGGCAGGAAAAGGAAATAGGCGAAGTAGCTTGGGTATGCGAGGACGAAGAGCTAGTTCCCTTATCGATTCTGGGGCTTCAAATGGTGAGAAATTTTGGATCTACCATCTCCCATTTCGACGCGAGATGCTAACATCTTATAGCCCTACCTCACAAGGAGGTTGGTACGGCGGAATTCTACAAGCACATCGCCAGTGATGGATTGCCAGAACCGAGGAGGATGCGTCAACTTTTGACTTGGTGCGCAACTCGCGCGATGGGAGCGAAGCCTTCTGGATCGGGTGCTGAAGATGCTAGTGTGCATCTGGCAGGTAGGTCGAGTCAACCAAATTTATTGTTTCTGCAGCTAACATCTAGTAGCGCGTGTGATCCAGGAGGAAATTTTAAAGGAATTCTCCGTCAATTCAGAGCTATCGAATTGGTTCTCTCGCGAAGATATCAACCCTCCATCCGTCGTGGTCAAGAAGCCGAATCCGAAGAATGTGCAGAATACGGAGAAAATCAAGGAACTAGAGGAGCAAATTCAGAAGTAAGGATTATTTTGAACTTGTTGACGAAGTCACTTTGCTAACAGCCATTAAGGCTCCAAAAGCAGAAGCACTCCCTGAATGCACTCCTCCGGTCGTCGCCTATTCCACCGATTAAAGCCTCGAAACAGCCGGACGCTACACCGAATGGTCAAACCGAGCAGCTGCCTCAGCCTGACTCAATCGATCTTTCACTTCTCGAACCCTCCCAACTCAAACTTTATGCCCTAATAGACCCCGACGCAGCCAAGCGACATTCAACCGTGCAGACCCAAGAACCAGAGCCTCCTTCAGACGCCACTACTCTACCTCCAATCACCCCTTCAACAATCTCTACGCGTTTATCCCGTATAAAATCTGGCCTTGCACCAACTTTGGATTCCTTGGCAGCTGGCGTCCATGATATCGAGCTTTATCGGGCAATGTCCGACAACGTATCGTCACGGATCCTGCGCATCTGTGCCGAGCGATTAGATGAGCGCGAAGCCAGAAAGTCCCTGGGGCGACTAGCATTAGAAGAACAGGGAGAGCAGAAAGACCTCAGTCTTCGGCCACGAGTCCGAGAGGATATTGGAGTAATCCTCGGGGCCCTCAGCCGGGTCGAAAGACGGTGATAAGATATTCCATGAGTCTATATGTTGAACAAGGGAAGCATGTAAATACCTCGTTTACCCATCATGTACTTTTTTTTGTGTTTGATTTTTGACCATCTCGGGCCATATTTTCGATGGTGGCCTGGGAATGCTTTGGGTGTTCGTTCATTACTATTTAGGCAGCATGCAAGCAATGGAGTTGGGGTGTTCCTCCTAGCTGGGAATTGGATCGGTTGTTTCAAGCTGTTTGTTGCGGGTGCAAGATGGGCTACTACGGGTATTATGGACTGCGATACGATGCGATAACTACGGATTGATTCCAATTTCAATTTTACTGCGGCAGATAAAGCAGCTAGACATTCTTTGGTAGAATTTTCTTTCTTTAATCAGTGATTTATCTATCAGATCCTGTCTTCAATCAGAGTTCATCCGTCCACTTTAGGAGATTACAACTGACCGGTGTCAGATCCTCTACAGAGAGAATATAAAACTTAAGAGTTAGACTAATTATCACTCCCCACGTCACAAACGTGTGGATCTTTGAGGATCGAATACACCCAGCCTATCACCATCAGTGGCGATATAAGATCTTGACCGCCATCTGCCAACCCCTGCACAGATAGAAGGACGAGCATGAGAACATGAAAAGCAAACCGATTGACATGATAGCTATGAACAATTCAGCTACTCGACTGCCAATTGTTCGCGCATTGGCGATTAACACCCCGACTCATTCAGACCGCTACCGGTAAGATGGGTAGCCAGGATATTCAGCTCGACAGAAGCCGCAGATAGATAGACAATTAAGCATCTTAGTTCCTTCTGTCCTCCGGTACCAGTGCCTGTTCCGATGCCTAATACCTGGGCATTTATCTACCTACTTACCTATCTCTTGTGTCGGCATGCACGCTTATCGATCCATTCGGAACGAGACGAGATTCCCGCGTGTTCGGAGCTGATAAGACGAATCCTCCCTATCCTATCCTACCATGCGATGCAATGCAATGCAACATATAAGGAATCCTGCTATCGATAGCAAGATTAGAAGATAGAGAAGGGTGAACTCCTAGTAATAGGACAAGGGCTGCTACCTAGTGCATACTTCGCTGACTTAGAGCATAAGCATTAGTCAAGCCTAGTTGGGTAGGAAGATTTGTTGCAATCGACGAAGATATTGCATCAACGCCGATGATCATGACTTCATAGTACCTACCTACCTCTACTTACCACTTACCTTGCATGTAGAAGACAAGAGAGGAGGAGGGGGGAGGAAAAAAAACCTGCTTCTTGCAGATTGCACCGACCAGTGCAGTCTTTCCACCACGTGGGAAAGAAAAGAAAGTGGCCGGTTCGGTGAAGGAAAGAAGAAAAAAGATTATGCACCCTCGAGCTAAGGTAAGGCGAGCTAGCGGCCAGTGCTCGCGCAGGGTAAGTTTCCAGGGTATCACTTGTGTGAAGTGGATTGGACACCGCATCAGCATGCAGCATATAACTGCGCAGTAGTATATCTAGGTAGGTACCTAACGGTGGATCCGAGATAGACTCGCGTGAATTGCTCAGTGCACGGATCTCCAGGCCTGCTTGCAGGACTTGTTCATTTTTGCGTTCTAATTTGCCCGTGGAGATATATGTTTTTGATTTAATCTCCGTAGTCTGGAGCTGGTGGGTGGATCGGGGGATTTCGCCCTTCAACCTTGGAGACTGCAGTATCTAACCGACTAAGCATGATTCATAAAAGAGGGCGCAACTATCGGCCTGGATCATTCTATGAAACCCTTGCAAGATAGTCTCCAGTTTTACATGCTGGTTGAGTTCCTTTCGTGCTTTCCAGCGCTTAGTAGTAATAGTAATGGCCACCCGGACCAGCTGGCGCTATCAGCACGCAACAAGGGGACACAACACAGACCACCAACGCGCCCAGACGGAGGGTTGGACGGAGCGATCGGATCGCGAAAGGGTGAACCAGACCCAATCGATCATGTCGAAGAACCTGAAAGGCCATGTGATTGTTGAGATACGGAGCATGTGGTGTCCGTACCTACCTGCAAAGACCACTTTGATACTGGACTAGCGAAGTCTCAGCGCTAAGAGCTAGCTAGCTTCAGTCCTCATTTTCATTATCAATAGTAATCCCTGTCGGTTGAAAAAACTTGAATAAAAGAGGGGGGAGGGGTAGAAGCCACGACGAAGGGAAAAATTAGATATCTTTGCCAGCCACATGACCGAGAATATAACTGGGGCGGAATAGATCTAGAAGCTTGGGAACCAGAGGCTACGGTTATCTAGTTCCGAAGGATTCGACGTTGTTGTGCGGTTCGGGTGGATCGACCCCGAGGCAGAACCGGGTTCCGCGCTCGGTTGATTAGGGATTGGCCTTATGTGCTTACGGAGCACTAGTGTAGTATCGAGTGGCTTGTCGGGGGCAGCTGAGAAGACGCCGGCTATAGGGCATTCAGTGTTATTGGATGGGATTGATTGAGTCATTGAGCCAGGATCTCTGACGAATTGATCGCGTTTTTGCATTAACAAGGAGGCAAGCATCTGTTGAACTGGTTGAGCGATGTTACCTGTTAGAGTTTGATCTATATTTGCTCTGAACTAAGATGGTTTCCTTAAGATCCCGTTAGTGCTGCTGCATTTTGTATAGTAGATAACAGACAAGCCTCAACAATACTGCAACCAGTCATTAACAACCCTGGAGTATGTGAAGGTATATCCTGAGGCCAAAAAATCCCAATCCGGCAGATAAGCTCAGGGCCTCAGGCCCACTCGTTCCCGAAATGGCAGAAGCTCGGGTCGCCACGCGATGACTAACGCTTCGTTCCCTGGGATCGAACTATGAAGCATCCATCATCCATCATCCATATCGCCATGTCCGTCGATCGGCATCTATCTGTCTCTTACAAATACTCACCAATAAAGAGCCTGGGACACAAGATACTCCGTTTCCCCCGGACCCCACAGAAAAAAACATGACAGAATCTATCGCCCGCTCCTCGACCATCACACCCGAAGGGCACATACATCCGCGTCCCGGCCCGGCATGTCATTCTCCCCGGTATGACGCGAGGCTCGTTGCAGGCGCCTCTGCCTCAGCTCGCTGAACGAGAATTAGGTATTGGTCCCTGCACTGTTGCGTGTCGCACAGGCATCCTCTCGCAGTCGCGCAGGGAAATGAATCGGATCCCGTTGGGTGACATGGCGGCCGGCTAGCAAAGTGGTTTTTTCGGGGACGGTGATGGCGATTTGTGATGGGGATGATGAAATCATGACACAGGGCTGGGGTTGACCGGGTGTGTGCGGTTATTGACCCTTTCTCTCACCGGTTCTGAAACAGGGTTCCAAGTCAAGCTGGCTCGCATCGTACAGAAGTCCCCGGGACGCAATGGGCTTCGGACCTTCCCCTCCCCCAATTCGTCTCGATCGAGCGAGCCCCAGCAGATGGGCTGGGAAGTCGTCGGCCATGACGGGGTGAGAAGAACGGTTGTGTAACACCCCGCTTGTCACTGAAAAGCTGGGAGCAAGCCTGACATCATGGGAGAGAAACTGTCAGACATACAGGCGAGATGTGGAAATTGCACATGTTTGAGACGAAACATTTCGCACCGCCTGAGCCGGGAGAATTATGTGGAAGATCAGGTCCAGAAGACGGAAGATGTTCTGTCGGTTTCTAAGAATATTTCCCGCTGGACCGGTCGCGCTATTCTTGTCAATCATGAAAATCATAAACGCATAGTCTTTTTTAGCGATTTCCCTTGTCGCAGGACAATGCAGAATGAGTATGGATCAGTGGCTCAGGGCTGTGTAAAAGTGGATCCGACATGACCGACAGCAATGCTAATCCGATGTAAGGAGTTGTTGCCTGAAACCATCGGAAGCATTCCAAGCTCCAATGTCAACTGCTCCGTATGTCTGAAACAAAGGCCAGCCACGAGGCAGGCCGTTTTCCTACGGACTACGGAGTAGCTACGGACCTGTCGATAGCACGAAACGGTTACCTAGACAATTTCATCTACGAGACTAGCTTGCAGTTGGGCAGCTATGGGAGTTCATATCAAAAAGCCGGTGTGCAGCCCAATTAAAGGGGCAAAAGCAATTCGCGTGGACAGGAAGGAAAAAAAGGAAAAGAGAAAAGGACGGACCTTTGGGTGCCCAGTGCGTCCTGCATAGAGTCCACCGGATCAACGGTCAATCCCTCAGTTTAGGCTATAGTCGGTCATTTGGCGCTGATCATCAGGGACCATCGCGCTGCACCAGGGGCGACCAGCCAAAGGGAGGGATTCGTAACCTGCAGGCGTGACTTGCAGCAGTCCAATGCCAACCTCACCTTCACTCGCTTTCTTCGCTTTTGCCCCTCCTCCCTTCCATCCCCCCTCCACCTCCCTCCGTTTCTTTATCGGCCATTGTTCTATCTCTGTATTCTTCTGTCCCTCTGGTCCATGCATTGCTTACTCGTCTCATGTGACGATCCCGATGGATTCCAGAGCCCGCCAGAAGCTTCGTAATGCAGTTCGCTCGCCTGTTAGCTCTCTAACCAACAACGCGAACTTACCCACCCTTCGCCTCCCCTTTTCTCTGTCGATGACGATGATGGCGTGCTGGGAACAAGGAATCACTTCGATCTAGTCTGAGCTTTCGTCATGCATGGACACTTCCTCTATCGCTCAGGGGGGCGTGGAAAGACCGATAACCACGAATCATCCTATCGGCTTCGACCTTCTCTGCCATCGGGTTGCCGAGAATCCTGACGTGCTGACGATACCTTCTCCTATTCGCGCAATCCCATCCCTCCTTGACCGACCGGCGCGAAAAAAGAAAATAAAAATTTACGGGATCCGCGTCCAGACCGACCGATCATTCTCGTGGGTCCTCTTGTTGTCTCTCTCTTCCTCTCTGTTGTCCCTGGGTTCTCTGGTCCGCGGTCCGGCTCGGGCGCTAAGAAAGGAATCACTATCATGAAATCCATGATAAACTTGTTCCTTCGGGGCGCGGTGGATCCACTACGGTTTTTGCCCCCGAGATAAAAAAAAAAAAAAAAAAAAAGAAAAAGAAAAAAAAGTTCTAAGTGCTGACTCTGAGGCCGTATTCGTTCCTCCCTTTCGCATCTGTCAATAGGATCCATTGTTCTTGCGGCTTGAGAGGTTCCAGAAGGATGATCCAGGCTGTTCCACCCGGTGGGGTTGTTCGACAATTCAGCCCAACATTATATTGTTTCGAATTTCGACAGAATAACAGAATAATCGATTTTTTTGAGGAAAATTAGATGCAAAAAAGGAAGAGAAATAGAAAAAAATATCGAGAGACAATGTGGAGGGAGAATCAAAAATGTCGGACGAGAGACAACGCCATCCCACAACCCAGGAAATCAAGGATAGGAGAAAGCTCCCGCAAGCAAGCAAGCAAGCAGAGGGGAAAAGGCAAGCTAGCTGCGGTCGCCCTTATTGTTTTTCTTGCTTATCCTTTGGTTCCTCCCAGCCAATGTGACCCTGTTTCCTAGCTATTGTGGTACCCTATCGTGGAGCCCGTGGAACCGCTTCCGTCCATGACCGTGGCCCCAGTCCAAGATAGTCGCAAAAGAGCTGTCCTGCTTATGCCTGAACGCCGTTCTAGTCCCCTGGGGTTGGGTGTCACCCTCTTTTCCGAATTTTTTTTATCCTTATTTTCTATTCTGGATCTTCTGAATCACAGCCATTGGCTGGGGCCCTGGGAAACTGGAACGATCTATTTAATTTCTAAACTTACAGTATTTTCGAAATTCCCTGCCTGGGCCCCGGGGTCTGTGATTCATCTGCCAGATTCGTCACGCCAATCGACCTTTCCGGTGATTTATCATGGTGGCAATGGACCCCGGTTTGATACAAATCTTCCTCTCCTTTCCATCTGGTCCTTCTTATATCCCTTAACCCAGGTCCTGATTGTCATAAGCACTATTTGACGGTGGGACACATTTAATATCTAATTTTTATTCCTCCGAAAGCCACCTTGCTACACAATCCGACAGAAAAAGTCCGCGCAGAATTCTGTTCAATTGCTTCCTTCCCTTTCATATGATCAAGATTGTGCCCTAATCTTGGTTACTGGTCTCTATCGGGTTGTACTGCTACTTCTCTACGTCGGACGATTTGGAGCTCCTCTTCTGCCCTCTTCTACCTCTTGCATCATAACCGACCCGATTCATTTGGGCCCCCTCGCTTGATTGTTTTCCTTCTTGCAATTAGGACATTTCTTCTGGACGCCCTGATTTGCGCCTTCATTTTGACTATGACTCGGTGACGTACCACCATTCTTTGTAGCGGGACCATCACCCCTTCCTTCCAGACATCCAACTGCCTCGTCCATAGTGGTTTGGTTCCAAAGGTACTGCTATATTCCACGTCCGTGCACATTCACTATTCCTGGAAGAATTTCCATCGGTACGTCTTCTTGACCTCATAAGTCAATCAGGAGAATCCATTGGTGATGCAATCTGTTAGCTGACCATCTTTTAGGCCGTCGCCTAAACAACACAAACTACCTCTACCGAATAAAAACAACCCAACAGGAAGAACAAAAGAAAAAAAAGAGAGGGTATCCTCAAGGGATAAGGGAAAGCCCCTCCCCCTGTTCAGATTCATCTCGCTCAGTTTCGTAAAGAATCCTAGGAGGTACCACAAGAAGGGAAAATGGCTGGAGGCTATTTTGATCTACCAATATCATCGTCCCGGCGCTCGAGCGTTACTGATGTATCCGGGCCTCCTTACAACAGATCATCTGTAGGGCCGCGTGTCTCACCCGTGGTTACCCCCAATGAGAGCATGCAGGAACGGTCGATGGACCCTAGTCCATATCAGGGCAAGCAGAGGAATGCAGGCATTCTCAAAAACGCGAATCGCGTCAAGTTCAGCGTCAGCGAGGAGGGGCTTTCCGCATGTCTTTCAGGATCACCGTCAGAAACCTTGTTCGATGGAAGGGGTTCATCGCTGCCACAGAGGCCGTTGCCCACTGCTAGCATTCCTCCGACTGAGAGAGCTCCCACCGACACCCAATCGTTGCCCTTGGTCGATATTAGCTCTAGCTCACCGGTAGGTGCCACGGGATTGAAGATCCACTCACGAGCGAGCTCCCCCGGGCTCGTCGGCGACGATGAGGTCAGTAATGAGAAGGGGAGAGCCATTCACTCGGCTCAAGAGAGAGCCCAGAGACTCGCCTCCCTTCTCGGCCGCTCTTCCAAATCTCCCAAACCAAGTCCTCGATCCAGTCTGCCGTCATCGATCGCGTCAACCCCCACAGAGGCGGCTCTTCCATTCGAAGAAGATGGTGATGAAATTCCTATGATCAGCCTCCCTGAAAAGCAATACAACTTCTCCGACGACGATGAATACGCCCCACTAGACGGAAGATCCTCAACACGCACCGCCGAAGCCCATCAACTCGTGCGACAAATGACTCGCAAAGACCTCAGCTTTATCACTCGGATCCGAGCCCCCTCCCCCGGATTCCGTTCCGGCCAAGCCACTCCCATGGAGGAGAGGGACCCTGACGCCTACGTCGAACGGCCGACCCACTACCGAGGAGGCATTCTCTCGTCTCTTCTGAAACTCTACGACCAACCCGCCAACAACCTCCCCCCGCGAGGTCGCTATGGCTATGGCCACTCGCGCCAGAGCAGCTCTGGCGACCTTAGCGGACGAGGCTTGTCCCCGGACCCCAGCCAGAAGCCCCGGAAGTGGTATGAGAAATCACCAAACCAGTCCATGACCTCACTGTCGGGATCCACAGCGAAGAGCTCCCCTATCTCGATGCTTAAGCGCTCGCGTAGCAGCGGAGCCGTGCCGGTGGTCCCGAAAAGGATGGGTAAACCCCAGCTGGAAGACGAGATCCGCGTCACCGTCCACATTGCCGAGCTGCTGTCTCGCCAGCGATACCTCATCCGACTGTGCCGAGCCTTGATGAAGTACGGGGCACCCACCCACCGACTGGAGGAGTATATGAAGATGACCGCTCGTGTCCTGGAGATTGACGGCCAGTTCCTGTACATACCTGGCTGTATGATCATTTCCTTCGATGATGTGTCCACTCACACCACCGAGGTGAAAGTGGTCCGATCTCCTCAGGGTATCGACTTGGGAAAGCTCTCCGACGTGCATGCCGTGTACAAGGAGGTTATCCATGACGTGATTGGCATCGAAGAGGCCATCCAGCGGCTGGACGAGATCATGAAGAAGAAGAACAAGTACCCGATTTGGCTTTTGATCCTGGTGCATGGATGTGCCAGCGCATCTGTTGGTCCGTTTGCATTCAACGCGCGTCCCATCGACATGCCCATCGCCTTCCTGCTCGGGTGCCTCCTTGGTACCCTGCAACTTGTCTTGTCGCCTCGGTCGGATCTGTACTCGAACGTGTTCGAGATCTCTGCCGCGGTTCTAACTTCCTTCTTGGCCCGGGCCTTCGGTAGCATTCGATACAATGGAGACCGCCTCTTCTGTTTTTCGGCATTGGCCCAATCGTCGATCGCTCTCATACTGCCCGGATACATGGTGCTGTGCGCCAGTCTGGAGCTGCAGTCACGCAGCATCGTTGCCGGGTCTGTGCGCATGGTCTACGCTATTATCTACTCCTTATTCCTCGGATTTGGCATCACAATAGGCACTGCAGTTTATGGCCTGTTAGACGGAGATGCCTCCGCTGAATACACCTGCCCGGCCAGCCCGATCACAAACGAATACCTTCAGCGCTTCCCTTTCGTCATCTGCTTTACATTGTGCCTTGCGCTTGTCAACCAGGCGAAATGGAAGCAAATCCCTATGATGCTGGTCATCGCATTTGCTGGCTACGTGACCAACTACTTTGGCGCGAAGCGATTCTCCTCTAGTACACAGGTCTCCAACGCGCTTGGTGCCTTTGTCATCGGGATCCTGGGCAATCTATACAGCCGACTCCGACACGGATTCGCTGCGGCCGCGATGCTGCCGGCTATCTTCGTTCTTGTTCCATCCGGCCTGGCCGCTAGCGGATCGTTGATATCAGGAATCGCATCGGCCGAGCAAATCACCTCTCAAAACTCGCCCTACGCTGTCGTTTCGAACGGGACGCAGGGCTTCATGGATGCCGCCAAGAACATGACACAGAGTCCTCCTTCGCAGGACCAATTTCACGGTGTCGTCTTCGACATTGGATACGGGATGGTGCAGGTCGCAATCGGCTTCACCGTCGGGCTCTTCCTCGCCGCCTTGGTTGTTTATCCTCTTGGAAAGAAACGAAGCGGGCTCTTCAGTTTCTAATCCCTACACAAAAGCACACTGCTTAATTCTCCTTGTCTTGTCATCACACCGTCATCCTTTCACTCATTGATTATCTTTCCTTCCATGTTTATCTCAATTTGGACTGTTCTTTTCGTTCTTGCCTGTGCGAGGTCTTGTTATTTCAGCGTGACCATCATTCTCTGTCGAATATTTGCATCATATATAGCCCTGAGCCTGTCTTTCTTTGGTAAATTTCCTTAACTGTTTTTCTTTGTCTCTGAGGATCAATTTGTGCTTTTCTATGGTTCGATTTTATCCGGATTAGCGAGCGACCTAGGCGATTTGAATTTTGATTGGATCACAATGGTTGGACAATGCTGGTTTTTATTCTGGAGTTTACTCTGGTGTTGGCTGCTAGTTTAGGCGCTTATTTGTATTGGTTTATATTTGGGTATAGCAGACATAGACAATCTTATGAGTGACGACAATTGGTTTTCTTTACTTTGTAAACTGGAGTGAACATGGGGCTTGGAGTAGGGCTGTAGTAAGTCAAGCTCATCTAGTTTGAGTTGGCTGTGCCTGGAAATTGGAATTGGGCTCATTCCATCGAAAATGTAGACCAGCTTTTCCTATCAAGAGTCGTAGATACGGGTTTCGCAATCATTTATCATTTCCAGAAAGCTCCCAACATCCTAGCTGATTTCGCAGTCTCTCCACCTACACTAGAACATCCATCCCCTTAGCAGCTTAAACCTAAGACCGTCAACAAACACACGCCACTGTCTACAAACCCAACCACTTGGACTTCTCATTATCTCACTCAGCCATTCCAATCCACCAACACCTCAGACCGAGCGCACCCCACAAAATCTCCAATCAACGCCCCTTGCAATCCACCACACCCCCACAGCACTGATCCGCACTCGTCTTCCAGATACAGTTATTCTCCTCCGCCTTCACATCACACGGCACCTCCGTCAGCTCAAACGGGACACACGCCTGCTTATCATTCTGAAAGAACGTCAACGCGGGCGTGGCCGACGGACACGCCGGTCCCAAGCCGTACTCGAACCCGCCGAGACAGTACTTCCCGCACGGCCACTTGGTGAGCGCGAACTTGCCCGCCTGCGCGAACTGGTCTGTCTTGCCGACGTGGTTGCCGTTCATCGCCGCGTTCAGCCACCGGTTCGGCAGCAGCCCGTTGCCCGGGTTGCCGTGGATGTCTTTGATGAAGATCTGGTCCGCCGGGCTGATGGCTTCGCCGGCCGCGCACGCCTCGTCTTTGCAGAGCTTGAACCGGCCGGATTTCAACGACATGCTCTCGGGCGAGGTGATGAACCAGCTGCCGCCGAAGCCGAGGCGGTGCCCGTTTTCGCCGGTGAAGGTGTAGCATTTTCCTGGTTGGGTCAGTTCATTCATTCTAAGATCAGGGGATAGGGGAAAGGACAGGGGAAAAGGGGAAATATACCAGTCTTCAACCCGGAATCACACTTCACAGCCTTACAAACCCCATTCTCATCCTCCTTCGTCCCCTTTCCACAAACACACTTCCCATCCTTCAACACCTTGCCGTTCTGACACACCGGCTCCGCAGCCTTACAGGTGGTGCCGTCATAGGTCTCACCCTCAGGACAACATCTGTAACCAGCCTCCTTCGAGCCGACCAGATCATGGTTCTCGGCGCAGCAATCGAACGCTGTGGCGGGGGACCCGAGGAGTCTCTGCCCGGCCAGACAGCAGCCGGCGAACTTCTTGTCGCCGCTGAGGCTGAGCTTCTTGTTGCCGGCTTGGTCGTCGCAGTCGATCGAGGTCTTGAATCCGTCCTCGGTCCAGGTGATCGCGTTTCCGGTGATGGTCCACGCGCCGGAGATCTCCTTGACGGGGATGTTGGTGGTGTAGGTCTTTGCGGCGGCGAGGGGGGTGGTGGAGAGGAGGATGGTGGTTGCGAGGGAGAGGGTGAGGGATTTCATCTTGAATGGGATTCTTGGTCACGAGATTGATTGGGGAATTGAGTGTTTGATGATGGAAGAAAGAGATCTGATGAGTTGCTTGCATTCCCTCTTTTATATTCCAAACTCAGCAGCAAAAGCCATCAACTAAACCATGCCGTGAAGGCTCCCCTCCCTCAAATCGAACGATGATGCTCTTTCAGACACGCCATGCCCAGCTGAATTCCGCCCATCGGGATCCAGAAGGTCTGATCTTCGCAATCCAGCGAGCTGAAGTCGATCCCCGAACACGATGGCTGGCTGGACTGCGATGTTTGAAGCCCGAGAGTTGCTCCTTTCCTGTCGTTGACGCCTCCATGTGGAGTAAGCAGACGCAAGCCAGCAAACTGCGTGAAGGCGCATGCCGCTCAGTCCGAAGGCAACCGGGACTGCCGAACCAACATGTTCGTGCAGGTAGCGAGAGTTTGTCTGGAGCTGCATGTCTGTGCGTATGCATGTTTACGCAGGCTGTTTGGTATTACTTTCGAACTTCCGGGCAGAGAAGAGGTTTGAATGGGTAGTAGTGAATAAGGATCTGGTCAAGGGCGTGGTCAGAATCATAGTCATAATATTTTACAGTGTCAATGGCTTTGTTTTTATTGTTTGAAAGAATAAACCCTCTGTCGTTATCTCGCCATACTTCATGGACTCAGAGAGGGATACCAAGCCTGGAAACCATCAGCGGTCATCCAGTCCCTCAAGCCAAGAAAGAACATAGCTTCATCCATGCACGTAACAGCCCACTTCCTCAGACTTAACAAGTATTCCCATTCCCACCTACCTAGATCCAAACACCTTCCCAAAAGAGTTATCACTTACTAAAGACGCAATGCAAGCCACCACAAACCCGCGCATGAACTACGTAAGTAATTCACGACCCCTGCGAAACTCGGACCGTTCATTCGGCAACTCAGAACGTGGCGTTCTCCAAGCCAGCGAACCTGCAGATGCGGAGTTTCGTTAAGCGCTTTTAAATTTTAAATCCAGGGCAAACTTGTTTGAGGGGTTCAGCTCAGCTCAGCTGCGCCGGCACTTGGTTTGTTTGCTTTTGGGGATGTGGAGAGCTGGTGCGCTCTCTGTCTGCATGGGCTTTTGTTTAGGGTAATGAGTTACGGAGTGGGCGTGTTTGGTTTGTTCGGGCTTAGCAGTGTATGCTTGGGGTTTGGATTTTGGCTTCTTGTTGACACATAGTATTATGTTTGGGATTGAACTTACGCTGAGAGATACGGTGGCACTTGGGTATAGAGACTCGGGGATTAAGTGTATGCGAGCAATTGCGAGCCTTTCTGACAGGGCCTTAACATGATCAGTGTAGTACCTTACCTTCCAGCCCCTTATCTCTTTTCTCTTGTCATGTCTTTGCTGTATACTCTGTGAGGTACTCGAGTGGCACATACTACAGCGTATACAACAGGTCTCTAACCTTCAAAGCATTCCTGATTCCTGTCGTAAGTCTTCGGTTACATCGGCCATGCTCATCTAACAACTTTATTTAGATCCGTTCTTGCATTCTCTGCTCCTTTAGTGCTTACTTGTCGGTTTCCCCGCCTTCGATTATCTCCAACTAGCTTCGTGCTGAAGGGATCGTCTTTTGCATCTCGCTTCTGCGCGACACTCGAACTAGTATGTAACATTCCCCACATAACGCAACAAGGATCTTCACAATAAGCGGGTTCTAGACATTGATACAGACATAGGAACCGGCATAGGAACCTGGGTACTAGACGTCGATGGCGTGTATCCCGTCGCAGAGGATGTCGCGAGAGAGTAGTTCTCAGCCAGATCTAGCCCGCCTGCATGCCATATAATGTAAGCTTCTACATCGACGACGGCGAGAAGCCTAGGTAGAGAACTCGCCGTATGATTTCATCTATTGTCGCTACAGCGCGGGCTCGGTCCGCGACTGGCCCCAGCTGGTGGGTTGAGTGTCATGCGACGGAAAATACGATGTATTCGGTTGAGGGAGGATAACTACGTGCTGAGGATGATGGAGGAACTGATGAGAGTGTTGGGCTGACGATGGAGCTGGAAGGAGATTTCGGGTGGAAAGATCCATGCCGTGTTTGAGATGGTAGTTGTGAAGGCGCAGAAGTCATCGACACAATGGCCATAGTGATGATTATGAATGAAAACTGATGTGAGAACATCTGCATGATGATCCAATTGATGAAACGCCATATAATCGCCAACCAACTCATCCAATTTCCATCGTGGAGAACAATGCACCCAACGCCGGAGATGAATCCAAAGGAAAGAAACAAAAGAGGGGGGGGGTTTATACTCCCCGCCAGACCACATGACACCACGACACCCACGAGGCCACAACACCCCGAAACCAGGCCTCCATCCCAGCCATACAATGCAAACACTGAAAACCGAATCCACAAGCCTGATAATCCCAAACATACCCCCAAGGCAACAACTCCCCGAGACTCATCACCGTCAACACCTTCTCTTGCCCCTCCTCCCCCTCCCCATTCCCCGCCCCGTCCCGATCCGCCTGATCCACCACCACGCCAATCCCCGGCCACAAGTCCGCCAAAACCTGTCTGCACCGCCCACACGGACTCAACACCTTCCCGCTATTATCGACCGCCACGATCGCCGTCAGCGTTGTCTCCGCGCTCAACCCGACCCCGACGCCCGCGGCGGCCGCGACGCCCAGTACCACGAGCTCCGCACACGGCCCGCCGGTGAAGTGATAGACGTTGAGGCCGGTGTGGATTTTGCCCGCGGAGTCGAGAGCGGCGCTGGCGACGGAGTGGGTGTCGGATTTGGGGAGGGAGGTGATCAGCTTGGTGGCGGTTTCGAGGAGGAGGGTTGCTGTTCCTGTTGGTGTGGGGGATGTTTTGCTTGAGGACATTTTATGTGGGTTTCTGTCTGGTCTGACGGGACGTGGGTTGGTTTATGTTGGGTTGAGAAGGTGAGTTGGGCATTGGTTCGGATGCGGGGAGGCTCGGGGTGGAGTGGGTTATACTTATGTTCCAATAAATGGACCCTGGACCCGACCTGCCAGCTGCCTGCCTGTTTGGGATGTCGGGGTGCGGCCAATCCGGTGCTGAGCGGTGCATACTTACGGGAGAGGGAGGTAAGTTTTGTCCCACCTCGTATAGCTCCACGATCATGATGCAATGTGCGACTGAAGAAGAGCTATACAGCATGGGATCTAAGAGTGAATTAATAAAACGTGAAATTCATAAATCATTCGCCAGATCGCTATAACGCATAAACACCCTTACAACGTCGCAATTAGAAAATGAATAAAGAGCTCCCGCGATCTAAATCCCGAACGAATCGATCCTCGACAGACTGATTATCTCCACTTGTACTCGCCCCTCGGAGTTCATCGCCCCTCGCCCAAATCCTCTCCGTCAACTCCATCGCCGAATGGCGTTGCTGCTCGCGATAATAAGCCGTCATGGCCTCATGTTTCCCTCTCACCCAGTTCCTATCCTCGACCGTGATGGCCTCTCGCGCCGCAAGATAGAACGGCTGCGGCAGCGACGAGTCCGGTCCGCAGCCCGTCGGCAGATGATCCATCAGTCGGAAGCAGGTGTGCGCGAGATACTGGACTCGCGGGCTGCGGGTGGGATCGCGGAAGACGCGACGAGCGAGGAGAAGATGGGCGGTCCAGTAGAAGCACTCGGATAAGATGTCCAGCGGGGACCGGGGACATGGGAGCTCGTCGGGGACGAGCCCGGTGTATCGGGTATTCCACGCACGGAGCTCGGTCTCCAATGTAAACGCTTGATTGAGGATGTCGTGGATCGGCAGGTTCGCGTCGAGCCGATCGTCAACATCGCATGCTAGATAGGCGATGCGCACAAGAAAACACATCAGTGGCTGCGGACACCCCGTCATCTCGTAGAACGAGGGCTCCGTGCCATCCCAGCGAGCCTCATCGGGCTGGTGCAGGACAAACTGGACCGGGGAGAATGGACGACGTTGTCGCGAGATGGCGAGCATGAGATCGACCATGGCGAATCGCTGTGCGGTCATCCGTGCCAGGGGGTTGTGGTTGGATATGTCATTGAAGTAGCCCAGGGCATGCATCAGGAACGATGCGCACTTGATGTGAGGCTCGACAACGCCGTCTGGGCGCTGCGCGACTACGATACCCTGCAGTACGACTGCCGCGAGACATGCCTCGTGTGTCGGATCGGTATGGGTCTGGCCTGGCTCGATTGTCAGGAGGCTCTGTCGGATGGATCGGAGCATGCGCTGCTGGCGCTCCGCGGCGACAGGAACGCTGCCTAGTCCGAAGTTGAGCATGTGCTCGGTTGCGATGCAGATGATGGTTTCGAGGAGGATGGGAGACGAGAGAGCGGTGATGGAGAGCTTGCGGTAGGGGTTCTCGGGTCCGTCCAGGGCTGGAACATTGGACGAGACGAGTCGGGTGTCTTGATGTAGTTAGCTCGCCTATCTAGTCATTCCTGTTGGTAAAGATAGTGCTGGAGTACTACATACAATACTCCCAGGCGGCCTTTTCCTCCGTCGAGCGGAAGGTATCCGCAAAAGGTGCAGGGGATCTTAAGACAGACAGAGCTCCCGCGCGGTGAGCTCGAGGCCGATGCCTAGAAGTCATGGGCTCGGTCTGGCGCATCCATTTCAAGCCCGAAGGATACTGGCACTGCATACCGCGGAAAGAGCAAAACGAGCAAATGGGGCGTTGTTCGTCGCACTTTTGGTGTTTTCGACGGCATGGGATGCATCCTGCCGGCTTCGTTAGTTTCTTGAATCAAGATAATCGGGCTTAGTCCACGCACGTACCAGTCCGCGACCTCGAGCTTGTCGTGCGCGTCATTTTTGGTATGAAAGATGAATAGAAACGGAAGATTTAAGATCTGGGTTGGAGTTGTAGTTGAGTTCCCCGCCGGCCTTCGGTCGGTGATTGGGTCGATGGGAAGGATTCGTATTCCGCTTCGGGAATAGCATGAAGTTGACTGTCAGTAAACGACAATGGCTTGTTAGGAGATGGGTTGCGATTTTGCAACTATCCAGATTTCTGAAACAGATATTCGCTTCTATCTCTGAAATCAGAAAGGCTGTGCTTATGTCGGAAATACACGGGCTCCTGATGGTGTGGGAAACGTTATAGGCCATTAAATTCATAAGTAGAAAGATATATCAAGCAACAAGTCGATCTCGAGGTAACCCTCAACCGAGGACATCTTTAACAGCAAGAGCCGTCTTCTCAACGATCAACTCCACCTCTTCCTTCGTTGTGTTATATGCCGGCGCCAAAACGATATGATCTCCATTCCTCCCATCAGCTCCCCCATTCCCTGGCATAAGCGAGATGCAATGCTCAGGCTTCAAGCCAGCCTCGTGGACCTTCCATGCCACGGCCTTAGACGGCGCGAACGGCTTCTTCGTGCTCTTATCTTCCACGAACTCGATCTACAACCCGTTAGCATCCACGCAGCACTACTAGCCAAAATAATCGAGAACTCACAGCCCAGAACAGCCCTCGGCCCCGAATATCACCCACATGAGGATGACCTCCCAATTTCTCGCTCAAAAGCTGGCCGAAGTACTCGCCCATGGCGCGCACATTCGCTAGCAGGTTATCCTCCTGGATGATGGTCTGCACCTTGTATGCAGCCGCGCAAGAGACAGGATGACCCTGGTATGTCTGGCTGTGCGCGAACGAGCCCGTCCCCTGCGTCAGCGTCTCAACAACGCGTTTATTGAATAGGAGGCCCGCAACAGGCACATAGCCAGCGCCCAGGCCCTTCGCAATGGTCTGCAGATCAGGCACGACGTCCTCCTGTTCCCACGCGTGCAAGGTTCCGGTACGGCCCATGCCAGACATGACTTCGTCAAGAATGAACAGCGCGCCGTGTCGCTCGCAGACTTGCTTCATGGCTTTCAGATACCCCGGCAAGGGCGGGACGCATCCGAGGGTCTGTCATTTCGCCCCAATGAATTAGCGACGAACGCAGGAAAATACGTGCAATTTAGAAACGTACCGCGCCGGCCATTGTCTCGGCCACAAAGGCGCAGACAGTATCAGGGCCTAGTCTGTGGAATTCGTCGTCCAGCTCCTGCGCTAGTCGAGCGACGTAGGCGTCGACGCTTTCGTCGGGCTTCATGTTCCGGTACGGATAGCACTGTGAGATATGGGAGACGTTTTTGGAGAGAAACTCCTCGTAGATCCCTCGACGGGCGACATGGTGTCCGATAGCTAACGACCCCAATGTATTTCCATGGTATGACTGCTGTCGGGAGATGAATTTGACGCGCTGCGGCTGAGGCACAGTCAGTTCGGTGAAGTATTGAATGGCCATTTTGGCAGCAGCTTCGACGGCCTCGGTTCCTACCAGCTGTCAGCCCTCAACTCCTAACCGGAATATCGAAAAGCCAAGGCAGGAGGACGTTGAATGACCTACCCGAGCAGAAAATCGACGCACGGCTCATCTTTCCGCCTGTCGAATCGACCAAGAACCTAGCCAGCTGCTCTGCCGCGCTATTAGTGAAGTATAAAGAATAGCAGTAGGGGATCTTCTGCAGTTGCTCGAGGATGGCGCCATGGACACGCTCATCGCTATGGCCGAGACAAGACACGGCCGCGCCGCATGTCGCATCTAAGATCTCCCGTCCGTCATCGGTCAGGATGTAGCTGCCTCGGCCTCCGACGATGTTCAAAGGCTTCTGGCGAAGCTGGCGGTAGAGAATTGCGTCCTGAGGACTGGTGGTCTCAGCGCCTGGCTTTGAAGCCGCTGCATCGGCCGAGGAGGTAGCAGAAGCAACAACCGCAGGAGTTTGGTAGTCACCCATAATGTCAATCAAAAGCAGTAAAAAGTAAACAGAAAACGAGAAGTGAGCTATATGCTGAATGCAACCCGCACAGCTGCCAGAACGAGCAAAACTCCAGCCCTTTTATAAATCAAGGAATGAAATAACTCCGCATTGTGCCCTCTGACAACATTCCGCCGTCATTGGCGACATTCACCACGGTGACAAATGGGTTGCTCCGTGAATGTATACAGGGCACGCTATTCCGCAAGGGGAAATCTTTGTCGGATCCACATGGATTGGCATCGGTCATCGAATCTCATTTGCGCGATAAAACAGGCCGACAGAGGAGCTGGGATGTCGTTGCACTCGGGTAGGAGTCATATTTCAGATTCGTCGGTCGTATGCTACGTCGGAGACTCGGATTGGTTGTCATGGCCGAAGATATGCATGCGTGTCCAGCTCAGTGCTACCAACTATCGGACTTGGTAGACATCATGGCTAACCAAGTCCGATTCATACGCTAGAAGTTCAGCGCAGGTAAGAAATTCTCTATCTGTTTAGTAGCTCACATGTGATTCTTTATAACCGAGAGAGGCGACCCACCCCCCTCTATAGAAGGATGAAGAATATCATTGGCGATCGAGACGAGCCCTACGAGAGAATTCTCCAAATCATGGGGTGGTGGATCTCACGAAACTACTTCGACTGGTTTCTATCAGGAATGCGTCAGAATCCTGATTGCTTCAAAATGATTCGGAACTAAATATCAGGTCTTTCCTCAAAGTACTGGGTGAACTATCATAATTCAACGAAATAGGGCTCGAATCTGAGTATGGATTGGTCATAGTCGACAAGACTGCGAGATGGAATTCCTCAAATATCAAACAACATGTCAAACAAGCAATAACCATACGCCACCATGGGAAGCTCTATGTACTTGCTAGAATACAAAAATCCAAGGGCAGGGAGGAATACTAAAAGAAATCCACGGAAACAAAATATTATTTTCCGGATGTGTCATGTTTACTAATAATCATGCACTGCTGTGCTCAACAGTAATAGCTGATGGCAAAATTCAGAAAGAAAAGCATCAGAAATTCCATAACGCCGGAGACATTAATTCATAAGTCACGTAGTCAGAACAGGCAATCACCAGTCCTTACCAATCAAGCTCTCTGAAGAGTGAGACTCAGTACTATCGATAATCCCACTTGACTGTACACTTTGAACGTCACCGGCAGACGGAGGTCGACCCACCTCGACAGGCTCGTCATCCAATCTCTCTGTCCGACCGTCATCAATCTGAGAAACCTCCTCCCAATCATCTTCGCTCCTTTCATCGGACTTCATCGAGATGTCTCCTGAAGGCCTTCCTTTATGACCTGTATCGGCCTTGAATCTTTTAGCATCTGGTTGTCCCTCCAAAGCAGGGTCCACGGTAGGTGGATCAGGAAGCCTAGCTGCAAGCAACTCGGGTGACGGCGAAGACTCACCGTCATCTTGTGCTTGTGGATCTGTTTCCTGATCACTGGAACGAGGCACGTCCTGGTCCACAGGAGGAAAGAACAATCTGGAAAGAAGTCAGCATCAGCACATCATAAACAATCGAACGACTGAACTCACGGAATGGACTCCTCGTAGGCAGCCTCATCAGCTGCTTCAAAGTTGCAGAAGATAACCCGTTCCAATTTGCCAATGCTTTCCGGTCTCTCTAAGAACCTGCGAGTCTCGTCAAGCGCAGTGCGGGCCGCCTCTCTCTTCGGATATCCATATACACCAGTGCTGAGAGCCGAGAAGGCGATGCTCTTCATGTTGTTCTCGACCGCCAACTCGAGACTGCGCCGATAGCAGCTTCGCAGGAGATTTTCCGGTTGCTTCGGGCCGCTTCGCCTCTCTAGCCCGTATATGGGGCCAACAGCGTGAATGACCTTCTTGCAGGGAAGCTCGTAGGCCGAGGTGATCTTGGCATCGCCGGTGTCGCAACCCCCCAAGGTGCGACACTCGTTTAACAAGTCTGGGCCCGCAGCGGCATGAATGGCCCCGTCGACGCCACCGCCTCCACGCAAAGTCTCGTTTGCAGCATTGACGATGCAATCAACGTCGTGCAGCTTAGTGATGTCATTCCGGATAAGCGAGATAGTATCATTGAAGGTTTTCGAGGGCGATGCGCGGGGAGAGGAGGCTGGAACCAAGCGCCTAAGCCTGTAGAGGAGGGAAACGGTGGGGATTTCGCTGATAGGAACGGCCATCTTAAGTCGCGGGGTAAGATGCGATTTAACACGAGTGGGATTAGGTAGCAATACTCTGCTGAGACAAGGGGTTGTACCCTGGATGAATAAACAATGAAGTGATGATCAGTGAAGCTTAGTTGTGTGAAGAAGCCCAAGGCAGAGGCCCACTTAGGCTGTTGATAAGGACGGTCTTTAAATAGACGATGATGATGGGGAAGGAAGGCAAGTCAGTCGTGACAGGCGGAGGGGAAAGCTTCCCCGCACGTGATTCCACAGGATTGTTCCGGTTATCGATAACGGAACTCTTATCTTATCGTGCGGATTTCTCCATCAGAGTGTGCCTAATAAACAAATGACCCCGGAATACTCCAGACATTGGGGCAGTATCATTTGCTATGCTTCAACTTCCGGTCCAATTGAGATACTTGGGAATTTGTCATTATGTCCCTCAATATATCACCAGTATAGCTTCTATATTGTGCAGTATTGGATCAAATATTGCCATTAGTTCCCGCAGCAAGCGTCTAGCACCTATTGAGATGCTCATATGAACACCAATCATTTGATCAGACTCAGTGATCCGATGGATTTGACCGGCCAAAGATCAGACCAGATCGGTGGTGACAAATACTAACCAATCTTAACTCATAGAATCAGGTCCGGATTTATATCAATACTTCATGGGGAAGAAAACGGCTTCCTAAACCAGCTGATACCACACAGCCCAGCAACTCGATCCAACGGTCTTACAAATTCCAATATGACACCTCCTAATCCAACGTAGACGCATAACACGGAGCACCATATTAAAATGACGAGTTTAATCCCCCTTTCCCGATTCCGACAATATACCCCGATATACCTGTGACCTGTAACGGATATACAGAGCACATGTATGCAATGTTAGCCTCAGCCTCACTATTAAGCTGATTATAGACTTCATGCTTCACTTTGAAACTAAACAGAACAAGACATCTCCCCCGGCCACGTATTGTTGCACTGCCATCCTGCCACCCCGCAAGGCCGAACAAATCCTAAAGCAAGGGTTATCTCTGTCTTTTCTCTTCCAGTCCTGTCTTCATGCGAGATCATCCGCGCTGTTCGTTCAGTTATCCTTACCCCGGAGGGATCTCAGTGGGCAACCAGACCATATCCGCCAAGTCTCATTATGCATGCTTAATTATCTGCATTGCCACATCACCCTGCAGCTGTTCATCCGATCCAAGACATAGAGGGAGGATAACTCGTACACGGTAAAACTCAAAAGCAAGGCGCTTACACGGTTTACACGTATGTTATTGTATGTAAATGTGTATGTACGTAAGTAAGGTACAAACCTGGTCATTTGTATCTATACCAGTAATCGTACCCCGATGGAACACCGTCAGCGATAGGGCAATCTGGTGGTACGGTTCAGATCTCAACTGGGTTCCACCGATCGTATTATTTTATTTCGCAGCCTGATAGGCAATCCGGTTGCCTTTTTGCCCTGCATATCGGCCTATAGGAAGAGGGGCAGAGTAAAACATAGAAACGACACTAACCAAGCGAAAACGAAAGTCAACCAGAAATGCGGAAGATACTCCAATCTCCATATTTGCCGGCGCGAACTGCGGTCAATGACAGCTGTCATTGGTGCCTTGCATAGAACAGAAGGGCACTGGCCACTATTTCCTAGTATAGGTAGGGAGGTATTTAGTAAACCTTCGACACTCCTCCGTCGAGTGGGGATCATTTATTGACCCATTTTCACATATCTCCGATCAAAACCGGGCGCTCTGGATCCGAAGCGAAAGAGAAGACGGATATTCACGCATATTGAGTCCGGGACAAACTTAGTCATGGTGGGAACCACTGACAGCACAACCCACATAAGCTGAGCTTCGAAAGCCAAACAGTTGCATCATAGGATGGAAGGTTCAGATGCACTGCCGCAATTGTCTACCGAGCAGGGGGCCGATCTTTAAAGATTGGCGATCTGAAGGGTGTTCTGCGACGATCTCCAGACCGGACCATCCGTTCATCGTCATCTCAACCACACGCAGACAGTCAGATACACGCATGCATCGATCGAAAGGGACGTCAAAAAACCGGTTTTGAATCGCGAGCCAAAAAAAGGAAAAATCAAATCCCAACGAGCAGACAAATCGCGGACCCAGTTCGGGCTGCTGGCTTTTTTCCATCCGTGTTCGCCGCTCCACCCGGCTGGCCGTCATTGGGTGGAAGCGAGTCCCAACATGGATTGGATCTCTCAGCCGGCGATCGCAACTCTAGCGTCCATCCACTCAATCAAGCCATGGTGGAGTCGCTGCAGCGACCAGACTCTTTGGTGTTCATGGTTCAGATCTGAGCTTCCTGCAAGAGATCTTCTGTTTGCCTTCCCTACCATTGGCCCATCTCGGTGACCTGACTCGAATTTGGAGCCCTGCAGAAAGCAATAGCTAATGTGGGTTGGGACAGGAGAAGGAGAACAAAGGGGGAGAGAGGCTGGGCAGAGAGGAGCCCGCCCCAGCCCAACCACCCTAGCTAAGCTGCTCAACACGATACTTCGATCGGAGGATCGCATTCCCCACCCCTAACCAGGGAACCCAAGCTGACCACTCTATAATTTGTCTAGTTCATGAACTCGGCAAGAACTTCCGCTAGCTAAAGAATTGAGATGGGGTTTCTCCGAGGCGACAATTTGGAATCCTAGCCACTATCGACGTAGCGTGATTTATACGAAATGCTGCCTGTGTACGGACATCGCGAGGGACATTGTTGTCCAACCAAGTCGCCCGAAATCAAACTCGGTGTGTATGCAGATCGTCTCCAGGGAAGAGAAACTTCATCGCACTAAGGACAAGTCATGCATGCCATCAGCCAGTGAGGTTGGATCCCCTCGTGTTCCTGTCCGAATCCCAGGGGCCAAAAAAGCTCGCACCATGCCGATTCAGGCGAGGAACCCTTTCAGCTGGATCGGTGGTTCCGTTTCCACTGGTTCCATTCCAGTAATTCTCAGATCCTGGTCTCGCATCACTATTAGGCTACGGAACCCCGATTCAATAGTCAGATCGAGATTGTTGGGAATAGAAGAATTTTCGAACCCAACAATCAGTCCGAATTTGCAAACTGTATGCTCGTCTGAATACAGCGTATGCATCCATTCCTGCCGGAGGCGTATATACGGTATGTGAGTTTGTCCTGTATGTATGTTATGTATGCACTTCGTACATGCGTATGTATATTGGATGGCTTCGGTATAGGTGTCTATTCCCTTCGATACGCTTGATCCGTAGGCTATCCTACCATTCCCTTATACTCCTCCTAGTCGAGCGAAAGAAACTGCCCTTGATTTTAGCTATCGCTGCGGTGCAACAACTGCGGGATGCAAGACTTGCTGTATTCTGCTGTATGTAGAGGATCGAGAATATGGCCTACATTTTGATGCCGTACATACGGGCCCCTACCCGAGCAGGATCAGACGAAAGTAAAACAAATTCCAGCCCCATTTACGTTTCACCACATAGACATACACATGTACCTGTACATACTGTACATACAGGCCCAGACCAAACCAAACGCAAACGCAAACACCATCAAACCGTCTCCAGACCAACCTGAAATATAACAGGTCTCATCCTCGACGGGTAAAACCTCCTGACCCATACATAGACGCAAGCCCAATATTCAATACCTCACTTCACCAGTCACCACGGAGGCCAGTCCCAGTAAAGCAAAGCAGCAGCAGCCAACAAACACCTACGATCCCATCCATGCATTACGGAGCACGGAGGCCTTATCCGCATTCGAAACAAAGCAGATCCCTGAACCCGCGCGAACCACTCAAATACCGAGACAAAGCAAATGCCGAGTCCACTAAGCGCCGCCCAAGAGAGACTAGCCAGTCCCAGATCTATTGAGTACCACGGATAGAACATAATAGTCGAGAACTAGGCACATAAGGCCATGCACACCGGGAAAGCCCACAGCGATCAAATGATCAGCGCAGACTCCCAGAACCAAGGTTTGGGTATGTGTGTGTGAGATCAGGAACGAGACGAGATCGACTTTTGGGCTGCGGATAAGCAGCGCCATGGTGCTACTGGCCGAAGCCCGCTTTTTTAAAAAGGCGCCAACCCAACCGGTCCCCTGTCTCGACGCTTTTTTTTTCGAATCAGTCGACTAGCTCTATACGGAGTAGACTACGGATGCTACGGTCTACCTGGGAGGACTTACGTGCATAGCTCCACTAGTTTAGAGACCGGCTGTCGTAGCCGATCAATCATTGACGAAAGATCTTGGGGGCTAATTATAAGCGCATATGGGGCATTGTGAGTTTGGCGGGGAGTTCGAAGGCTAAATTATGGAGGATGTTTACGGAGTAGTATGATATGTTCTACGGCGTAGAGTGGTGGTACAAGTAGAACCAATGTACATACTACGTAGACCAGATGATCGGAATCGAGTTTCTGCTCGGGTGTGCTAAATTGCTAATACTGGTAGTAGTTAATCAGGGGGAAAAAATAAAAATAAAAAAGCATACAGACTACGACTACAATCTAGCCCAGCTACTCTGTTAGATACACTCAATACGATCCTTGCATAACCCGGAACTACGGAATAGATGGAGGCCCTAAACCACTAACCTAGAAAATCACCAGAGGTATTGCATAAGTGCACGTTTCCTCTCAAATAGACTACTCCTAGAAGTCGAAGAACCATACTCCGTAAAGAAAGACTATTCTATCCTGACCGAAACAAGACCCACCGTATCGATCGATCGCCCAACAGAAACCTCGACCCGATTTCTGAAAGTGGACTCTGCGTCTGGCTGCTGCACCCCAAAAGTTTCGACCGAGTCCATGGAGCCGAAGAAGGGGGGGATAAAGAATCCATTTGATGTGTCTGGCTGATCCCTAACAGGATCAACAGGATCGAAACCGACTATGGAGTCCTCCTCATCCACCTCCGTAAGAGGCACACAGGATATGAGATCGCGATGCATCCGACAAAAGCAGCGGAAGAACCTGCAAAGTGCATAGCGCATCCTTAACATTTTCATAGCCGGAACACCCCGATTAGAACCCGGGTAGTGGGGCTCCTGCTTTAGTGCGGCCGAAGCAACGCTACGCTACGGCAGAGTATTTCGAGAGAGTCATTATTACTTCGCTATTGGAGGAATACACGGTGACACCATTTTTCTACAGACGCCGTAAATTGAACGGGAAGAGGTCTTACTGCGACTGGGTAGAAACAATCTAAATTAATCTAATTGACCTCCCGGTTGAAACCTATGACGTACACCGTCTTCCCAGCCCGTCGGGTGACACAGGGTTCCTCGGTCGGATCTCGGAGAAATCGCAAAGTCTGGAACAGGAGCCCGATGTTCCCGCACATGGTGCTTGGGCAAGCCCCCCGAGTACTCCGTACGGGGGATCTGATACTGACCAACCCGAGTAAGGCAAACCTGTCTAGCCACCTGGTCATAGCGGTGATGTGGCATGACTGATTTGAAATCATCTGAGAACGAAAAGAAAAAAAAAGGATGTGGGTACGCGGCATGTTAATTCCAAATACCTCTGGGACTATATCTGCATGTCCCTACATAAGGTATTTCGAATGTATACCGGCGTAAGATCAGATACTCCCTGAATACTTCGAACGAAAGAATCAGAGGTACATGTATTACAGGGTGTTTTTCTCAATACGCTGGCGACAATACCATACTTACCCACGAGTACTGGTACTCTGACAACGGTTCATCTGTCCGGAGCATAGCGGTCTGGGATAGATTAATACCATGTGGCCTAGACTATCTAGAACACAGGATCAAATCTAAGTGAATCTCGATGCTACTGATGGGCAAAACGGCAGAGACGGAGCAGCAGGTTATTTATCACAGATCACCATTTGAGTTTCCAATCTATATAACTTTGACTAAAATCATCGATTCCCCATAACTTCCCAGTAATACTATACGGAGTCAGTGCACTAGAAATAAGACAACACGCCGAATGTTACACAACCACCCCATGAGAAAAATAAAATAAAACAAAATAAAACAAAAAATGAAAATAAAAATAAAAATGCATCCGCCACGGTGTACTCCGAGCGAGAAAAAAAAAATTCAAATCAAAAACAGCGGTGAGACAGATCTCAGCCCTCCCTGTACGGAGGAAAAAAGCCAAGAGGTCACAGGGTTACACTATTGACGAAATTCCAACCCTTCCGGGCGCTGGTGGCTTGAGCGAAAAGCGGTAGACTAGTCGCGGAGAGAGAGGGTCCCCCTCCCTCATGCAAGATGAGATGCGATACGATACGATGTGATTGAGATGAGATGAGATCCCGATCGATTCCGTTCATGCCAAAGTATTGCTTCGACAACTTCACGTCCCTTTTGTGTTGGTTCTGTTTGTTGTTCGCTTGCTTTGCACCAGTCATACTGGTCTATATAGATTGGCCTCTAGTGCTCTTCTAAGAGCTAGTAGGTACTGTTATGTAGTAACGCCCCTCCCCTCCCCTCCATAAGGCAACCAAGTGGCTTGTTACCGTTATGCGATCGATGATGCTCACTGTGTGGTGGTGGTTATTCCCTCGATCCAGCGGTCGCCGTATACTCCGTACTCCGTGCGTAGTATGAGCGGTGGACCGGTCGCCATCAGCAACCTAATTAAATTAATATTAATAAAAAATCACATGTTGGAAATGACTCAATTAGTTGAGATTTTGGCAGGTAGATTGCCCGAGGCCAGCCCGAAGTTTGTTCCTCAGACAGCCAAAGTCCGAAGGATGCAGAAAAAAAATTTTCCATCTAGCAACAGCAAGGCCGAAGATGAACTCCTCCCGGCCGTAACTAACTTCATCATGCCACACCCATCCCGAAGAAAGCATCGGTGGTTCCGCGGGGGCGGTTCTGGGCGGTTCTACTGCGTCCTGGAGCCTTCATTGGTCACTGGACTGGCAGTTAGCAGGACTGGGATTAGGTAAGGCGGCTTAGTGGACCGAGGTTCTTCTAGATAGCTGTGCTATACCGCATCTGGTAATCCATTTTGCTCTCCCGCCCGAGAGAAAGAACAAGGCATTGTGATGGTTGTAAGGGCCCACGACACAAAGACTCGACAATAAAAGACGCGGCTACCTCTCCACGTTTCTAGAAAAGGACGTAAGTCCTAACAAGGTCTTTTTGGTCCGAGGCTAAAATCTCCCCCCAATCCGACGGCGTACTCCGATCCAAGCCTCGGATTCCGTTCCTATCGGACGATACTAGGATTGCGCCCAGTCCCCGAACGCCTTTAACGATTTGTTCCGGATGGAGATAACCGCGGTACTGGCGCTTCGCTTGCAGATTCTTCAAGAGGCAAATAGCCTATAATGGCAAATAGGAGTCAATAATTATCTAGCCAAGTCTTCGGTTCCTGTGAATACCCGCCGCCACACTGGCGGTGGCTACGACGACAGCCCTATGCGCTTAAGGGATAGCGAATTGGATCGTCTACAGCGCCTTCGCTTGGTCTTGTATGACATAACGTAATGCATGAGATCCAGGGCTCGGGGAGAAAGAATTGCCATCTTGAGCTGTCCAGGTAAGTCTTGCCTCCGTCGGGACATTGCCGTAGATGATGACGACTTGCGGAGTACGGGTTGCCAGAACGGGTCAAATACAGGGGGAAGCAGCACGAATGATGGAACATTGAGCCAAGTCATATTGCTTAAGCAAAAAGACCTCATGAAAGTACAATTATTAGATGAGTATATATACATTCAGCCACGGTAAAATACTCATAGACAGCCATTATTACATCAATGTCATTGCACAAAATCAACCTCTCAATTTCTTTTTCTTTTCAAAACAGGTACGACGTGAGTGCATAAAATAACATCATGACACATATGACAATGATCGTCGCCTGTGCAAATCCCAGACAAGCAAAGCGATAGGTGACGGGTAAAATGGGGGTATATGGTAACAAAAAACCAATCAACGCAACAGAGCGGCAGTAAATCCAGTAAATGGCATCCAACTGTGTACACGCCAGTCCCACAGATGCAGCAGTCACAAAACAAAGGAAATAAAAAAAGAAAAGAAGAGAAGCAAGTCAAGTCTATCCAAATGCCTTTTCCCACAACGTGCGAGGGGTATTAAAAATAATTCCAGCGACCAACCAGAACGGAAAACAATAAGAAAATCCCATAGACGCTTCACAATCAACAGTAAAACTGGGACTGGGCCTGTCTCCTGGAAGCAAGATGGAACGGAACCATGCTTGAGAGGAAACATTTGGACCAGACCAACCTCAAGAGGGTTTCTGACCAAAAGTGATGAAAAGGACACTGTAAAACGCCTGGCAGTTCTAATCCCAAAGCCTTTTCAACGCCACGTAAATCAAGCCGGATTGACATATTAATGGCTACTCGGGGATGCGGAGTCGAGGGACTTGGGTTTGAGATTCGACCCCAAGGAAGACGCCTGTTTGGCACCCATCTTGCGCGTCAACTTGGCATAATGCAACCCGCAGGCATTGCATAAAGTCCGGGCACCATCTGGGCCACGACGCCATTCCGGTGTTTCGGCTCGGTTACAGCTGTGGCAACGACCAGGAGGAGCCGCTTTCTGCAACGACTGTTAGCGATGGCAAATCACAAGTGGATAATAAGGGATATGGAGATGAGGAAACAGGGAACCAGAGGCAAGAAAAAAAAATTAAAAAAAAAAAAAGAAAAGAAAAGAAAACACGTACCCCTCGTCGCTTCTTTGAATCCGGTCCGGCAAACCCGCCACTGCCCTTGAAGTCCTCTTGGTACATTGCCATGTGGTCATCTTCGCGGATCCCACTATGTTTGTAGGCTTTTCGTTGGGCCATTTGCTCTGCCAAGGCATGTTCCTGGTTCAAAACGGCGGTTCGTATACGCAATAGAGCGTCCTGATTCCGCCGTTGGAGACTAAGCATATCCTCCACCTCGTGTAGAGAGGGCAGAGACCCTAAGACTGGTCCAGAACGCTGGGTCTGGTGCGCTCTTTGGGCATAGTGTCGCGAAAAGTCCAAAGTGCGGGTGCTCATTTCGGCAATCTACTCCAGTCAGCAAATAGTCAAATGCATTCCAGTGGCTCTTGAAGACCGATCAATCCACTGTTTTCCTAAAAGAATACCACCTACCTCATTGAGTGACTGCTCCACATCGTAGACCTCGGAGTGTCGCTTGACAGAATCCGGATGAGGCTGTCCCGCCATCGAGTGACCCGCGTATCCACCCTTCACTTCGTCAACGCGCGCGGCCTCTGCCATTCCCGGCTTCCAAGGCGAGCCGCCATAGGGCCTAGCGTCGTATGAGGGGGGATATGCTGGCGCATTCGAAGGGGGCTGCGACTGAAATGAGAATGACTGAGAAAATGGGCCATATCCATTGGGGGAAGCGATACCACCTCCTGCCGAAGGAGGGGCACTGTATTCATATCCAGATCCCGCTTGCGATCCCGAAATTGACGTGAACCCTGTCTTGGAGCTTTGCGTGGGCGATTTTCCCGAGCTGAGCGACTGAAGCGAAGCATTTCTCGAGTCCTGGGTGTTCACCGTCACCAAACTAGTCCGCGACGGTTCCGTTTGTAGCTGAGGTTGATGAGAATATGCAGAGTCTCGAATAAACGGTCCGGAGGGCGTTCCACTTAGAAAAGGGTTTGGGGGTCCAGCCGGTCCTTCTCCACTGGGACGTCCCATAAGATTCGAAGAAACAGAATGAGGCGGTGGTGCATGAGGTGACTGTTGGGGAGGTGCGGAAGTGGGAGCAGGGTAAGGGAGAGGGTTATCATTGCCGAGAGCCTCGTGGATCGACGGGAGAGACTGTCTCTGAGGTTGCTTCTCTCTCTCCTCTTCCAATGCGCGGCGTGAATCCGGGGGCGAAATATATCCAGCCGGGACAGACCCTGCGCTGTTGGTCGACGGCGGGTAGGAGTAGGGTAGTGGTTGGCCCGGATACATGCTGGTCGGGCTGAGAAGTGGTGCTGGAGATGTAACGGTTCCTGATGTAAAAGCAGGGTGCTTCGGGGGATATACAGGGCCTTCTTTATTCAAAAGACCTAGAGCTGGCAAATGATCTCTATTGACAGGACATGGAACATTAGCACATTGAGTTTTCCAATCCCTCGGACGAACTCAGTGGGGTGTTTTGCATTGAAAGTTTCAAGGGGCAAGGGGGGGGTAAAAAAAAAAAAAAAAAAAAGACGGAAGGAACGAACCTATGCCTATGACCAGCTTCCAAAGACCCCATGACGCCAATGGTTCGAGTTATATACCTGCTCGTTCAACTGCGATCTCATCCACTGCCAAGAATCTGGTGCGATTTGCGTGGCGATATACTGTCTCGAACGTAAACCGTGGTAGGCCGTGTCGCGACAGCAAGATAAAATAAAATAGAAAATGTCGAAAGGTGTTGTAAGATTCCGCGGCAAGGTAGAATCAAATCAAAGCGAGTAGTGTAGCAGAGGGGGATATAATGAGGTCAAGTAAGTAACCCTTGAGACGTCACCGATAGACCTGACGACGAGGTGGATGGGGTGTATTTAACGAGGACCGGCGTTCTTTACTCCTGAGGAGTGCGAGGGAGACCGGGTGAGGAAGGTGAGCGAAGAGCGAAGAGATGAAATCACAAATCACACGGTGAGTGCCACCTCTCCCTTCAACCCAAGGTTGTCTGGGGGTGGTGGCGGTTGTGGGGGGTGAACAGAGAGATTAAATCGGACCCGGGATGCGGACGGAACGACGGCCTGAGGAAGCAAGACCAAAACAGAAGCGTTCAGTCCTGTCGGAACGGCCACTCGACGGCACGGCAATGATTGGAACGAACAACTGCGTGGGAAGGCAAGTGGCGTTGGGAGATCAGGCCGTCTGCAGGCGACGGGATGCGATCGCGATTGCCTGCAATTGTCAAATTGTAATTAATTTGATAGCAGCCAAGGCAGCGGAGGGCCGAAAGGGAATCGATTAATCGCAATAAAAAAAGAAACGAGAAAAAGAAGAAAAGAAAAGAAAAGAAAAAAGAAAGCCAAAGTACGGCACGCTCCCGCAGTGCGCAGCGAACAGATCAGATCGGAACGGCCCTTCCAGCGTTTCGAATAATCATCTGTCCAAAGCCAAATCCACCCGATGAGCCAATGTGAATTTTAACCGTCGGATTTTTTGGGGTCGGATTTGAAAAGAGAGATAGATTTGATTGTGTTTGAGTTTTCTTTGCGGACGGGAGTAGAGCGGCGGAGGCACAGTACACGCAAGGGATGGCGATGAATGCGTCGCGTGGAAGGGAGGGGGAGGTTGTTGGCCTTTTTTTCCCTGTCTTGTCCTGCCTTATCTTTTTCGGGGTCTCGATTTCTCTCGCAGAGAGAAATGGTGATTAGGAAGAATTATTAATTAAAAATAATGGAAGAAGGTAAGGAAAGAGAACAAGAACAGAAGTCGGGGAAGAAGAGAAATTCAAGAGATGGAGGATGGTGGAGGGGAGCCCAAAGATCAGATGAAATGTCAAGGGAGTCGGAGTGGATAGAAAATTAGCGAATTGAACGAATTAGAGGATGATGTATTAGAGCGAAATAATTCTCTCTTGTCCTCTGATATTTTTTTCTCTCTGTTTTTTCAAAGGGAAAAAAATAAAAAGCAGCAGCCCTGGCTCTCCGTCTCGTGTGGAATGCAAGAAATCAAAAAGGAAGAACGAGGTGCTGGGAGAAGTGGTAGGCGGGCATGGGAATGATAGTAGTCGTAAGGAAGAAGGAAGCTATTATAATTCCTACCAGAGAAGATGAAATAAGAGAAAAGGTAAGTCAAATAAACTAAGGGAAAAATATAGTCAGAAAAATAAAAAATAAAATAAGGAATAAAAAATGGAAATGATCGAAAATAAAAAAGAATAATATTAAAAATAAATAAATCGAGGAAAATAAAAAATGGGAGAAAATAAAATAATACCACTTAGCAAACCAAGTCCTACTCAAGACTATTCCAAAAGACCGCCACAGTCAGGCCCGCACACACGAGAGCGCGAGTGGAAGATATGGGGGGATCCAGACAGGAGCTACAAAAACGACGTCGGCCCAGCACTGGTGAGCTCAGACCTGGAAAATTAAGAGACAGACAGACAGGAGGAGCCAGAACGGGACTTACGAGATCGTCAAATCACGCTGCCATTCATAGCCATTTTAAAGTTACGGCGAATTACAGAAGCTTTACGGGCTGCGAACTGCGGATCTTCGAAGAAGTGTGGAGTGAGTTGGGATCATACTGGCGATGTGCGGATATCTGGGTGGGGAGCGATGGAGCCTTACCAGGGGGGTTGTCCCTGGCCCAAAAGGACGAGAGGAATAAATTAAATTAAAAAAGAAAAAGAAAAGAAAAGGAAAAGGGAAAAAAAAAACCACAGAGACACCAACTGATCTAGTGACCCACCCCACTCTTTTTACTTCTGTAATGCGATTTACACCACGTATTTTACTCACCTTCCCGATTCTCGATTACCTTTACTGCACCTGTATTCCTACCTGGTAGTGGTATTATACGTTTCTCTCTTCGCGTATAACAGATATATCCAGTCTGGTTAATCTTGATACTTATAAAAAGCATAGCAGAATATGACAAAAATACCTCCTCCTGGCTACATGAAGAAATTCTGAGGCAGAATTGTCATGTAATTAGTCACAGTGCCCATCGACCCCCTTAATCCTGGAAACGATCTTGCACCTATTCCGTTATGCAGTAGGGCTACCAAGATCCAATTCGACAAAAAATGGATTGTCTTTGCTACAGTAAGACTACACAATACTTTCGAGTGGTAAGGTGGTCCAGGTAGATACCTGGTACTAGGTATCTACCACTGGTAAGGTAGAAACGGCATTGGTAATGCAGGTGTAACAATACCAGAATAAAACATCCATATTCCAGTATTGTACAATACTCCAAGATATTCTGGTTTTAATGTATTGATAATACCAGCTTACCAGCACAGTGGTGTATTAATACTGTATATGAAGTGTGTACTCCGTATGTACTGTAGGTACTAAAGCTTGCACCATAATAATATTTATTATTTATGATAAGTGGCCCCTATCATTGTTGGTTCAAGGGCGATGGGTCAAAGCCAGAATCGAGATCCATAGATCGCAGGCTACACAAGTTAGAGGAACGGCCGGCCGGCTTTAATTTAAAAAAAAAAAAAAAAAAGGAAAGGAAAAGGAAAAAGAAAAAGAAGAAAAAGGAAGGACACTAGAGAGACGGGAGAGTTAGCACAGATGACAGTCCGGTTGACTATTCTGTAAAGCTCATCAGCCCCAGTGGGCAACTGATGATGGCGACACGAAAAAGAAAAAAAGGCAAAAAATTAAGATAGCCTTTAATATTAGATAATAAAATAATTGAAACTTAAGCGAGTGCTACATAAAAAGAAACCTAGGAAAATATACAGGGGATGTGATGATCAAGCACCCTTTCAGCAAGATCATCCCCCCTCCAAAGGAATCCGAAGGTATGTTGGCTGTTCATCAAGCAAATATAATTTTGCTAGGAGAATTGATCTTAGATTAGCTGTCTGCAGGATGTTAACGCCCAGTGGACAACCAGCCATTGTTCAAAAAAATCAGATATCTTGATACGCTTATTCCAACTCATGCCAGGGCGCCTGCGATAGGGAAAGGTGGCCCGTTGAGTCTGGTAGACGTATATATATCTACTGAATCCGTTCTACAATAAGACATTTCCCTAAGCCCACCGCGATGTACAGAGATCCAACTTAAGACAATATCCAAGTATGCGATTATTTATAATCCATGATCTAACTCGAATATCCTGCGAAATGTATATGGATGGTAGTTGATGCCACGGGGCAGCCAGAATTGAACACCAGGCTGCCACATCCCCCTCAGACCAAAATTCGAGGAAATGATGAACGCCAAGAAACCACTGGAAGGGTGTGATTCAAACCTGCACCAGAGGGGGGTGCAGTTGTCTCTCCTTGGCCCAGATCTGGTAACGATCGCAGTGGGGAAGCCGGATCGCGCATCAGTAAGACACACGCTCACGCCCATTGGCGTCTGCAACCAGCCCAAAAGAAAAAACATAATAATATTGGGTAAGCAAAAAACTTGCACCGTTGAAAATCCCAACTGGAAGAGATCCGATCACTCATTCGCCAGCGCGGCACAAACACCCAAAACCTGGCTGCAGTCATGGTCAGATCCCTTCCTGCAAGAAGGAGCGATTCTTTCCAATTTTAATACGCTGATGTTGGCCTTAGGGCCTCGGGGGTTCGAGAGACAAAACGGGTGACAAGAAAGTAGGTACTTTGTAATAAAATGGGGGACAAGAGCTTTTATTTTCTTGCTTTCTTTTTTCCTGGAGGAAAAAAGAAAGCAAGAAAGGCCAAACAAAAAAAATTAAATTAAATTACTAGTTCAAAATTCACAGTATATTTATCAACAAAGGCACATACAGACCCAATCTCATCTCGATTCCCCCTTGTACCTGAGCGATTTGTTCCATGGTACTGTGCAACGCTCCCCGCTTTCCCTTGCTCGAGATCTCGGGCGTAGCCGTTCGTGGGTGGCACCATTGTCATCTCGATCATCATCCTCGGTCTGAGGGGTTGGTATGGATCCGACGGCTTACCTTTTTATTTTATTTTTTATTTCTTACTACTGCGTATAATTTGAGACCCCTGGTCAATTAATTCTGCATAAACAATGGGAAGTCTGACAAAGTTAGTGAATGGGGCGGACCGTCGAGCATAGATAGTAGTCTTGCTAACGTGCGTTAGGGCATCGGGGATGTACGCAGTATAACGTCTCCTGAGATTGGGCCTTGGCCTCCGTTGGCCCTAGATGGGGCTGGCCTACTCTATGCGAGTCTCCCTTCTGCATCTACTCTGTAAATCCCGATTAATTTTTTCGCTGCTCCTCTGAGCTATAGCCACAATTTGGGGGTTCTCCGTGGTTGACTGGAGGCAAGGATTGGCATCACACCACCAGCTGTCCTAATAATAACCGTGGTCATCGTTATCAATAGATAGTCGTCCATAGATCCGGACAAATTCCCCAAGAGAGCTACCCCGAGGTCACATGGTTGTCGCATCATCACCTCCGCTCCACGCCTAGTCGCCCTGAGTCTCAAGGGCCAGACCCCAAGTTAATACTCTGTACTAATTTTTGCCTTGGAACGGGGTCGTGTCTGAAATGATCGCAGTCGCAAGTATATCGAATCCCTCAACCCATGCTTCTAGTGACACGGCTCAACCGCATGGGAGAAACACCGGACAACATGCGCTGTTACCTTAGGAGTTAGCCCGGCCTAAGTTATCTGTGACATGCACGTTGCGGATTCATGGGGGGAAGAGGGGGTCGATCCAGCCGAGATCCGGACCACATGATTGGGAGATATCCAGCGGAGGCGCGCATTGTTTTATCGTCCATCCAACCCGATCCAAACCTTGACTCCAAAATGAGGGGAACCGTGGGTTGGCGTGACACCAGTTCGAGGGGCGGGATTTTTTATTATTTGTTTAATCATCGCTGACGGCCTCTCCAAGATGCACCTGATTGCGAAGACTGGAGCATCTTGACTCCGGTTTTCCTGTATCTGATACTTGCTGGCTGCAACTTCCGCTTCATCAGGTGGCTACGGCTATCCCACCCAACCGGTGGATTCGATTACAAGATGACTGTCGGTCGGACATTGACCGTTGCCTCTTCCGGCTACATGCGCAGCTTTCGGTATGTAGGTATCCCCACTAGGAGCAAGGTACTACAGAAGAACTACCTGACTCCCCCCCCCCTTTTTTTTTTCTTTTTCGTTTTCACTCTTTTCCTTAGTACGCTCCCTGGTTTCCTGCATCGGGAAGGGGGATCGAGAACTTCATCGGACATTCTCTCCAGCCGCCAACCCCCCTGTATCACGGGGAATGAGCTCTTCGTATTGCGGTGCATGAGTGGACGAAAGAGATCGTCATTCTGAAATGAACCTATATACACCATATCATATTTTAATCTCACGGGGAATGTGACCTGTCATTCGAACGGATCGGATGGGGTTTAGCATGCCGGCATTGCTCGATCTCGATTCCTAGCACCGGCGTACCATGATTGTGCCCCTCGAGTTTATCGGGCATACAGAATTACAGATCGTTACGCGGCCGGGGTATCGCCTCGTATCGCGACTCGATTACGCATTGCAGGTGCGGCGATTTGCGCCCGCAAATGATTGGCAGTCAATAATAACAAAGTGCCCCCAATGATTTAGGTAGGAAATAAGTCAATCGATCCAATTGAATCCATAGTTAATTATTATCTATGGGAGCCAGCCACTGCTCCGTCGCCCTTGAAGAGTTACCCATTCACCACTTTTATGTGACAGCCAGCGTGTCTCGGATCCAGCACCAGTATGTAGGTTTGTTTGACAGACGCTTAGGCGCTGTACGGCCGTTACCTCCCTTCATCTGGAACCACGCTTTTCCACCGGTGCACCACGACGATTAGCTCCATCTGCAGCCTCTTCGAAACAGATTGTGTCCCGTCAAGCTGGACTGGAACATCCCCCCTTGGCGTATCCCGCAGTCTGGGAAAATCCTGCCTGGTAAGGCACTTACAGAGTACACTCCTTACGTACCGGCGGAGTAAGGACGGGCACATCTATGCTCGTTGGAACTGCAAGATCTTCTCCAACGCAAAACCGCGTGCATATTGGCCTCCAGCTAACACCAGCTGCTGACGTTTTTTTTTTTTTTTTTTTTTTTTATTATGGTTGTTATTTTTATTTTTTGTGGCCCCGTCCTCGGTTCTCGAGTGGACTTTTTTGGTCGGACTAGATTGAACTAGTCATTAACAGATGGCGCTATTATTGTCTTAGGAAGATCAACCATGCGATCTTTGCCCAACAGGGCAAGAAGAAACAACAGGGGCCCTCGCTCTTACGAAATATGAGCCGAAGATCACTCGAAGGAAGGAATTTGGGAGTATCGGGAGGGCTGAACAAGATAAGCATGTGATGCTTCAAGACAACCGATCTGACCTGACGCAGACCGATATCTTGATCCGGGGAAAGGAGTGGCTGCATGGGTGTATTTTTGTCTTCTGTTTTGCTTTTTCGTTTGCCTTGCCTTGCCGTACCTTCTTGTTTTTGCCTTAGTTTTTGGTCTTTTGCTTCCCCCTTCTGCAGCTGTCGCTTTCTCCGATAAAGTCAAAGGCTGAGAGTTTCCGCCATGCCGGATTCAATCCCAGCTACCACGATTTGGAAATTCTCCCATCTCCCAGCTCCAGCTCTCAAGCCGATGCCGTGGTTGTACGGTGTGCCAGTCAGTGCACAGACAGCGACCAACCCGTGATGGATCCAACGGTCGCGCCGGATTTGACCAATCCAATCAGACTCGTAACACGGCCGGAACGTTTTCTGTCAGGAGGCTGATGAATAATGCGGATATCTCCTCCGTCCCTCGACCTGCCACTGGATTTCATTTCCTCCGAAGAAAGGGGGCTGGTATGCGATCGCACCAAAAACACCCAGTAAAATAATCGCAACTGAAGCAATTGGATTGTCTGGAAGTATTACTATTTCCGTCCTTTTTGTTTCCCCCCTCCCTTCCTCTCTTCGAATTTTCATAGTCTTCCACCATTCCTACCATTGGAGACGAAGAACGATGGCAAAACTCGCCTATTGGAGGTCCCACCGACTGGAAAGTCTTGGGATTTGAGGTACCACCGGCGGAATGGAGCTAAAATAACAAATCCCGAAAATTCCAGCACGCTCGAGTCGCCGAGTCCAGGGTGGACGGTGCGACGCTTTGACCAGATGGATAACAGCTTAGTCCAGACTGGGACCGGTTTGCAAGCCGATTACAACCGACATCATCCCGCCAGCCAAGTGCCTTGGTAGCAGGTACCGTACATGGTACTTTCGAAATGTGGCGTATCGCTTATCCCAAGATGTTGCAGCAATTCCCTGCTCCTTTTGCTCAACCCGCATGCGCGCGTTTAAAGCCTCCCGGGTCTGGACTGGCCCTGTGCTCCATGACATCAGTCGGAAGCGCAAGACTGGCTTCGAAAAGTTAATGAGTGATCAGGATAGAGCTGGTCTTTGATGTCTCTTGCCACACATTCTCGTCGATGAATGATATGACCCCATCCAGCTGTATTGGATCAGTCAGGACCCATCGATACCACCAGAAAACCAGGCCCATCCATTTTTCTGTTTTCTTATTTCTTCCCTTTCTTAATATGACGTCTACTTCTGATCGACCGTTTTTTACAAGCTCCGGCAAATAATCATTCTGCTAGCCAGATTATTATGGGGATAGGCGGTGGTGACTGGCGAGGGCCCCCATGTTGGCAAACTAAAGGCAGCGGTCCTTTCATAGTGGGGTTCTGTCCCACTCCAGATACACCGACTTATTATTTTATTATCCGAGTCGATCTGGGAGAAGATGGCCCTCTTGCGCATGGTGGTCAGAACGGCAACGCGGCAACGCCATTGTGCCTCTTGGTGCAGCAAGCCGTTTGTGTTACGCATCTATCCACAAGGGCGGAATCATTTGCCTGGACACCAATCTGCGCTCGATTCTTATACAGGCTGATCGATAGAGGGCAATCGCCGATCAATATTTTCTGGTAAAAGGCTGTGGCAAATGCCAGTGGTCAACCAATGAATTCGTCTTTTCCCCTCCCAAACCCCAGGGGACGAACTCATGCCTTCTTACGGAGTACTACTCCGCAGTAGCGTCTGACATAGGAGTATCTCGCCCCCTTTTCCCTGCTTTTTACTGTCCTGACTTACCCAACCACGCAACATCGGACATTCTCGGGATACGTCCAAGGAAACTGGGTCCTCAACTGCCGACGTTTATGGGGCTAGACTGCTAGTATGAAAAGTCCTCCTTCCAGGCCCAGACGCTTACACAAAAAGCCAATGGATAGCTCAACCACTCCGTAGGTGTATTTCTTTGTCTCCGGGGTGGGAAGCTTTATCGGTGGTCATGCAGATGACAGGAAACGATGGATCACGGAGCTGGGTAATGGTGGACCAGGCAGCGGATGGGATCGACAGCACCAAGCAGAATGGATCAGAGACCGTTGCGACCGTTTGGAGGTTGCCTCGCTAAAGTGCTCGCGAAAATTACTGCAGTAGACCGGCGACCGGGGCCTTTGATCGCTCAATAATGATGATCAGATAATTTCCCTTACAAGAAGGGAAGGGAACGGCAATTGTCTCGACCCATCAGGAAAGAGTCCAAAGTACGATCGCAATTTTCCATCATTCGATAATATTATTGATGCGAACGGAACTGCTTTTCTTTCTTCGTTAGGGCATTGATTTTGTTTTATTGGGGGGGTTTTTTTTTTCTCTCCCGGTGGGTATTATTATTTTTTCCCCATTTGTTTTCTCTCTCTCTCTTTTTATTTTTCTATTTTTCCGCCCTCTACTAGGGGGTGCACGGGTGATGTCCATCCTTTACGCACTTGGTCTCAGGTACCGTACAGAGTACAACTATTCTACCTGACTCGTTTATTGTTAGACGTAGCCGATCGCTCCTTGAGTACATGGATACCGAAGATGCCAAACTCGCCCATGGAACTGGGACGCACAATCTCGATTTAGAAACATTTAATGAGGGTGGAAGTGGACACAACCAGGAGTTGAGTGCCTATTTGGTCAAGGTCTAACATCGACGTGACAACTAAGTATCTAGCCTCGCAGCCGAGTACATTTGACCGCATGCTGCGATCCGCTTCCGCGCAACCTATCATGGATTTCATGATTAGGAGAAACCGTACAGTGGACGGTGGGCACGGAACACCAAGAGCTGGATTCAAACCAGAAGACCGAAATCCCCGAGAACCACGGAAGAGAAAAAGAAAAAATAAAATAAAAGAGGAGCAACATCGCGACGAGGAACCTAACTGTGGAACCGTCCCGGTAAACCCTCCGACGTCTTGACCCGAAGGAGCAGGTTGACAGTGACAGCTGGGGGATTCGTCAAAAAACGGTTTAACCCGGCGCATCATTGCTGGACTAGGCTTGGGGGCGCTGCTGCATGCCGACCGGTTGGGAATCGTCTGGAGTTATCTAACGACCTTAGCCTGACTCTGACTGACCAGCAACCAGCCATCTGGTCTCCTGGTCTGGGTCAAGCCATTATTGCTCCGTACTTTCCCTACTGCGTATTTTTTCTTCTCTTTTTTTTTTTTTTTTTTTTTTCTTTTTTTCCCTTGAACCCGTGCCGAGTTGAGATCTTCACCTTTGCCGGGTATTATTAATGTTGACTAAGGGCTCCAAAGCTCCCCGTCCGAAGTTACTAACGACTAAAGTTTATGGGGATAGGCGATAGGGAGACATGGACGATGGAGACCAATTTTGCCTCAGATATTGTCTGATTTTTCCACCCCTATATCGTATTCGTGGCACTTTCCCTCGTACTACCCAAATATCCCACGGGTAAGCACCAGGTCCCAGGTACCTGTGCCGGTAATCTCGAGGTGTTACCAAGGCTATGGGAATCCCAGTACCGTGTTACTGTATGGCACAAAGAGAGGGAGTCGCGTTGTCTGTACGGAGTAATGTACGTGTGCATGGACCATTTCATTGTTCAGCCCCCTATCGTCCCCTTTCCCTGATTTCCCTCTTTTTTTTGCTTTTTTCTTTTCTCTCCGAAGACTCGTCCATAACCCTAACTTGCTCTGATACGTTTGGACGGGCGGGGAAGCTGTCACTATCTACTGTTGCTCTACGGAGTAAGTAGACACCGTACAATAGTATACTTCCATACAACAAGAATCGGGTAATCATCTACAGCTTCAACCAGGATTCATACATGTTTCTTCTTCCCCCCTTTACATCACCGTCGAGACCCATTGGATTGACATGGAGTGAAAAGCCCACAGCCCGGCGGAAGAGTCATGGATCTGTAGGTCACCTTCCAGATCCGGATACCAGTCGAGCACAGCATACCTTAGCTCTGTCCCACCTCATCGTTCATTCCTGACTTCCATCCTCCCGGCACCCATCCCCCTGGAGAGCGAAAACACGTGAAGTGGATCATCGTCCTTTATCGGCTTCGGTGACCTCTCCCGTCTTTGATGTACCAAGATTTACCTGGAGAAACCCCTGTCGAGTCATGTTATTTGGATACCTATTATGGATACCTGCCGACGGAGTATCTACTAGTATAACGGGCTATACAGAGTGTACAAAATACCCACGAAGTATTTCCATGGACAGGTTTGGTATTCGTCGAAATTTGACTATTACGTTTAATACTATGACATACGCCGTACTGCCAACCTAAGACAGAAGCTCCAGGAAGTGTCTGGACTCTCAAAGAAGTAGTACAAGCACAGGTCCAGGTACATCAGTCCATCGCAAACCCATACTCCGTAGGTAGTACCCCATAGGTACTATCCAATGAAGGCCGAATCGAAGGTGGTTAGAATCCAACTAGTGAACTACCTTGATCATTTTTCTTTTCCATAGAGTAAGTATAACGCATTCCATTATAACCCTCCTTCCCCGATCCTTCCATTCCCCCGTGTAAGTGGTAACTGCTAAGACCGCTAACTGCTGAGAAATACTATTATTATCATGTAAAATAAGCAAAAAAAGGGCCCATAAGCAAGTAGGTAAAAACAACCTATTCCGTACCAAGCACCTATATCGCCCAGGTTCTATAGCTGTTTCGGCCGTAGACGGGGCTTTTTCGGCTCCCAGGTCCGCTCTCCTTTTAGTTCTCTATAATCAAGAAGGCTGTCGGACGATGTACAGGAAGAGAAGGAGGTCCTTCCCTAGAACGATGGTAGAAACTGGTAGTCAACCCGCCAGCCTCACTATGGCGACGGTATGAGTCGTGAGCAGATCCCGTGTTCATCCGCGCTTGGAGAGAAAGAGAGAAAAAAAAAAAACTAAACAAGGCACACCCGACACCGCGATCCACTTACGCCTGAGCCGTTGTCCTAAAATTCTAGCCGGTGATTATCTGTCCCGTTTTCCAGAACCCATAGACGGTCGACAAAGACAGACGATGAACCCAGAACCCAGAAAAGAATGGATACTCGAACCTAGAATTGCTGGAAACTTTGGAGAAAATCGCCCCCCAACGGCCGATGCCCATGAATCAGTTCCTCCCCGAAAATCAGAAAGGAACAAAAACCTGGACCCGCCGATCCTCACGATCGCTCGAGTCGATGACGGAGATTTCTTGTCTCATCTGGACTCTATCGAGACTAACGATTTTCGATTTTCGACACTTCCCACTTTCAACGGTCGATGGGAGACAGGAAGTGGGTGGATGTGTGGGCTTGGACGAGCGGTACGTAGCTACTGCCTCTTTCAGGAACCGTTGAACCGTTTTCTTTTTCTTTTTCTTTTTTTTCCCGTCTGGTTTTTTTGTTCTCGCTCCCGCAATTTCTCTTGCCCTCTACTCCGTGTCTTTTCTTCTTCTCTTTTGCCCCACAGTGGTTGATGGAGCCGGAGTGGCGCTGGTCCACTTGCGCGTGGTTGAGCGAGGCCGACGTTTTTCCCCTCCTCCCCCTTGTTTATCGCATCCTTGTCCGTTACTCTGCAGTCTTTCTGTCTGTTTCCAGATGTGGGTGCGTCTGTGGAGTCCAAAGGGGAGGGAGGGGCTATAGGTGGCTTCGATATAGGGAGGGATTAAATCCGGATCGGAGGGTTTTTTTTCGAAGTCCTCGATCCCACTACGAAGTAGCCAGTGCTACTGAGCACCTCTAGTGCCAATACTGTACTACTCCGTAGCCTACGGACGAGCTGACTAGTAAGCCGGACTACTCACTCTTAGCCGGAGGAAGGTAGATAAGGTGGTGGTTTTTAATTAATTAACTAAATTGGCCGATTGATTCATGGCCTCGGAAGCGCCTAACTGCCTACGGATGGAATCGAATCAAGCCGCTTCTCCGTGCTGTACTCCGTAGTCTAGCTGGTTAGCTAGCTAGCTAGCTGCTTGCTGCGCTGAGGAGATTCATCGGGTCAGCGAATTCTTAGCCACGCCTGTTTTTTTTTTTTTTTTTAACCCTGCGATGCCTATGACTTCATAGTTCCTATCTGGTCCTGTCAGCCATGCGAGCTGACAAACTTTGCTGATTTAGTGAAAACCTAGTCGTAGGGATTAGAGGAATGGGGTCCAAATATGAGATCATCATTTTTTTTCCCACTGTTACTCTACAGCCTACAGTCTCTCCTGTGACTCAGCAACCCCGTACCTATGTCGCTACCCTGCGTATCCATTATCCAACGGACTGCTTCATGGTACATACGGACGGACCTTCAATTTACAGCGGAGAAGACATCCTGAGTTTGCGGTGGAGTTTGAATATATTAATCCCGTATACCCGATCTTTTTCCAGAAGACCCAAATCTGCTCCCCACCTCTTCAATATAAAATATATTAAAGGTGTTTCTCCTCGAGTCATGGCCCGACCGGATACTGAATAGTACGTAGGACACGGTAGTCGGTGTCGATGCGATGAGCCGTTAACCGTCGATCCAGGGGGGGAATAGTGACGTTGGCAGGGGCAAAAAAAAGGGGGGGCCGTAGTGAGGCAAATTGAGGAGCTGACCTGACTCAAGCTCATTTGACCGTTTTTCCAACAGACTGGCTGAGTGGATGGGGATGGGACAGAGAGAGAGGAGAGGAGAGGGAGGGGGGACAAGACAAGACAGGACAAGGGGAAAGCTCCGCCATCAGGATCGATTCGATCATCGACATCGACACGGGGTACGCATCCAACCAGGTGTGAATTCGCCAACGATATCGAATGAAGATCGCACGCCTAGGAAATCATGAAGTGACTGTCATGATTTAGATTGTAAGTAGACCCGGAGATGATAACCGGATGCGGTACTAGTTGGTTGGCTGTTAGCTTAAATTGTTGACTGTCCTTTTTTCTTTTTCTTTTTTTCTTGATCTCATCCTTGGGCCTTTTTTTCGCCTTCCTTTTTATTTAATTTTTTTTCTCTCCCGGCTCCGCTTTTCTCTTGTCGATGAACTAGTGGTTTTTAGTGCGATTTTGACGGTTACCGTACCCGTTGCTGAGGATTATCGATTGTTTCTTCTGTGGCTGGGTATGCGATCCGAGGTATTCCCGCCTTTGAAATTACTCTTTGGGTAAATGTCTATACGGCGTAGTGTTCATCGATGTAGATGAAAATTGTAACTTGCCGGTGGTTACAACGGTAGTACGGGGTAATTTGATTTTTCTTTTCTCTCCACTACAGACCGTTGCGCGCGGTATGGTATGGTATGTCAGTTGCCACGTAGATTCAGTACCTACTGCGTAGCTCTATCATCGTTGTTTACGGAGTACATTCGTTGGGGACTTGGGACGATGTCTAAGTGTTGTAAATGGTTGTCTGAACTTTGTATTGCAGGTTGCATGCTGCATATTACATATGTCCCCGGTACTTGATGTGTTGATAACCTATGCAGTAATATGTGGTGTATTTGATACATCACTATCAAAATATATATATATGCGCGTCTGCAGCTTCAGATTTCGCCAGACAACACCTTGAAACTACTAATTTCTCGGCGGAACTCCCAATCATAAACCTCCCAGCTGGCCAGACAGGAGTAAATTAGAATTAGAACCGTAAATAGATACACTTCGACAAGGAAACCTTAACCCGCCGACACAGTACAACTAAGCTCAGCGCAGATGCACATTACTTATGCTGCATCACCTCGCCATCCAACCGGAAGCCGACGAGCAAAAGTACAGTACCTACAGATTTGAACCAGCCAACACATCCACTCTGCATGTAGGAATACAACTACGTAAATACTCGGCGCGATCGAAGCACATACACATACATACATACATACTTCGTACATTGCTAGTCGAGGCTGCAGCACCTATACTGCGTACGTATGTATGTATGTACAGTACCCATCCTATACTGAAAACGGAAGGTCGATAGATTCGAAACACCCAGCTCCGGAGTACGTCCCTAGCCATGTATGTATGTATGTATGTATGTATGTATGTACCTTACCTGCGGAAGGAAGCCATGGTGCGACAAGATGACGAACTCATGTATGTCTTTGCATTACGAATTGTCCAACCGGCTGCGTTCCGCGGGTACCGTGTTGTAGCAGGTAGGGGGGAAGAAAAAGAAAAAGCAAGACGGTAAAACAAACCTATGCTCTGTGCGGACTGCGGGAATCGGGCCAGATTCTTCTGCGGTGTCTATCTGCACTGGACTTTTGGAAGCTTTACATGTCCCTCTCGGAGGTCAAGGGCGTGGTAATCAATGCCGTCTGTACTCCGTAATACTTCTTTTTTACTCTTACTTTACTGACCTGTAGTAACTGGAGATTCTCGTGTGATTGCATGATATACGGACGGAGTTTACCAAGCCCACGGACAAGGACCAGACCGACTAAAACCGCGCCCGTTCCACGGAACCCAAGACCAAAGATCCAAAAATATCCCAGCACACGTGGACAGAACCAGAGCCGGAGATCCGCCAAATTGTAAATTAAATTAACCCGTGAAAATCCTGCAATGTTGAAGACCGCAGACGAGGTCCCCGATAGGATCAACTGCCATCCATATCCATCGACAGAGTAATTTAATTTAATTTCTAAAATAGAAAGAAGAGGGAAGAGAAGATGGCAAAAAGGCCCCATCTAGAAGCTACCTGACTACGCTGCACTGGAGCTGCCAGAAAAGTCTACGCCGATGCAACGAATCAATGCTCGATGATTTTGATTAATTGGAACGAGCGCGATCGGCTCCTTTACTGGATTCATTTAACGGACAGGCTAGTTTTGATTTCCTCCTCGTCTGATTAGTCTCAGTAACTGCTACGTACACTAAACCTGGCTCGCCGGCGCACGACACCCGAATCATGACATTGACTATTCAGGAACGTAGCTCCAGCTAGGTCCCTACCTAGACCACCACCGAAGGCAGTATTGATTGACCCCGTCCCTCGAGCGGTCGAGCCCTTCTAGAACGCCGAACCCCATCTAATTGGGCCATTAAATCCGTCGTACCGTGGTTCAGCAGATCGCACGATCCCAATTTCATTTCATTCGGTCGTATTTCCGAGGGTCGCAATACGAGAGACTGACTGGCGGTAGACAGGCCACAGATTTTCCCGAGGGAGTGGTTAACGGATCCGATGGGTATACATTATACAACCAAGAGTACGGAGTACATGCGTGTAGTGACACAGGTCCGTTACCCTGACGGGCGTACCTATTAATGGTGTTCGATTCCGGTGGTCGAAATGCGACTGCGCCGATTGGTTCGCGCGCGCGTTCCCATGGCCACTCGCAGACGTCCAGTGTTACATATTCCTGCGCTGGTGGTGGTAGGGTCTGCTCCTTGGTAGGTTATTATTGCTGTCGCACTTACACCTTAGCTACGGAGTTGGTCCCTTGGTCCCTACCTAGGTACTTACCATGCCATGCGCGTGGTGGAATTGCCGGGCCTACTTGCGGGAGATCGAACCATTGGTACACTGTACGCTTGGTGCCTTACTACCATCCCTACTTATTTTTACTTTTGATAAGTTTGGAAGTTAGATGTATCGTAGAACGGAAATTGAGAAGGTGTCCTGAGGTACGAGCGTAATGTTCCTTACTCTTAGTAAGGTCATACTCCGTACTAAATGACCCATGACAGGTGACATCCGAATATGACAGTTGACAGGTTGACAGACAGTCTAACTAGCCACTTAGCACGGGCACACGGGGAAGGGGCAAAATATTTTATTTTAATTTTTCATTCTAGTGTAAAGTACGGAGTAGTGACGAAACAAAAAAAGAGAAAAAAAAATAATGGAGTCATCGACTGCTTTCTCCGTAGTGGCATCTCCCTAGACCCCTGTCATCCCAGAGGTTGGCAAGGGTGGATTTTCTCCCCGATGGCTGGAACAGGAACGGTTTGGACCTAGGGATTAGATGCTACTCCATACTCCTAGTTAGTATGTGCTCTACTCTACGGAGCATGTACTGTGAAGTCAGTTAGTCACTAGCAGAAAGTATCGGGATCTGGGTGTGGGTATTGGCGAGTTGCCTTCCTGTTCTGCTCCAGCGTCCAGCTAGATAACCATGGTCGAGAACCATTACACAATACCCCGTACAACGGAAATGGGGTTGCTTCGTAAGTGTGCTCCGAGAAGACCAGACCAGACGGAGTACCCTTAGGGAGCAGGTCCTACGGACTAGGAAAGCTAGACAGCCCCTAATTTCACTAGAGTTTAAGCGGACCGGCCGGAGGGACTGGCACTGGCTCTGACTTCTGCACTATCGCCAGTTCTATCTCAGTTATGTTACTGTATCTTGGATAGCATGGGCATTAGTCCGAGGTAATCTTATGATTATGATCGAGATCCATCCTGACCCCTCGAGACGTGACCCTTGGTTGGGGCTTGACTTTGCCCCCCCCCCTCCGTCACCTCCTCTCCCCAATCGCGTTGTGATTAATCTATTTAACTTCGTGGAAATCGGACTACTAGGATTCCTACGGAGTGACTAGATATAAATAACCAGGACGGCGATGATGATGACATCGATCCCATGTGCGATATATTAACCTAATACTACCGTAGGTCGATTAATATAACTGTCAGGATCATAGGGACGCAGCTAGTCGAGTGCTAGAGCCTAGGGGCGATGGGAGCAGAAGAGAAAAGCAACGAAATCGGACTAAAGGCCTGTTGGGTTCATCCCCGATGCGGGAACTTGTGGGTTCGGCATTTGCTTTGCTTTTGCCTCTTTTCCCTTTCGAGTGCGTTCAGATCCCGCATAATGGATTATTGCCCTCAATGTCTTGGTTGCCTTTCGTGTGCCTTTCGTTTATTCTTTCCTTTTCTTTTTTTTCTTTTGTCCTTTTTGTTTTTTCTTGTCGGTGCTGGGCCATGGCTTTGTACAAGTGGTAATTTTAATTCATGCACCCAACCACCACCCCCCTCCAGTATGCAAAGAATCCAAGTTAAACAATTGTGACTGTGACTGTGATGTGACTGTACAGAGACGAGAGGAAAACTACCAGGTGTCATGTCTGATGGATACGAGTAACGAACCCCTGTAAATAAGGATCTTCATCTTTTTTTTCCTCTGCCAAAAAACGACGAAGGATCGCGGGAACATTTCTCCGACCCGCATGTCGTCACGCTTGTTCTGCGATCGAGACAGCCGGTTTCCCCTATGTCATGGTTTTTCGTGATGCTGAGGATGTTCAATTGAGATGAAATGGGAGAAGTAAGTGAAATGAAAAACGTATTTTCGGTTTTTTTTGGCCTTCCACCACCCCCCACCCTTCATCGCCAGTACCCCCTCGCCTTCGAATTGATGTAATCGATGGCTTCCTTGCGCCACGTGTCCGGCTCCAGGGAGGTCGTCACCGTCGCATTGTTAGCATCAAACAGCAGATCGACCGGCGCCTCAGACGCCCCTCCGTACGCCGTCCACAGTGAGCCGTTGATGCCCGAATTCGGGTCCAGATCGTGGATGAAAGATGCCCACATGCTCGTCATCTGTTTGCTCAGGGTCTGGAAACTCTTGGGTACCCCTGCGAACGGCTTCCCGTAGTGATACCCAAGCCCCGCGAGGTTGTGGAAGACGAAGGCCACCTCCTCGAAGTGCGTGGCGCCGAAGAGATACGGGACGGCGGCGCTGCGGACGTTGAATCGATAGCAGTATGCCGGCGTGGAGGCCTCCGTCCACGCTTCGCATTGTCGTCGTCGGTTGGCATGCATCGAGAGGTCGCCTGCGTAGGCCGATGTGCGTCGCCATTGGTACCCGTTCGATGGCACGCGCCGGGCTCCGAGGGTTGCTGGGATGCCTTGGATGGGGTCGTCGGGATACAATTCGAGAATCCGGTTTGCCATCGATGGAGGCAATTTGAATCCGGACGCGCCATCTAGTCGATCAAGATAGGTCGGAGATTAGCCAGAGTTTCTTTTTTTCTTCTCTTTCCTGTTGTTTCCCTGTTGGCTGGGCTTGGCCGCAGGAAGGAAACAAGGCCAGTGGGAAACAAATCTCATGCAATATGCATGCTTGCTTACCTGTGAGATACGAGTAGAATTCTGCAGTCGTGTTGATGCCCGTAGGCCCGAACTGCGTCCCTTCGTCGGTATTGGTGCCAGCGATGATGGGCACGCGCACGAATTCATGCTGCTGCAGATGCACGCTGCCCCAGTTCCTTAGTAGATCGCCGTCCACCACTGGCGAGAAGCTGTATGCCGGGTTGCCGTCCGTGCCATTGAGCACTGAGTTCAGCTCCTCAAAGGGAACCTCGCGCAGGCATTGTAGCGTGTCCGCCACGTCCGAGCAGTTGACTTTCGATGCCAAGTCATCGTACAGATCTTGGTATCCCGTGTAGTTAGATGGACCGGGTGCGATCGATCCTCCGGACTGCATGATTGCCCCCCGGAATAGGCTATCGTTTCTTCCGCCATACGCGGTCAGCTGGTACCCAACCGACATCGCTCCTGCAGACTCGCCCCAGATCGTAACCTTGTCCGGGTCGCCACCGAATGCCTGGATATTTTCTCGGATCCACTGCAGTGCTAGTCTCTGATCTCGGAGACCGAGGTTGGTGTTACCGCTGCCGGCGACCTCGCTGGAGCTCAAGAATCCCCATGCCGAGAGCCGATAGTTGAGGGTCACGGCAATGAACGGTTTACCTGATCCAAGTGGTAAGTCTCACGCTTGACTCCCGCTTACAGGGTGTTTTAGCTCACCGATCTCATACGAGTTAGACACAATAGCGGACATGTTATAGCGCTGGTCCGCACCAGAACCCTGGTAGAACCCGCCGCCATGGATCCAGACGCCGACAGGGAGGTTAGAGTCCTCTTTCACCGAAGAGTCGCGAATGACGTTGAGGGTCAGACAGGCTTCGGACCTGGGATACCAAATAGAATCGGTCTATACATGTCGACAGTCAGATCAATGTCGGCCTTCTCAAAGGGACTGCCTAGCGATAAGGTGGACTTACTCCATATCCCACGCAAATATCGGAGTACTCTTTCGCGTCGCGCTCATCTTGCCAGCTCTCGTTCAGGGATTTCGGTACAGCGAATCTCAGATCGCCCACCGGCTGCTGAGCATACGGCATCCCGAGGAACAAATCCTGCCGGTAGTGGGCGTTCTTCGCCCCGACGTACGTTCCATTGCGAATATGGACTTTAGGATCTGGTTTGCCGCTCGGGGCAGCCGACACAGCCGTCAACAGGGCACACAGACCGACAAGAGTCCGATACATGGTCAAGGCGACAAATGTTACTAACTCCCGGAACGTTCCCTGACCGGACTCATCCTCTCAATATATAGAGGGGGAGGAAACCACCAGTAACAAATGCGGGGACTCCACCTTCCCCAGTTTCATCGTGGATGTGAACATTCTGGGTCCCGTCCTCACCGGATCCTGGAAAGTAGCACAGCCGACATTAGGGAATATATTGCAGGATTCGTCCATCAATGAGGTTTTTCTTTTGCCCTCCCTAGCGTTCCGGACAATGGCCGATACCCCGGCACAGTTGCCCCATAGTAGGAACTAGAAAACCCTCCGGGGGTTATCCGGGGACAGTGATGCAGTGCGGGGAACGCCTTCCCTTTCAATTTATTTTGGAACAATTGCCAATTCAAGGCACGATTGTCGGTTGTCTATGTGGAGAAAGCATTACCGTGGGGCGGGTTTTGTCTTTCGTCATTGACCTGAAGAATATGCCGCGTTTCTGCCCGTCATGGTTGCGCCGGTGCTGTAGATGTGCCGAGGATTTGCCGGTAGCTTGGCTTTTCTTTGAATGCGGGAGAAATGATGGATGAGACGCCTTTTGATGGGGTTGATGATGAAGATGAGGTATTTTGGGGCTTCTGGGTTAATTTATGTTGTGAGGGCTAAAAAGGGTCGATTGGGTTAGTATAGGGGCCATTTGATTTGGTTAGTAAGGGCAAGGAAACGGACAGAAATTTATTGAATAGAGAGACCATGGCATACCTATTCGAGAAGTAGCTTCTTGGGTGAATAGTTGAATTGTGAAGAAAAGGACGAGAAAGAGGTTGAGGTGAAGAAAGAGTTCTTGACCGCCAGAAAAGCTCCCCCTGCACATGCATGCACGCCGGCCATTTCCACCTGCGCTTCCTTCCTCTATGACACAACACGATGATTCTATGACCCTGTACCCGACCAGTCTAGACTATTCGTTTGTGTATCGGATGCCACACGCTCATCATATCCCAGTTCAGCACTGTCTTCACATGTCGCGGTGTCAGGAGTTCTCCTACCCACCAGTCCATCCTATTTGTCATACGGAAATCCGGTGTGGAAGGGTTGCACAGCACATCGTCATCCATTAAGTTCTATCACAGCCGTCTTGGGTGCTTCAGACTATTGGCTAGGGAGTTCAGGGGAAGAAGTGAATATGTCATCGTTGATCTAGATCTTGGCCGATGCGATTCGTGCGTGCTACGAATGAAGCGTACTCTCTGGCAAGTTGGGCCATAATGCTTTCCATATCGCAGTTGGTTTCTGATCATGTCACACAGGCCCGACCCTTCCTATGAAGTTACACCGGGGCCTTTATACTCCTTGCACCGACCGTCGTGAGGTCATACTGATCCAGGAGCATTGCGACGGTGGAACTCTGAATGCTCTCTTTGTTGATGGCATACACCCCCATTACGTCGAGAGATGACCTAGAAAGACTGCTATTTCGGGACACCAGAGCAAACGATCATAGCCTACCTGGATAGACGCCACAAGGTCATAGGAGGATCGAGCAGATCGAGCATTCCTTATCACTCGAAGCAGCGCGATATCTTCGGAAGACTGCATGCCAAGCGGGGGGCCTTCAGGAAACAATGCTCCTCATATATGGAGGCCCTATCTGTGATGGAGAGCAAATTAATCCGCATACTTCAAACTGCTGACTCCGCGATCCACCAAAAGATATCGAATAAAATCCTCCCCACGCTAGTCTCATTCCACCTCCTCGGGCCACTGTGTGCCAGAAAGATGTGGTGGACTCCAGCAACCCAGCCTCGTCCGCTGACAACCTTGCCGCCGCCCTCCTCAGACGAGATCGAGGCAATAATTTCTGTCACCAAAGGCTTTCTCGCCGCGCTGAACACAAAGTCCTCCGTCGAATTTGACAAGTACTGCGTTCGAGCAGGAGGAATGTCCCTCTGGCCGCCACCTCCCACGCTTCCTCGATTTTGCACAATCGGTGCTTTTGTCGAACAGATTGCGAAAGTGACGGACGATATCGATGAACGGATCTGGGATCCAGAGGTGAAGGCATATGGCTTGGGAAATCTCGCCGCCGTGTGGGCGCCATTCAGGGCGAAGATCAATGGAATTGTCGATCATGTGGGCGTCGAGCTCTTCATTCTCCATAAGATGAACGGTGAATGGAAGGTGACTGGGTTAGCTGATTCGTGCCGACTACCGACCGAAGAGGAGAAGCAATTGCTTCACTAAATTGGGCGTTTGACACATCTTCAAGGGATCAAAATGAGGGAAGAACAATGCTGGAGGAGATTAATAAGGCATATGTGCTAGTTGATATAAACAGGATAGTCGAACTATCGCAAAGACGATGTAAAACAGAAAAAACAAAACATGCTGTCTAAAACCAAATCCGACGCCTCCAGTCTAACAGATGAAAGCAAGCTTTTTATCCCTATTTCTTACCCCTCAGAAGCTCCCACCCAACAGTTCCGTGCTTGCCCTCCTTCACAGACATCTCATCAACAGCCTTGACGAGATCGAAACAGATCTCTTCGGGAACCGCACTATCTTGTTTATACGCGGGATGAGACGCAACAAATTCGCGGATCCACCGGGCTCCAGTCCAGAGGGTTCCGTTGGCTCGTTTCCGTATCAGATCGAGGTATCGTGCCAGGAAGCAACGCGTCTCGACATCCACATTGACACTGTTCAAGTAAGACTCAACTAGGGGAATGAGCCCCGGGAATGATCCGTCTTCCGAGCCATTGACAATGTCTGCAATGGTCATGAGCTCATATTCCGACTCAACCGGACCAAGTGGCGGCGATGGAGGGGGCGTGTTGCATGCAGACGATGTAGCGGACGACATTGCGCTTCCGGTGGCTGATTGCTGGTGTTGTCTGGTAGGGCGCCGAGAGAAAGGGTCCTTTCGGAAATAGAACTTCCGATCATGGACGGCGTTGCGGGCATGGGCCGTTTCCATATTCTCGGTGGTTCGTGGGATAGGGAGGTAGAAATTCAGGTTGAAGCTCAGGATGGCACGAGTGATAAGCACGATGAAAATGCTGAATGCCGCGTTTTCGAAATCGGTCATCTGAATTTCCATCGAGCGGAATTCAACCCGCCAGCCAATGTCTTCTTTATCAGGTGGCGGCGGCTTGAAGCGCATATGTTGCCAGTTCGTCGACTGCAAGTTTTCGAAGTGGTCTGCTTTGTTTAGATCTAATTCCTCGAGGTCTTCAGAGAAAATAACCAATGGGTCGCGGATGAAGAGATGAGCAAAATGCGTTGCTAGAAGCTCATCCATGCCACCCTCCATCAATCGCTTTTTGATGTCTTCATCAACAATCAAGTCAGGGTCCAGATAATCCTTTCGTAGACGAGGATCTTGGGAGATATAGGTCGAGTTCGATGCATATCTGGACTTGGGAATTCTCCACCTGTCGTTCTGCAGAGGCTGTTTGCGAATATTAGCATAAAAACCAGAATTATATCAATTGCATGACACTTACAGCTTCACCTAGTTCCTCTCGGGTTCTGTCATCTACAGCATTTCCGATTTGATTCCAGCGGACATCCGTGTCAACGAGAAATCCCTTATAAATCGGGGTTGCTGCAGTAAGGGCCAGAAGAATAGGTCCCAACGGGCTCAGTTGGTCGTATAATTTCCTTCCCTCGGTCATGTTTTTGGCTTGGAAGGTAATTTGGAGACAGCAACTGCCCATTCCGAATGCCATGGCGTCCATATAAACATGATCGTCCTTCGCAGCTCCGTTCCTGACATCGTCATCCTCGGGCCAAATATGAAGATCGTAGTTGACCGTGGGATCCTTGAAAGGCTGGGGGGTGTTTGTGTCCTTGAAAACCGGAACATTTAGCTCGACCTTCCGGCCTCTCCTGGACCTGATATTGGCCGCGAGAGTCGGGAATCTGATGTGAGGATTGGCGATCTCATCAGGAACAAACTGCGACCGCAATGCCGGGCCCGATGGCGGATAATACGGTTGGATGTAATCATCCTTCGTGCCCAAACGGGGGAAAGTGGTTAGAGTAATGGGGTACTCGTTTGGTGCCATGTGGGTTTTGGCAACCTCTCGCCTGCGGACTAGCATTAGAACCTGGTGCACATATATGCGGAAGACAACGCAACTTACCTCCATTTCATATTTGATTCAACCTTGAGAAGATCCTTGAAGTCAATTCCCCACGGTCTTCCCGGAGTTGCTTCTAGCATGAAGCGCCCAAATTCCGGATGGAAATGGGGAGGTTCTTCACCCTCACTACGACTTGATCATTAGAGACATCTTCAGAGCAGTTTTCATCTTTACTTACTGGTCATTGTTCTGGCTTTGTGACGAATCTCTCGTCTTCCATAGAGCCTCATCCCGAGCAAGAGACTTCAGGATCTCTGCTTGGGCCAAAGATAGCCGAGCCTTCTTCGCCTCCTCGTCAACAGCAACGACGAGATACTCAACCTAAACAGGCAGCAGAATCATTAGTGCAAAAGCACCCTGATTGTCGGAATGGAGCAAGTCACCTCATCGCCCCACAAGAGAGCATCTCGCTCCTTTCCTCTGGCTCTCTGCCAATTGGCAAGCAATTGCTATGTATGTTCGTTAGATCCCTATCCCTGTAGCATGGCCGTAGTGCTCAGTATACAACTCACCTCGATCCCCCATTTCCGTACTTGATCAGCCCGCTTTTTGGCCTCAGGCCAATCAAGGGCGGTTCCCAGTGCTCTTCATAACGGGTCCTGTTAGACAATCCAGCTTGGTGACAAGTTCGGAAAGAATCAACATACAAAAGACCCATTATTTCATTCCCAGCACACTTGATAATGGGATTATATGCGGCGGCAGCCTGACAATGTCGACTGAGTTATACGAAGTCCCTGTCAAAGCCAGTCCACCTGCGAGCCCCACGGAGATGAGGGGGACAGAATCTGGTGGCGGATTGCGCGCCGAGTTTTTATGGCACAGCGAAGGGATCAATCTTGCCGGAGTAAGCGGGCTGACAAAAACAGTAGAGACAGGCTATTGCCGGGAGACAATAGATGGAAAGTGCAAGAGACGGAAAGAAGAAGAAAACTTCCTCATGGGACGATTTTATGCTGATTTTCGCAGGGGCTCGAGAAAGCGCATCGCCGATTGGGCGCCGGGTGGGGGTTTGGTCGCGGGGCATCCGAGCATTATCGCCGATAACAGAAACCACTGCGTTGCCGGCGTCTTGATTTCTAAGCCGGTTTCGGTCACGTTAACTGGGTAACTAGTCGATCTCCGGCGACTCTTACGGCCTTTGAGGCCGGTGGGCTGATTGGATTGCACGGGTCTCAACAACCCTGACCAGAGTGATCAGCTCGCATGGATCATGTATTACATTGTTCTTCCGTGGAGATGATCCCAAGGCCGGATTTGTAATATCCCCAGCCATAACTAACTAACTACATCATCCCGGCCGTCGTGGAACCCTCGACTCCCGACCCGGTGATTGACACTCCGGAAGACTACTCCGTACTTACTCTGGCCTAGGTAGGGGGTCAGGGAATGAGAAATGTCAAATGACAAAGGAGTTAAGCCCAAGAGGACGCAATGGACTTGGAATCTGACAGCTGACAAATAGCGACGTGCGCATTGGCTGGCTTCTTGGCTCACATCTGGCGATCTTCAATAGACTTATCCCTGCACATCGCATCCTGAATACAGCAGGACAATGGCAGCCGGAAACTACGGGAAACACAGACAATTAACCGGCTCGCGTCAAGCAGGCCAGCGGTACGGTATCGGCAAGCTTAATCGCGAAAGGATCCCAACGCCAACAATCGGTGCATGGACAAACAATCTCAGAATCTCAGAATCTCTATGTACATAACCCGCTAATTCGTTCGTCTCGAATGCACATGCCGATGCAATGCTCTCAGTTGCTCCGGGCGCCGTCCTTAGCAGCTCGCAGCTCGTCCATCTTGGCAACGCGCTTCTTGAATTCATCGTACTGGCATTTTTCGTAGCTGTGTCTCTCGTCCTGCAAGAGTGGTAAAAAGAAAAATGTCAGTTGGTTGCGGGCAATATTGGATGAAGCGAACACGGCGAGGAGAGATAGCAAGAGGCATAAGAGGCAGAAAGGGTCAAACACTCGGATCGCAAATGTCATACCTCGCACTTCCAGGGAAGGTAGTACTCCTGCTGCCGGCATCGGTTCAAGGGAATCAGGAGGTGTGCACAAGTGTCCCGGTACTGGATGGGGAGGCGGGCATCGGACATCTCTTGCCGGGAAGCTATCTCAAAGCGTCAGTCACCCTCCCAAACAAGACCCGGGGTAATCATCTCGCTCTCGCTGCTGAGAGAGCCAATGGCAAGTCAAAACGTACCGGTGTTATCCGCAAGCCCAACGGCACTCTTAACCGATTCGGAGACGGTCATGTTGGCGTGAGAAAGGGGGGTTGGAGATCGATCGTTCTGGCGACGGGGACATCCGACAACGAGGTTTGCAGCTATTCGGCCGTGCTGGGCCTTGCCGGTGGGTGTCATGTGATGTCACGTGATACTTAGTCCGAATGCGGACTAGCGGGGCTGATTCCACTTTACGCGGTTCCGTCAATCCAGGGCGCGTCTTGCCCAGCCAGCCCTGCAAAGCACCGCGTTGCTGCGACATCACCAAGCCTGCGAAGAAGCCACTCGTGGCTGTGATCGAGTCCTTGTCTTTCGGTGCTGGTGCTGGATTTTACTCTATTGGGCCTGTTTCTCGCCCATCACTGTTGATGCCTGGCAGGAAGTGAGTCCAGGCTTTTGGATTGCCGTGTGAAGCCGCGATCGCGTCGATACTTGCTGCTGCTGTCCGGGAACCTACTGAATCAAACCCGGCTTACGGAGACGTACATCATGGCGGTGGACTTTTCAAAGGTCTACTCTGCTACCTATAGCAGTGTACGTTTTTCTTTCCTTGAATTTCCTTTTTTCCCTCAGGAAAACGAAACATTAAAAAGACCGCCTTTCCCGGCATGGCAACTTCAGAATACTAACACCGACCAATCAGGTCCCGGTCTATGAATTCAAGATAGACACGGACAGTGTTATGCGAAGGCGGGCGGACGATTGGATTAACGCAACTCATATTCTCAAAGTTGCTGGATTCGACAAGCCGGCACGAACCCGTATTCTCGAGCGTGAGGTACAGAAAGGGGTCCACGAAAAGGTACAAGGTGGTTACGGTAAATATCAAGGTAAGCTAAACCGGGAAATTTCAGAGTCTGCAGTGGAGGGCTTCTTGCTAACGCAACAGACAGGAACGTGGATTCCGCTTCCCGAAGGTCGTTTGCTCGCTGAACGCAACAACATCATCGACAAACTACGGCCGATCTTCGATTATGTCGCGGGCGATCGAAGTCCTCCGCCTGCGCCCAAACATACATCCGCAGCTTCGAGACCAAGGGCCCCGAAAAATGCCAACAAGAGGGTTACGAGTGAGGAGGTCTTCAGTGCGGTTAAGCCGCATCGTAGCATGGGGCCGCCGCCGACCTTTTCTCACGACCAGTATGAGATCAATGCCGGATTCGATGAAGATGAGTCGATGGAGCAAACAACCTTGGAGTCTTCTTCCATGGTGGCGGACGAGGAGATGATGACCATGTCCCAGAATGGTCCATACTCCCGAAAACGCAAACGTGGTATGAATGAGGTGGCTGCAATGTCACTGAGCGAACAGGAGCATATTCTCTATGGAGACCAGCTTCTAGATTATTTTATGACGGTGGGAGATGCCCCAGAGGCGACGCGCGTCCCCCCTCCAGAGCCTCCGGCCAATTTCCAGGTTGATCGTCCAATCGACGACTCGGGCAACACGGCACTTCATTGGGCTTGTGCAATGGGTGATTTGGAAATAGTGAAAGATCTTCTGCGGAGGGGAGCGGATATAAAAGCGCTGTCAGTGCATGAAGAGACCCCGCTTGTGCGTGCTGTCTTGTTCACGAATAACTATGAGAAACGGACGTTTCCAGCGCTATTGGAACTCCTGCTCGATACTGTCTCGTTCAGGGACTGGTTTGGTGCCACCATTTTCCACCATATCTCCGAAACCACCAGGAGCAAAGGGAAATGGAAAAGTTCGCGGTATTACTGTGAGGTGCTGCTGGAGAAACTGCGATCTACATTTTCCTCGGATGACATCGAACTGTTACTGTCTTGTCAAGACTCAAATGGAGACACGGCGGCTTTGGTGGCCGCTCGGAATGGCGCTTTTCGCCTGGTGAACCTGCTATTTACGCACTGCGCGCGGGCTGGGGACCTGATTAACAAAAAAGGCGAAACAGCGGCTGGCCTTACGCAAAGGGCACACCATTCCGAGCGGGAAATCCCGCCAGCACCTTCGTCTATCACGATGGGAAATGATCACGTCGATGGTGAAGCGAATGGCCCCATCAACTCCGACCATCAGTCTGTTGCTCTACCGCAGGACTCGTCCTCTGCTACATCAACGCTCCTATCTAAAATAAGTGTTATCATGGCCGAAGCCAACAAGAAGCTTGCAGTGAGCTACGGGAGCTCCAAGGCCAATCAGCAAGACTCAGATGACGTTGCGAACCCGGAGGCTCTATATGAGCAATTGGAGTTGGATCGACAGAAGATCAAGAAGCAACTGGCCATTTTAACGGCAAGAGAGGCCCAAGAAGAGTCCATTGACACGCAACTGGAGCGGTATGAGCGACTGAGAAGTAGCTACGAGTCGCTTCTCGAGCAAATACAGCAATTCCGTCTGCAAAAGCGACTTCTCTCAACCCCATTACCCGCGAAGGAAAACACGGCCCCGTCCTCGACAGACCAAGACAAACTCCTCAATATCTATCGACTTAGCCGAGAGTTGTGTTTGGCGCAGAAAGTTCGACGCGATGCTGTCAAAGAACTCGCTCAGCAGACTGCTGATGCCGGTGTCAGCACTAAATTTGATGTTCACCGCAAGCTTGTCGCTCTTGCAACCGGACTCAAGGAAGAGGAATTGGATCCAATGGCTGCTGAACTAGCAGAGACCCTGGAATTCGACCGTATGAATGGCAAGGGCCCAGGGGCGGAGTCGCCGGAGCCTGAACAGAAGGACTCGGCGTCATTTCCCTTCCCCGGACCTACAGTGTCTGTGGATGCGTAGATGTGCTGGGAATGATGTCTTTCGAGTGCTCGATTTGTATACGATGTATCATGTGACCCATGGAGTTGTGGTGGTTGTGATCTTTTTTTTTGCCTGCCTATCTCTTTCCATGTCTTTTTGGATATACCACTCTTTATTGTTTTGAACGCGGGACCTTTGTCTTTCTTTCCTATTACTTCTGGCGGGGATATCTCAGATTCTGTCTTGCCAGCAGATACCCAATATTTCCTTGTGACCTTTCTTCTGCTCTGATCTCCTCCTCCCCCCCCCCTCAATGCCTATGATTAATTCGATGTCCCGTTGTACTCAGCCCTTGGAAGACGCTCATTGTTTGGATGTGCCAAAAGCAGCTCACGATACTACTCAGTGTGTGACTTCGCTGAGCATACTGAAGTGGGTGTTTGTACATACATACATGACAGGCTAATAACATAATATTCGAAGCCGACTTCATCCGGCCTTTCAATATTTCTGTAGAACCCGTGGGATATGAATCCAGGATTGCCGCGTCCCGGTGGCAAGAGCATGAGAGCCCGTGAATCAATCGGCTGCAGGGCGGCTATCGTACTCTAATCAAGACTGGCTTCTAACTGTGCTTACGATCGTTGCGAAGGCATTTCTGGCCGACCAAGTTGCCGGTAGGAAAGGTCTAGCATCTAGTGTGGCAATCTACGCAGTAGAGCTGGGATTCCGAAGGTCAGCTGCCCCGATGATTGGCCGAGTATGGACCATGCAGGTCTTCCCATCACACACACATCCTGCAAGTCAAATCCAGCCAGTCAGACGAGGGGGCCGGCGGTTCTTGGACGAATCCTGCAACGGAGGCGTTTGGCTGGCGGCCAGCAAGGCCACGTTGAAGGCGCTAAGCTGGGATGATCCATCGAGGTGGGTGACGTTAGGCCAATGGGGGCCGGCGATCCTGAGTTCCAGATGTATTACCTTTCCAGACGGCCTGTGTCAGGCTCCGGCACTAGGGAGGGAGAGGAGATACGGGGGTCGGATTGGTTGGTCAAAGCGGCTGCTTCAGATTGGATCATTGGACTAGAGCGCGCTTTAGCCTCTGCTGCAGCCGATGCTCTGACCGTTCTGAATCGGGGTGCCAACGGAGTATACGGTATATCTGGGAGGGAGTGCCTGATTGCCTCAGGAATCAGCACTCCGGACTCGAAAGATCCATCCCGTGACGCCAGGACCTACCGTGCTAATTCTCTATTGAGGACTCCGTATTGAATTGGTTCAGTGCCTCAGGTATTGTCATGAAAGCTAATCCCCGACAATGGCCAATCGTCTCCACAATCTAACCCCGACGGGACTAGTGCGCCTCAAGCGAGCCAATCAAGGGGCGGGCCAACCACCAGACGTCTCAGCCCAAAGGTCATTATTATTGATTTTCTATTGCCATTATTCGGATGCTGATGATGACTGCCGGCTTCCCATTTCCTCAGGGAGCTTGTCATCCTCTGGCCTCCTCTCCCTCTCCTCCTGTCTCTCCTTCTTTTGGCGTACCTGCTTTCCTCTCGTCCACTTTCTTTCTCTCCCATTCCCTTCCCTCTTGTCGTGTTGTCTCTTCCCCCTCTTCTCCCCCCTCTGGTTCCTTCTCTCTTTCTACTTTCTTCCTTCTCTTCGACTCCCCCTCCCCTCCCCTCCCTTCCAGGCTAGCCTCTTCTATCTCATCCCGTATTCACCTCGCCTTCCCCCTTTTCTGGCCCTTTCTTGCTTGATCTTTCCATTCCTATTATCTTTTCTTTTCGGATTTCCCCACTTCTCTTTTCCCATCTAAATTGTCTTTTAGACTCTGCGAGGACCACTTGTGGTTTTGCAAAAGTCATCTTTACTCGGTCGATTTGTCCGTCGGATCATCTAGATCGCTGGGGCTGTTCTCTGGTGCCTGACCCTGACCGTCTCAACGCCAAGACCTGGAAAGGCGCGGGTAAAAAAAAGAAAAGAAAAAAAAAAAAGAGAAAAAAACCACGAACACGCGCCGAGAGCCGAAATCGACCTAATAATCTACCATCGCCGAAACTCTCCCTCTCTTTCTTTTTCATTTCCCCCCACGACCGGTTTGCGGATAATCGCGAAAGGGAAAATTCAAAAAAAGAAAAAATTAATATTAATTGAAAAAAAGCAATTCTCTCGTCTGGAGAGAGGACAAGGTCTATCCCTTACTTCTATCTTCGATCTTCGATCTTCGAACGCGGCTCTTGTCCATTACGTTTTTTCGTCTCGAGTTTTGAAGTTTATCTTCTGCTCGAGTCGTCATTGCATCTTCATCTCACCTATCTTTTCTACGGCTAGGAGTTGCAGAGCATCTCTTACCCTCTTTTTCTTGTCCGTCTTTTAATCTCAAAAAGACCTTGATCGCCTCCCTCTCGACTTCCGGTCCCTTCTTGACGTCCGGTCGCGTCTGTCGCTCCATCTCTTCTTGCCTGGTTCCTTCGAACCTGTTGCGTCGTACGCTAGGCCGCCGACGACCAGGTCTATTATCATCTTATATCCCTGGTTATTAATCATTCGCTGTCGCTTTAACGCCTCTTTCTTCGAGCCTCTCCTTTTTGGTTCTCATTCTACAGGTATGCCAGCCCTCTCATCGGTCGGGAACGCGCAGTCTACTAACACGGATCATCCCTGCAGGAGTCAAGAGTTGGATTCCCTACATTTTGCATACCACACACGATCTCATCAGATTCTGAATAACTGTCTTCGTGCTGTGTTCTTTCAGCCTCGCCGTAATACTATAATACGCTTGAGTTCCCGTCGTGCTTTGGATTGCCGAGACACCGCAGTCCACCTTTTTTCGGTCACCTATTGCACATACCACGTTATACTTCATTGTATCCACAGCTTTTGAGTATGGACACTGGCGGTCTTGCTCAGATGACTTACAACTCGTCTTTCAATAATGGCAACTCCCTCGGAGCACCGGGCTCTGGCTTTGGATCTCGGAGGAAAAGCGCTCACATCAAACGACTGAGTGTGCCGCCTCCTCACATCTCGACCATCGATGAATCTCAGCCGTCGGGCCCGATCCCCACCCCCCGAACGAGTCGCTCGCACCTTTTGGCCGGTCTGCGAACTGCCCCCAAGTCAGCCACCGTGCCTTCGGCTTCCCAACGTCAGCAGCAGCTTGGAGTGGAAGGTGATCGGTACGGAAATCACGCCAACCGCGCCGCGGAACGGGTCCCGCAAACCGCTATGGGAACTGGCTTCCCTCGCCACTCTTTCGGTATGAACCAGAACGAGGACACGAACCAAGGTCGTCCCATGTACACTCTCCCGGAGCAGGTCCTTGCACCCCCGACGCTCGACATCGGCAACGACATGCACATCGACGAAAGTCTGTACGCAGAGCTCATGTCTACGAATCTCTTCTTAGCTGCCCAGCAGCAGCGCCTGCAGCAACAGTTGGTCAGCGTGACGGCGGCAGCGCAGCAGTTCCAGGGCCTCAGCCTGGGAATGCCTCTGGGAGCCCAACAGCAGCAGGAAATCCCTTCGCTGTCCGTTCCGGGCATGGGATTCTACCAGCAACAACTTCAGCAGGGCGTGCAGCCCGTTGTGCAGCCTGTTCTCGGCCAGCCTGGGCTGTTCTCGGTCTTCAACCCTCTCACGGGCCAGCAAAATTACATTTATGACAATTCTGCCCAGCAGGATGGCTCGCCGGCCCCGTACCAGGAAGAGGAGCAGCCTCCCGCCATGCACGTCCCCCCCTTCCGCGCTGAAGTTTCCCCGCCTCCCGAATCGACTCACTCGCAGGAGAGATTCCCCCAGCCGGTGTCCCCACCCAGCTCCAGTCCTTCCCCGCCTCACGAAACAGTCCCGTTGCCGCCGCCATCCGCCAATGCATTCCGCAGGGGCCACAAGAAGAGCTCGTCGTTCAACCCAGCGTCCAAACTACCGATCGACACGGCCCGGGCCAATGCCAACAACACTATTCCTGCCCCCAAGACCGCTGCTTTGCCACAGACACCCGCCACGGGTACTTTTGGACCCGGTCAAGGACGCGCGGGTGAACACCCTATGCGCCAACCACGCGGCCCGCCCTCCCTGGAGGAACTCGTTGCAAAGCCTACCTCGAAGCACGAAGGCAGTAAGAATTTTGCTACTCGCCAACGTCGACGGGCCGTCCACAACCTGGTGCGTGCGGGAATCGAGCGGCGAGGCGAAACCCGCAGCTTTGGATGCCACAGCAGCGGTGGCACCAACACCCCGGCCAGCGAGAAGGAGTTCACTTTCTCCGATGGAGACGATGCCACCGTTCGCAGTGGCAGCCTCTCGAGCAAGCCGAGCCTGGGCAGTTTGCGTGCTGCGGCCAACGGTGCGATTGGCTCCGAGAGGAAGGAAAGGTCTTCTCGGGAACGACGGTCGCAGGATAGCCCCTACAACACCCCCATCAGCGAAGATGGAGGCTTCTTCGGAGGCAAGTTTGGAGATGTTCGATCGGGCCAGGTCTCTCCCCCAGCGGGGTCACCTTCGGTTGCTGCTGTCGTCGCGGGCCAGAAGACGGTAGCTCAGGGTCCGGAGAGGCGCAAGACTCCGATGCTTGTGCTCTCCAGCGCTGAAAAGCGCAAGACCCCGATCATGTAACGCCGACCACCGTACATAATGTGACTGAGACGTAACGGATGTGCAAAGCCTGGATGAACTCTTTTGTTTCTTTTTGTTTTTTCTTTTCCTTTTTTACTTTCAACTTCTTTTACTTTCTTGACTTTCTTTGGGAACTCATGTGTATCATTCCTTTCTATTCTTTCGTTATCCACGATGGGATAATTCTTATGTGATCGCGGGATTGATCCTGCCCTGTTCTTTCATTTTACCTCTGGGATTGTGTTCAGACACATGACAAAGCATGGCTGTCCTTGGACGCCGGCTTCATTCGATTCTGCTTGCCTGGAAACTCTCCTACTATTTCCTTGCCACACTCACTGGGACAGATTGACGAATTGAGAAAACTTGAATACAACCTGATTGGCCGAGTCCATCAAGGGTATTTCCAAACTTGATCGTTCAGCGGGATATTGATGTATGTACAACGCAGCTGGCCATGTAGTACATGCAAATCTACAACTCGCAATATCTTTATCAAAGTAATTTTTCTTGGATGTGGAATAGTATTGAATCGTAGACCGATATCGTTAAAATAATACAACGCTCAGAAAGCCACAATTCTCTTTCAAATTCCAGTGACCTCCAGTCCATCCCCCAACCCCTAAGCAGAGATGCTCTTAATCCCTTCCTCCAACTCCTTCATATTTCCACCCACAACGCGCTTCTCCAACGCCTGCCCATCCTTGAAGAGCACAAACGTCGGCATCGCCCGCACCTGCAGCTCCTGCGCCACCGAGCGCACCTTGTCCACGTCCACCTGGATGAATCGCACGTTCGGGTACGTCTCGCTGAGTTTGCCGACGACCGGCGCAACGGCCTTGCAGGGCCCGCACCACGTCGCGAAGAAGTCGACCACGACGGGGCCGGAGGAGGTTAGGGCCTTGAAGATGACGGGGCTGAGGGGTTGCGTTCGCTGTTAGTCTGTCTGTCTGTCTGTCTGTCTATTTGGCTCTTCGGGTTGGGCTGGGTTGGGTTAGGAGTGGTTGAAACGTACTCGTCAACTTCGATCACTTTGCCGTGAGCCATGATCTTTTGCGGGAAGAAGCGGGTGCGGATGAAGCGGAGGACTGGTTGTAGATCAGGTTAGTCGAGGCTTGAGGTTTTCTGGGTTGGAAGGTCTGGTGGTGGCGCTGTTTATGTTTCTGGTTGTGTTGGTGTTGTGGGATACGTACGGAGGTAGACGGCGACAGCGACGAGAAGACGGGAGAAGTCCATGGTGAGGAGGGAAAGAGCCAGGATGGAACAATGTATCCGGGGTGTGGGCGGAGGGTCAGATGGCGCTTATGTATGGATTACTGCATTCGGGCGGGCGATTGCGACAGCTGAGTCAGCGTGCATAGTTAAGTCTGTGTAGTTATGTGTTGGGGGTGATTATCTGTGATTGGTCAATTGGAAGAGTGCAAACATGGCAAACAGCGTCGCATCGGAGATGGGTGACATTTGGATGGCTTCATTCTCTCTCTCCCTTTTTCCTTCCTGCTCTCTCCATTCTCTCGCTGAAAGGGTATACTAGAAGATAAATTGGATCCCTCACCATGCCGCCACCGAAACCGACCCGCCTCTTCACACGCCCAGGCGCGAAACCGCGCTCCCTGACATCCTCCGCGCCGCGCCGACAAGCACACACCCAACCACGACCTCAAACGCAAACACAAACACAACCACCCTCGTTCTTCTCCGCCCTACGATCCCGCTACGCCTCCCTCCCATCTCCCATCCGCCGCTCCTTCCGCGCCCTCCGCATCGCCGCGCCCCTCCTCCCCATCGGGCTCTTCTTCTCCGAACACATCTGCCAGATCATGTGGGTGCGCGGGCCCTCGATGACGCCGTGCCTGAACGAGGACTACGACGTCATGCACACGAAAAGCGACATGGTGCTGGTGAACATGTGGCCGTTTGGAGGCGCCGGGTGGCCGTGGCAGAGGCAGAGGAGGCTGGAGAGGGGGATGGTGGTTACGTTTCGGTGGGTTTACTCTTCTCTACTCTACTGACATGGCTTAAGGGGGCTAGATGAGTTAGCTAACGGATGCTGGTGTTTTAGGTCCCCTGCGAACCCATCGCATATCGCTATTAAGCGCATCATTGGCCTCCCCGGCGACCGGATCACGACGCGCGAGCCCTGCATGAAAGAAGCGCAGATCGTGCCGTTCAACCATGTCTGGTTGGAGGGTGACGCGGCTGACCCGAAGCGCTCGCTGGATAGTAACACGTACGGGCCGGTGAGTATCAGCTTGATCACGGGGACGGTGATGGCGGTGATGTGGCCGCGGTGGAGGCCGATGCGGTGGGAGGAGTGGGAGCAGGGCGTGGTGGATGGGAGAGAGGGGTATCGGCAGGGTGTGAGGGATAGGGTGGTTAAGGAGGCGGTGAAGTTGGATAGACCGGCGTTGAGTTGAGGGTAAGGCTATATGCTAATCATGGGCTCAGTTGAGCTGGTTGGTTGGTTGTATTATATGTAGATGCAAAGAGAGATAGATAGATGGATAGATGTATTATGTACGAATAGGATATGTGTGGTATAGAACAAAAGAAAAGAAAAAGAGAGAGAGAGAGCGTGATTAACCCGGAGAATCGGGAAAGGAAGGAGAAGGATCAAACAAGTCGAATATCCTCGGGTGTCTGTTCCTGCAATCGGTCGATTTCAGACGCGATGCTCAATACCCAGCGGTCTTTCTCGACTCGACTGCGTGCCTTGAAGACGACCGTCCGTCCATGCACTCCCAGCTTCGGCACCTGCTTCAGGGTCTGCCTGGTTTGGCCGCGTTTCCCTTCGATGGCCCGGAACAGGTTCTTGCGCAACGGCTGCCAGACAACGAAGGTGATGGCGGTATCCTGGTCCGTGCTCGTGTACAGGTCTGTTGAGAGATATGCCCGGGGGAGCGTGCGGTGGCCTGGGTTGTTGCTGTCGAAAGTTTGATTGGCGTATAAGAGGTCAGACTCGGCCAGCAAGCCCGAGTATATATAGCAGTCGGTGAGGTCGATTGTGGTTTCAATGCTGGAGTGAATGTGAGGGATTTCGACCCCGTTGCGTTTTCGCAGGGAGCTGCGGAAAATCAGTAGTTTCCCGTCGGTGAGAACAACGTCGCAACGCTTGAATGTTGAGTGTCGCCGGGGCTTTCGAAAGAGTTGTCCGGACATCTTCGAGCATGTTAGCACAGAATCCTTTCCCATCCTGACAAAGCACATACCTTGATTGCTCGACATCCAGACAGAGAACACATGTTGTGCAGATGTGGAGATGCTTCGGCCTTTTTGACCTCCCACTTTTTGGCGATCAGCCCGATCGTCGATTCCAGTTCCTCATCGATACCCAAGATCTCAACATTTCGTCGTCGAATGTCCTTGATCTCCGCCGCGTCTGCCGCAGTCCTCGTTTTCCAGTATTCCACCAGGGCGTTGAGCCGCTTCACCCAATCATCCTTTGTGGCTTCATTATACGCCTGAAGGCGAACAACGAGCCCGTTGTCCATCTGCATCTCGAAGGTCCGATCATCCTCGAACTGTTGGGTGTCTCCGTCGTCGGTGCGGGTGTCCCGGGCCTCTGGGTTGAACGGAACGTCCGGTCCTTCTTGGATGTTGGGATCCGCCGGGCAACTGTCACGTCGCACATTACGCACTTCCAGTACTCGGCAAAGATCAATGTAACCGTCTGAATTGCCGAGATTGTGATGAACACGTCGTAGTTGCGCATATGCTTCTTCGTCGTGTTTCTTGATATGTTCTCTGTTGCCACTAGAGAGCCAGGTAATATCCCCATCTTCGTATGGGTATGGATCAATTTCGTATGACAAAGGCATTTCGTCAAGTATATCTTGAGTCGATGGTATGTTGGAATCGTTTCGGCAAAGTCGGGGAGGAGCTGGTGGCAGAGATTTTGCTGGCCTGCAGAAAAACAAGTAGTGGTCCTGGCAGAAGAAGTAAAGGCGTTTAAAAAACATCTTGTTCATCCGTTGCTGAACTCCCTTCTGCGATGTTAGACGAACCAGGAATCCTTCCACAGGCTCCGGCTCTTCAATCTTGGTGTCTCCATGAGGAACAAAGGTATGGTAGTGCTGCCTTGGTCGTAGCTCAAGTTCGTGGGTGTTCTGCATTGCAAGTGAACCGTACATCTTTTCCTCGTTGATGCCATATATCCACTCCAAACGATCGTACCGTTTCCAAGCAAGACCCATCTTTTCTGTTTTCGACCACCTATGCAGCACATCGGACCACTCAGCGCGATTTTCGAGCATTCCCATGCATTCACGCACGATGGCTATGGCGGCGAACTTCTCCTCTACTTCACACCGAGCAAGAAGGTCATGTTTTTGCGTCTTGTGCTCGGCCTTTTTTTCCTGTTCCTCGAATGGATTTCGGAATATGAGAGCCACGCCCAAGTCAGGGACATTGATTGAAAGCGACGCAGGCCGCTGCCATCCGAGTGCCTGGAAGATTGAAGTATACCACTCAACCGCGTGCGCCGTAGATTTGGGCCGAATAATGTAGATCTTCGTGCCGTATTTGCAGGGACCCCAGATGACGATTGACTTATCCAGCGAAGAATATAGGTTGACCTTGGTTTTCTTTGGGCCCAATGTTACTTCGTGATGAGGAGAGATCCGACTGCCCTTTTTCTGTATCTTTGGAATGACGTGTGTCTTGTACATCTGGAGGGAGAAAGGTGCAGCAGGGTCCGCGGCGGCTCGGCAAACCACGAGGTATTCTCGCCAATTATCCACAACCCTCGTCTCCATTCTCATGCTATCGTGCTCCGAAAAGTCATGTGGGAGGTTGTCCTGCCTGGTCTCTTCGACTCGCACAAGCATTCGCTCCGTCTTGATGATCTCGCCGTCTTGATACTTTCGCCGGGTTGGTACTTTGCTCGAAATCTTGCCACGGGTTCTTGAAAGCCGGGACTGAAACCGTTGTTGTTTATCCAGGAGGTTGTCATCCAGGTTGTGCTTGGCCGCTTTGTTTGAGATCTTATTTAGAGGGTTTTGGGATGAATGTCGCTTTCTCTCAAGGTGTTCCTCTCCTTCGGTACTTTCACTTTGAGGCTCCTGCTGTTCCAGGTTCATCGATGATGGCGCCTGTGGGAGCCTGGCTTTTCCTTTCCCTTTGGCCGACGAATCGTGTCTCAGTAACGGAGTCTCGGATCCGACTTCACTCGGAAGAACCACGGGGCTTGACTGACTGGCCTCATCCGCATTGGAATCGGGAGCACTTGGCTTCAATAGAGTCTGTTCCTGGTCCACTTTACTGCTAGGTCCGCCGGAAGACAAAGGCTTAGTAGTAGACGCCGAGCTGGGGCCACGTTCTCTGGCCGTCACGAAGGATGCGCCGCCCTCGCCCATCCTACTCCCAGGGTCAACGCTGTCCTCACTTTTGCGCGAATCGGGGCGATCTTGAGTATCCGGTCCTGGGGCGGGAGGAATTTCAGTTCCCTCATCCAAAGGGTAATCCAAAGCCTGGAGACCAGCCCGTCCTTGGATCGAATCTTGGTCACTAGTTTCATTCTCCTGCTCCAGGTCCGTCCCTTCGCTCCCCATTGTATCGACCGGATAAACATCCTCCTGCTCGCGCTGCGAATCCTCCTGTCCACTCCGATCCGGACTGTCCGAATAGTGTGCTATATCTGGTTCGGCCGAGAAAGTTACCGTCTTCGAGGAGTAGTTTTTGAAATTGAGTCTCGATCTGTACCAGGATTTGCGGTGATTCTGCAGCCAACCCTTGGGAATGGGGCCGACAAAGTACCTCCTACTAGTCATATGCACATGTCTGGCGGAGGCATAGCGCTAAGATAAGGGTTAGTTTTATGGGGCCCAGCGGAATAAGATAGGATGCAGCCCTACCAGCTTTTCTGCTGTGTAGAAACCCGGTTCCAGCCCATGGTAATGGTGGTTATGGTCGAAGGAAATGCTGCGAGGGTCAGTCTCCATGATGGGGTCTCGACCATGCTGATCCGGGGGTGTTGGAGTGCCCATAGCACTTATCCGCGAACTTCGGGGTGCAGGAATCGACCAGGTCCCAGACTAAGCCAGCCAGGATCATGAGAGAGAAAGGGAGACACCGATGCTCTGACGCGAGCGGTCGATGACGTCGCAGGGGCGCATGTTTGCACTGTTTGTTCAGGGGGAAGGCCTAAGGCCCGCGGGTCCAGATCGGCTTCACCGCTTGCGTGGCTCCCGGCGGTGAGGGAAGTGACAGGTCAGCCGTTGTTGATATAATGCAAGCCCCTCCTCTTCCCTCTTCTCTTTGCTCTTTTTCACTCTACACTCTCTTCCCATTCTTTCTCTTCTCGTGATTTTTTCTCTTCCACTTTTAGATTTCCCTCGTTGAAATACATCCTTCAAAATGGCCACCTGGTTCGACACTATCAAGCGGTCTTTCGCCGATGTCCCGGTTGATGCTGCCAACAAGGGCATCTCGACTGAGGAATTCCTCGAGGCCGCTGAGTCCTTGACCACCCTCTTCGGTGAGATTCAATCGTCACTGTCAAATAGCAAATTCTAATGTATAACCTATACTAGATGTCCTCGGCTCCGTTGCCTTCACCCCCGTCAAGAACGACCTCCTCGGCAACATCAAGGTCCGGACAATTCATGCCCCGCATTCAAGTTGGATAAGTTCTAATTCCATTACAGAAAGTCCGCGAGAGGAAGGAGGCTGCCCCTGAGGAGTCCAAGACTCTCCAGGAGCTCGTTATCAACGAATTGAAGACCAAGAAGCACGTTGCTTCCGAGGGCCTTGTCTGGCTCGTCCGGTATGTTGCCTTTGCGTTGCTGTTCAGAATAGGGGGTTGTCCTCAGACCTGTCTCCACTCTGGCGTTTGAGATTAAGACTCTTGCTATGCAGATTGCTAACCACCAAACTTTCTCCATATTAGGGGTCTCGACTTCACTGCCCAAGCCCTTGCCCACAACCTCGCCAAGTCCGAGGTCGAGCTTGCCGACTCCTTCCGTGAAGCCTACGGCAACACCCTCAAGCCTCACCACTCGTTCATGATCAAGCCCATCTTCTCCGCCGCCATGGGTGCCACCCCCTACCGTAAAGACTTCTACACCAAGCTTGGTCAGGACCAGTCTACCGTCACTGAGGCCCTGAACCGTGAGGTGACTGCTTTGGAGGAGCGGGTCTCCATCCTGAAGGAGTTCCAGGCCACCAAGGAGGCCAAGTGGTAAACTATTGCCGGAGAACAGCTGGAAATGCTCTCCTGATGCAACGGTCCGCCGCTTTTTCTTTGTATTTTCGAGCGTATCATGTTATCAAAGCATGTATATATGTAGATACCTTATTTACATGTGAATAGGTCTCTAATCGGGCCTGTCGCTAGAGCAAAGGTCATGTACCTACAATTCCTGCATATATGAACACCTAAGCATTTTGATTTCAATTTGATCTGAACGATGCCGTAGTGACCAGTGCCAGCTGTACATTTTCTGGGTGGGATCGAGACCCCTGCCCTTGGAGGGGTTTAATATGCAACCCGCTGCAATCACCTCATTTGACCCACTGAGACGGGAGGAGGCAGCTCTAGACACCGTTGTCACTTCACCGCTAGTTCAACGGTCGTACATCTTGGAGCATAATCTGGCATCTCTTAATATCTTTCCAAGCTTATCAAGATGCCGATTCTATTCATTGCCGGGCCAGTTCAATAGGCCCAACCACTAATAAAAGGAAAGCCAAGATGATCCTTCGGAAGGTCTTGTACGATTTCAGAGATGAAGTGGCAATGTTTATTGGAGACATTGGACAGCTGGATAGCTCACAATATGCCGATGATTATACCTTGGAATTGCACCCCGCCATTGGTTCTGCAAAAGTACCTTCAAAAGTATGCGGTGCAACACAATCAAGACAGGAGAAAGCCGCTCATATCCATAAGAACATGATGCATATTCATTAGCATGCCTTGCATGATTCGATAGCTGCTGGTATCTTTTAAATTTTGACGTACAAGGACAGGCAATTGCCTTAGATAGGACCTTTGGTCTAGTCGTCTACATGCTTAGATTAGATACGAGCTCTTTGCGCAAGGTATAGTATGTAGAGAAAATCCACATTTCGCACTTAATATATGCCGCAATCACACATTGATCCTTATTTCTTAAGTTACATAAGCCTAGAAAGGTCGATATACTTCTCTTGCGAATATTTGGTCCTTGATATCGTCGTTATGTACTCATAGGTATTACCTACTTGGGATCTATGCATCCGATATAATATAATAGCGCCTTGGCAACATGCTCAACCGGTAGATAGATGTATTATGGTGGCTAGCATATAACTGTATGATATAGTAACTATGAAACTTAGAAGCCTTCCGAGAGGTGTAGAATTTCAAATGTGCGCTATGTTCTAATTATTTGGAAATGCTGGGCAACATTTAAGCGTAGGCTTTATTTTCTTCACCTTGCATGGAAAGTTGATCGATTATATTTATACTGGAATGCGTACGTTTCACCGAACTAATATAATCTGACATGTGTATTAATAGTCTGTCTGAACATGATAAATTGGATGGGTATAACTAAGAGGTCTGCAATCTATAATTTACCTCTGATAGTTCTATCTGGCATTTAATCTTAAACAAAGTATTTTTATCAACTCAGCGAATGCGATTAGCAATGGCTTCTTAAGCTTATAGAGATGAAATCCTTGGATATGAACTGCCGGCCTCTCTGCTTGTGTGTGGGTTGTGGTAGCACATATATTATGAGAGTTCAACAAAAATTCTCAATAAATGATCTTTACTTCAGATGAACGTAGTTCGAGCCTTCAGGACTGCATTCGTAGAAAAGAGACCTGTGCCAATGATACCAATGCACGGTTAAACATGAGTTCAAGTCGAATGATCGGGGTTTCGATGTTATTCTTGACGAATATTTGGATTGGACCCTTTAATGCAACGGTAAGAACCAGGTGACATATAACTTGCTAGAACAAGAGAGGGTTGAAGCAAGAGTTAAGAATCCCATGGCCGATAACAACAAATTTCAAACATACTGAGCAGGTAAGGTACGAGCTGCATCAAAGGCAGTATCCGTGGTTTTTATGCCCACCCAAAGACTAGGACCTAGAACTCACATGACGGTTAAGAGTATTCATTGCATCGTTCTTGGGTCGCAACAATATTGCGCCCTGAATATAGACTCTCATTGAAGTTGAAAATTTCAACCAAGTCACTATACGTAATCGTGCACATCGTTCTCGGAACAAGTTCCTCTTCCCTACTAGTCAACGATAGTCCCCTTGTTGTTGCCCAGATTTTGGGTTCATCTATCCCCAGGGGACGCCTTACAAGCAGAATCAGATAGAGAACGGTATCAGATCTCGGAACCTCTCCGGTGATCTCAAAAAATGGACGTCGTGATTCCAAATCCACCGCATCCATAAATAGCTACTTTGCTACTACGTAAGGCCTCAGTTTATGCTTAAAGCTAATTGATAAATCTGAGACAATAGTCTATCCCAAACACCAACACAAAGACATGTACTCCGTAGTGGTGCGGAGAACAAATGACACACAACCTGCCTCAGCATGAGATACTCTGACACAGGAATTGCACAAGTACGTCACCGGCAACGAGTCAGTCCCGCAGGATATCGCTGCGAGTAGCTTGAATCGCGGCGGTATCTCCAATATAAGGTTAGCTCCGAGGAATGCAGGCCGGGGTTCGATTCCTAGCACCTGAGGAGAGCTATGTGAACAACGCCGCAGATGCAGAGTGAGGTCGATCGGCGTTGAGGTCGAGCGGGGGTCCTATTATTGGGTTGTTCTGGACCAATCGCGGGACGGAAACATCCGGCTCTGCATGGATGGTAAGGATGTTTTCTTTTTGTGGTTTAGCAGCAATGCGAAGATAGACAGGAAATCGCGGGAAAATGGGGGGAAGCCGGCGAGGTACGGATGGTTGGAAGGGCTATGGGTGGATTGATGGATTTGCATGGTATACTGCCCAAAATAGCATAGATGATGGACAGATTGATGAAACCCACCGGTGCAAGCTAACGGAACCGAAATATCGTTGTTAGAGATGGATGCTCGGCAACCTTTTCCTGGATGGTGACATTTAGTGTTTTGTTTTGACAAAGCAATTGAGACTCAAACGTTTGTTGAGATATGGACGGCACCTGGCCCTGATTAATATCGGAACCCTTGCATGACAAATTTCTTGCAACCAAGTCTAGGCACCGTTGTGAGGATCTCCGACGCAGAGAGAAGGGAGGGGGGAAATAGTACATGCTCTGTGCATGGAGCTATCTCGATTCTCGATTCAATTGGTGAGATGCGTTTGCTGGATCGCTAGAAATCCATTAATAACAAGTGGGTATGTTAGCGCCCTGAAGTGGGGATGTGCCACAACCAGCAAGCAACGGGGACCCATCGCAAAATGCCCTCCCCAATGGGCCAATCCCTATTCACCATGCACTTCCGAAGGTTCCAATGGCAGGTTATCCCCGGTGTCATGTTTCACATACATCGTCGTGGGCGGATGGAATGGCCAGTGGGAGAATATTGGGCATGGATGGCCATGCTTGCTACGGAGTAATTCCTGCAGATTGCAGCGCGGAGTACGGAATTGGGAGGGGAAATGACTCAAAATGAGAAGACGACATAGATGGGGAGTTCGTGATATCTCCTGGGATATTAAAAACGTCCGAGGGCTGGATCAAGAAAAAGTCTAGAAACCTCATCCGCCCATAGCGACCGAAAATGACTGAAACCACGCAATAATTGCACAGTGGTATTCAAAAGACTCAAGGAAAACAAGAAATTCATTGCTGGGTGGATGCCCTCTGCTGATCGGAATCAGGATGAAAAGGCTCGTGGGTGTCTGGGCCTTTGGGGAAACAAAAGACCGAGATTGCCGATCTCAGGATCGTGTTGTGCTGCTGTTCAAGATGATAGATCAGGCCCAAGGCTCCATAAGGCTGGATATCCAAGGATCCAAGAGATCCAGATTCAATCAAAGTTCAATGCATCTCGTATTAGACGGGCCTTCTGAACTCTTTTTAGGTAGAAGGCATGTGACCCTGGGAACCCTGAATGTTGACTGCTTAGAGAATGCTTGGCCTCTCCAATACGTGAAGCATAAAACCCACACGGTAGAGTAATGCAAATAGTTAGCGCGACAGAAACATTGATCATTCCCATCTCCGACGAGGGAACCATGGTTCCGGCCTTGGATGTCTGTGCAGATGGCGGCGCAACTTGCAGGAGACTCCTATTTTCCCCTGGGAAAGCAGACACGATGGCGCTTTCTTGGCAGAAATTCTTGAGTGGCACGGATCGTCGTCAAGCGGCCAGGATATACATGCCAATTCGAGACCATGAGACCATCCCGGCCCAAGTGCAAAGTTCGTGGCAAATGCCCACGGTCAGCACTAGCTGGACAGCCGCCAGTCCGCCACAAAAAGGGGTCAAGAAAACATAGAAAGGGCCGCCTTCGCCTTCCATTCGTGCCGAACCGTCTGCCTGCCGTTTCAACTATTCTTATGACATCCTATGAGTCTACTCCGGCTCTGTTGGTCTCTGGAACGAGGTGGATCTCTGTTCCCCGACGGTGGCCGCTCCTCTTGCCTCCACTCTCGGCTGTTTAACCTGACTGGACTGGTGCCGTCACTGCGGTTTGACCTCTGGCGACGGATTTCCGATGAACCACCCTAGTGCGTTCCACCTATCCTGTTGCATCGTGGCCGCGCCCACTCTGGACCAGAGCCTGCGCTCCTCGTGCCTGGGAACGCGCATCTCTACATGACCACATAGGGGGAACCATGAACATCCTCTTGCCATCTTTCTCGTGCATGGGCGCATCTCTGGGAAACCCAACAGAAGCCACTCCCAATGGTCTTCGGACTATAATCAATAGTCATAGCCTGCAAAGGCCGCAGCAGCATGTAACCAGGGATGCTTCCCGCCGTCCCGCACCTCCCATTGTTCTAGAGCCTCGCTTCCGCATAGCGTCCCTTAAACCCTGCCATAAGGTTTTGCTAGGGAGTAGGTCGCCATTTCTCTCATCGCTGGACTTGCATGGATGATGGCACCCTCCCCACTTGGCAGTGGCACCCGCAGCCTGGCTCCAATCGGCACTTAGGAGGCCACTTGCGTTGCTGGCTTGCCACGGGCTGGGTGGGATTGTCAAGATGTAACAGAAGGTGTATTCGTGTATTGGTCTGTGGGTTGTAAAATCTTTCGTTTGGTTTGCTAATTGCAGGTGTCGCTGCTTTTGGGGCGTGGTTGCATTCGCTCCTCGTTTACCTAGGCAGCTGATACTATGACAGCCGAGGCTGGAAATGACACTTCCGACAATGCTTCCCACGGGGTTCAAGCACAAATTCTCCTTCTGTTACCCTGATTTGCTCTTCGCAATAGCAATGTAGATAGAAGAAGCAGTAAAAATGCAGGATGTAGAGCAGAAAAGTTAATAGAGGTTACACTGTCCAGGCACACTGATCACCCGACGGGCCCAGTGAGCAAAAGCAGCGTCCAAGCCAAGTTGAAAAGGGAAAAGGAGGACGCAGAACTCCTGCAAGAATCGCCGGGTTTGCAATTAGAGCGAGCAAAGAACCCAGAAAAACAATTGAAAAAACACTAATTACAGTAATGGCTAACACGATAAATACACTTTCCCTGTAGTAAAACTGTAAAGGCTTTCTCCCACTGGGTCCCCCCAAGCAGGCTAGTACAGGTCCCCATCTGCGTTAAATAGTGAATGATCCTGTCAAAAGGCAGTTTAACTAAGCTTAACTTCCATACCCGGACCTTTGGATTTCTCTCCCTTGGGGAAATTGTACCTTTGGGGGTTTTAATAATATGAATCCTGCTTGACCACGCCAAATCCAGGCTGCGCTTCAAAATGAGGGAACTAAAAGGTCGCAGCGTGTCTATTTTTGTTGTCACTGTCATTTTCTTAGGCATTTCGTTCCTGGCTGTCTGCCTGAGATGCTTTGTTCGGTTGCGGCTTGTGAGGGCTTTTGGATGGGATGATGCCTTAATGGTCTTCGCGATGGTATGCGGGTCCACATTGCTTCACTTTCTTGGACGCCGAGCTAATAGTTCATCTTCTTTCAATACAGGGCTTGAACATTCTGTTTGCGCTATGTGGAATAACAGGCGCACTTTACGGTATGGGACAGAAGCTCGGCGATCTGGAGATGAAAGACATCGAAACTGCAATGTTTGTATGTTGCCTGCCCTTTGGCTTTGCCCATTCCCTCGATCCATAATAATAACGCCTCAATATTAGTGGTGGTGGCTTGGGCAGACAAGTTACGTCTTCACATGCGTCATCGCAAAGATCTCAATCGCACTGGCCCTCCTTCGTCTCACTGTCGCCCGCATTCATATGATATTGCTATGGGGTGTCATCGCAGTATCCACGGTTATAGGGCTTGTATTCTGGTTCATGTTGACCCTGCAATGTCAACCGGTAAATCACTTCTGGCAGCGCACGAAGCCAGGGACATGTTTGGATGTCGATTACCTCATCGATATCGCGTACCTATACAGTGTTACTGCTACAGTCTGTGACCTCATTCTTGGTCTCTTGCCGATCGCGCTTGTCTGGACTCTCCAGATGAATACCCGTACCAAGGCTGCCCTGGCTGGTATCCTTAGTTTGGGCTGCATGTAAGTCGACTCTCGCCAATGGCGCATATTGTCTGCAATAGTTTCCATGCTGACTTGTTGGTTTCTAGTGCCAGTGCCGCGGTCATCGTTCGAATTCCCTATCTCCATTCTTACAAAGACCCAGAGTTCCTCTGTGAGTACAGAACCTTCAGCTGCAGATATCCTAGTAAGAGTGCGACTGACGAGTGGGTTTTATATAGACGCCACGACCGATATCTCGATCTGGTCAAACGTTGAAGCCGGTCTTGGAATCACCGCAGGAAGCCTGGTTACTCTCCGGCCGCTATTTCGCTGGTTTCGTGGCTCGACATACGACGCGACTCACAGCGCTAAGCGGACACCGGGCAGTGTTCCTCTGTCCAGCATGAACGGCCACGGCACCAATCCATCGCGACTGGACCGGGCGGCGACCAAATTCTGGCGGCCTGATCTAGATCCCCATGACTCCCGAGGCGTGGTCACAACTGTTCAGACCTCGACAGGAAGCAGGAATAGCAGCCAGGAAAACCTCAATCCGAAGCCAACCACGACAAACGGAGTCAACGTGCACAAGTCGTTTGTGGTCACGTCGGGTGAGGTGTAGCAGTGCTAGTAATAATTGGGCTATGTTGGCTTAATGTATTAATGATGTCAATATCAATTGAATAAAATGATGTTAATGGAACAAGAAAGCAAGAGAACATACGGAGTAGATTCGAATGGATTGCTAGAAAGAAGAGTAGACAATGGAGGAGGCCGGGAAAATAAGGCTCCGATCGGGCCAAGCACGTGGCTCCAGCCAATCGCAGGGCGCGACGGCGGACCTTCATTGGAACTTTCCAGGCGGCGAACTTGCGGAAGGAAATTTAGACTGTTAAGGTGGCTTCTTCCCCCGACCCTTCCACCCTTTTTCTATTTTGTTCGTCGGATATCGGGGGTTTCATGGCTGCTTCCCTTCGTCTTATGATTCAATAATATTCTTTTTTTCGCCCTGTTGTATCGCGTCGCTTGACCCGCGTTGAGGTCATCGAGTGTCGCCATGTAAGTTGAGTGTCCTGGTCGAGACCCCGTCGCGTGCCGTCATCGATATCGTACTGACTGTCTATCTCATGAAGGGCAAAACTCGTCGATGACCCTCAGATTGCGTACTCCTCGCTGCACAATCCCCTCCCAACCCAAGTTCACACCTACGTTTGGCCGTTCCTCATCATCTGGCCCGGATTCTTCGCTTTTTATCTCTCCCCCGAACGCTATGACCAATATATCCAAGGCCAAGAATGGACGTTCGTGTGGGTTGCTTCGATCATCACGGCTCAGTCGCTCCTTTGGTTGATGACCAAATGGAACATCAACATCCAAACCCTGTTCACGGCGACGAAAGCCAAGTCCATCGATTCTGCCAAGCTCATCAAGGTCATCCCCGGCGCCAATGCCGGATCCGCGGAAATATGCTCCCTCGTCCATGATAATATGGGTGGAAAGAACACGATCTCCTTTCTGTTCCAGAAGCGTCGCTTTCTTTACTACCCTGATCGTCGATGCTTCGGACCCCTGTCGTACGTCCTCGATGCCGAGCCGAAGCCCGCCATCAAGACCTTCCAGCAGAACCCGGGTCTGGCCACCAAGTCCGAGGTCGAGAGCATTCAGTATCACTACGGCGATAACACTTTCGATATCCCCGTGCCGGGATTTGTTGAACTGTGGAAGGAGCATGCTGTTGCGCCTTTCTTCGTTTTCCAGATCTTCTGCGTCGGTCTGTGGATGCTGGATGAATACTGGTATTACTCGCTGTTCACGCTCTTCATGCTTGTCGCTTTCGAGAGCACGGTCGTGTGGCAGCGCCAGCGAACTCTCAACGAGTTCCGCGGAATGAGCATCAAGCCCTACGATGTGTGGGTTCACCGCGAGAACAAGTGGGAGGAAATTACCAGCGACAAGCTCTTGCCCGGTGATGTCATGTCGGTCAACCGAACCAAGGAAGACGGCGGTGTCGCGTGCGATATTCTTTTGATCGAAGGTAGTGCTATCGTCAACGAGGCCATGCTTTCCGGTGAAAGTACCCCTCTTCTGAAGGAATCGATCCAGCTCCGACCGGGAGACGATCTCATTGAACCGGATGGATTGGACAAGAACGCGTTCGTGCACGGAGGAACAAAAGTCCTGCAAATCACCCACCCCAACGCGAATGTGGAAGACTCCGAGAATGCTCGCAAGAACGGCTCCAAGATCTCTGCCCCGCCTGACAATGGTGCGATCGGCGTTGTTGTGAAGACCGGCTTCGAAACCAGCCAAGGCAGTCTGGTCCGCACCATGATTTATTCCACTGAGCGCGTCTCTGCCAACAACGCTGAGGCTCTGCTCTTCATCCTTTTCCTGCTTATTTTCGCCCTCGCCGCTTCGTGGTACGTGTGGCAGGAGGGTGTCACGCAGAACCGCAAGAGATCCAAGTTACTCCTGGATTGTGTCCTTATCGTCACCAGCGTGGTCCCTCCCGAGCTTCCGATGGAGTTGAGTCTTGCTGTCAACACCAGTCTGGCTGCCCTGAGCAAGTTCGCCATTTTCTGTACCGAACCCTTCCGTATTCCTTTTGCTGGTCGTGTTGACGTCGCTTGCTTTGACAAAACCGGTACTTTGACCGGTGAGGATCTGGTTGTTGACGGTATTGCCGGTCTCAGCCTGGGCCACAGTGGAGCAAAGGTTGAGAAGGATGGCGCCCACACCGAACTGGCGAAGAACGGTAACATCGGAATTGACACCACGCTTGTTCTTGCTAGCGCTCATGCGCTGGTCAAGTTGGACGAGGGCGAAGTCGTTGGCGACCCTATGGAGAAGGCTACGCTTCAGTGGCTTGGCTGGACCTTGGGCGCAAACGACACTCTTACCTCCAAGACCCAGTCGGCTCCTGGCTCTCGCTCCCTTGAATCGGTGCAAGTCAAGAGAAGATTCCAGTTCTCTTCCGCATTGAAGCGTCAGAGCACCATCGCGACCGTTGTCAACAATGACCGCAAGACATCGAAGAAGGTTAAGTCCACTTTTGTGGGTGTCAAGGGTGCCCCCGAGACCATCAGGTCTATGCTTGTTAACACTCCGCCCAACTATGAGGAGACCTTCAAGCACTTCACTCGTAACGGTGCTCGTGTTCTCGCTCTCGCTTACAAGTACCTCTCCCCCGAGGCCGAGCTGTCTCAGGGCCGTATCAACAATTATGCCCGGGAGGAGATTGAGTCCGAATTGACTTTTGCTGGATTCCTGGTTCTTCAGTGTCCCTTGAAGGATGACGCTATCAAGGCCGTCCGTATGCTCAATGAGAGTAGCCACCGTGTTGTCATGATTACTGGTGATAACCCGTTGACTGCGGTTCACGTTGCACGCAAGGTTGAGATTGTGGATAGGGATGTCTTGATCTTGGATGCTCCTGAGAATGATACGTCGGGCACCCGATTGGTCTGGCGTAGCATCGATGACAAGTTCAACCGTGACGTGGATCCCACCAAGGATTTGGACTCTGAGATTGTGAAGACTAAGGATATTTGCATCACGGGCTATGCCCTGGCCAAGTTTAAGGGCCAGAAGGCTTTCTCGGATCTTCTTCGCCACACTTGGGTCTACGCCCGTGTCTCGCCCAAACAGAAGGAGGACATTCTCCTCGGCCTCAAGGAAGCTGGCTACACTACCCTGATGTGCGGTGACGGTACCAACGATGTTGGTGCTCTGAAGCAAGCTCATGTTGGTGTTGCGCTGCTGAACGGCTCGCCGGACGATCTCACTAAGATTGCCGATCACTACCGGACCACCAAGATGAAGGAAATCTATGAGAAGCAGGTTGCTATGATGCAGAGATTCAATCAGCCTTCTCCGCCTGTGCCTGTCCTTATCGCCCACTTGTATCCTCCTGGTCCCTCCAACCCGCATTACCAGAAGGCTATGGAGCGGGAAGCTCTGAAGCGCGGCATCAACCCGGCAAACGCACAGAACCAACAAGAGGCAATCCCGACCATCACTTCTCCGGGCGCTCAAGCCCTGCAGCACAACTTGACTCCTCAGCAGCAGCGCCAGCAGCAGGCCTCCGCGGCGGCTGCCGGTTTCGCCGACAAGCTTACCAGCTCGATGATGGAACAGGAGCTTGATGAAACTGAACCCCCCACGATCAAACTGGGTGATGCGTCGGTCGCCGCGCCTTTCACTAGCAAGCTGGCCAACGTTATTGCAATCCCCAACATCCTTCGTCAGGGTCGCTGTACACTCGTTGCGACGATCCAGATGTACAAGATTCTTGCTCTGAACTGCCTCATTAGTGCATACAGTTTGAGTGTCATTTATCTGGATGGTATCAAGTTCGGAGATGGTCAGGTCACCATCAGTGGTATGCTGATGAGTGTCTGCTTCCTTTCGATCTCCCGTGCTAAGGTAAGACTTTGCTCATTCGCAAGGTTGATTGAGGTACTAACATAGTGCTTAATAGTCCGTGGAAGGTCTCTCCAAGGAACGACCCCAGCCCAACATCTTCAATGTGTACATCATCGGTTCGGTGCTTGGACAGTTCGCTATCCACATCGCTACCCTCATCTATCTGTCTAACTATGTCTACTCCATTGAGCCGTATGTTCATACCTAAACATTCTTCAGAATCTCGCTAACAAAACCACAGGAGACAATCGGACATTGACCTGGAGGGCGAATTCGAGCCTTCTTTGCTGAACAGCGCCATCTACCTTCTCCAGCTCATCCAGCAAATCTCGACCTTCTCCATCAACTACCAAGGCCGTCCCTTCAGAGAGTCTATTCGGGAGAACAAGGCCATGTACTGGGGTTTGGTCGCCGCTTCTGGTGTTGCCTTCTCCTGCGCCACCGAATTTGTCCCTGAGCTGAACGAGAAGCTGCGTCTTGTTCCATTCAGCACCGAGTTCAAGCTCACCTTGACCGTTCTGATGATCATCGACTACGCTGGTTGCTGGGTCATCGAGAACGTCCTGAAGACCCTGTTCAGCGATTTCCGCCCGAAGGATATCGCCGAGCGCCGTCCGGACCAGCTGCAGCGGGAGACCGCTCGCAAGGCTACAGAAGAATTGCAGAAGTTGGGTGAGCAGGAGCGCCAGAGGAAGGTGTAAGATTTCAGATGTTATATAGTTGGAGATCTCTTTTGGGGGTTGATCATTATGCATGCTTAGACACTCTTTCTCCCGGAGGGGGATTAGAAAGCGTTGTTGGCTCTTTGTGTCGGGCAGATGCATGTCGTAATATCTAAGTGGTAAATAGAAAGAATAGAAGGTTTTGTTTGCTTTGCTTTGATTCCAAGTAGATTGAGAAGTAGATGGAGAGACCAGGGGCTGCCGTAATTAGGCTCCGACGCTAGCCTCAGGTGTCCAGGCAGCGACGCCCCTCATCGGGAGAGGATCACCTGAACCAACCAACCCGATTTAATTAATCTCCAGACAGCTCGCAGCGGTGTCTCTCCTTTCCGACCTGTCTCGCGCCTCTCCCCCGATTCTTTTTCCTCGCCTTCCGCTCCTCCGCGGGATCGCCTTCTCATGCTCCGTTAAATTGGTTTCACTATGTCCCGGAGGACGCTGGGTGGAGGTCGTGTCCTGGGCACCGCGAACGCTCTCTCCCCATCCACATCTGTCCCGTCTCCGCAACCCAAACCAAGGGTCCTGTCGCCCTCCGCCAGCAGCCTCTCTCTTAGTTCCCAGGCCTCGGCCTCGCAGTTCTCTTCCGAAACCCAAGATCTCACCTCGCGGATATCCCTGGAGAATGCCAGTTCTTCGATTCCCGCCCCTCCGGCCGCTGCCGGTGCTCAGCTGGCCTGTCCGATCTGCAGTGAGGAGATGGTATGCGACATTCCCCTCATCCTTCCTGCTTAATGCGCTTGGATCTATCGATCGATCGGAACAATAATTGACTGACTGTTTCCAGGTAACATTGTTACAATTGAACAGGTACATTCCGAGCTCGCGAAACCACCCCCTCCTATTTCCTAACGATCAATCCAATCTAGACACCTCGATGACGTACATCAGAACCTTGAAGATGATCGACAGGACGAAGTCAAGGACTGGTTCAAGACGCAGATGGACAAGGCGAAACGATTCCAGCCGCTGGCCGTCCTGAACCAGAAACTAAAGGGCCTCGACGTGTTCGAGTCGAACGAAAACCTACAGACTTTCGCGGGCGCAAGTCGACCTCTCGCTGCACACTCGCATGCGCATACGTTTACACCTGAACCATCAAGACCCTTCGAAGCCGATGATATAATCACCAAGGAGCATTGGCAGGGACGTGGCTTATACGATACCTGTTTGGAGCCGTCGTGCGGGAAGCGACTGAATGCGACTAATGGGTGTGTCAACTGCCGAAAGTGCGGGAAACTGTTTTGCGAGGAGCATACAATGTACCAGATGAGGCTTTCCAGATCGGCGCAGCATGAGCCGGTGAGGGGGCTATGGTATAGGGTCTGTGAGACTTGCTATAAGTCGCGGGAGGGATATAATGATCACAATGGTAAATAAACACCGCAGGTTGGGTCAACAAGAAAGGTGGAGGCTGATGATTGCAGGCTTGGTACGAAGTCGAACAGATGATTTCAAGGCTTTGAGGAAACAAACGGTGGACAAGGAATTCCTAGAGGCTTCCCGGCTCGAGAAACGGTTGACGCGCCTCACCCAACTGCTTGCTAGTCTGCCCCCGGAACAGATTCAGTCCGGAGCGAGTAAGCGCTGGCCGATTCCGTGGCCGAATGACCAGAGGAAGGCGCTCGAGCAAACCATTGTCAGCTGGCAAGATGACACGAGCGTTTCGAGGTGTCCTTTCTGCCAGCAGGATTTCACCAGCTACACCTTTCGGAGACACCACTGCCGAACTTGCGGGCGAGTTGTTTGTGGTGACCCAGCAACGGGATGCTCGAGTGATGTGCCTCTGAATGTGTCACCACGTATGTTATCTTCTCCGCGCTGACATCTGAGCTAGCTGACATGGACTAGCGTCTGAAACATCCGAAGAGAAGTCGAGAAGTACCAGTTTGATCAATATTGATATCCGTCTTTGCAAAGAATGCAAATCAACCTTGTTTGACCGCCGAGATTTCGAAGCCGACGTCACGCGAAAGCCTCCGGATCTTCGAGCCTACGAGAATCTCATTCAATTCGAAAGGGGCATCCGGCTGCTTCTGCCTAAGTTTCAAAAGCTGTTGACAGCTCTACAGTATGTTCATCATTTTTTCACAATTTGACAGAGTTGACCATATCCACAGAGACCCCCGACGACCCCCGACATCCGCTCAAATTGCGGAAGCCTCTAAAGTCCGAAAGCGACTTACCGATTCTTTTGCAAAATACGACGTTGCGGCCAGGCGCATCCGCGACTTGCCTACGGAGTCCGTCACACAAAAATTCCTCCAAAAAGCGGTATATCAGCAGGCCAGTAACTTCCTGCATCTTCACATGCTTCCTTTGAAATCCCTGCCTAAAATCCTCAAGCACGCCTCGGCAAATGAACGTTTAGCGAGCTCCATGGGCTCACCCAGTAGTCCTAGTCCGACCAATGGTTCAAACAATGGTCACCGACGACAAGGCTCCGCACTGTCGTCTATCCGTTATGGCAGCATCACTGCAAGTGCCAGCAACAGCAGCCTAGCCAGCGATACGAGTAGTGCCATATCCGCCATGGAAGCGGAGGAGAAATCCTTGCGCGAACGGCTTATTGTGTTAGAAGAGCAGAAGTTCTTCGTCTCCGAGATGATCGCGGACGCGAACCGGCGTCGCAAGTTCGACGAAGTCAGCAGCCTGGCAATGAACGTCGAAGATCTCACCCGGGAGATCGATCGGGTGAACGGAATGCTGGACGGTCTGGACTTTGAAAGTGTCTACACTGGTACTCAGCAGAACTAAATCTTCCGGTATTAATATAATTGAAAGCGCGCGCGCGTTGCTACTCGCTGAATCGCATCTTCTTTTGAGTGTAGTAGGGCTTCCCCTCTCCTCTTCTTTTTGGCCTCTATACTTGGCTCTGGCGTGGCGTTCTGTTTCCGGCGATCTTTGCATAGCATGAGGCGTTTCTGGCTTTTAATTCTTTCTTTTCGGTTGACTCAGGCGGCTGCTTTTTAGTGTTATATTAGGTCAGATATAATTGATGCTATGGATGATTGGGTCCTCTAGTAACTAAAGGATTGACTAGTCTTTCGAGATTGCACGATGCTATTTTTGTGGAGTCGCGCTGGGAATTCTGCCATATCGCTGGAAGCATCCTGCATCATGTAATCGATTCTGACTTCTTGATATCGTAAGATGCGAGGGCTAAATTCCTATGAGATTAAGCCCGAACCAAACCGGAGATTGGGATGCCTAGCGAGTCGGCTATATCTCCGCCGAGGCGGAGCAAGACTAGTTAGCTGGTCCTCGTTTTCTTTTGGGTTGTGTTCTTTCTTTTCTTTTCTTTTCTTTTCGTTTTGTTAGGCAACGTGTAACCGCTAAGACACCATAACGCCAAGCACCAAACCGCACTAGTCCCAAACAATCCACCATACTACTGTACCTACCTTAGGCCTTCCTCCGAAAGCCCCATCCAACATCCAACTATTCCTCCTCCGTACTCCGTCCAGAACCTTCCTCCGACCGCCTGCCCGAGCCATTGTCTGACAAACCATGAGTTTCCACGATGTACCTCCGCCGACGGACGAAACCCCCGCTAAGCGGCGAAAGATTCGCAAAGGCACCAGCAGCTGCTGGGAATGTAAGCGGCGGAAGACCCGCTGTACGTTCGCCTCGGCGCAGGATGGCGTGTGCGTCGGGTGTCAGGGCCGCGGCACTACTTGCGTTAGCCAGGAGTTTCCGGAGATCGTGGCCCCGAGTAAACGCGGGAGGCAGATGGGGAATCGGATCGAGCGTGTTGAGGCGATGATTGATCGGTTGGTGAGTGGGTCTGGGGGTGAGGGTGTTGTGGTGGATGGCGGTGATGTAGGTGAGGCGCCGACGGTTTTTACGAGGGATGATGAGCCTAATAGGGTGTTGGCGTTGATTGATGGGGCGGTGGTAGGCGCTTGATTTGTGACTTTTTGTTGTGCTTTGCTGATATCGACAAGGAAGAGCCCGTTGGTGCGAACGATGGTGGACCGTCTGTTGAAGTTGACCAGGGACCCCAGGGATCAGGAAGAGCAGTACCCTCTGGAAAGTCTAGGTATGCGAGGCTTTCGCAGACTCTATATGATGCGCTCCCGTCGAAAGAGGATCTAGACATACTATGGAAAGCGGGTGCCCATGCATCTATACATTTCCACCAGGTGATGATGACACCATACCCGGAAATGGAAAAGAACGACCTTGATTCATCAGACACACAGGATATTCCAGGACCTGATACACATCCAGTACTTCTGGCGCATTATTTCTTTCGCATCACGACTGTCCTGCAGTATCTCGATCCGGAGTCTCACGGACAACTTAAGGAAATGTCCGAGTCGCCCAGGGATATGATGAATAGGCTGGCGGATACGGCTATCAGCTTGGTTACGACGCATGATGAGCTTCTCGGGACAGTGGAAGATCTTGAGTCCGTAATGATGGAGGGGATTTATCAGGCAAACTGTGGCAATCTACGACGGGCCTGGATTGCATTCCGTCGTGCCATGGGCCTAGCCCAGCTGATGGGCATGCATCGAGCCAAATGTCCGCCGCTGAAAGTCATTGATCCACAGGCACATCGGAAGTTCAACGCACAGCTCCTCTGGTACCGTATCGTTCATGCTGACCGTTTCTTTTGCCTGATGATGGGGCTTCCACAGGGCTCTCAGGACCGGAGCATGGCATCTGAGGCAGCCCTCAAGAACGACACCCCTATAGGTCGCTTGGAACGAATCCATTGCGCGATTGCGTCGCGCATACTCGAGCGCAATGACTCCGATCCCGGATCTTACAGCTTTTCGACAACGCAAGAGATTGATCATCAATTACAGGAAGCGGCCAAAACCATGCCCAGTAAATGGTGGCTGGCACCTAACTTGGCCGCTGCGGCATCGGCCGCTGGGACTGACAAGAAAGCTGTGTTTTGGGAAATGCTGCGACTGGTGAACCAGCTTTACCATTTCAATCTTCTCAATCAACTCCACCTCCCTTTTATGCTGCGCTTCACCGCCGCCGAGCGACGTCTTGACTACTCGCAGACAACGTGCGTTAACGCCTCGCGCGAAGTCCTGTCGCGGTTCATTTCTTTCCGCAGTTTTAATCGCGTGGCCTACTGCTGTCGGGCTGTGGATTTCTTCGCGCTGACAGCCGCATTGATACTTCTTCTTGCGCATCTGGACGGCCACAGGAGACGTCATGCTCCGCAGGCTGAAGACCCTCAGAGTACCAACGGCAACACTCGAGGTGACCTAAATTTCTTGGCCCATCAACGTCTAAGCGATCGTGCCATGATGGAGCAGGTTGTCGAGAACATGGACCAAATCGGCCGGGTCAGCATGGATGCCGTAAGCGAGAGAAGCGCCGGTCTGCTACGTCGACTGCTCGCGATGGAAGCAGACGCAGCTGAAGGGAAGCCTTACAGCACGCAGAGCGAGCGTATCTCCGATAATCCTCCAGAAGAGCAGGACGAGCTTGATGTCGTCCGCATCTGCATTCCATACTTTGGGACTGTACGTGTGGCGCGCGAGGGTGTGATTTCAAAAGAAACACCACCTGGGATGTGGACGCCGGCGATAGACCCTGAGGTTGATGCCGGTCGTCCGTTAGAACACGAGACTGGAGTAAATTCGGATCCTCTTGCCTCTGTACCCCATGTGCCCGAGATCCAGTCGCAGTTTCAGGCATTCGATGGGATTCCACAGCATGAGCCTATGCCTACGTATGTGCCACAGCAACGCCTGGTCAATGAGTTTTATCCCGGAATGACCGCCGGAACAGATGCCTGGGCCTTCCAGGGTGTTGATATGGCGTTCTTTGATAGTTTGATGCAGGGTTCGATGCGAGATATTCCCGACTGGGGAGAGGAAACTATACTCAACTAGAAGATACTATAGCCTACATACGAATTGCAAATTAATGACTAAGGACTTCATTCATAATCCGCATGCAGTTTTCATCTACTGATTACTCTAGTATGGTTTATTACTCCGTGTGCTTTCAAATTTTCTCTCGCTCCGAAAGATCACTAGTCCAGTAGTTTGTAGGCTAGACATATGGAGTCGGATTCCCAGCCCTAACTCGAAATCTCCGCCGAGACGGAGGGGGCCAAACCACGGTTGGTAAAGTATCGTGTCGAACTACGGAGTAATGATCAATCCATTCCTCTCGCAAGAGCGAATTTGCAAGTAGAAAAAAGTATATATATGACTAGAGTTCATCCTCTCGACAGGTCAAAATCAACAACTCCAATTCCCATCTTCTCAACTGAGTCTTCACTGGAAACAATCCGCCTCCAAGTCAACCACTACTTTTTCACCTAAACAACCACCCACCAACCAATCACCATCACCATGTCTACTTCCACCATCACCAACGTCCTCATCACCGGCGTCGCCAGAGGTCCGCAACCCCAGCCCACCACCTAACCAGTCCATTCCTAACTAAATCAAACTCAGGAATCGGCCTCTCCCTCCTAAAAGCCTACCTCTCCCGCCCCAACCACACCATCATCGGCACCGTCCGCAACACCTCCTCCCCCAGCACCTCCACCCTAACCACCCTCTCCACGGCACCCAACACGCACCTCATCCTCCTCAGCATCGAAAGCACCTCCGCATCCGACTACCCCGCCGCCGTGGCCCAGCTCCACGAAGCGGGAATCAGGCATTTAGACCTGGTGATCGCCAACGCGGGGATCTGTCCGGACCCGTGCCCGCTTGTGCAGCTGGACGTCGAGGACGTGAGCAAGGCATTTGCCGTGAATACGGTGGGCCCGATCATGCTGTTCCAGGCTGTTAGGGGGCTTTTGGAGAAGGGGCATGGCAAGAAGTGGGTTTCTATGTCGACGGGGGCGGCGTCGTTGGGGAATTTAGAGGTGCATGGGGCTCATGGGGTCGCTGCTTATGGGATTTCAAAGGGAGGGTTGAATTGGTTTACGTTGTGAGTTTTTCCTTTTCCTTTTTTAGAGGGTTGGTTGATTTTTGGTGGTTTGGGGCTGTGTTCGAGGGGAGGTTGGATGTGGTGGCTAACTCGGTGCTATTAGGGCTGTTCATACCTCTGAGGATTGGTTGAATGCGTTTGCGGTGCATCCTGGGTATGTTACTTCCATTACTCTCCTACGCTTACCGTCTATCACTCTTTTCGTTATGACAAACTGGATTACACATACTAACATGACGGAAACAGACTCGTTCAGACTGAAATGGGCAACAAGGGAGCTCAGATGATGGGATTGGAAGAAGCGCCGAATACCCTGGAAGAAAGCACCAGCAAGACGATTGCTTTGGTAAGTACCGGCTTCTTGGAACACTGCGCTTTATCAGAAAATGGAGTAAGGATGTGACTAATTGTGGGAAATAGATCGATGGAGCCACGAGGGAGACTGCCTCTGGACGATTCTTTAATTCTATTGATGGGTCGGAGTTTCCTTGGTAGAAGATAGAAAGATAGACCTTGTTATTGAGGAATATGGAGGAAGAAAATGAAGTAGTATCAGGGGTGTTTGTTGAGAATTAATAGATAGATATAATCGTTTACTATAGATCGCGTATGTTTTGAATTTGAAATCATTTTATGTACAAGAGAATATGGTTATCAAAGTAGTGAGTCAAAACTCTGACATTTAACATTGCAAAATTTATTCAGTAATCCAAGTACATCCCTTATAGTCCCTCGAAGAAAACAATAAAACTACATACTCACCTCCCAACACAAACATACAAAACCATCAACAAACCCCAGCCGGACACCCAACCCCCGACCCAAAACTCCTCCCTCCAATCCCCAAAATCGACATCGCCGCATTCACCGACCCCCCGATGCCCTCTCCAGCAATAAACCCCGCCGCAACTGCATACCCAAACGCCTCGAACCCAGCCGGCGCACATCTCCTCCAAACAACCGCCGCGACCGCGCCCATCAAGAACGCAATCCCGTAATGCGTCGCGGGCAGCGTGAACGCCATCGCCAGGATCATCATATTCGGATGGTAGGCGCGCATATGGGCCCATTTGCCGCGCCAGAGGAAGTGTCGGGTTAGCACGGCCATGATGCCGAGGAGGGACATGGCGATGGCGAAGGTGAGGCTGGATGGTGGGATGGGGAGGGAGGGCTCGGTCATGGCGACGGCGACAGTGCGCCAGGCGCTGACGGAGGGGGAGGAGAATTCGCACTGTGCGGCGGCGGTGCTCTCGGTGGTGAGGATGCAGGGGTAGGCCGTCGCGAAGAGGACGAATATTCCGGGGGATATTAGGGCGGCGAGGGAGGTGCCGATTAGTTGCGCGGTGTACTGGGGAAGGGATGGCGTGCCCAGGAGGTAGCCGACGCGGAAGTCGCCCATGAGGTCTGTTAGGGTTAGAAGGGTGTCTACTGTAGGGGGAGCTAAGTTGAGAGAGCGTACCGCAGGCTTGACTGCCGCCGATGTTGGTTAGGGCTCCGCCGAGGAGGTTCAGTCGCTGCGAGGCCTCGATGGTGGGCTGATTGCTGACACCTGCGACAATGACCTGGGAGACTTTTGATAGTGTGCCGAGAGGAACTGTGTCTGTAGTATGGAGTTTAGTCTTACTTATAATATTTGCTGGGGATAATGCGAAAGAGAAAAAACCATACCTGTGGCTCCGGTGGCTTGTATAGCGAGCAGTGACAGAACAAAGGCAAGGAAGAGTGCCAACAACGTTTCTGCAATTGGCATGCCGTACTCCACCTTTAATATAGGGCATGATACTGCCACTACAAATAAGAGCCCTGGAAGCCACATCCACGTCTTGATTCCTTCATCTTTATCACTGAGGGTGTCGCTGCTACCCGGCTCCGATAGTATAGTATATCGATAGTTAGACCTTTCTGGTAACATCTGAGCTACCCATTGGAGTAATGTCCGTGTGAAATCACGTAGAAGAGTCCAGATTAAACGCCACTGGCAGGCCAGTTCTGAAAACGATAACTTTCAGCTTTTGGTATTTATGGCATAATTTCCCAGACTTGAGTAACTCAGACATACCCGTAAGGGACGTAGCCATCATACAGATGACTCCCGGCCAAAGTAACCAATACCGAGGACTCGGGTGATCGGCGTTGGCAAATTCGCTTGATAAAGAAGAGTATGACATTAACTCTGACCATTTTGGATCTGTCGACCTATGCTCCCCAAAGGCAAGACCCTGGGTTACCAGATACGGCCCGATCATTCCCCTAGAGAGAACCATATTGATTAGTTCCAACTTCACAGGACAGGACAGGAGAGAATACCAAGCAAGCACCGAGCCCGATAGAAATGACACAGCAACGTTAACATTAACGAGCATGCCGGAGCCTATGAACGCTGGGGTCCATTCGATAAACCAGCCCCAGCTCTCCATAGAGGTGGCCACATTGACCAAGACTCCGCTATTTATCAACCAGGTGAAAACATGCCAGTCCTATGAAGCCTCAGTATGGAATCTTTATCGATGCACTTCTGAATTGGAGCATACCCAGAAAACACCTATCGCGTACTGCGACACAACGCGGAGAAGCAAAGCAGATGAAAACGCGATTACCATAGCTCGCAGTTTACGCTGCGCCATCGCCGCTCCCTCGATAGCTTGATGCATACTCCGGATAGTCATTGCTGTCGCCGAGGACGAAGGAAACACTAGATCCAGCTCTCGGGCAACATGGATGAGGAAGAACTTCCGGACTGTGAGATCGTAAGCAATATCCAGCCAATGCATAGTCTGGAGAGCATACGCGGAGCAACTGATAGCAGACCGAAGCATCCACCAATAGCTGTCAATATGACGATGCGAAAATAATCCTTAGTGGGCGTGTCCATAAGTCCTAACTGATATAATGCCGGAACGGCCGATACGAAAACATTCGACAGTCCTCCTGCAGCTGTAGCCGCGGTTTGGACAATATTGTTCTCATGGGGCCCGAATTCCTGCCTGGAGGATGATGACTTGGACCATTTTCTGAGAACGGCGAAGCCGATGACAGACTGTCTTTTTCAGCGGGGATACGAGGTCAGATCAGTTGAGACTTACGCCGAAGATGTTGGCCGACGATGTCCACCCAGCTTTCAGACCGAGATAGATGTTGGACGTGTTGACGAGAGTGCCGCAGAGGATCCCGACCAGCAACGCGCGAAAGGTCAAGATAGGACCAGACGCTGGTCTATTGTCATCAAATGGCAGGAATGGGTCCGGGCCGGATTGCTCATCTGGCTGTTCTGGGGTGGTTTCCGTTGCTGTCATTGTTCTAGCCTTCTGGGTGAGCCTTCTCGAACTTGAAACTATTATGCAGAGTACGATCTTAATTCACAGAGGAAAAGGGAAGTTGTCCCGTGCTTACATGAGAATTCTTGTTGGTTGGCGTCGCTTGGTTCTCTTTGTCTTTTGCTCTACGCCACAGGACTCGTACTTATCCGCCTTGAATAGAGGCTTAGTCAAAGCTAGAACTAACCCCTCTCGTACATTTCTAGCATCTCCCGTCCAAGAGAGCCTATCTATACAGTATCGATGCGGTTATCGGAGCAACCGACAACCAGCCTGGCCAAGGTAATTACCCCTGCCAAGACGCTATAGAGGGGCGAAGCTATAGCACGGACTGGAAAAAAGAAAGTGTTTCATGATTAATGACTGGATCTTGAACTGACTTCAATGCAAGCGAAGATGCTAGAAATTACTGTCGATTGAGTTGATTGAAGATTTTCACGATATTTTGCGGTTGTTCGGCAACAATCGTGAGTCGAAATGAATCACCTCGCATTTCATGAATTATTAATGGTTGTCGGGCATTTTGAACATGGCACAAAATCCCTCCGATGGTACTCCTGTCGAATTGCTTGATGCGTTTGTGAAATGCTATTATCCGAACCCTGAGGACGTGAAGAGTGTTTTGGCTTCGCCGGCCTTGATCCCGGCTGAGAAGTTCTCGGATAGGATTCTTCTCGTTACTGCGGCATGTGATCGTCTCTGTCTTGAAGGAGAAGCGCTTGGGAATAGAATCAAAGATGGGACAACGAAACTTGTCAATATGCATAGGTATGATGGCTGTGCGCATGCATTTGACAAGGCGTATGAGAAGGGATCTGTCCAGGAGAGGGCGAAAGATGACCTGTACGAAAAGGCAGCCCTGTTTCTGTCGGAGTGATTAACTGTGTCCGTTGAGATTACAGAATGGGTTACTTGATGTTTCTTCTTGCTATATGTCTAACTAATATTTACCCTAATTTGTTCTGATAAACGATTTCCCATTTTTATAAAGGAAGAATATAAGATTCTGATTGCGATACACATTTGCAAATTTCAGAGTGATCTTCTAGAGTCTGGTGCATTTCATAAAAAATCATACTGGACTGTATCCTTTGCTAAATCCTCAACTGCAATAATGTAGGAATTCAGCGAGATTCCGGATGCCTACCGGAGCGTTCCGCTGACCTATCCCAAGATGATGTCATTCGATCATGTTTTATGGGAGGTTCCATTAGTTGATCACCGCCTTGATCAGCATAAATAGGGCCTTTCTGCGTGTATTTAGAGCTTCATCACCAACAACCTTTCATCTATCTGTTTTCTAGTCAATTGAATTATTCTATCGTGGACCACCCCCTCTGCCAATTTCCTACAAATAAAAGCCCTATCCTCTCAACTGACTTGTATGACATGAAGTATATATATCCCACAACACTCAATGAAGTAAAAGACTTTACCATTTTCAGGTAGTTGCCACACAAAAATCCCAAATGAATTCACTTCAGGCAATCGTTTTTAACTTTCTGGATTTAAGATTGACCGAATAAAACAACACTTGCCTGGTGGGTGGTCAGATAGAAAATTTGCAGTTTCCAGAAAATTTGGGTCCGAGCAACGACAGCACGGAGCTTTACTTAGAGATATGATGTCAAAGTTTCAAGCCCCTTTCAACAAGCCAGCCTGGCTAGCTCAATCGGTAGAGCGTGTGACTCTTAATCACAAGGCTGCGGGTTCGAGCCCCGCGTTGGGCTTTCCTTTTTGTTTTTCTCCCGCTCTTCCTCCTCCTATTAATCAAACCAGAGAAAAGCAAGAAAAACAAACAAGCAAGCAGCTTTTTTTTTTTTTTATTGGACCAGACCGTCACCCCCTTATTTGCTGATTTGTTATCCCTTTTCCTTTCCCCTCATCTTTGCTAACCACGATAAGCTTCGTGACCTCTTTTAAAGATTGTAGTAGAAATACCACATAAAGTGAGCAATCACCTTCATTGATTTACCATCATTACCTTTTTTTCCTGATAAATACCAATGGGCAGAACTATTTACGCCAAAGAATCTTGGCAGTTGCAGGGAGCAAAAGAAATGCCGGATGCCGAAAACTACATTCTCCCCGCAGACACTGGCATGCATCCTTCAGATAAAAGGCGGGGTTCAAACAATCTGACAGGTCCAAACATAAGACAACTCAACGTTCTTTTCCATAAAGTGCCGAACATTTCCCTGCACTCAAGCTCCCAACAGCTCTTTTGAGCCCCAATCAATCATCATGTCGACTCGAACTGACTTTCCTGTGCTGGACTTCTCCAGATACAAGACTGACTTTGATGCCTTCGCCAGGGATATTTTCATGGCCAGTGAGGAATGGGGCTTTTTTATCCTCACTAACCATAATATCCCAAATGTTGATCGCATGTATGAACTGGTTAGTTTGCCGGTGATGAGGCAGATCTACCAGTTTATTTCATATGATATGAAAAGTATTTTGCTGATCGATAATTATGTACGGCTCTGATAGTCAACGCAATTCTTTGATCTTCCCAAAGACCAGAAAGCCGAAAAGACACTCGACGCGACAATGACTGGCTACGACGGGAAGAATCTCACAGCGTAAGCCACCTGAACCGGACCCCGAGGAATTGCAACACAAGCACGAACTGAAACTATTGGCCTATACCTAGATTCGCCGCTTCTGAAGGAGTCGCTTTCGGCATGCCAGCTGGCCGTCTCTTCGATAAGCCCAATCTTCCCGCGTGGTGGACCCGGCCGCGACTGCAGGAAGTCGAAGACTTTAAAGCGAGCTGCTACGATATCAGCCTGAACATCATGTCCTGCCTCGCCGTTCAGTTGGGCCTGGAAAGGTCTTTTTTTGACGCTACCCACCAGCATAAAGATCCCGGCAACCCGCTCAAACTTATCAAGTACCCGCGGTTCGAAAAGCAGCCGGACGGCATTCCTCGCTTGTCTGAGCATACTGACTGGGGTAGCATCACCTTTGTTTTTACCGAGACGCCGGGCCTCGAGATGCGCGACCCTGAGGACCAGTGGACAGCTGTTCCGACGATTCCGGGGGGTGTGGTGGTGAACATCGCGGATTCAATGTCCTTGCGGACGAACAAGAAGTTGAAGTCGGCGTTCCATAGGATCAGGTGGGATACCGTGGGGGTGGATAAGGAAAGGCTGAGTATTGCTTATTTCGTGCATCCGAATAATGGTATAAACGACTATTCCATTTTTTCTCATTAAATGCATCTTTTTGTCCATGCTAACTCGGCCCCTCTTTTAGATGCTGTTCTATCGGACGTGACGACCGATGCTGACCCAAAAGAAGCGAAAGAGACGGCCATTACTTACCGCGACTATTTGAAGATTCGACTGGGACTGACGTTTGGTTCGGCCCGTGAGGATGGCGATGCCGGAGTAGACTTTGACACAGTCGATAATGCGACTTATGAGAGAGTGAAGAACCTCGGGATTGCAAATTATGGAGCTATCGAGTCTATTCAGCCAGAGGTGTCGACTTAGAGAGCGGATAACTAGCATTTGGGTTGAACAAAGTCAATACATGGAAACGGTTGTTTGACTTCTAAAACGAGCATCGTTGCATCCAATGTAAACTATCTGATCACGCCCCCTCCGTCTTCTTATCTTCTTTCAATTTGTATTGGGGACTTGATTCTCCAGCTCGCCACTTGTATTTACTGCCAGGGTGATCTTCAGGCAGCCTTTTTGTGCCGATATAAACCTCTCTTGCCGTTGCGCCCTCCTTGCTTACCTCGGATCGAAACAGACCTCTGCGACGCAGCTCAGGCAGAAGGTATTCAATGATATCTTCGAACGTGCCTGGGTTAGTGATATGTGCAAGATTGAAGCCATCCACACCGGATATCTCAACCCATTTTTCCAGTTCATCCGCAACAGTAACCGGACTGCCGACAACCTTCGCCCCTAACCCCCCGACACTCAAGTATTCGACAATCCTCCTCTTCGTCCACGGAAGATTATCCGTCCCAGGAACCGTAGCCGACCACCGTCGCACAATCGACTGAACACGAGGGGAGTCACTGAACCGAAAATCATCATCGTCCTTATACCCCGAGAGATCCACCCCAGTCCACCCCCCAAAGAGCGCCAACGCGCCCTCCTGATCCGCATAACTCAGATACTCCTCCCGTTTCGCTCTCGCATCCTCATCCGAAACCCCCACAATCACATTAATCCCCACAATAATCTTAATATGATTCGAATCCCTCCCTTCCTCCACCGCCACCCTCCTCAAATTCTCAACCGTAGCCCTAACCCCCTCCGGCGTCTGGCCCCCAACGAAAATCGCCTCCCCATGCTTCCCTCCAAACCCATTCCCAGCCTCCGACACCCCGGCCTGGAACAAAAACGGCGTTCGCTGCGGCGACGGCTCGCAGAAATGCGGCCCCGGGACCTCAAAATACTTGCCTTTGTGATCGATCGTCGTCACACCGTCCGCGGCAATGTACACGCCCCTCTCACGGTCCTCCACCACCGCGTCGTCTCGAAAACTGCCCTCCCACAGCTTATACACGACGTCCATGTACTCATGCGCAATGGCGTAGCGCTCGTCGTGCGGAATCTGCTCCTTCAGGCCGTGGTTCCGCGCCGCGGAGTCCAGATACGAAGTGACGATGTTCCACGCGAGGCGGCCCTGGCTGAGATGGTCGACGGTGGAGAGTCGGCGGGCGAGTGCGTATGGCTTCTCATACGTCACGCTGGCTGTGACGCCGAAGATCAGGTTGCGAGTGGCGGCGGCCATGGCGGGGACGAGGTAGAGGGGGTCGTTGACGGGAAACTGGGCGCCGGAGGCGAGGGCGGGAGTGACGTTCGCGGGGCCCTTGTAGAGGTCGTAGGGACCGAGGGTGTCGGCGATGAACATGGCGTGGAAACCGGCTTGGTCGAGGCGTTGGGCGAGGTTGGTCCAGAAGGAGAGGGTTTTGTATTGTGAGGTTTGGTTGCGGGGGTGGTGCCAGAGGCCCGGGGCTAGGTGGCCGGGGGTGTTCATGACGAAGGCGTTGAGGATGATTTGTTTTTTGGGTTGGGAGTTGGTCATTTTGGTGGTGGATTGATGGATTGAATATGTTAGGGCTGGGGAAAGGTCTGTATAATGAGTATAGAAAGTATATTGTTTGAGTAGAGCGTTGGATGCTCGTCAATTCTTGTATTATTCTACTGGAACCTAAATTTTATAGTGTCATATTGCATTACTTGCACGCAATTGATGTTGATAACAGTCATCTGAACACAAGCATAAGACGACAGCGAGTGGTTGCAAACCCCTCATTTATCTGCCAGCATTGACATCATCGCGAGCCCTAGTCAGATAGCGCAATAACTGTTTACTAGTGCGCCATGGAATTAAAATGTGTAGCCCCTTGCCCAGGTCAATGAATCTGATATGACCATGGCACACCGTCGACCCGTGGAAGAAAATTCCCCTTATTCGGCGTACAAAGTAAGTCCGTCTATATTCATTTGACTCATGATTTTGAAAAGGACTCTTTGTGTTTTCTCGTCTAAGCCCGTTGAGAAGAGCTCGGGAAAGTACCCGCTGTCAAACGTTGCGCCAATGAAATCCAGAGCGTTTTCGTTTCCTTCACATCGCTCGCATAATTCATCCAGATAGTCCTCCCGACTCCAGCGGTCTTTTCTGAAAATCGCATAATATTGGTCGTAGACAATGGCATATGGTGTTGCTGAATCCTCGTCCAGCACGTCTGAGCTCGCACCCCAGCCCAGCAACAGTTCGACACAGCAAACACCACATCTATCTGCTGAACATTGCGTGTGTTGAATCGGCCTTTGAGAGCCACAAAATAACTTCGCAAAGACAACCGCAAGTGGGGAACCGAAATATGTACTTTGTGAATCGACTTCCGCACCTGCGGTAAGCAGCAATTGCATCGTCTTGGGTGATTGGGCAAGTGCTGCCGCGTGAAGTGCTGTCTGATCACTGAGGGAAATAAGGGAGACATTCACCCCACGAGACAGGAGACACTCAACATTGTCTGGTACTCCTTGTCTAGCGGCACTGTACAGCAAGGTACGGCCCGTTTCGGAATCCCGAGTATCAGGATCCACGCCTTGAGCGAGGAGAAAAGGGAACATGCTTTCGCAGCAATACTGAGATGCTAGTGACAGATGAATGGCACTAGAACAGACCCGCATACGGAATTCGGCATCATCAAAAGCGTAATTGAGAAGTATCTCTGTGCATTCCATATTTTCCTGCTGGACTGTTGTCTTGAGGGCCTTCTCTATGACAGTGTCTGGGTAATGATTTTGTCGGAGAAGCATTGCGATGACGGTACCATAACCTTTCCCACAGAGCTTGATAAATAATTCACCGTCGATTGCAAGTGGCTCGCCTAATGTCAGCAGATATTGAATAAGTTCAGAACTTTTGGAGACTTCAGAGGCAGCGAGAATTGCCGCTTCTCTCTGTGGGGCAGTTGGGCTGTGTAGTATAGCCAAAAGTCGAACCGTTCTTTCATGATTTGATTTTGAGGCGGCCACAAGAGCCTCCAAAAATGTCGCAGGATCTGGGAATAGTTCGATTCCAAAGGAATATAGGAAGCGCAAGAAATCGACGCATCCATTCCTTGCAAAGCACAAAGCCTCTCGTTGTAATGTAGAAGTAGATTCTTCTGAAATAACAGCACCGGCGTTCATCAAGACTTCGATAACCCATAGCTCATCCCTTGCAAAAGAATGATTGGGATGTTGATGGCCATACATGAATCTTTTGATCGCCAAGCTCACGGCTGTGCTCCCGGTCTCATCACGATACTCAATGTCTGCTCCGTGGTCTACCAAAAGATGAACAATTGCTAGTCTCCCTTGGTAAGCTGCGGCAAGAAGGCCATCAGGCCAGCTCTCGATTGAAAAACGGTCAAGCATCGTATCCACTGTCCGAACAAAACCAGCTCGGCAGGCATGCAAGAACATGTCTTTGAAATGCTTCGCTTTGAAACCCACATTAACACCCTCCTCTAACAACACCGATGTGACTTTTTCAATTTTTTCTACCTGAGAAATGGCATCCATTGGAACAAGGGGGATCATGTCAATGGGAGTCATAGACTCTAGCCCAAAGGCTTCATGTGCAAGATGACCCCACGGATCACGAAGAAAAAGCATTTTAGCGATAGAAACAAAGCCTCTATACCAAGCTTTTTGCAACAGGGTTGCCTTTTTGCCAAGGTGATTTCGGTAAGACAAATAAAAAAGGAATGACTCTTCCTCTATTCCAGCGGGTAGATAGATATCGGCTCCACTCTCTAGAAGTAAGGATACAGCCGGCTCGTGCCCTCTGTCGACTGCGAAACTTAAAGGAGAAGGCTGATAGGTCGATTGATAGTTTGATTGAGTCGTACTATCTTTCCTCATAGGTCCGGTGGAGGAGAATAGCTGAGGGCTCACTGCCCCATCAGCATGGGCTCCCTTGTCCAAGAGAAGACGGATGATGCCCACATGTCCGTTCTTTGCTGCCAGGCACAGGGCTGTAGAACTACCCTCTTCCGCCTCATCAACCTTGGCACCACGTTCAAGAAGAATTTGGACAATGGCGAGGTACCCATGAGAAGAAGCTGCCTGCAACGCGTTGCCGATGTTCTTGCCGGCAGCATTCACGTCTGCACCATTCTGCAGCAAAAGCTGGACAACCTCGATGTGACCCGCACCACACGCAACTTGCAGCGCAGAGCCATTCTCACCACCAGAGTCATTGATGTCGGCCCCTCGATCGAGAAGGAATTTGACGACGTCAATTTTACCTCGCTCAGCATACACCTGGAGACATGACCCAAAGGTACCCCAGTGTTTGTCAATATGGGCTCCATGGGAAAGTAATATATCTGCCACATATGTTTGGCCACCCTCCAAGGCCGCTTGTAAAGGAAACCCTAGCGTGTCTCGTAGGGCATTGACATCAGCTCCATGGTCGAGTAGACAGTCCACAACCGGGACATGCCCCCAGAAAGCAGAAACCTGTAAGGCCGTGAAAGTGTAAAGCCTATTTTCCCTCAACTCTAAATTAGGGAAATCGACTCTTTCCCCCCTTTTCAGAAGCAAGCCTACGAGGGTGACATTGCCCTGCCGAGCAGCAACTTCAAGAGGCCCTACACCTGACGGAACATCCAGTTCCTGCGCAAAGTCTTTTGAGTCTGGGATGCTGGGTCTTGAAAACGGCCCATATCGGCTGGACTGTGTTACAGGGTAAATGTAATCTGGGCCAATATTGCCGACTGTTAGAAGAAAGTTCACGACTTCTTCCTGTCCCGCATATACTGCAGCTTGCAGTGCATCTCGGTATTTTGGCATGGACCGGCCCCGAGAATCAGTCCAATCATTAGCACCATGGTCGAGTAAAAGACGCACTGCTTGTTCGTGGCCACCGAAAGCGGCTGCCTGAACTGTGTTTCCGAAGTGACCACCCCAGCCGCAAACATCAGCATCGTGGTCTAGTAAAAGTAGGATCATGTCGACATCTCCCATTGTCGCAGCGGCCTGGAGTGCATCGCCTAAATCAGTATCTTTCAGGTTGGGATCCGCTCCTTTCTGGAGCAAGAGTGTTGCGATATCAATGTGACCGGCTAGAGCAGCAGCACGCAGAGGGTAGCCATATCGTCCTGAGACATCGAGTCGGGCTCCACTTTCGAGAACCAATTTGACGAGAGAGATATTACCACCCGCGATTGCAGCTGCTAGTGCATTGCCGTAAGTTCCTTGCGTCTTGTTGACGTCGTCACAGCGTTTCAGGAGCTCAGTTGCATCTCTTAACTTCCCAGCCGCTAGAGCCACTTCAAGAGTATCTGGACGGGCTTGATGACCAAATTCGCCTAAATCACCTCTCAGTAGTCGTTCCACGACTTGAATATTCCCTTTGAACGTTGCAGCTTCCAGAACATCAGCTAGCTGCTTTTTATCGAGCCCTAAATGCTTGATAGAGTCAGATGCCGCAGCATTGATCAAATCATTTGCTATCGATTCATGACCATTGGCCACAGCTGCTTGCAGGGGACTGGAGAACTCGTTATTTGGCGGGGAGTTAAACAGCGCGCCATACTTGAGTAGCAGACCCACGATATCCCTCCACCCACAAGCAGAAGCGGCCTGCAAAGTAGTACCGTATTGGAACCCTAGCGCATCGACGTTTGTTCCTAGCTCCAAGAGCTTTCGAACGGTCTCAAAATGGCCCCAACGAGCTGCCAGATACAAACTAGCAGTGTCATCGTGATTAGTCTGGTTCAAATCCCAAGGAATTGTGGGATTAGGTTCCTGTAGGACCTCGACGAGTCCAAAGCAACTAATCATGAAGAGAGGTGATGGCGGAGAACTGAACGATGCATGAAGTTTCTTCACGATCGTAGATTCCAGGCTGTTTTCTTTCTCACTTTTGAGGAGTATCTCCAAATGCTCCAACCAGTCTTGGAAATGTTCCTTTTTGGTGAAGAAGTCGACTAACAGAGTTTTAATTCGCGTTCTTTGGTGCGTTGGCGCAAGCTCTTCCACATGCACTGGCCAATACTTGGTGGCGTAATTCCGAAGCACGGTCTTGTGGCCATTCCTCTCCAGATAGACATCTAGACAGCGTTGAGAAATAGCAAAATTGACTTCCACACAGCGATAAGAATTAAGTCTTTCGAGAAATCTATAATCCGTGATTAGATGGCGAAAGAAGATTGTACTGTATAAAAGAAAGTCCTTACTCTCGCGCAGTTAAATGCACCAGACGGAAAGAGCCACTGGACACGTCATGAGTCACTAACTGACAGCAATAGTCAATAATATCTGTCGGGGAAATTTCACACGTGCAGTTGGTACCGACTGCAGCAATCAGTTCCGAAACAGACAGCATACGTCTCGCACCTAACAGCCATTGAAGCGTGAATTTTGCCACGGTTTTTGCCTGAGCGCCCAAGCTTTCAATTCTAGAATGAATAGCTTCGTAGGACTCAGTCAGTGTAGCAGGAAGTGATTGCAAGGTTGTTCGAATGTCTTCCAAGGTCTTGATTCGATTAGTGTCATTGATCAACTCCAACTGCAAAGTCACCCATAGAAACCTGAAAGCGTTATTTTAAAATCGTATTAAAGGAGGGTTGTATATATATCACTTTACTCACATTCCTTGTGAGCGTGAGATCAATGTATCTATCAGCTCCTTTTTAAGCTGCTCCTGCTGGATTGGTGTCATCTTGTTGATGGTGGAGCGTCTCTTGACAAATTGCTCAACGCGGAGGTTCACAAAGTTCTCGAGATCTTCCTCGTTGTCATCCTTTGTCATGCCCACCACCTTACCCATTTCCAAGCCAGCTGCAAGGTCTGCCTCCCACCGACTTGAAACAAAGAGTTTAACCACATCGCGAGATCGTTGGCGGACTTCTGCAAGTGCCTGACAAAGTACCATTCTCTGCTGCGAGGTGCACTCATCCAGTCCATCAATGACAATTATCATTGGAACTAATCTTCCCAGTGAGCATAAGAGGTCGGTGCACTGCTCCGCAGTCAAAGAGGCTGGGTCTTCGCCGACACGGCGGGCATCCTGGCGATGTTTCCGGTACGTTTCGACAAGGGGAATCCTGACAAGATTTTCATCCTGCGAAAGAGAAAGCTGCTTTACCAAGGAACGAAGAATATCAGTGGAATTATTGCGATCCGGTTCCGCAGGATTTCGTGAACAGAAGAAATGCGCAATAGGCAAAGAGTGAGACAACCCAGCACTCCGGGAGCGTAGATGCTTGATAACGGCAGTCCTTATATCTGTTAATAAGCTCGCAGGAGAGGGCGATTTTATACTCACGCAAGTTTAGTCTTGCCACAGCCGGCTGGGACATTTTAGCATCTATGCGAGGTGATGGAAAGATTCAATTCGACTTACGAATTCCATGAAGCCAGAATATTTCGGAGGTACTTGAGTCTCTCCATTCTAAAAATTCTGGCTTTTGCAAAAGCCACTGCCCAGAGCTCGGTTGTAAAGCAGCCAAACTATCGTTATAATGTCTCACAACGGGAGTCAAAGAAGCCCACTGCATCATCTCGTCCCTTTCATTTTCTACTGCCATTAGCTCTGGCATTGGAGACCAAAGAATAACAACTCACCTTTTAGTGCTTCGTAAAGAGTGGAAACTTGATCAATCACACGAATCATTGGCTTTGATAGGCTGTCTAAGGCGCTCTTGAGCTGGGTCATTTCGTTTGCCATTAGTGTGGTTGATTTCTCAATGTCGCCGGCGGCAATGTGTATCTTTTGTATGCCTTGTATGCTCTTAGTAAAAGTTTGTCACAACTTCAGAAGGATTTACCGACTTTCACTCTCCGCAAGGTGGTTATTTTTTAAGAACTCTCCTTCTGCCTGTTTCATTTCCTCAACTTGTTTCGGTAACTTTTCCCGCGTGGTCATAGCAAGCGCAGCAAGCGCACGACCTAGGTTCAAACATGAGTAGGAGACTTACAACCTTCTATTACACCTAAGATGCTAGGAGCATACATACCGAGATGCGATTTTGCGGAGTACCTTTTCGCAGTTACCAAGAACTGGAGTACCGCCGTGTATCCCTTGATCAACTCGTCTTTAAGGGCTGACGTGGCATTGCTCAAGGGACTGGATGTCCTAGCAAAGTAAAAAGCCTCTAGAATCTCACCCCTGGTGATAAGTCTGACAGCAACATTTAGGCCCTCCACGATCGCATCGAACGTATGAAATCCGGACAAGCACATCTGCAACACAAGTCGGACCCCAGCCCACGGCAAAGCAGCATGGGTCGGGTCAAACGAGACGGCCACATCAACCACCCCGACAAACGTGTTGATGTATGATGCGATTTTGGCGCACACATCCCGAATGAGGAGTTGTTGGCCGTGGACGCTGGGGGTTTTCCACCTCCCGCGCTGGCACCGATCGCGCTGCTCATCAATTGCCGAGAGGATCTCGCTCAGTATCTGCTTCGGTGGTAGGTTGTTTGCTTTCGTGAGGAGAGCTTGGTCCTTTTTTGGCAAGGATGCCAGGGTAGATGCCCAGAGCGAGGTGGCCATAATGGTTTAATGGCCTGGGTTCGCAAGAGGAGAACCTTCCTAGAACGGGATCTTGGACATGGTCAGGCTCGGTCGCGTTACATAGCAATGCGAGAAAAGAGAGGGCGAGAGAGAGAGAGGCGAGGCTGCTAAGCCGCAAGGGATGACAGGTAAGGGTAAAATGAAATGCCACATCGACTAGCACTCATTATTAGTGCATTGTACTTCCACCAGTCGGATCGATCCTTCATTGCGATCAGGCTGAACAAACGACTGGGATCTTGACTCGACAGGCTTGGATGCGCAGCGTCTTACATACCTACCCTCTCTATTCCAGGTCCGAGATATTCATTTCTTCAATCCGCTCCAATTAACGGAAGAGGTTATCAGCCTGTGTTTTGGGCTTCTGCAGACCTGGGCAATGCTTGTAAATCTAGAAGAAAACAGATCGTGATGATAATAAATAAATTAGCCGATTAGCTTGGCATAGGATACAGCTGCTATGCATGAGTGCCCGACAGCGGAGAATGTTGCAAAGTCACAGATTAGTCGTACAAGAATCTAGTAATGAGGAATTGCTCCGGTTAGATAGCTGGATTGGCCTTGTTCTCTGACAAATGTAGTACTACCAGAGCGCTTTTGCAAATGTCATCAAATAAATCAGGAAGTTAAGACGCTAATAAGCGTTGATTTTTTTTTTTTTTTTTTTCGTGCAGTAGCAAAGGCAAAACTTAACTGGATATCAACATCGCACTGTGATTTAATTGATTTATTCCACTTTTTCTTTTATCCCTTCACCCCTGAACTGGAGGTATCTTGTTTAGTTTCCCTTTTCTTTTGCCCAAGGATCCTACTTTGCAGAATCTCAGTGTAGCCTTGCTCAACAAGCTCGAAACACACATGTGTTTTATCAGACCGGTGGTCTAGACATAGTGTGTATGCTGTGTATCGGCTACTTGGAGACGAAACCGTTGTTGATGTGGCTGGCATTAAAGGTTCACGTTGAAAATTCCAGGTTTGAGAGCAGAGAGATGTTTTTCTTATTTGAAGCAAGTAGTGGAGTTCTCAAGTAAATAAAGGAGGTCACAAGATATTATATCGTACACACGGCGTCCGACCGTCCAAGAAGCCATCCCGAGGACGTATTTGACGCAGCTGAAAATCATTCATCCCGCAACAGCCACCGTCTCTAATCCATCATCTCCGTGCGTCTAATCCAGTCGTTTTAGCCAGCGGCATATCTGGAAATAGCACGGAGCTTAGGACCAAAATACCAGAACGCAAACGGTGATCCCCAACCAATGACTGCGGTGATGAAAGCTAGCACACTGGTTCCCCACCCATACCCCAGAGCATTGTACATGTAAGGAGCAAAGAGCGGAAATCCAAAGCCACACAAACTGCGAAGAACAGCAGAAGCGGCCATGGCACTCGCAGCGTAGGTTTGGTAGCTGTCGACAATGTAAGTCTGCATGCCCTGCAGGCAGGAAATGGTGCCCAGGGAGAATATCCCCGCGCCAATGTTGGGCATGATCCAGTGCGTGTTACCAATGCTCCAGCCGTACCAGAAGAGCCCGATGGTGCTGATAACGGAGCCAACCAACAGCGATGGCATGCGGAACTCGGGCTTACCGACGTCGTTGTTCCGTGCTTTGAGGATTTTGTAGATGCGGTCGACAAGCTTGAGGTTGACAAAGAGACCAATAATGGATCCGATGGCAATGGAGAGATAGTTGAGGCCGCCAATTCCCGGGCTCTCATGGTAGACCCCTGTCCAAATCATGGGGAAAGTCGCAAACATCAGATACGCGATTCCGAAGAGATAGGCCATGTAGATAGCCATGCAGAAGACGATCGGCTGTGTCGTGAACATCAGTACCGGTCGCTCGAAGGCATGAAGTAGTTTGTAGCCAAGTGTTTCATCGGGATCCTCGGTATGGAGATTTGTGTTCTCCGTTTCCATTGCCAGACGGTTGCATCGCCTCCGTAGGAGCGTGCCCGGGTGGCACTCTCGCAGCCAGAGGAGTCCAACGCCCTGCACCGCGAGAGCAGCGGCAGAGGTAGACCAGAATACCCAGCGCCATGTAGAATGCTCGGCAATAAAGCCACCAGCGATGGGCCCGATAACAGGACCAAGAAGCGGCCCCAGAGTGTAGACACCCATGGCCTTGCCGCGTTCTTCGGCCGTCCACATGTCGCTGAAAGTCAGGTCAGCCACCACCAGTTTATTGTGTCATTCCACGCTCTTCATACCTGATAGCTCCTCCCCCAATGGCTAGCGGAGCACTGCCACCTATACCAGCGAGGAAACGAAAAGCAAAAAGCTGAGCTTTCGTCGTGGCGAAACCACATCCCAAGTTCCAGGCCAGATACCAAATGTTACTGACCTGAAGCAAACGTACACGAGCGTAGAGCTCCGACGCAGGACCGAAGAAGATAGGACCGATGGAGTAGGCGAGAATGAAGATACTCAAGGACAGATACGTCTCGATTTCAGTGTGCATGCCCAGAGACTCTGCGAGATTGGCCATTGCGGGAGCAACCATCGACGACGAGATGGGTGAGATGAAAACAAAGAGAGAGACTGCCCAGGTGTTCTTCCATCGCAGGCTATTAGGCCAGTTCTTGGGATTCTCCGGGTCATTTGACCCTTCCCAAGTGACAAGGTTTGAATCTCTGTCCAGTTCGGTGTCGGGGCGTGGCTCTGTTAAGGTGGTCGCTGAAGGGCTGGCTTCGAGGTCGATCCCTGTCTTCTCATGAAAGAACGGGGGCCTCTTGGGCACGGTCGAGTGTTTATCACTCATCTTTGCGTAGAGGACCATGCAAAGAGTTGAGTTGCGTGGTCTCTTGGGTTGTGTTGCTGGTGGAAGAGGATGGGAAACCAGGTTTAAGTACAGCTGGTAGACGAAGAAGAAATGTGACGCGGATGTTACACTTACTTCCGTCCTGAAACTCTATCCTCAACCACTTCTTTGTTTATTTTATGCACATAGGTAGTGTTATATTGCATAACATCCATGATATAGCATCCGATGCTGGAGTGTCACTTCTAATAAAGCGATAAGTTCGTATGTACATGACGAAGTTTCACCGGTAAGTTTGAGTTCCGACTATGTGGTTGCGGCATGTATACTGGATTTATCGTTTGATTAATGATCCAGTTGAGACTAATTGAAAGGTATTTCGCCTTGGCAGACTCCCCAGTACCAGACCTATTTAATAGTCAATGAGTAGTGTTGGCCAAACATTTATACCTGCCGAAATAAACTCATGCATAAATCGTGATAAAGTATACATAAGTAATGCAGTGGAGCTTATGTCAATTTCTAGCCCGACTATGTTAGCATGTGCCTCCGCATGACCGATTACACTATACCGAATCCGGGAAGTCGAGGAGATGCAGGAACCGCCGACTTGCCGATATCTGGACCTGCGATACAAACTCTTCTTGTCCGACTTTTTATGGCCAAGGGAGCATTTTCTTTGAAATTTTCAAGTGACCCCCAAAGCACCTTACTATACCTGCGTTTACACTAGGCCGTTTCGCCGACTGATCTCAAAATTGCGTCTTTTGTGCGTGCTGGCTGGTGGATGAAAAGTGTCCTGAATACGTGGGCATACCTGCAATACGAATATGACTCCGACGGTCAAGCGTTCACATCAAGGATGCGCTCGATGTAAGCGACGCCGGCAAAAATGCGATGAGCGAAAACCGACTTGTGGGCGTTGTTCCAGCGCCGAAGTAGCCTGCGAATATAAAATTACATTAAAGTGGAATGGCCGCGTTCCCAGGGAAGAGAAACCGTCATACCACGAGGAAAGTCTTGTTTGGAGGCTGGACTCTCACGACAGCAATAACAAGCTTTCTAAGTCCGAGCCTGTGTCTCACTGGACACGAGGGTTTAATTTCTTTTCTTTGGCAAGATCAGCACTTCACTTGCAGCAGCCTTCCTCAGTTTTAACCTCAACTAGCAGACTGCTTCTCCACCACTTTATTACCGAAACTTCAAAGATATCAAGCTCCCCCCATATTCGTGATCAAATATGTCAGGCCATACTGCCTATGTCACATCAATCCGAATCACTACTTTACGCTACGATGGCGTTATCGGCTCTTCATCGATGTACCATGTTAAATGAGCCTCCTACTCGATTTATACCCGAAAGTCTGGTTGCAGATTTAATTATTTGCAGTATGCGCTGCCTTCGTCGAGACCTGGAAACCCCCGGGTACCCAGTCCAGCCTCTACTCCACACCATTCGAACATTGTGCCACTGTGAGATTTTTTCTGGCCAGGCCAATTCCTTCTGGCGTGTTCATGTGAATGGGGCGGGAGCTATGTTTACCGAAATAGTTTCGAGAAGCGACTTGGATGAGTCCGAGAATAGCTTCTGGCTCTGGTCCCGATGGTTCCGGTCAATACGAGCACTGTCGGCTGTCACGGATATTGGGAACTTGTCGGGAACAGCCTCAAGGGATTTGACAACGCAAGATGTCGATCGAAGCTACTTCTTCGATACGTACACTGGGTACTCTTCGGACCTCAACATTGTACTCATGGAGATCGGCTCCTTGTTGCATTTAAAGGGACTGAGCGATGTTAGAATCGCATCCGTGGAAACTAGGAATACCATTGAGCAAAAGGCAGAAGAGCTCAAACGATCCATTTTATACATGATTCGCCGCGATACGGAGCTTGGACTCAAATTTCCTGACCAAGCTTTAATCACGCCTGAAACAACCTTTCAATTCCAGGCTTGCAATACTGCGTACCAATACTCAGGTCTAATATATCTTTATAGGAGGGTTCAGGGGCTACCTACATCCAGCAATGAGGTTCAAGGCTGCGTTAGAGAAATCCTGAATGCTGTGTCCTCGATCCTTCCAGTCACCACCCTTTCTCCTTGGATCCTTCTCACCACTCCTATCTACACTGCTGGGTATGCAATCTCTCAATAATACTCTCATATGATGTTAATAATATGTTATATCTAGTTGCGAAGCCATGGCCCAAGATAGGAATCTTGTGAAAGAAATCCTTCAAGACTTATATCATGCTCTCCATATCCGCAACATCATGAGGGCATTGGGGTTACTTGAAAAGCGATGGGAGGCTTTAGACTGCTCTGAAAGTCTCAGTCTCGACCCTTTGGAAAGGCCTAAGGGTAACATTTCAGATGCAGCTGATAATTCAGATTGGCTAGATTTCATTCCATACTGAGGTTATATCCAGTTATGGCGCCATTTGTGGCAATAATGTTTCCTAGTGAAGGACAACACTGCCATTTCTTTCCTTTCACAACGAACAGCACAAGGAAATTGATTCAAGTTCAAAGAAAGTCATGGGCTCTTAGGTGCGTACGCATGGCCTCAAACTCGCAATATTTTCATATGCCAATCTAAAAATGCGAAAGGAATTCTTCCATTCCTCCAGCAAAACAAGTATTCTCGGATGAAGTTATGCCCCACTCCAGGAGAAGCGGGGAATTGATAAGGACCAGGGAAGTGGTTCCGGCTGCCACGTGTGGCACAGGTGGGGGTTCGGAACGACTATCCGATTTTACCACAGTCATTTACCGCATTCCAACCACACACTGGAATGTCAAATATTTCACTATCACCAGTTCCGGAGGATGTTTGGCATGTCAGTCCGGCGGGAATGTAACAGTTGATAGCAATATTGCACAACATGATGAGTCGCCGTTCCGAGACTCGCCGCGTCCACTCCCTTGGAGGCTGCAAGACCTGCAGAGGCCGTCACGTTAGATGTGACAGGAACCGTCCTGTTTGTCGCCAATGCACCGCTAGAAGTCTCACATGTGAAGGGTACCCCGAGGAAATTCGATGGATGCCAGCTGAGGGCGATCAAAGTAGAGGCAAGAGGAGAAAGGGAAAATGCGATTCAGGTGGAAGCGTTGGAGTCAGACATTATATGTACACTGGTAATTGGGAACCCTGTACTGCAATTTTCCCAGAAGAATTAGGTGCTAATTCGAAGAGAAGAACATGCTCGGCGGTCTATGAGCAATGCAATCAATAAAGACCTTCTCCGCGGCTCGGTCGATGTGACCCTGCAGGAGATCGATGCATATTCATGCGATCCCAATTTTGCATCGAAAGACCACCTTATAGTTGGTCCGTTTGCCGTCCTTAACTTTGAAAAACCCGCTTGTCTATTAGAAATCGAGGATATCGGTCCCAGGACACAGGACTCGAATACCTCTGCGTATTTGACCCCTCCAAATGATTGCTTACCCACAACCGTCGCGCCTGACATATCGTCCTATGCGGACGGCCTGCTACAGTGGTCAGACCTTTTCAGCTTCAATGATGACCTCTATGGTCTCGCGTCGGATCTCTTGATGGATTGTGAGGTCGGAATTGACTCGACACCATGTCCGCAGATACAGTCCCCAAAAGACGCCCTCTGTGACGGCCCAGATCTGTTTCAAAACATCACATTAAACGAACCGCAAATGAAACTACAATTGCCGCCCGTGGACCTTTCAAAAGAGGCCGGGTTCTTGATAAGACATTTCCGGAAAGTTATCGTTCCACAATTGACTGTCATTCCACCTAGCAAGTCGCCCTGGGACACTTTGAATATTCCTGCTGCCCTGGAAACCTTGGGACAGCTGACAGCCCTTGGTTCTGAAAGTATTAGCCACGCTCGACTGGCGAATTTCTATAGCCTTCAGGCCTGCGCTGCAACACACCTGGCAACGACGCCTTTAACAAGCATAGCTGAACCCAACTCGAAAGACTACTGGAAAAGGGTGTCTGAGCAGGCATATGCCGAGGCAAAGCATAACATGAAACTATCGCTGGAAAATGAGTCTGAGGGTCCAAAAAAGGCGAAATTCAAGGACCAGATGATGGCATTGTACGGGATCGCGGAATGTGCGGTAAGAAATACGCTCTATGTGTCTAGCCCGACAGATATGAATGAGACTAACGCGCGCAGATATTCTCTTGTCAACAACGCGATGTTAGATGTTATTTAATGGATGCTGAGCGACTATTACGCTCCCGAGGCTTTTCCAAAAAGAAGGTGTCGAGAAAGGTCCGCCTTCTGTTCAACATTAATACTTGGCTTCGCATTGTCGGAGAGAGCACATACGTCCTGCACGATCATTCCTCTATTGAGTCCTTTGTCGGGTCAATCAATTTTCATTGCCGTCCGCGGGAATCTATCGCGAGGGAACACTTGACCGTGTCTGCTCCGGATCAAGGAATTCGATTAGACGACTTCTTGTTATTCGAAAACATTGAAAACAACCTTAACATCGATGAGCCGAAAGACCGCCGACTGGATTTGCGCGATATCCATCTACAAGACTCCCGAAAGTCATCGGAGAGCTTGAGCTACCAGGTGTACGGAATGTCCGAGACCTGGCTCAGTTTAGTATCTCAAACCACGCGATTGGCCAATGTCATGGACGCACTGAGAGCCGCGCAAGACGCCGAGTTGCCAGTGGCTCAGCATGTCATAAGAGCCGTGCAGCGACGGGAAATGCGTCTTGAAAATGTGATACAGTTCTTTGTAGGGCGCTCTTCCGATACTGACCACACTCTGGGACGGTCTGCACCTTATGCGCATGTGCTTCAGGCCCTCGATTCCGCCTTGGTGATTCTGTTCTACAGACGGGTGCGACGCGTTCATGCGGCTATTTTGGAAACCCATATTAGTAAAGTGACTCACGCGCTGGATGCGTTCTACTCGACCCTAGACGAAGAAATTATTCCTGGCCCTGGAACATTGTGGCCACTATTCATCGCCGGATGCGAAGCGACAACAAAGGTTCAGCGCGAGGCTGTCTGGGATCTGGTACAACGGGGAGAAGCCAAAAGTGGACTTGCGCCTTATAAGCTGCTCAAAGAGATTATTTCCGAGGTCTGGACCAAACAGGATGACCGAAGGACTCTTAATTGCAGCCAGCCTCTTCCGACGTGGATGGATGTTTTGAGATTGAAGCAGAGCTGGCCTGTCTTTGCCTGAAGTTCGAGTTTGAGCAGACATTTCCAGAGTGTACTACTCAATTTGATAATTGGAACGAGCAAAATACCCACTAAAATTGTAGATATAAATGAATATTATGCCTTAAAGACTTTCCTGCCCACTCAAGCTCACTTTATATGTGATTTCACCCCACGGAACAAGTTGTACGCCTACAAGTCTGGTAGTTCGTGCTTTGAGATTGCTTTAGACACGACTCAAGGAGTATATCCTTCTGTCAGCCGATCTTTACGATACTGGTGTATGCTATCAAGCGTATTTTCTTCCGCTGATTGGCTTTTAGCACAATTACTGGGGTCCACTCAAATGCGGAGATAACGGCGAGATGCTTGCAGGTTAAACAACGGCAAGTCGTTCCGTACTGTACAGCAGACACGTTGGTGGATGCTTATCTCTAGCTGAGTAGACTTTCCTGCCTTAAATAAGTTCTCAGAAGCGTCTTGTGCTGAATCTGCAGTTTCAGCTTCTCTTGACCATGGAAGTCGGTATCATCGGCTCGGGAATCATTGGCCTCTTATCCGCTTTGACTCTCACCGATGCTGGCTACAAAGTGACCATTGTTGCGCGCGACCTGCCAGGAGATGAAAGCCAAGACTGGGCAAGCCCTTGGTAAATAATGTCATTTGTTGTTTTATTTCCAGTCTATCATCTAACCGATTTTATATTCACAATCCAGGGCCGGAGCATCGATTTGCCCTCATCCAGACGTCGGCGGCAATTCTCTCCAAACGGAGAATTTCAAATTCTTCTGGGCATTGGCGCACAGAGACCCCACGAGCGGTGTTCAAGTATGTCATTTCAAACACCCCCAAAAGCATCTGGAAAGGTTTGTTCTAACCCCCATTACCTACTACAAGGTACTTAAAGTGACGGAATACTACGACGACCGAGATGATGACTCAACGATCTGGTACAAGACCATTGTGCCGCACTATCGCCGAATTTCCACAGACCAACTACCAGAAGGAGCCAAAATAGGTTTCACATACACTTCTATGACCATCAATCCAACTTTTCTCCTGCCATGGCTCAAGCAAAAGCTGGAAGCCCGTGGTGTGAAATTCATCCGCAAGACACTAGCCTCTATCGAAGAGGCCAGAGCAATCACCGGGTCTAAGATTGTCGTGCACGCGTCGGGCCTCGGCGCGTTTACTCTCGCCGGTGACAAGGACGTGGAGGCGATTCGTGGGCAGACGATGTTTACGGAGACGGACTATGCAGAGTCAAAGATGCATCAAGGCTCTCATTATACTTACGTGATTCCGCGGATGTTCACGAAGGGTGCGATCATTGGAGGCGTGAGCCAGCCTGGCAATTTGGACCGCAGTGTGGATGAGACTCTCCGTCCGGATATTCTCAGACGAGTGAAGAAGCTTACTAACGGGGAGCTTGATCCGCTGACCCTGGAAAACAATGTACAGAAGGACATTGTGGCTTTCCGGCCGGGAAGAAAGGGAGGATATCGTCTGGAAGTTGAGGGAGATACGGTGCATGCGTATGGATTTGCAGGTCTAGGTTATATCTTTAGCTATGGGGTGGCCACGAAAGTTAGGGAGTTGGTTGATTCGATAGGAAAGAGGGATGCAGGTCAAAGAAGCCGTCTCTGAGGTTTCTTGTTTATCTCCTACTCTGCACTGTGCTTAGATGGTAATATGATAAGAGATAAAAGGGAAGACACAGATGTTTTCAGAGTAGTATTTGTGCTTTGGCTGATCCAATTGAATAATCGGAGATTTCTCTATTACTAAAGTAACAAGGTTGAATACATAAGTCAACAGGCGCGTAAAATGACCCGAGAGAAGTGCACACGGGACCCGTGGAAGCTAAATCCAGAGCCATTTGGCATCTGCATATCTTTCTATGAGCTGATGTTTGATCGATAAGACTCCTGGTATTACTAGGCAGGCTAGCAGACTCAATGTTGAACGCCTGCAGCAATCCCCTCTGATGTTCACGGAAGCACTTGCGCGTCGAGCAATCCGCATATCATACACAATCTGGGAATGCAAGGTATCAAATAGCTCTAATTCTGATCGACTGGACGGAACTACTTGCTCAAACCCAAGCCTTAGAGCCCACATAGGGAACCTTAAAAAGTACATGATGAGGTCTAGCGGGGACTTACCAAATGCCGAGTTGAGAGATTCGCTGTGCTAGACTGATTGAGCCCCCTCAATCAATGATGCCTTCCTGTATTCGGAAAGCATTTCCTTCCTATCAGTATCCCCGCACCCCGGACTCTACGTAGCGGAGACATTCATACGCAATAGACGGGGCTAGTTTAAGGCTATGTGGTAAACACAGCCCGGCAAAACTATCATATTTCAGTTGGCTACCCCTCTGAGGTAATTCTCACATTTCCCACGTCTTGTTGCTGATTTCTAGCCCACCATGAAGAAAGATATGGCTCCTAATCGTGATCTTGAAAACATCACACCCACACAGTCACAGGTTGGCGAAGTCATCGAAAGAAAGGTAATCGAGGAAGATGCTGTGTTTGGAGAAATACAAGAAGGTGATGTCAACTACCGTGATGTGAGTAATTCATGGTCCCTCAAATCAAACCAACTGACTGGATTAGGTGAGCTGGATGGGAACAACCGCCTTGATGATGAAAACCCAAATCGGCTTGGGTGTTTTGTCAATGCCGAAGGTATTTGACACCTTAGGGATAATACCGGGAATTATAATGCTGCTAGTGATTGCTGGAATGACAAGCTGGTCAAACTGGATGGTGGGAGTCTTCAAACTGCGTCATCCCGAGGTTTACGGCATTGATGATGTTGGAAAAGTGCTGTTTGGGCGATGGGGATTTGAGCTGCTGGGTGCGGCGTATACGTTATGTGAGTAGAACTACCATATCCTTCTGGTTGAAGTTCTAACACGCTTTTAGACTGGATATTCGTCTCTGGCTCCGCGATGCTGAGTATCTCAATTGCGTTCAACGCTCTCTCTGACCATGCCATTTGTACCGCCATTTTTGTGGCGGTCGCTGCTATTATCGGGTTTACCTTCTCGAGTATACAGACCCTCGCCCGCATTAGCTGGCTTGCCTGGTTAGGAGCAGGAAGCATTATAATTGCTGGTAGGTCTGCTGCAACTTTAGCCTTGCTATCTAACTGAACAATTGTTAGTCTGTATTCTTACCATTGCTGTGGGAGTCCAAGGTCATCCTCCGCCAGTCTCAGGTGTCATTCCAGACTCTGATTACAAGTTATTCGGAAGCCCAAGTTTTGTCGATGCCATGACAGCCATCTCCACTCTCTGTTTAACCTATGCCGGGACGCCGGCCTTCTTTAATATCGTTTCCGAGATGCGTGATCCGCGTCTCTATTCTCGGGCGCTGGCAATCTGCCAGATCACTGTCACCACTATCTATATTGTGGCAGGAACAGTAATTTACTATTACTGTGGTTCCCATGTTAGCTCGCCAGCGCTTGGTTCAGCAGGACCATTAATAAAGAAAATCACATACGGCCTTGCCCTACCGGGGCTTAGCATTTCTACAGTTATAATGCTTCATGTGAGTAGCTTTGCTCCCTTCTTCCTTGGTAATTTTCTGATTTGAAACCCGTTCCTCAGAGCTGACCTGAAGAAAAGTTACCTGCTAAACATATTTTCATGCGCATTCTTCGAGGATCGAGACACCTCACAGGACAAACCCCAACACACTGGATCACCTGGCTGGGATCTACATTTACTGTGTCTTCAATTGTGTATATAATCGCAAGCAGTATTCCAGTTTTCAGCGGTCTTGTCTCGCTTGTCGGAGCGCTACTAGCGACCTCTCTATGCTTCCAGCCCATGGGTTGTATGTGGCTCTATGACAATTGGGCACTCGGGCAACGGGAGAAGTCCCTGGGATGGTGCTTGAAGGTAGCTTGGTGTGTGTTTGTCATTCTAACTGGGACCTTCTTGACTATCGGGGGCACGTATGGTTCTATTGTGAGTATCAATCATTCCTACAAGCAGTCAGGGGGCTCTGCCGCCTGGTCTTGTGCCAATAATGATATGTGAAGTGGATGGCCGCACCAATAAATCGACTAGCAGTATATCTAGGTCTAGATATGTGTGAAATATTATAGTTAACCTGCTCCCGAGCCTTTAGGCGCAGTAGAAGCACATACGAAATTTAAAAGCCTTCTAGCAAATTGAATTATTCAAATGACATCATAAACTACGCGAGAATGTAAATAAATAACTTCCTGGTGTGGTTCATCACTCACTCTTTAGGATAGCTTTTGAAAGTCTTTGACAAAGTCAGTCACTATCTGCAACACCCTTTCAATATCCCGTCGTGTGCAATTTATATAAGTCACAGCACGCACTCCGGCAGAGCCAAAATCTCCAAAAAGAACCCCTCGGCTTTTCATTCCCGCGACGAACTCCGTGGAAGAGATTCCGGTACCGCTGACGTCCATGAATATGATATTAGTTTGAACGTGGCTCAAGGGGATTGATATTCCATCAATCTTCGCCAGACCTGTCGCAAGAAGTTGCGCATTTTCATGATCCTCGGCTAGCCGATCCACATGATGGTCCAGAGCATAAATACCAGCCGCAGCAAGAAATCCAGCTTGTCGCATCGCACCCCCTAATCGTTGCTTTACCCGCCAGGCTCTTTGGACAAAATCAAACGAACCGGCAAGGACCGCACCTACAGGAGCGCCGAGCCCCTTTGATAGGTCAATCCACACCGAGTCGAAGAGCCTAGCATACTCTTTCGCATCGATTCCCGTCGCGACCTGTGCATTGAGCAATCGCGCCCCGTCCATATGCAAACTGAGACCGGCGTTTCGAGCTTCCTCAACAACGCCACGGATTGTATCTGACGGCCATATTGTCCCGCCGCCTAGATTTGAAGTCTGCTCGATCACAACCAGTCGACTTGTCGGGGTATATCGGGACTCAGGGCGAATTGCCCGCCGCAGGGCCATCCGGTCAAATACCCCGTGCTCACCATCAATCGGATACGTTGTTACACCCGAGGTAGCTGCTGGACCGCCGCCTTCAGCGTTCAGGATGTGCGCAGTGCGGTCGCAAACTACTTCATCCCCTGGTCGACAGTGGACAGCAATGGCGACCTGATTGCACATGGTTCCAGATGGCATAAATACGGCGGCGTCCTGCCCTAGAAGTGTGGCAACTTTGTCGCAGAGCTTCAGGATCGTCGGGTCTTCGTCTGCTTGTTCGTCTCCGACCACTGCCTCCATCATTGCTTGTCGCATTTTAGGGGTCGGGAGTGATTTTGTGTCACTGAAGAGATCAATGATGGTTTCATGTCTAGTCATGTTCGTAGTTTCCATGGCCGACAAGGATAGTTTTGAGTAGCCTCAAAGATGCATCGGTTAGTCTGTTCTTGACTTAGAGAAAAGTATCCGGAGAGGTTGCACTTCGCTTTTTATATCTTGCTGCACTAGAATGTTTGCCCTGTGCTTTGTGTAACTGTGATTGCAATCTAGACTAGGTATGCTGACCTGCTGACATGCGGGCACATAAACATGAATCTCCTTAAATCGGGGAAATGTTAAACAATTATCGTATCATGCCTCATTCTAAGATGCAAGTAATGAAATGAGCCTTAGAGCCATTTAATCAATCCGTAAGCGAGCGGAATCGCCACAGAAGCAAGCCAAACATTGCTATTAAATGGCTCTATTTAACATATTCATCAGAAAAACCAGGTCATTATCGTAACAGAAGCATCTGTAAAGTTTGACTGTTGTCTGTACCCTGAAAGAAGACGGACGACATTGTGTGCTGGGTGGAAAAATATATTTTCAGCCCATCCACTAAACTCCTATCAAAGAACCAAACTGCATGGTCCATTGTTGTTAAATCACTCTATCTTGAGTTAGAATGTAACGAAATAGTAACAAAAGAGTTTAATCTATTAACAAAGGAACATTGAATGCTTATTTACAATCCCGACTCCCGTTCTAAAACTGGGTGCCAACATGAATCCCACCATCCGCTAAGATATTAGTGCCCGTCACAAAACTAGCAAGCGGACTCGCGAGAAACACGGCCACATTGGCGATTTCCTGAGGCCCACCCAATCGCTTCAAGGGGATCTTCTGGCGCTGCTCCTCCACCCACTCAGGCATCAACTTGGAGTACTTCTCCCACGGACCGCCTTCACACAGGACCGGACCGGGCGAGATGGCGTTAACGCGAATACCTTTGGGGCCCAGGTAGTGCGAAAGTTCCTGCACATGCTGCAACTGAGCAGCCTTGCACGGGCCATAGGCAGCCGGAGGGCTGCGGTAGAACTCGCGACCCATGAAGGAACTTTGCACGATGACGGACGCCTGGGGCGATTTCTCGAGGTACGGCTCGGCGGCCTTGACTAACTCGACAAATCCCATCACATCGATCGCGAAGCTTTCTTGCCAATGGTGGGTTTCTCCTTCCATGTGCATGGGCGAGGCTAGAGGTTTAGGTAAGCTTGGTTGTTGCGGGTTGGGAATAGGAAGAAGTCGGTACCATTTGCAATGACGACGTCGATTCGGCCTACTCGGTCGGCGGAGGCCTTCACCCAGTCGACGATGGCTTCCTTTGAAGCGACATTCAGGGCGGTGCCGACCGCTCGGGCCGAATTGTCGGCAGGAAGCGTCTGGTGGAAGTCATCGTATTCGGTGTTGGTGACGGTGCGGGCGCAATAGGACACGTTGGCTCCCTCTTTCAGGAATTCATGAACCATGGACTGGCCCATGCCACGAGTTCCGCCTACGTAATGTGTTAATTGGGCACGAGGAAGTAATGAGGCTGTTTCTTACCAGTAATGAGGACATGAGCGCCCTTGAGTCCGGTTTCGAGAGGCATTGTGTGAGTGATGGGAGTGGATGAGAGTAGATGATGCTGTGATGGTAGCTGGTGCTGCTTGGGCGATTGTAGTTGAAGTCTGTAGCGAAGAGATATCAAGGGCAAGATATACACCTATATTTAAGATAATTATAGAATTGCTTGTGTCCGCATAAGCATTCGTCTGTTCCTGGAATGGAGGCTCTATGGAGGCTCTATGGAGGCTCTATGGAGTTGTTGCCAAGAAGCCTCATAGGGTTGCGCCCAAACGGGAAGTCCGAGGAACTCCGATACCGCTTTGGGCAATTCCCGATTGGGCGAGGCGGTTTAGCGCGTCTCTTCTGGGACGAAAATGTCGGACTACTCCTTTGTATCCTCGCACCTCTTCCTTCTTCTTCTTTTGAATTTGTAATGTAGTCATTTATATAGCCTGGGAGGACCCGGCAATTTTAAACATGCAGACAAGATTCTCATCCAAGAGCTTGAAGCAAGATCACTTCTGGAAGAAATATCCGGAACACTGCTTGAGATCATGGAGTGCCAAAAAGACCTTTCACAAGATCAGCTCTCTAGCTCATGCAGCACAACAAATGTTGAGCCTATTTCATGCAGTGTCAAGGAATTCCTAGGACTAAGGAATAACGGCGAACAACAACCGACTAGCGTGGTACTGAATCATGTATCAGTGGAAGGGAGCGGCACTGGGGTAAGTTGAACCCATAATTTCCATCTAAATGTCTAGCTGACATGGGCTTCGCGAACAGTCCCAGCCTGCCCCGACAGTGCTGTCTGCGGCCAAGTCTGCCTTTGGCATCCTGAGTCCCATCCAGAACAGACTTGGAAGCCAATCATCACGGCCCATTCTTCGGGACTTTTCTGTCGCTATGAACCCGGGAGAGATGGTGCTGGTGATTGGAAAGCCAGGAAGTGGCTGCACCACGTTCTTGAAAACACTAGCAGGGATGTGGGATGAGTACAAGGGTGTTCAAGGGGAACTCACTTTGGGTGGTCATCCTATGACGGAGACCATCTCCGACCGACCCCAGGATGTAGTCTTCTGCGGTAAGTCTCAAGCAGGACCACAAGAATACGTGCAGTACTGATTCAAAGGAACAGGCGAGTCCGATGACCATTTTCCCAATTTGACGGTAATGGAGACTTTGAGATTTGCCATCAGAGCTCGATGTGGCCCAGACGTGTCTGGAAAGCAGATTGACGAAATGGTCTTCCGCTTGGCGAAGCTTGTTGGCCTGAGCCATGTTATGAACACCAAGGTCGGAGATGCATACATCCGAGGTGTCAGTGGAGGCGAGAGACGTCGAGTGTCACTGGCAGAGGCACTGGCAACATGTGCACGGTGTGTACTTCCCAACTGTTAATATGAAACTCGACTGACAGACTATGTCCAGACTTATCTGCCTGGACAACCCCACGAACGGCCTTGATTCCTCGACGGCATTGGAATTTATGGAGATGATGCATGAATGGACTCTGCAGAGCCAATGCGTCACGGCAATGAGCGTGTATCAGGGTAGTGATGCTATTATCCCCTATTTTGACAAGGTCGTGGTGATCAACGCCGGTCGCCAGATCTTCTACGGCACAATCCCTGAGGCCAAAGAATACTTTGTCAGCCTCGGTTTCGAATACTCGCCTACGACGACCATGTCCGACTTCCTGAACTCGATGTCGGCGGACCCTGAGGCTCGGCGCGCAGTTGAAGGCCGAGAATACCAGGTGCCCAGGACGCCCGATGAGTTCCGGGGCGCATTCCGCTCCAGTCAATATGCCAACCAGCTGCAATCCCTTGTTCAGGTGACGAAGTCTCGCCCCGTTGTGTCGTGGCCTGCGAAGTCAAAGCCTTTTGCTCTCCCACTGCATCGACAAGTTTGGCAGTGTGCTACTCGCCAAGTTCGCATCATCATTAGCGATTACAGCTCATGGCTGGTCGGAGCAGCATGCATCACCGTTCAGAGCTTGGTACTTGGTACGCTATTCCGAGACCAGAAGCACTCAACCCAGTCCCTTTTTATATTCGGATCGGCACTGTTCTACTCGGTTCTTGTTCCTGCTTTGCAATCCATGAGCGAGTTTGGCAACACTTTTGCTCAGCGCCCGCTCATTCTGAAGCACAAGCGATACCGGCTATATCGGCCAATTGCCTACGCCTTCGGACTTGTTATTACCGATGTGGTCTGGAAGATTGCGGCCATTTGCTACAACATCCCGTTGTACTTCCTCACAGGCTTTCAACGTACCCCGGGAAATTTCTTCATTTGGTTCCTGATTGTGTATGTTGAGCATCTGGCCTTGTCCATGTTCTTCCGATCGGTCGCCGTTTTCTCGCCCAATATGAACCGAGCCGTGCTCCCCGTGGGTATCTTCTTCAACATGTACGTGCTATATACTGGACTTTACGTGCCGCCACCTCAGATGCAAGTCTGGCTAGGTTGGCTACGATACCTGAATGTGAGCTGATCCGTCACCCATCCCACTATGATTGAGGGCATTCTAACAACAATAGCCTCTACACTACGGCTTCGAGTCGGCCATGTTGAATGAATTTGGCAGCCTGAGCTATGAGTGCAGTCCAGCAGACATGGTACCTACAGGCCCTGGATACGATAGCATCAAGAACCAAGTTTGCGCCATTGTCGGCTCACAGCCAGGAGAGCGCCTTCTGTCGGGTACTAGCTACGTGCAGGCGCAATATGGCTTCGAGCAGTCGAACCTATGGAGGAACGTTGGTATCAATATAGCTTTCTTCATTGTGTTCGCTATATTATCCGGGTGAGTGAAACTCTTTGCATTTGCTTAGCGGGTACATATGTGTGTACATGGCTAACAGACATAGTATTGGGATGGAGAGACTCAAGCAGCCGGCTGGTCGCCTCGCCACTGTCTTCTACCGAGGTATGGAACCAGGGAGCCGGAACACATCCGACAAAGAGAGCGGAGAGGAGAAAGACGATGTTCCCCCAGAAATCGCGCCGCAGTCCAGCACTATCCAAGCGGCTCTCAGTCGGGCATATGAGCACCACGGAACTTTGACATGGAAGGAATTCAGCCTAGTTGTCAAAACCAAGGACGGCGAACGACGACTACTCGACAGTTTGGATGGATCGGCTCAGAGCGGCCACATGAAAGCACTTATGGGTGTGTCTGGGGCTGGAAAAACGACTCTTCTCAACGCCCTCGCCGGAAGATCGAAGGTTGGAGCCCTGACTGGAACATTGGAACTCAACGGACAACTCTTGCCAAAGTCTTTCAATGGACGCATGGGCTACGTGCAACAACAGGATATCCACCTTCCCACTCAGAGCGTCCGCGAAGCCTTGCAGATGACCGCGCAGCTGCGTCAATCACAACAAGTGTCGTTGGAGGAGAAATATGCCTATGTCGAGAAGGTGATTGAGTGGTTGGACATGACTTCCATCGCGGATGCCCTAATCGGTGTGCCTGGCGTTGGACTCAATCTGGAACAGCGCAAACGGGTCAGTATTGGCGTGGAAATGGCATCGAAACCCGAGATTCTCTTTTTGGATGAGCCGACTTCTGGCCTCGATGGCCAGTCAGCATACTCGATCGTTCGCCTGTTACGGAGACTGGCAGACTCGGGCCAAGCAATTGTGTGCACTATCCACCAGCCGGCGGCCGGCCTGATGAACTATTTCGACGAGCTGTATCTCCTGGGACGTGGTGGCCGGCTTGTGTACGATGGACCCCTTGGGAACGACTGTCGCCTTGCTGTCGACTATTTTGATAAGTTCGCCCGACCTTGCGCTCAGGACGAGAACCCGGCCGAGTACTTCTTGGATGTCATCGGAGCAGGCGCCCGCAAGGAGGTTGACCTGGACTGGATTGGCTTGTGGCAGCAGAGTGACCTCTACCAACAGAGACGGCAGAAGCAAGAAAAGCCCGCATCTCCTAGCACTCCCGAGTCAAGCTCCTCGATCTACGCAGCCCCCTTCCATGTGCAACTCCGAGTGGTCCTTCGGCGGACATGGCTGTACTACTGGCGAGAACCTGACTATGTCACCTCAAAACTCTGGCTGAACGTGGGCAACGCTCTGCTGAATGCCATGTCCTACCTCAATTCCCCAACCTCGCAACGTGGTGCATACAACCGTGTCTTCTCATCCTTCATGTCTCTGATCGTTGGACCTCCGTTGGGACTGCAGGTCCAGCCACGATTCGTCAGATTGCGAGAGATTTTCGTGCACCGAGAAAAGGAGAGCCTGACGTACCACTGGGTGACTTTTGTCATCTCGGCGATCCTGGTCGAGCTGCCGTACGCCTTTGTGACCTCGATGGTTTACTGGTTGCTGTGGTATTTCCCTGTTGGTTATTTCAACGAGCCCGCCCGCGCAGGATATAGCTTCCTCATGTACGAGCTATTCGCGATGTTTGCCACGAGCTTGGCTCAGCTGTGTGCATCTCTGATGCCGAATGTCGAGGCTGCTCTTGCTGCTAACGGGTTCTTCTTCATGTTTTGCAACACCTTTGCGGGTACGCTCTCGCCCAAGCCTGTCACTCCAGCGGGATGGAAGTGGTACTACAAGCTCTCTCCGCTGTTCTACATGGGCGAAGGCGTCACGTCGAACGCTCTGTATGATCTTCCCATTGACTGCCAGCCGTCTGAAGTGTCTATCTTCAATCCTGCGAACGGCACGAAGTGTGGAGAGTATGCGGCGGATTTCTTGAAGACAGCAACGGGCTACCTGCTGAACCCCGATAGCACAATCAGTTGTGAATACTGTCGGTATAAGGATGGACAGTCCTATGTAAGTATATTCCCTTTATCCAACACTCAAACATCAAAGCTGACCAAATAGTACGTCCAATACGGCTATGACTTTGCTCGCCGGTACTCCAACGTTGGGGTTTTCATCGGATTCATCGCCTTTAACTTCACCATGGTGTTGGTCATGACCTATCTCACGCGAGTAAGACGTTGACATGTTATTCCACGACTGGCTTTAAGCACTAAGGACATGGTGGATATTTGGCGCATCGGGAGTTACGGCTAAATGGGTTTAGAACGCTGCTTCATTGTTTCTGATTGGCTTCCATGCACTAGACTAACTATCTATATTAGTAATAATGAAGATTTCTTTTCTATAAATATCCCACTGACATCCCACTGCATTCTACGGATGGTTATCTGCTTAGAATCCCCACAATCCCCTCCCTACTGCATGCAAGGTTGTTCACCAAATCTTCTCTCCGACTGACCCTGATCGGCTTCGGTTATTTCAACCGATTGCTTGGCATCAGATAGAAGGATCCGTAATCACCTTCTTAGCCTCAGCGGTGGAGCATCTGACCCAATCCTAGTCCCAGCAGCCCCCAACGTGGTCTCTTCGCGGCTGATTGGACCGTCATTTCCCGTCCATCGAATCCCCTCTCGTTCCTTTTTTTGCTTCCACCACCTCGCCATGCGATGACCCTCATCCCCTGCCTTTGCTTTCCTGTTATCTGGCCCATCGAGAACTCGCCATGTTTACCACTTTTTCTGCCAACAGCACAGCCACCGATGACCCATCACAGAAACCCGCCTCGACAGCGTCGCGGATAAAACGGAACCAAGTCGCCAGGGCCTGCGATTGGTGCCGCCTAAATCGCATCAAATGCGACGACCAACAACCATGCCAGAACTGTCGCGATCGAGGGGCTAGCTGCAGCAAGGCCAAGTCGACTGATGTCCACTCACTGCCGGCTGCTAATAGGTGCATGCGATGGGACTTTTAGTTGTGGACTGCGTGCTGATTTTACCGCCTCTCCAGGGAGATTCAACGTTTGCGAGATCGCATCAAGGACATGCAGAAGGAGCACAAAAATGCTCTCGAAGACGCTCGTTCCCAGGTTCAGCGAGCTACCCAGTATCCTACTCCATCTTGCTCCACTTCGCCTCGCGGTGGCTCCCCGGCGCCAGATCGACGCCCAGGCTCCACTAGAGGAGGGTGGGAAGGTATCCAAAACCCCGACGCTCAGACAGGCAATGTCCTTTACTATGGTCCCCAGTCGGCTTCGTACTACGGTACCCGTATGACTCGTTATTTGGTCGAGTCCTTGAGCCAACACAATATGGAGACACAGTTACCCGCCTGTGTGTCGCGCGTTAGATGTCCGCCTAGACCCTTGCCTGAAAAGGCGCAGCTGAATGATAGATCTTGGGTGGATGGTGTGAGCACGAGGGGAGGATGGGATGGCGGATTTCTCGGGTCTGAAGAGACTGTGGAGGACCTGTCGCGCCCGCAGGAGGAACATTTCATTGCGCTTCTCTGGCAATCGTTTCACTGCGTTTTTCCTATTATATCGGAGAAGCAGTTTGCAGATTATTATGACTCACTGTGGACGTCTCCAGATCTTCCCCGCCAATCCTCCGCCCTTGTCGATAGCTTGCTGGCGGTATGCATGCAGTATGGCAGTGCTTTTCTCATCGGGTATGATGAAAGCCTGGGAAATGAAGACGGATCCCATGCTACGAGTGCTTCCATGGCCGGGTACGCATTCTACCGTCGAGCACAGCAACTTTCGATGAGAGAGCTGGAGATCCCGTCAGTTATGGCGCTGCAAAGCCATATCTACTGCATTATCTACCTGTACAACGTCTCACTGATGAACACGGCCCACACACTTCTTGGAATGGCCATTCGAGTTGCACAGACACTGCGACTTCACCTCAAACCTTTGAATGGCACGAGTCGTGAGCAGCAAGACCTCCATTGCCGGATCTGGTGGTCCCTCTATCAGTTAGACAGCATGCTTTCCATGACTCTAGGGCGTTCGCCTCTCCTGTATTCCGCCGATGCCTCATGCGACTGGCCCGGAGACAGTGAAGAGAATACCCGCCTGTCGGGGACATTACTGCTCTCTTCCACCGAGGAAGATATTAGCTGGCTTAGCTTCTACGCGCAAAGTGTCCGGCTAACCTCCATCGTCCGAGGAGTGCAGGATGCATTCAACGCTCGTTGCGCGAAAATACTCCAAACCAGCGAGTCCCAAGATATCTACGAGACGCCAAGCATGGTCGAAGAGCTGGCTCGATTCCTGGGTGGGGAGGTGCGTGCTGTATCTAAATGGGCCCAGGATGTACCCCCGTCGCTTCAAAACCGCAAAGGCCAAGGCGAGCCCTTCTCGACTGGGCGTGGCGCGCTGATAATCGACCCCTGCAGCCCGCTATGGCTCCAGCGCCAGCGAATCTTACTGGAACTCATGTATCACCATTTCCAACTGACCAACTTCCGGCCGTTCGTCCGCTTCCCCGTCAGACCTGCGTCTCTCACTCCGCTCGGGGACTCGCATACCATCACTTGCCTGAACCACGCGATGGCCGTCACAAACATCCTGCATCAAGTGCTCACCGAGACGGATCTGCTGCGCGGCTGGTCCCCTATTTTCCATTACCAGTGGGACGCTGCGCTCTGTATCCTAGGTTTCCTAATCGGGAACCCGCTATGTCCGCCGACCCCTGCCGCGCGAAAATGCTACCAGACAGCTGTCAACACGCTGGATATTATGGGAAATCAGTTCGCAGCAGCACGGGACTCGGCCCGAGTTGTGCAGGAGATTGGACATCGTGCTGAGATGCTCATCGAGAAATTCCGTACCGGGCTCACCCAGCGCCGATCGCAGAGCATTTCCCCGAATGCACCACCCCCGGATGCTGCCAATTCGATCCATTCCTGTCCGCCTGTCTCCTCGCCCGGAGTTACTGTCGATCAGTTGCAGGCTTTTCTCACTTCGCCGGGCTTTGATGTTTCTCAGTCTTTGGCATTGAATAATAGCAACCTACTTAACCAGTCTGATCCTGCGCTTTTGGATCCGGAAAGACTGATGGGCATGGACCCGGGATCCCTGTCCCTGCCGGATAACATGAATGCCGATATGGCTTCGTCGTGGATTAATGATAATGCTATGATCATGGACTTTCTGAAGGACGCCAGCTTGGCATGAGACCAGGTGGGGTCATGCTATATCCCGGGAAGATGATGAAAATCTCAGAATGATTGAAGGTCTGTCTGACCAGACACCGAGCTACAATGCAGTTAAAGTGAATCAGGTCATTCACTACATCCCAGAATTTATAGACCGAACAAGGCTGCTTCACGTCGCTTGCCAACAACAACAAGCTAGCCTCGCGGGGTAGGCGGCTAGATAGATGGAGGATTGCAAATTTCACATTACGCTCACTGATTGAGTGTGTGTAGCATTCAATTTCGTGGGACTTTGTGTGGCGAAGGAGTGGAACTATACGCCTGGGGCGCCGGAGAGCGTGGAGAACAGTATGAAGGGGGCTTTGGGGATTGTGGACGGGGCAACGAGGGAGAGGGTTGGGGGGAGGTTTGTTACTTATACTGGGGAGGAATTGCCTGGGTACTATTTTAGATTTCCTTAGAGGAATTCTTTAAGAACTTGATTATGCTGGCTACTTGAATGGTGTACGTAAAAGTTGGGATGGTACTCAATGCACTTGAAGTCAATTCTATTTTTGTCTAAACATCTTGATCCAGGAAAAAGGTCCGATCTCTCAGCCTTCCTTTCTGAAATCTAAATCCCTTAATTCCTTTTCCTTCTTCCATTCTTTCAAGTCAAATGTACCTTCGCGTAACTCCTCTTGTTCTCCGTTTCACACAAAGGTGAGCCCTTCAACTCTCTTCCCGACACTACCATCATCATTCAAAAGCTCAATCATGCAACGCCTGAGACAATATTTATCCGTCTGATAAGCCGCCAGCCGGTCAAGCTGTCTCTGCGACAACACTTCCCACGCCATTCCATCTATTGTATTTAATTCTCTCACGACAAGAGCAGGATATGTTCCCCACATCTTGATTTCGTAACCCGATACTCGAGCACGACGCATGACCAGCGGGGTGTGTGACTTCGTCAATTTCAAGACTCGACAGAGCGTGTCATGGTCTATCAGCGTTCCGTAGACAAAGCACCATTGTCTTTGGAAGAGGTCTTCAGGTTTGTCGGTCTCAGTGTAACGGTCGCAAGCTGTCAGGGTCCGTATTGACGTGGCTTCCGAAGCGTTCTGGGCGCGTGGTTTGCCCATCATCAGCGGCATGGGCCTGGTGCTCATGGTGGCGGTATGTAGGTGCTGCTCTCTGTGCGTAGGAGAGAAGGGAGGGGAGATGTTGATGTGCTGTATTTCTATTCACGGAGGGAGGGGGGAAGAGATGTGTGGTGGTAGCTATGTGATCAGATGTGTCCGAAGGCCTACACAGTTATTGCGTCAGCGGGAAAGTCTCGTCTAGTCAGTCAGTTGTTTAACTTAGCCAAAGCTCTCTAGCTCAGTCCAATAATGGGGTCATTCAATGGACCTTCAGGCATAAAAGAAGTAAACGCACTTTCACGTGATTTCAATGGTTAGTGGCGAGGCAGAGATGATTTGAATTGTTGACCGGCGCGATTTGTAGCTGAGCACAAAATATCAACAGCTAGATGTTGCTCCTTGAGTTCTTTGCATGGGGCTTGGCTTAAAGGTCAGCCAATAAGGAACAAATCTAATGTTGAAGAGGAACAAGATATCTTCTCATCAAGGTGAATCTCTAGGCAACAATCAAAAGTTACGTCGGTCCTAGAGCTAAGACTATTTAGGAAGAGTAGTTGAGTCCCCTAGGGCCTGGTGAAGTCCTTTTACATCTCTTAGAATTTCTTCTACCGTTCTGGTTTCATTATCATTTATTTCTAAAGCCCCTTATGCAGACAGACATTTCAAGTAGACGCCGACATGAATCTGACGGAAGATGTCTTCGGCCACCACTCTGACTACGAAAAGCACCAAGAACGTTTTTCCGATTACCTACGAGAGTGACTGATAGGCTCGGCCATGAATACGACGAGACAGATGCCTTCGGCGACTCCTCGCGGGGTTATGGCAAGAAGTGTTGACGATCTCGAGGTGGCGACCGGTATAGGGCTTGGGATGTCACGGGCTTACCCGGTCTGTTTTTGGACATGAGATCCTCCATGGAATATGGAATTCTGGTATCTTGAATTGGCGAAGGAAGCCGATGGCCATAATGGATAAAGCGCACTACAGCGCAGAAATCAAAATCATCTACCTCACTTTTCCCGACCCTGCCGGCAAAACAGTAGCTGTTGGGATGGCATTGATACTACGAGAGATCACGAAACCCCAAAACTATGGGATGCGGTTCATGAACGTCCCCAGCTGTATCGAGCCAAGGGCTTTTGGAGAGTGTGTCTATTGGGAGGTAAATGAATAACCATCGGTAGTATTATATATACAAGTGTAAGACAGATCATGAAGTACATGGTCAATAATGAGCCAAGCTATGACAAGCTGTCTATCATCGACATGAGATTAGAGTTTAAGGCATGATCATTTCTTAGACCTAGTTCATCGTCTGTATAAATCATGCCCCCACCAAGTTGCGCGAAATAATCATGAGCGTAATTGGGATCTGCGTGTAAGAGAGCATTGTCCGGGGTTATAATACTGGAAAACAAAGACAGACTCTTCATGTAGGCTGGAATACCACCTGACACAGGTAGGGTGTACCAGCTGCGGGGATCACTTTGTGACAGCGTAGCCTGATGTAATTCCAAGATTTCGCGACTGTCCCATAGACCTTCGCGTCTGTTTAGAGATTGTAGAAGAAGACACGCATGTCTCTGAATATCAAGGCAAGATGAAGCTGACACAACGAGCGATATTCCTGAAACGAGGACACCGTCTATGGAGAATGTTCTTCTTTGCCGTGAGATGATCGATTGGGCTATCACTTCGACTGAACTCAAATATGTTGCGCAGGCTTTGTCCACGAACGGCTGATCTTGTAATTGAACGCCGAGAACAATAAGCAATTGATTTTGGTGGAGTCGTAGATGCGTTAGGCGAGTTGAATCCTCCGCTTGTAAAAGGGAATGGCTCAGAGCCTTAGCTAACGGGTCGAATTGGGCATTCCAATGCTGAAGACGACTCCTAAGAGCACTCAATGCCATATTTTTAGATTCCTCGTGATGTGGCAACCTAGTTTCAGTTTGTGTGAATTCCAGTGTTAGAAGCAATTTAATATCCTGCATTGAGTCGATATCAACCTTTCTCATTGCCTGTTCTGCCTCAGCCAAGTCCCGGAATGGGCGTGATTGATCATAAGCGAAAACAGCCCAATTGAAAGAATCCCCTAGTGGGAGGGGCTGGTCTTCCATAAACACCGACACCTCCACACTGACACGGGCGAAGACATTCAGAAGCTCCCTTGCAAAGTTAGAATCATAGATGCCTGCGCGGATGTCGCTAGTTGCGAGGAGCTTCAAGCCGGCTTTCAGGTGTCGGATTGATTCGGCATATCGACCGGTCATGCTCTCGTAGCAGATAAACAATAGACAGCATACCATAATACTCTCGGGCGTTAAAGAATTATTAGTAGTGATGGAACTTATGGCGTCATTGTACAGCCTCAGAGCTGCACGGTCCAGTGGCGATGTGCCCTCGAGTTCACGGGTGATAAATCTCCGGTGGACTGCTCCGACAGCCGCGATGGATTTCGCCACGGCATCATTGGAGTGAGCCAAGGGCAACGCGAAGTGTGTCCAGAAAATCCTGTCGCCTGGAGCTTCTGCCAATTCTGCACAGGTGCAAGTTCGGAAATGGTGGAAGAATTGGGCCTCGGAAGCCGAGCGGTAGATCGGGTCGTCTAGACTGGCCCCGATGTATGTGGATGGGACACTGTACGGAGTAGATTGAGCGGGAACATGCGGATAGCCATCACAGACGACCTTATCTGCTTGGCACCGGTGACAGGTCGGTCTCCTTTCGTCGCACTTCTTGTGGCGCATCCTGGAACAAGGCAGTCAGTTTTGAGCCACGTGGATCTGCATAATCTGACGCTACGGAGTATATGGGAGTCCTACTTGCTGCAGGTGATGACAAAGGAAAATAATTAGCTCCAATTCACCGGGTAGATAGAATCGACATACCAGGTCAGACATCCTGTGCGGACCTTGTGGCTGAAGGCTCGGGAGTAAACGGGTTTTCTGGGACGATCTCCCTGGTGCACTGTTTTGCCCGAACCCATCTCATTATCGTCCTGCAGGCACCAACGTAAAGAGGGGATAGAGAGGGTGCTTGAATGCAGGAATTAGCCAATGAGTGTCCGTCTCTAAGGAGGTTGACGAAAGATGGGGAAAAAATTAACGGCCGACGGGAGGATCCCAGGAGTTTAAAACGATCTGCCAAGAAGCCTATACGCTGCGGCCAATCATATGCACGCAGACCATCTTGGCGTCTGATAGCATCTCTTGGGTCTGAGGATACTATACAATATGTATTTGATCAAGAACAATGGTCGAATCTATAAATTCGCAGGATTTGCCCTCATGGAATCCATTAAACTACCATCACAACTGGCTTCACCAACTCAAAGAGAATTGGCCCTTTCGTGGTTACTTCATTCCCTTGACCATGCAAACTCACAGTGTCTTGTTAGGTGAGGATACCATCTTACTTGCCATATGATCAAAATTGACCTTATAAAAAATGAAGGCTTTCTGCTCTTTCGTGCTGCGTTTGCCGGACAGAGCAGTCTACGCGCCGACATACGGGCAGACACAAACCGAGATGGCACCGTGGATTTGACCGGTCACTCGGATGTTATTGGGAAGCAGAAATGGACTGAGTCACACGGTGCTCTCTTCCTGCCCAACATCGGGGACACCGACAGGCGATGCTCCAAGAAAGCACTCAGTGGCCCACCCCTTTCCAACGAGGAGCTGGATCAGTGCAATGATGCCTCGGACAACGTTCAGCGAGCCCCGTACCTCATGGCCCCTGTCCGGACAGTCCCAATTCCGGGCCTCCCTAGCGACGCCAAAGGATTCGTCTCTGTTGTTGAAAAGACAGCACAAGGCAAGGTCCGCGTCTTCCGCCCGGCTGAAAATGGATGGGCGTTCACAGACGCCAATCACGCTTTTACCAAGAAAGAGCTGGAGAAAGGATTGAAGCTAGGTGTCGATGGGCGTGATACGCGCCGTCCCAACGGCTGGGACGGCCACGCCACCCTTCGCTTTTCGATCCTAGGCAAGAATCTGAACTCGACGGATGAAGTGCATATGAGAGTCGCTCCGGTACTCACTCATCATCACCTGCAATCCGTCCAGCAGGTAATTGCCGTTGAGGGAAACACAACCGAAACACCGTGGCAAAAGAAATATACCGAAGACCTCTCAAACGCCGTTCATTCCGCTGGTCTCAATACCGACGTCTATCTCTTTAACCGCAGCGACGATATCTGGGCCCAGGATTGGATGGAACCCGGGTATGCCAGCATGCCTGGACCAAACGGCACCATCTCCATCCGGATCATGATCCGCACGCCTCAAGACGAGCGTGTTGCTGGTCGCCAGCTGTTCGAGTACTACCGTAAAGCTGGAGTAGGAGCAGTTCAGCATCTAGGCGGCGCACGCGACGAGATCAACTCGGGAGGTAATATCGAAGCCGTACCTCCACACACCAACGGAAGGTCATGGCCAGCTGGACGCATTATTCTCGGCAATCACGGTAAACAGAAGCATCATCTTCTTCCGTACTTCCAGGCACAGGAGACGCAGGACCCTATTCTTCTTGATACCGACTGGCTTGTTATTGGCCATGTGGACGAATTTCTTCAATTCCTGCCGGCTGACAATGAGCGCGGCTGGGTCGTAGTCGTCGACGACCCTCGGGCAGGAATTGAGTTCCTTAAGAGTCTCAAAGCAGCCGGTCATGGAAATATCCCGTCCATTTCCCGGAAGAATGACACACAAATCCCACCAAGCAATTGCGATGAGGGACCCGGCTGCGACGCGATCCCAGTTACACCCATGACTATCGCACAGGCCCTGAACGACAAGGAGCTCCTGCAAATCAATCACCAGTGCGCCGAGCGCATTGACGCCAACATCGAGATCCTCAAGAAAGAGGTCGGTCTGACCGATAAAGATTTCATCCACATCCCTTCGCTGTTCAAGCAAAGCGAGTGGGGTGCTAGTGACGAAGATTCTCAATCTCTCAAAGTCGCTTCCTTCTTCCCAGGGGTTATCAACAACCTCGTTCTCAGCGGATTCAACACCTGCATTGCGCCCAACCCGTGGGGTCCGTCTCCCAATGGCACCGATGTGCTTGCAGCAGCTATCCGCAAGAAGTACGCTGAGATAGGAATCAGCCTTGTCTTTGTTGACGACTGGAACACCCATCATAACTATGGCGGGGAGGTACATTGTGGCAGCAATACGGTCCGTGATATGTCACAGGCCTGGTGGCGCGACTGAGATAGCTAGTGGCATTCCAGTACTTGTGTTGTGTTGCTTCTGATGAACATAAATATCCTATCGCATACGTAGGTTCCTACATGCCAGTCTGTATAAATGCATTTAATCTAAAAGCATTAGATTAAAAAGTCTATGTCAAGAGAATAGGTTTCTTATAGAAGCCCTCTTATCAGAAAATATGTCATATAAGCCTAGACTTAAAATAAACAGCTAGCTAAGAAGGATAAAGTCATGAACCTCACTCTTTAAAATTACCCTGGTACCAGAAGCATCCAATTAAGACAGCGGCGCTTATATTAACTCACAATAAGTGACTGCGGACATGTTAGTTGGAAGATAGTGCTTGATTATGAACTCTGACATCCTATTTCGAGTGGCTACATACGCAAACCTCAGCTTAACTCTGAAACAGGAGACCAATAAATTCGTGCTTCAGAAACTAAATACCTGATGTTAATACCTGTGATATAATGTAAGCGGGATGGCTACTAATAGAGGGCGCAAGAGCCCCGGCGGATCAATGGCCACGGCTCTGTAGTCTGCTGTGGAACGAACACATTCTTGGTTCTCTATTGCAGGCCTGAGATTTCATGTGGCCTAGGGTCTACTCGCAGTCAACTCTTTCCAACAGTTGAATCAAAAATGGTTTCCTTGTCTCTCGATTTCGGCGAACTGTCGTGTCTCGGCTAGTTTTCAAAAAGCCCGACTCGCTCTAATTGATTGTTCGAAGTACTAAACTGGCAAAACTGGCAGTGACGCGTACAAGTGATACATAAGTCAGCTGGAGAATGGTTTTATTATGGGATGTATTCTCGAATCATTCATTTTCTTCCTGTCATTAATCGAGTCATCGAACCCCTACGTCACACATCTGGTCACCATGTCGTTTGCGGTCTCAAAATGCTTAGAACCCCGGATAGAAATTGATGAAAAGTAAATGAAGCAGTCGCATTGCCTATTAGTCGCAAATATATTACCGAACAGATTTTGTGCCCAAGTTGGGCATTGAATATATAGGGCGGCCATGGGCGTCAGTCCAGACTGAACCTATGACAAATTCTGATGCATGCAGCATAAACATACATAGGTGGTATGAAGAACATGGAACTTGCTTTTTCTCAGCTCGTCTCCACTGTCTTTCTTATATTTGGAGATCTTCCCTAGTTTTGCTCTCCTTTGTTTACTCTAGTGCCAAACTTATTAAGATACATTGTGCTTGCTTCTCCTTTGTTTCGAGATCAGACTCACTAATGAGCTTTCGATCTATATCGGTGCTTGCAATACAATTCTTGAGAAGCTCCCTCGAACTTACCCCCTCCTTCTCAATAGTTTGTGCCGGATTCGTCGTGCGATCTTGGTCTGGTCTCGTCGTGATCTCCGACAGTTGCACATCCGCAAGCCCAGAATACCAACAACGACCCGATCCGTCCTTTGCCTAATTACCTCGGAATTCTCTCTCCACTTCATCTCGGGGTCTCGTGAAATAAAGGCGAAACGGCAAAAATGAAAACCATCGGCATCATCGGCGGTCTGGCCTGGCCGAGCACCGTCGCCTACTACGAAGGCATCAACCGGTTGGTCGCAGACAAACTGGGGACTCTTCACAGCGCAAAGCTTATCCTAATCCAAACCGATTTCGACCAGCTCCTCCAGTGGCTCCTGGCTGATAAATGGGATAAAATTGGCGACGCTCTTTGTTCTCTCGCTCGCCGGCTAGAGGGTGCCGGAGCTGATTTCATCCTCGTCGCCTGTAACACAATGCACAGGGTTATGGCGCGAATTCAGGAGCAGATCCGCGTGCCGATTTGTCATATTGTTGATGCGGTGTCGGAGAAGATCAAGCCGATGGGTATCCGGAAGGTCGGGCTGCTGGGCAGTGTGGTGACGATGAGGGATGGATACTTTTCGGACAGGCTCGCGGAAGACCGGATTGAGTCTTTGATACCAGGTCCAGAAGACCAGGAATTCATTCTACAGGCACTGAAGACGGAACTCTCGGTAGATATCTATACGCCGGAGACAAGGGCGGTTTTCAGAGATATCATAGCTCGCCTAGTTACCCGTGGTGCCGAAGTGATTATTCTTGGATGTACCGAATTTGGGAAGTTGATCAAGCCGGAAGATAGTCCGGTGGTGATAATTGATACAGTTCCTGTGCATATAGAGCTTGCCGCGAAAATGGCCCTTTCCTGATCCAGTTGATGGCGTGTTTGTTCTTGAAAACCATCAAAGAAAGATGAACCCTACTTGGCAGAATGAAATTACAAGACAAAGTTCTTGGGATTCCCATATTCAGAATAAGAGCTCGGAGGGGGCGCAGTACATGTAAGAGGATAAACCAGTCCGAACGTGGTGGTTGTGGGAGCTATGTGATAGTAATAAATCTCTTGCTCTACTTATATTCATCACATGTGTTAAATTGTTTCCCTCGAGGGGCGCGACCGCTGGTGGTAGGGTAAGACTTTATGCCTTTCGAATCCATTTAATCGCATTCTGATGCAAAATTGTCTGGCTAGCAGCCTTGTGTGCTCTATGCGCTCCAATATGAGTTGTCCATCACCAAGAGAATTAGAGACAAGGTTCCCGGACCGTGAAACTCAGGAGCCATGCAACACCTGACAACACAAAGGAAGTAACTATTAAAGAAATTAGACCTGAGCGGTCATGAGTGTGTGACAAGATGCTTACTGTAGGTACCCTTCAGAGCTGCCACATAGCAGTTGACAACCATTTGCTGTAGATACCCGCGTAAATGGGCGATGTAATGAAGATCGGATATGGCACGTCGAATAATCTCTCTCGTATTAGTTGCAATCTGTACCAAGTGGTCGAAAGAAAAAGGAAAGCCCATACCTGGGGTGCGCCTGGCTCGTGTATGTGACGCCTCAACTGTCTGCGAAACTCGAAGCCTAAGATTGTATTGGTTCCAGTTATACTAACAGTCATGAAGAAGGTGTGCAGTAGGAAATATCCCCCGGTGACCGTAGGCATTTCTTCTAACTCCAGGAAGGACGTCATGAGAACGAATGCGGCGGTCGAGGAGATACCAGTGCCAACACCACCGGGAATCACGTAGAGGGATTCCCAAAAGCTCGTATGTCCGTTCCACCGTAACCAGAGCAGCATATACGTGGACGATGCTATGACGGTCCCCATAATAAGCAGAGTCTTATATCGTCCAGTCCACCGAGCAAAAAGACCCGCACAGAGACCACCGATCGCATTTCCTAGGACGGCGGGGACGAGATGCGCACCGGCCTCAACCGTAGATGCATGTTTGGTGACCTCGAAGTAGAGTGGCACGGAGAACATTATCCCAACCTGAGCCGCGATCTGCAACGAGCCAACGAGGTAGCTTGCAAGCACGTTTGGTCGTCGCAGCACACGAAGATCGAAGATTGGCTCCCTGGCAATATACATTTCTATGTAACCGAAGCTCGCCATTAGAATGACAGACGCGACGCTCAATGAGCATGACAGCCACGAGAGCCATGAAAATGATTTTCCACCTTGATCAACCAGCAGAACAGTAGCCGTGACTGCTGCCGTCAGTACTCCAGTGCCTAGGAAGTCGATGCGCTGGAATATGGAAGTTTTGAGGCCATTCCAAGTCATTGCTGGCAAGGGATGCGGTATTTTGAGTTTGAAAATAACAGGGAGTGCAGCAAGCCCGATTAAAGGAGCTTGGATTAGAAACAGCCTTCACGTATTGCGGATTAGAAAGAACGAAGCAACTTTTCTTTTGCCAGAGCTACATACCATCTCCATCCAATCGCGTCAGTGAGCCAACCACCTACAGGGCCGCCAGCACCGCGCCCCAACGTCATGGCAACATTGATATACGCTCGCCACTGTGCCACATCTTTTGTAGGAATGATATCTAGAGTATGAGTTTAGTAGGGTTAGACATGTAATCAATGCCCTGAATTTCGTCCTCACCGAGAATAATAACGGATCCCATCACCATCGTCCCAGCCCCTCCCACGCCACTGATAGCGCGGCCCAAAATGACCACCCACATCGCAGGTGCGGTACCACTATGTAAACGGCCATGTCAGATATCCCATAGATTGTCCACCGATCTGAAGAGTAAGCCCACCATATAATACAACCAAAAGTCAGGAAAAAATAAGCCGTCAGCAGGAGGGGTGTCCGACCAAGAATGTCACTCAATTTAGCATACTGTTTGGAAATGCTCTGATCAGCCCCTGAATCAATTGGCATTGTTGTCGACACTCACCATTGGCAACGTCGAGCATACACCGAGTGTGTACGCCGTGGAGAGCCAGTTGGCATCCTGTAGGCTATTGAACTCGGAGGAAATCTGGCCGGTAGACGCCATTACCAAGGTCGCATCCGCATTCGAGATGAACTCTCCTACAAATCCACGGTAACTTTAGCAAGGCCTGCAGGATGGGGTGCAGGCGCATTCTAAATGGCAGAAAATTGCCTACCGAGCAAGAGAACTGCGACGATACTCCCTACATCTTGGTGTGTCTTTTGATCTTTTGGGGGACTCGTAAATCGTTCGCCTTCTTCGTCGAGGTCCCTGCTGACAGCCGGCGGTGCACGCTTGTTACCGTGAATTGCACCGTATGAACGGGCTTCGTCAGTAAGGTCCAGATAGGCCGATTCCTGTACCTCTGCACGAGCAAGCATAGTAATTCGGTGGATGTACCTTGCGGTACTGAAGATTCCTAACTGTCTGTTTGACTCCAGAGGCCTGTCGGGATGTGAGATAAAAGTGCAGAGCAAAAGGATCGCAGAGACAAGGATATGGTCAGAGATACGGCCTGAAAGCGCTATTTGCGTTGGTTGGTATGTCAGAACTCTGTATTAATTGCCACAGTTCTGGTATAAGGCTATGTAAAAATGTTTCACGCCTGGGGATTCCTCATGGCCCTCACATGACCTGAAGCCTATCTGGTGTTCACACGTATTTGATTCTCACCAAGGATCTAAAACCAAAGAATGCATAAGCTACCTCTATATTCAATAATGCCGGATGATATTTGTATAGAGAAGGGAAGAAAAAAAGAAGTGATATTTGCTTTTCAAGGGTGGTGAAAAAGCGTATGATTGATCCGTAATGAGTTTCATCAAGTCAGTCAGCGGATGATAACTGGAAACACGTAAAGATCTCTTCAATTCCAGAATAGGGTTATGATAGGAGCTTTTGCCGAGCTGACCTTGGTGGCATACTGTAATAACAAATAGAAACCTGCATAAGCGGGCAGTAACAATAGACCCGTGGCAAGTGATCCTTGTGCCGTATGTTCAGCAGTCAGCACTCCTTTTCACGGGCTGAATATTTCAGCTGAGACTGGCCAGATCTGCAGGAATTCCAAATTTTTTCATGGCTGCTCATTATCATAGGAGCGTTGCCTATTCCGTACTACACACCCGAAGAGCTCTTTACCTAAATTTATTCCGACTGTCTAGGTTTATTCAAATCGAGGGTTGGCTTTAAAAACATTGTATATAAGACAAGTCAATCTTTTATCTATCTCAGTAGGAAGTGAGCCTGTTTGACCTTTCTGATTTCAACTGTCTGGTTAGAAATGTGCTTGCTGCTGGTAATGTTTCACAAGACATCCACGCCCTTGTCAGCAGTCAGCACACAAACACCTGTGGCCTTCAGACACGTTCTCTGCACTACCAAGAAAACACCAGGACAAGTATCATATCATATTGCCGGTCTGAAACTTGGAAAAGACTGAAAGTCTGTCTGTACATGTTGCAGTCTTACTGATCAGTTGCGGACCGAGGGATCTATCAGCCACGGGGTCACAGGAGATAAATCGCATTCACGTCCACCCCAAACCCGAGGAACAAAACTTCTAGATCGACCATGGTAAGCAAGCAAGAAGATCGCCAGTTTTTAGCTACACTTTTACGAAAATGCTCTATTGCAGTGCAATACTCATTGACAGCAACGTACTTATATAATTATGATCCTAAATCTATCTCACGGGGGGGAAGAGATCTGAGAATATACAGTGACTTCAGTATCTACCCTCAGGGGTGCACGCAAGAATAACTACAAAGAGACATAAAAGCACTTAAGCATGTACATGGCTTAATTCCTTGCTTTGAGCCCTATCATGTTACTGTTAGAGCACCAGTGGCCCTATCGTTCAAGAATAATCCAATACTCGAAAAAGAATCATTCGACGCCCGACCTGGCATGGCTCCTCAACAATCTCAAAAGGACTTAGCCCGTATAAGGCCTGTTAGGCAAAGGTACCATTTAGAGGCAGACCGATGATTTTGGAAGACAAAGTGGCAAATATGACCTAAACGAGAAGTAACCAGTAACCTGCTTCGTACCTACGTGGTGTACTAGAACTTTCTGCTTTCCCAGGGTCCTTGAATGAGCCTAATCACACAAGTCTGACATTTCATCAGGTGTTGAGGCAAAGTGACATTTCTTTTAAAGCCGGCTCCAACTATATAGTGGGAATTGAAAGTATTCCTAAGGTTTTATATTATATCACACAGTCAATCGAAGATGATAAAGCATAAACTGTCGTGCTATCTCAGCCTGGCCCGTAACATCAAGGTCCCATAGCAATGCCATCCTCCTGCTCAATAGCTTCTTGAGGTCTTCTTCCCCGGTAACTGTATCCAGGCTCAGACTGAGTAGTTGTCCCATATCTCTGCTCGTTCTTACCACCCATTGACTCCTTGGCCTCCTCACCGTGTCATAGGCATGGAACGCAGATTTCACATGTTCTCGCTGGAGAACGTGCTGATCACCCATAAGTTCTGTGAGAATGTGAACATCCTCAATCGCCTGGCCCGCACCGGCACCTTGATGAGGCGTCGAAGCATGAGCAGCATCGCCTAAAATCGCCATGTTATCCCGAGCATATGTCGAGATTGGGGGATTATCAAACACAGCCCATTGAACTGGGTTGATAATATGCTTAGAAAGATCAAGCTTAGTATAAAAGCCCAAGTAGCGTCCCTTCCCCTCGTCAGTCAAAGAACTAACATACCTTCATGATTGACCGGACGGCATCCCCCATATGACCAAAATCCTGTTCCATTTCTTCCTTGCTGGTTGGATGAGCCCACGTATGATGATTCCAGCTATCACTCTCCCTGAAGAATCCCACGTTCACTTGTTTCGCATGCATGATCGGGTAGGTAACCACATAGCCACCCTTTCCCATGTACATGGTTGCAACACGAGCGCGGCGCTCGCCTACAGCTTCAACCATCGTGGCCATGTCCAGAACCGCCCGGTATGCGTACATGCCCGCATAACGCGGCTGAATCTGCTCTCCTGGCAGCATACACTGCCTAACCCGTGAGTGGATGCCGTCGCAACCGATCACGACATCAGCCATGGTCGAGGAGCCATCTTCAAAGTGTAACTTGGTCCCCTGGGCCATCTCTTCCATGTGGATCAGGTTCTTGCCCCATTGTACCTTTCCCCGAGGCATGCAATCAATCAAGGCGTCGAGGAAGTCGCCACAATACACTGATGTCTGTCCCAGGCTTTTCGCTCGGAGGTTGGTGAGAACTTTCCCGCGCATATCCGCGGTAGTCCAGACGAGCTCAAACCACGTCTGGCAGAAATGCTCATAGCCCGGGCTATCAGCGTGTGTGGTCACTAGGGCATCATAGGCCTTTCTGATGCTTGGGTCGATCAATGAAAGGGCACGGTGAGCAGCAGGGCTCATCGAAAGCCCAAAGCCGGTCCGTTTGAAACTCGGGGCTGCCTCATAGATCGTGACGGAAATATTGTGCCGGAGGAGGCCTAACGTCAAGGTTAGCCCACCCACTCCAGCCCCGATAATGGTCACGCTGAATTGTCGCTTTGGGGGGTCGATCGATTCCATTTGTCCTATCCTGGAACAGAGGCTCGGTGGTGTGGGAGCGAAATGATGGAGGCAGTTAAAGAGATATAAATCACATGCAGAGAATAGTCTCTTAGGGTGTAACAGAAAAATGCTCATTCTCTAACTAGGCCAGTTTACAACATACTACATCTTCAACTTCCGCGCTCCCCGTCCGGAGTCGCCCCAGTTCAACAAAAGGAATATCCCTAAAGAAGAAGGATGAAAAGATACTCCGAGCACGATGCCGATGCGCTAAAGAGTTCCAGTCCAGGTTCCCGTCATCCGTGATTCATAATAGAAACATGGCAAAACAGCATCCTGCATAAAATTACCTTTATAAGCTGCAGATGCCCCGACATGAAGAGGTTTTGATCTAAGCTGATTATCCAGTTGGTATTACCCAACGTATACCTGCTCCCTCATATCTGCATACTTACCTACGTGTCGCCGGATTGAATACGACGCCATATGAGCGAGACATTCGAAATATTCTCAAACTAGTGCCCGTGGTGGAAACTCATAGACAAGGAACTGGTGAAGAATTCTTTCCAGGACTGGCAGCAGACCTCGTAAGGGGTGCGATTACCCATGGCTTATCTACTCCAGTGGGTGTATCGTTTCTCGGATAATCACTGCTCCCTCTCTCCAAGAGTCTTGCATACAACGCAAGTTAACAACCATGACCAGCATTCAGTCCCAAAATATGCGTGCAGAGCACCCTCCTCAGCGACTCTTTCTGGTCACCTATCCGCGAACCGCATCCAATTTGCTTCTGAAGATCCTCGCACTGGACGAACAACCTGACACGTTGACCAACAAAAGTGGCGGTTACTACTTTCGACCGGCGTTTTTGAAGACTGGGATGACAGGAAAACCTCATAGACCGACGGGGCATCTGAGCCGAGACGAGGCCCACGACCTGCAACGTGTCTTCCAGGCATGTTTTGAGAAGCTAGAGCATGATTCAAATGCGGCGATTGATCAGGGCAAGCAGTACTTTGTCAAGGAACATGCCCTCTGGCTCTCCAACCCGACCAATATCAGCGCCGCGCTCGGCGAACAGAACGCCCACCCGGAATCGTCATTTCGAGTTCAGCAGAACTTCTCTTCGACCTCAACTTGGTCTCCGAAGAATCAAACCGTTCTGCCCGATGAGGCGTTACGAAAGTGGTGCCTCGTCTTTCTAATCCGGCATCCAGCCCTGGCATTTCCATCTTACTATCGAGCTGTTCTGGACCTTCGTGATGAGGGATATTTGCACGAGTCGGAGGTCCAGCCACATCTGCAAGCAAACATGACACTTCAATGGACCCGGTCACTCTACGATTGGTCCTGCGAGCAGGGGTCTGCACCGCTGGTGCTGGATGCAGATGATGTCATCTCCGATTATGCAGTGGTGGTCAGACTTTGCGAGATGACTGGGCTGAGGGCGTCTCGGCTGAGGCTTACTTGGAACTCTGTTTCTGAGGAAGATGAGGGAGAATGTTCATTGGAAATTGATACGAAGAGGTCTCTGGGCGCTATTATGGAAAAGACGTTGTCGGGGTCGACGGGGGTGGTGGAAGGGAAATGCAGCGTTGGGATTGACATTGCGATCGAGTCTGAGAAGTGGAAGCGAGACTTTGGCCAGGAGGTCGGCGAGAGTTTGGAGAGATCTGTCAGGACCGCGATGCCAGATTATGAATATCTTAGGGCAAGGAGAATAGTTAGCAAGACAATCTAGGAGTATATTATTGCTACAGGAGGCCAAATCCGTTGTGAGGATCCTTTATGATGAAGAACAATGTGCTACTACTGCCGTCTCCGAACGCAGATTCACAAAAGAGGAGAGGCGTAAACATTGAAATATGTCACATACCTATCCAGCTGATTCATAAATTGTCGCTAATGGCGTCAAGCTGATCATGTTGAGGCGTTGAAGTTCTAGGAGTTCCTGGTAGACTCGCCATCGCTTCCAGGTGGGAAAAAAATTCAAAACACCATCAAACCGCATTATGGAGGCCCTTGGAAGTCACCAGCTTCGGGAGAACTTCCGGATGCTAGGCAATGTCATCAACGACATAAAAGGAAAGGTTTGTGCCCCGGGTCCCCATTATGCTATCGACTGAAAGCAGATACAAATAGAGTTGATTCTGATGAATGAATTAGCTCTGGGGGTATGATGTCAAAGGTCTCAATGCCAGAGTGAATAATCGTTTGAAGGAAAAAGACCTCAGCGGAGCCTTCAATATTGTGCGCGCCGTGAGTAATTGGCGCACTTTAAATGTGAAAATAGAAGCTAATACAGTGGACAGGGTATTTCCGTGTTTAACTACTTGAACATGCCGAATGTCTGGAAACGATACAAGCAAACGAACATTCTGGTTCGTCAAGAACTGGAACGTATACAGAAAGCATACAAGGCAGCCAGCTCAAAGGATGCGAAGCTGCTAGAATGCTGGGATCTATTTCTCTATGAACGCATGAAAGGGATGACAAGAGAACCGCGTCAGTTTGTGGAGGATTATCTGACCAAGTTCAAGGAGGAATGGGTCGAGAGCAAATGGCCAGGTGACAAAGATTGGCTAGCACAGTTACAACAGGTGCAAAGCTTTGTGAAAGAGATGAAGAAACAATTGAACAAGATCCAAATTAGCTTGGACGATTTGTTCTAATTCGTCTGGGTACATCCATCGTGCTACCAGGGCTTATGAGATCAGTGGACTCGAAATCTAGAAATAAGCTTATTTATTAAATATTGCTACTGTGTAAAAGAAGGTATCAAAGATCATGTACTTGTTCAACTCCAAAAGCATGACGACCTTGCGATAGACTTATATGCAGTAGCTTTTGACACCTGGGTACCAAGCTAAAGGCGCCCAGTGAGCTAGATCTTGTCATATGGCTGAACGAGACAAATGTGAGATAGTTTCATGGACAGACTTCCAGACCCTATCAGAAAGCTTAGGCGTAGTAGAGAACAACAAAACTATGCCATACTATGCCTGGTTCAGACCAGGGCGGCTGTTCTTCACTCGGTTTACTAAGTTTGCCTACTTGATGATTGATGATCATGCCATTCAGTCTATTCTGGCGAGTCCAGAGTCTTGCCTGGAAACTGAAAGCTGGATCGCGGAGAAGCTTGGATATGTGATCCTGATTGATCGCCCTTTTCCTGATAAGGGGGGAATCAGGTGCGAGCCTTATAATGTGGGTTGGATGCGGTTGACGATTGGGGGGATTTGGATGCTTTCCTATTTTCATGAATCGGTAGACTTTGAAATTGTTTATCCGCATATCGGGAGGCCGGGTTTGATTCCTTATTTTGATGGTGATTGGAGTTGGGTAGAAGATGTGAATGGGCAGAAGGTGACAAATGTGGATCCTTCAGACGATGAGGAGGATGAGGATGAGGACGAGGAGAACGATGGTCAGGCTGAGGAAAACGGTTATCCTTTTCATGATATTTATGAATATCTCAAAGAAGGTGGCCACATTTGATTATGAATCCATCCAATGTGCACTGTCCCCTTTCCCTCTGGTAAATGCCCCATGGCACGGCTCCTTATGTTTTGGCTTTCTCACTAGCACCTTCCAAATAACAAGAATTACTGCCACGTCTACTACATGTATCAGTTCGTCCCCCCTGAATATATACCTGAAGAAAGCTGACCCACACGTTCCTTCTGAACTAGTATTCTCCATCAATCTATTTGGAACCAATGCCTTCACGGATATAGACATCGCAAGTCACGAATAGTTATCAATGAGTTCACTTATTGAGGTCATCATCTTTGAATATTATGTTGCAGTAACTACCAACGCCCTGGATTCGCTCTCATACAAAATCCTCCAAAAAGCAAAACCATAAAAGAGCCTAGATTCACTGGGGCTGGGCAGCGTGAGCCACTGTGTCGGCTTCAGCCCGGCACACAGCAATATGACTTTAAATTGTGGGTGCTATGACTGAGGACATTCAATGCCATGAGAAGACATAACTCTCGCCCTGGCCACCGCCGAGTTCATCCTGCAGTTTGAAACCCTTATCCTTTGACTTCTACCAGCACTATTTATGATTATATTGTGTATTCGTGGCTGCTAGTGACATTCGGCGCTTCGAATATGGCCGAAAGGCTCAGTGGGTTGACAAGAATTGATTAGTGGAATATCTATCAGCATAGTTAGTCTATAGCGGAGAGGCACATTGTATTCCTGTCGTAGGGCCTTGCTGTCTTTCACGGACTCCAGTATTCAAGCAGAGTAACTGGATAGATCAAATCAATAGCATACCTAGTCCCTTTGTAGGAATCTCAACACCATAATCACCCCGACAGAAAACAATGGAAGCACCAGAGAGCCGATCATAACAGGGAGCCGCGCAGCAGGACTACGTGTCTTCATCGGCTCCGAATCCTGAAACTCCCGGGTGAGAAGCTAATCAGATAGTAAAGAAATGGGGTTTGGGTCCAAACATACAGCATGTGACACAGTGCATCGGCCATCCGGCCGGGTACAGTCTCTCAAGCCCTCGATAGCCTGGATGGACAGCGCTGTGGAAAGTCCACGATTGCCGATCCGGAGTCTCTTAGACGCGTAGTGATAGATGGTGCCGAGTTCCCATCCGCCGTCTTCGAGATGCATCGACCGCAGGACCGCCACGCCGTCGTGGTCGTGGATCCCAACCGCCTGACACGTTATGATCCGCATTGCCAGGCTCATGGCGTCCACGGGGATGCCGATGCGCTCCCTGACTCGCTCACGAAGGAGATTGCGCAAATCGGTGTGCAGGAGCGGCATGTTTACGAGACGTCGGGTTAGCCGCTCGAAGAAGAACAAGGAATGCTTCCGGCATGGGGTAGAATGCTGTGCCGTTTATGTAGGCTCGCCGATGCAGCACTTGATGCACCCAGGACAGTGTTTGCTCTACTTCCTCGCCACGCCCGTAGTCGAGGAAGAGACCGAGCAAGTTACAGCACACCACCGGATCGACTCTGTTCTTGAAATCGCTGAAGAATGTCTCCGTGAAGACTATTAGTTCACTACACCGTTACTGACAATGACAGGACGTCCCTGTATAATGCAATCAGTGTCGCGGAATCGCAGAACCTCGTCCATCACCTCGTTTGCTATCACAGGGTCTGCATTCAGGACAGTAAGGGCCAGAGATGTTGTGTCCGCGTCGTCCGGGAACTTGGCCTGCGTGAGCAGCGGCGTCCCTATCCCGCTGTTAGACATTTTTGTACGGCAGGTATTGGATCGGTAGACTTTCTACGTACCGGTAAAGTAGTTCCACGTTGTCCGGTGAGGGTCCAGGTAGACAAGGCCTCTGTCGACATGATTAGCCGCATCGAATGCGGTGAGCAGAGGGGATCGCCTTTACTTATCACTCGAAAGTTCGAGAATCAACAACTGCGCAAAGTTCTCCTTCAACACGACGCCAGAATGGGCCATTGAATGAAGTTCGCCGGCATGACTGCGGAGGAATTGTTTCCCACGCTGGATTGGGTCGTCGAAAAGGTTCGACAGAGCCTCCTGTAACATAATGGCTTGATCACGAGGGAGATGGGATAACTCTTCATTTGCTCCAATACAGCGTTCCTTTCAGTGTAGTACCCTAGAAAAGAAAGAAGCCTTCTCACAAGATAGACATACTTTCATCCTAAACAAGCGCGTATCCTGCATCCACCGCGATGGTGGCCCCAGTCACGTAGGATGAGGCGTTAGACGACAGCCAAAGAGCGGCCTGGGCAACTTCGTCGGGCTGCGCCATCCTTCCGAGAACGTTAGTTCCGGCAGCCACCTCGCTCTCTATCAGCTTGAGTGCCTTCATTGTTGACATGGTCAGATATGTTGCCGTAGCTCCAGGAGCCAAAGCGTTGATCCGGATGCCGTGCTAGCCATTTTCCAACGCAGCGGTCTTCGTTAGTCCGACGAGCCCATGCTTTGCCGCGATATATGCAGCCATTCCGCAATGCGGACGGGCAGTGGTGGCCGAGGTCATGTTTACAATCATCCCGCCTCGTCCCTGTTGGAGCATCTGACGTAATTGCCACTTCATGCACAGAGCGACCCCCGTGAGATTGGTGGAGAGTAAGCGGTCCCAGGTCTGCTCGTCGAGGTCGCAGATCGGCGACGAGTCTGGCGCGAGCCCGGCGTTGTTGACGGCGATGTCCAGGCCGCCATACGTGATGACAGTGTTGTGAATTAGCGCCTGCACGCTTTCTGAACGGGTGACATCTGCGTGGATGAACTGGGCGTCGTGCCCGGCTCGTCGAATCTCGCAGGCGCTGGAGTCTCCAGTCGTTTCGTTGACGTCGGCCACTATTGTTCGTGCGCCTGCCTGTGTCAGACATGCTGCAACTGCTTTGCCTATGCCTGAGCCGGCGCCAGTGACAAGTGCGATCTTGCCATGCAGAGCGAATGGCTTGGGGATGGACATGTTGCGGATGTGCGCTAGTGAGTATGATCGTTTGGAAGCAGAGGATAGCAGGCTTGCGTTATATGCTTTGTGGGTACCAGTCGCCGATCCTTGTTGAAACCTTGGTTCGCTAAGCTTCCTTGCAGCTCGAACAATTGGCGCTAGAGCGATGGTCTTCGCCCGATGTAAACAGATCGGGCAAAGGGGTGAGATATTTTAGCAACCGAGTAGAAAATGCCATATAAGGGTACTTAGAAGCGTCCATACCTCTCTTGTCTGTTTGCTGCCAGTTGATTTATCGCCAATACTAGTCTGCCCTACTACGAGTTGTGCTCCTGCTAGCTGCCTGTCCAATGCGCGAGGCCAGTGCGTTGACCGCCAACAACCTCCCTAGCTGCCTGACAGACAATACCGTCTAGCAAGAAGTAAGAGATCCTCCGCCAAATGGCTATAATCAGTACCTCTCCTATCGGGGAATTGGCGGTCAGGGGAATTCACTCATAGTAGTCTCCATCTGTAGTAACAAGATTTCCTTATTATCAGGATCAGCTCCGCCATCAGATACCTACCAGTCATGGCCTCCCTCTTCGTAATGAATGTCTCTTACTTCCTGCGCCTTCTATTATATCTATATCTATAGCTTAGGCCTAGTCTATGCCTTGCTCAAGGCCCTCTTATACTCCGTCACTTCGGAATCCTCCACAAGTCCCCCAAGCATCAGCTATAGCAAGCATAAGACTAGCACCTGCCATACAGGCCAATCCTTAGCCTTCAACTCGGCCCCCGCACAATTATCAGGTTGGGGAGTCTAGAAGTAGCTAAAGAGTCTTCCGGAAAACAAGAACATATACACGTAAGTTAACTGGCGTCGGCGTCTGCTGGGGGTGCTCTAACAGACGACATAACCACGGCATTACTCCCTTAAACACCTATATCTTCGACCCGGAGCGTAGATCTGCCGCTGTATACCTTCGGGATGGGCGGTAACTGTGTCCTGGATAGAATCCCGTCCGCACCACATTCCACACTATGTCTCTTGCCTTATCTAGGATTTGCAATTTAACTCCCAGGCTAGCAACCTCTCGCAAGGCCTCGTTCGGGACAGTTAAATATATAATTGCGCATTATTCATTTCTGTGTGCAACTCCAAGACGACACGGGATCGAGTATCGTGGTGGCTTGGTGCCTTCAAATGCACCACAGTGGCGACTGGGAGACCAAGTGCATGTTGAGAACGATCATCGATAATAATCGAATAGTAAAGTTCTGGTCGGCTTTCCCAAACATGTAATTATGCGATGCCAGGTGAGCCAGATGAGCCGTATGATTCTTCTAATCTCAATATGGCAAGTAAGAGTGGCGGGTGGACGATGAGTTTGATGGAGCATGTTAATGTGAAATATTAGGCCTTGTGGAAACCTTAAAAGCCTTGCCAACTTGCCAAGCAGAGAGAAATTCTCGAATCAGATAGATGGGCAGGATGTCAAGCGTGTTCAGAACTAGACAGATAAAATATATAACCTAAACGAGGGATTTGGGATCCTATGTGACCCCCACCACGAACAGCGGTTCGGGTTATATAGATTGGCACAAGGTTCAAATACCGGAAGCGTGAACAAGAGGCCGTTCAATTCATTAACCACTGCCACTGCCTCAGGTCTATTACAGTCAAGGGTCGGTCTTCCAGAATGATGGGATATGGCCCTTGTTCAGAGCTTCGTCCTTCCTATACAGCGGATTAAATTGGGGGGGGGGGTCTATTCTTTTTTTGGAACAACGGGATTGACATGTAGAGAAAATGTCCACATTCCTAGCTTTGAACCTTGATTAGAGGTTGAGAAAAAGAAAAACAAAAACATACAACAGCCGGGATTCGCTGGTGGTCACCCACCCAACTACTAACCAGCCGGCGTGAGGCTTAAGTACGGCTGAGCGGACGGGAAGCCCTGTTCTCCTCACCCTGTGGTCGTATGTACCAATATAAATCCAGCATAGCGTGATATTCAAAGGGGATTATAAAGTCTGCAATAATTAGCTCGAAATTTTAGTAAATGCGTAAGCTGAGAAGGAAGGACAGATTTTGGGGATTCTTGGTTCGATATATTTTTTTAAGGCTCAAGTACGGTCAGCAGTCCAGTCATGGCATCTATAATTGCTTGCCCCATCTATTCCCTTGGCCTCGTGCCTGAATATCAAGATATCTAGGCAGAAATGGCACCTAGGCCCGCGGTATTCAAGGTCCAGCATATTAGTTAACTGTAGGGGTTAATTTACAGAAGGATTGCGTATTCTCATACTCGTGAAAATTGTTCAGATAGACGAAAATGAATTTCATAGAAATGAATACAGGCATTGGATGACAACAGGATGTAGGAATGGTTATAACGCTCGATTTGGATTCCCTTCCTGCTGGTGGTGATGTCCTAGTGGAAATCCCAATTCAAAGTCTGGCTCCCCAACAAAAGGATTAGGCCACAGGAATGCATCCTTCGGTCGAGGAGCGTCTTCCCACCCTTTTAGCTCTCTCGATTTGGTCCACTCTACCAGTGAGTTGAAATCCCGACATTGACGATTGATTTTGAAGTCTGGCCACGGTGCTTGCTGACCCTCGACATACGTGAAGGCCAACACCGTGGGGTCTGAATTGCAGAGAAGGAACTGTAGGAGCATGTCGACGCAGTGGCCGAGGTGGATCCAACCTTTAGTGGTTTCGTTCCATTCTCTCTTGCGATGGTGGCTATGTTCTGGATGATACCCTGGGTAGTCGGCAAAAGCTTTCTGTCGGATGGAGTCGAGACAGTGAATTTGCTGCCATTTCCTTGTCAGTTTACCGGATACTTTGGAGGGGCGAGGGGTTACAGCATACATGCGATACGTCCAGTTTTCCGACATAAATATCCTCATCGAGCCCGTAGTGCTCGCGATCATACCGAGCCGCGGCTTCTGGGTCTTTGCCCAGTTTGATGATCTCATCCCGGGTGAGCCCAAAGAGAGGAGTGAGGTTGTATTTGAGCCACTCGGCATCATTCTCCTCGCTCGGTTCTTGGCGAGCGACGGAGGGGTTGGGTGGGGAGAGCAACGTTCCGTTTATCCTGGTGGTGTACTGGGGGATTTCTACTTCGTCAATGATTGGCGCTGCCAAGTCAGTGACTCTGTAAGACAGGCTAGGGTCATGGTCAACTTACACCGATGACTATAACCCCGTGTTCACAACTATAGCACACGGTGTGGCTGGCTTCAAACGTGACAGTGCCGATGCTGGCACTGCTGCTGAGAAGGCCGATGAATAGAATGTGCTCCTCTACACAAATCATTGAATGGGTGAAAATCCATATCCCTGGAACACCGATGACGACAATTACTTTTTCAATGCTGGGCCTATCGGCTTGAGACAGATGATCATCAGCCATAGTCAGAACGACGGGGTGATAATGACGAAGAAGAAGACGAAGGCGGTTGTTCGGTTTCATGTTTATTCTGTTTGAGATTGGTTATTGTCAAATTTGCGCTTGGCTCTCCGCTCTTTTGAGCCCATCATAAATTGGTAATGGTACTTCTTATCTAAACGAATGTTGATTGGTTTGGTCTTGCGTTTGAATCTCTCGACTATTTCAGCACCAATCCTTCTGTTCTAAGTTCATTTCTACAAATGAACAGCGTAGTTTGTAGTCGATTAGTAGGAATTTGATATGGCTTCGAAGACGCAAGGGACTGGCTGTAAGTTGAACTTGACTTTTGAATTCTTTATGATAAACTCCATGATGGCTTCCTCTCAGTGTTTCGATGGATGGTATTAAATCCTGCACTTATAGATCATGCTATTGAGCTTTCTAACCGTAAAAGCAATCAACAGATCCCCTAGAGAGCAGCATCGATAAAATTCGTTTGTAACCCTTCGCAGAGCCAAGCTTAGTGTAGGAAGGTGCATCCTTTTTCCCGCTCAAGTACTCCGTAAGACGGTCCATACCTCGTTCCATTCCCTATGAGTCAGGAAGCTCCCAAATCTTCTGTCCATTATCCCATCCAAACCAGCCATTCCCTGACTCAAACACCCCCTGTCCACATGAGGCCATCTTCGTATATGCTTTACCTGTCCCCCAGATATCCGTATTCCCTGCGGCGGCCATCTCAATCATATGCATACAGTGGTCCACGTGTCCAATACCCCCGATGTACCCATCAATCCCGCTCTGATCCCGTAATAACATCGCCCGAGTGAGCCGCTTGTATGCGTACTTGCAATGTGTGGCGTGGTATGTCGCTGTGGTGTAGAGATACTCGAAGTCCCCTGTCCGGGCGTATTCCTCTGACACCATTTGTTGGCCTTCGCGGTCCAGCGACCATTTCCAATCGCTGGAGTTGAGAAAGTCTTCCATCATCTCGCCGTCGAAGCAGGCGGGTGGTACCCACGCGAAGGCAGATAGGTCGAATTTGCACCCTAGGCGGGCTGCATCGGATGGCGTCTCGCCGCATTCGAAGTGAAATGTCTGGCTATCCTTGTGTGGTATGTGCTTGGATATGGCTAAGGTTGCGGCGATGAGGGACAGAATCACAGCAAAAGAAGAAATAATTGTCACATTCCGAAGATTGAATCCTAGAGTCAACCGTTTTCTGTCGGGGGTATCAAGTTGTTCCAGATCGGGTTCGTCGAAGCTTTCCTTGTGCAGGGCGGTATAGGCTGCCATTGTTATGGTTGCGAAATTTGGCGATAGCAAGAGCTTTGTAGTAAGTAGGTAAATTTCAATCTGAATTGAAGGGTTGAGATAAAGTATTGAGTTTGTGTTCCAGGGAGCAAATCCCCCGCTCCCCCCATCCCCTTCTCTGGTCACAAGGGGTGTCGGTCAATATGCAAGGAAACCGTACACCCGGTCTTCTCAGGCTTGGCTTGCATCCTGCATGCATACTTCTGAATCATAAAGTATTGATAGGGCTGCGAGGGGTAAAGGTCGGTTGGGCGATCAAATCTTTTGAATTTTCTGAAATCTGTTTCCCCCACCCCTCGCGCCCAGGAAGATCTGGCTCATCATGGCATTAGTTACAACCCCCCTGTGTTAGACATGCTTTAGATGTGTTTATGTCTAAATGGATATCGTTGGACCTCTTTGGCTGTACCTGGTTTTGAGGTAATAAAATGACTTCAAATATTTAAAATCATCAGATGTTTCCTGTGTGCCTCCCTGTCACTGTCTCGAGTCACCACGTGATTCATAAAACCCTGGACAAACAACGTCAGAGCACGTCGTCAACCTTGCCTAAGATACAAGCATCAAATCTCTGGCTGTTGGGGTACTGATCTACATATTGAACCTGTTATAATACAATGATTCACTTTCTAGCTAGCCTTAAAGCTTGTTTCCTATCTCCCAGTTAGCAAAATGCCAGGAATAGTTAATAGTCAATAATTCAAAGAAATATATTTTTCCTATTGTAAAGAGGTTCTGCCTGCTCGTCCACAGAGGTCGAGGCAAGAGCTGCCACGCAGGGATAAAGCCATTTCTCAGCAATATAACAATGCGTCTCAATAAACGCGTTGTGCCGCGGAAGAATCCCTGTAGATCTCAACTATTCATATAGGGTTTGGAATCGGTCCAGAGAAAGAGCATGATGCATTCGCCTAGTGTTGAGCAGCTCTATGGCGTGAACGCCAATATCAGCTTCAGGGGAGACCTGATGCACTCTCACGAAGACAGGACACGGGATATTACAGTCAAGCTAAGTCGGACATTTATGACTTTCGACTCGACTATTGCCTGTCCATTAGGCCGAGGCGTAGCTACTTCTTGATTCTAACTAACCCTCTTCCTCCCGGTTCAGAAAGTCGAGGGGCTCATCCTACGCCCTCTGGCCTCAGAACAGGTATATCTTGGCCGATAAAGTGGCCATCACAGAAGCTCCTCGTAAATGACAGATGTAGGTGAATCTCATACAACACCACTATGCAAAACCCCACCATTTCATATCCTCGTCACCCTGAGTTGGAACGGGATGTCCAACCCCTTCCGCCCAGATCCCTTCTAGTTTGCTTCCCAGAGCGTATGTTGTCCAGCCCGGCATGGGAGTGTTGGCCAGTAACTCATCAGGAGAGGTATTATACCGGTGCACTGAAGCCCAAGTGTTAAGTGTCGTGTTAAAGGCAGCTGATCCGATAATCGTATCTTTAGACCCCAGATAGAGCTGTATTTTTGGATAGCTTCCCGAATAACTTGGGTACATGTTTCGAATGCTTTTCGAGGATCCAGCAGAATATAAAATCGCCCCGCTGAAGACATCTGGATACGCCCCCGCCATCGTATTCGATAATACTGGTATCATGCAATAATGACTATAGCTTCTGTATGGATTGTATATGTGCCTACCACCATGGTACCACCGGATGAAACACCTGATACAAAGACCTTGGTGGCATCGGCGTTGTAGGTATTGAGAATTTATTTGGCCATATTGGCAATCGACTGGCTGGTGCCTCCGCCTTCGTGTACAATAGACTCTGCCAATGTTGCATCCCAAGCCCCCTGAGGACACTCGGGATAGACGGCAATGAAACTCTATTTATCGGCGAGTCTTGCATATGGCGTGGACTGGTACTGTTGCTGAGTATTCCCAGAAGCACCATGCAGGGAGGCAACTATTCCGGGTGATGTAGGTACGCTGTAGGGGACATAGATATACATTTTGATTGCCGCTGGATTATCCCCAGAATCGGTGACCTCCTTCAGTGTGGCGCGTTTCATGGTTGGAGATCCATGGCATATGCCGAAAAGAAGAGTGGTCAATAGTAGGGTGAGAAACAACATAGCGCCGTAGCCTCTTCAAAGCCTATTGACAAAGGATTTGTAGTGTAGATACAACAAAGCTTAAGATGGTTGTTGTCATGTCTGAGCCCGGAGAAATTAGGAGTACTTCTAGCATGGCTAGGAATGGTCTAGAAGTCTGTGTTGATCCTTAAATTTTGCAGTAACTCAGCTTGTCTAAGAATCTGGGGCCCCGCAAAGTGAGCAAGATCCATCTAGGGCACAGATCAGGCGGAGAGCGCAGTTTCCATTTCGAAAATATCCGATGGAGCAAATGTCAAGTTCCAATGAGCGTTAGCTCGCGGTGTTTGAGAAGAACCAACCAAGTCCACTATCCGCATGACTACAACCTTCCTGCTCTGCTTTGGGCACGGCAGGATTTCCGGTTCAGCCGAAATCTTGAACCTGCCGAGGGATTAATTTCTCCCTCCCATTGTCCTCTCTTATCCATAGTACGTTGGCCATGTTAACTGCCATGATTGTTCATTAGTTTGAGCATCTTGGGCTGCGTTGAAGCCTATGAATGCATGACCTTATAGTATAAATATTATGCTGGGAGTGACACCTGTCTTATGGTCGAGTCATTTCGTGATGGCCAATTCCTATATAGTCTCACTAATCCGCTGCAAATCCTAGTCACCGCACAGAAACTCGTCTCATCCCCAAATAACCCCTGCCAGGCGACCTGTCGATAGACTGGCTGTGTTCTCTCACTAAACACTTGCTGATACTATCGTCAAGGCTCGAACACCTTCCCAGGGTTCATCAGAAAACTGTGGTTGTCAGTCCTAGAAATGAGTTGCAGGGCGCTGGACGTACTGGGGGTCTAAACTCCACTTCAAAGCCCACATCACGGCAATAGTCTCTGGCCCAAGTTCCTCGATAAGACACTCCTTTTTGCCTAGCCCAATACCATGCTCGCCCTAGCAAAGCCAGTCAGTCAGAGCTAAGAGAAAGGCCTCTGGCAGGCAACATACTGAGACAGTCCCCTCCATCTCAACCGCTCTATGGACCATTTTCCTGACACATTCCTGTACTCCGTGCGCCTGAGACGAGTCACTAGGATCATACATCACAGCTTGGTGGAAGTTTCCGTCGCCAACATGTCCCAGAACGCTGGAAAATAGTCCCAATGAACTAGATTCCGTTTTCGATAGGTCTGGCATCAAGGAAGCTTATTAGTGCCTTACGCGTATACCCGAAAGGTCAGAGATATACTAACCAATAATTACGGATAAGCTGGACAACGGCACAGCGACATCAGTAGACCATATTCGCGTACCCTCCGGCCACTGGGCACACATCGCCCACACGGCTTCCTTTCGAGCAGACCATAGGTTGTGCATCTCTTTCTCTGTGCGCGCAAACTCGAATGCACTGCCTCCCGCCTGAGAGATCATCATTTCGACCCTCTCAATGTGAGCGGATACAGACTGCTCTGTACCCGAAAATCTGTTTGCCATCTTAGTAAAAAATGCATAGGCTGGTTAATGGCCTATTCGATCACTAACTTGAACATCAGCATAGGCTTTTCCTCCCAGATTCTCCCACCCGCTCCACCATTCTTGTTAATGACTTGCATCTGTACCTCATCCATAAGCTCTACCGCAGCGACCGGGATCCCCTGGCGCATGGTCTTCGTGGTGCATGATACTGCGTCCCGGACGGAAGGAAAAGTAGCAACCGCGGCACTTTGGGTTTCCGGAACCGGTGCGAGCTTGAGTGTAATTTCTGTGATCATTCCTAATGTCCCTTCGGAGCCGGTAAATAGAGCGTTAAGGTTGTAACCAGCTGATGCTTTCCTATCTTATGTTAGACAATTAAGAGCGTGCGTAAGTGGGTAGGACCATGATACCGCGGTCGGTGTCGAGTCTTGATGACAGAGCCATCTGCCAGGACGACTGTCAGATTGATAACTCAATCCTTCATCGTACCGTATCTGACCGCGTTTGTTCCACTGGCAAGATGATATCAGCCGTTTCAAGGCACTTTGTCTCGCGTAATGATATTTCAAGCCTAGATACGGGATAATACCTGCAATTTGTCGCAACCATGCCACCAATAAGAGCCTGTACGTTATATTAATCGAGAAAGCAGCCTGTTGGACACGGGCTATACATACAGTTGGACTCGGATCCATGGGTAAAAAGAGTCCGCTCTCCTTGATCCTGTCGTTGAGGTCCACCCAATTGACTCCGGGCTGGATGACGACATCCGTACTATTAAATATCAGTTGAAGCTCTTGCGATTAAAGCGGAAGTCTTTACTCGTCTTCATGGAAAGCAATGATCTTGTTCATCTGAGAGAAATTGATACTAATTCCCGAATATGGAGCGGTGAAATTCCCCTCGACGCTGGATCCACCAGCAAATGGGACTAAATGAGTTAGAAGCTGATCTAAAGTCCAAAACAAATGTTCTCACTCATTGGAATCCTATAGTCAGAGCATATCCGAGCAATTACCGAAACTTCCTGCGTGCTCTTCGGCGTAACAACAGCCACTGGTCTTGCTGCACAGTGCGATGTCGACACGTCCGAATACGAATGGAAGCTAATATCGTCGCTATCTGTAGTCACTGACTCTGGGCCAAGAGCATCAGATATAGCCCGAACGCCCTAGTAGCAGTAGAATGATGCGGTCAGCACCGTGCGTCAAGCTCCATGATTAGGCATACCTTTAACATGGTTTCCTGATCGGCATACTTAGCCACCGGCTTCTGGCTCTGAGAAGAGGCTTACTTGGGAAATTGCCAGAGAGTCAATCCCACCCCAACCACACCAGCCCCAAAGGCTGCAAGAGACCAGGAGCTAGAAAGACCTTGGTCTTTGGGGAAATTTGCATTATCCCTTCGTACGCCATGACATTGAATTTTATGAATAAATTGGATAGGTTGACGGTTCCTACTAAGCTGGGTGCTTCGTTTATAAACCAGTTGCACCGCTTGATGGCCTTGTATCATTCGCTGCATTTTGATTGCGATCTTACGGTGTACAGAAGTCAAAAGTTCGATATAGGCTCCTTTATGTCTAATACAGGATTTCTTGGCACATTCAGCGGAAAAACCGAAAGCGGATATCCGATATCTCTGCACGACAAGATTGTGGCTTCAGGGCTTTCCCCACAAAATGCCTAGCGGGCCACGCTTGAAGTTCGGGGTCGTATAGGGCGTTTCAGTAGGCTCCGTGCGAACTCATCGGCTTAGAATACTCCAGGTCTAGGGAGAGGGGTATGTCAGGGGCAAAAACAGACTCCTACATATATATATACGTGGCAGATTGTAGCGCCCTGGAGGAAAAGGAAGTAGCTCTCTCTTCATCAATCAAAACTTCACAATGTCGTCCGATTTAAAAGTTAACCATCTTGCAAAGACCATGAATCCCTCCATCTCGGATGGTCATGTTGAAGATGGCCATGCACTTTCTCCAGGTGTCCCTGTCCTTGATGAGGAGACAAACAGGAAGTTGCTGCGCAAAATCGACATGTGCCTGATGCCTGTTGTAAGGAAGACTTTTCAATCCATATAGCACATCAGCAACTGACAGATGATAGATGTGCTTCACTTATGCTCTCTACGTTAGGGGTAAACAAGCTAAGGAAGAGACTCCAGGGTTCACATAACAAAAACGGAATCCTACTCCTGCTGGACCTTCAGACTCAGAGCCACCATTCTTCTCAATCCAGACATCTCGGTAAGGTGTACTCCGTAGGGCTAGGCGAGGTATGACCCACACCCGTCATAAGCCGAGTCTGGATAGGATGATAGAATCTTCGATCCACTGGAACCCCAATATAGTGCAATACCTCCTTCAGGATCTTCTCGTGTGATGGTCTAGCTCTTGCCAAGCTCGAAGCCATTGACAACCAGGTGGCTTGGCCAATTTGGATCGAATCTTGCGACAACTGTCGCGAAAAGAAGAAGAGATGTGAGCCATCCTCTGACGGTGATTCATGCTGGAGATGCCAGGCCGAGCTGAAGGACTGCCTGACTACCTATAAGAGGAAGAGGAGAAAGATGCGACCGCAGGCTGGTAGCACCGCTGATGGATCGGGAGTGACACCAGACTCCCAGAGGAATGTATTTCGTCCTGCTGTCGATGAAAATGGGAACAGCCGGCGAACACGCTCTGGTAACCTGAATCGCACATTCAATGCGAAAGAGCAACTTCTGTCAACAAAGCTTCTGGATGCGCAAGATACCTTGGATATCATCGCCGCTGCCGGATCTAAAGAAGACGGCGCAAGCGAGGCCAGTTTGAGCTTGGAAGGGACCCAATCTGCAGCAACGCATCAGCGTACAATTGTCAGACCGGCACCGACCTCTATCGCGTCTACCTGGAGCCAATTCCTTCTAGTCAAGCGGAAGATCATCCGCGTTGATGAGGTGAATGAATACCTTGACTTCTACTTCGCACACCTGTGGCATCTCTTCCCTGTCGTACCGCAGTGGTAATCGTCACCAGATCGCTACGAGTCTCTTGTCGCTGAAGAGCCGGTTCTCGCCATGAGCTTAATAATGACAGCGGCCAGGCATCATCCACTGAGTGGGTTCAATGGAGAAGCTCGGTCCGAAATAGTTCACTGGCGCACATGGCCATGGGTTCAGCGTGTTCTCCAGTCGTCTATATGGGGATCATCAGTGATGCGAAAGCCAGGTTCCGTTGCGGCTTTGCTCTTATTTATCGAATGGCATCCCCGAGCTATTAACTCCCCAGAGGACATAGTAGGCGACTGCAGCGAAATAGATATATTTGAGCCACAAGCTCAGACATCAGAAGGTGGTACCCAGGGACATGCAGATCAATACTATCGACAACCCGAATCGTCGACCATACCAGAGAGCGCTCAATATCATAGCGCCAGCATACAGAAGTAACAAAATGTCCTGGTTGGTACTCCCGGCCCTTAGTAGAATCGGGCAATCAATACACTCATTCATTCAAAACTAACAAGATAACACTAGGATGCTCTTGTCTACTGCTATCGATCTAGGTAAGGAGCTAGGTTGTTTTGACGATAAAAATGTCCTCCCCCACCCCCGTGCCGGAGGTGCTCCACTCGAGAACGACCCCGACAGGCTCGAGTGGTCTCGCATCCTGTGCACATTCCTCTGCCTTACAGACGAAGCTCTTGCACTACGCCTCCGACTCGACCCTCAACTGGCAAACACCAACTGGACAGAAATGGTGTATCGGCTCCCATCTACTCTTACGGCAGATGGGTTCTCAGAAAACGCTGTGGACCTCGCCATCCATATGCGCAAGGCACGAGAACTCCTTCTAGCTTGGAGGAAAAGTGAGCACGGTGCCGGACCTCCCGTTTCGGCCGCCGCGTGGGACAGTTTCAAGCGAGGGCTTGATCGCTGGGAAACCCAGCGCCACTTTAGCAGATCTGGTAAGACCGTTCCATTCCGTCCCGTCTGTAATGGAGAGAGGACCATGTCATCCATGTATGCTCATCAGCGTGTCAAGCCAACAGACCTATCCCTGCGCGGGGCCTGCCTCGATATAGAATACTACTATGTCCGGCTCTGTGGGCTTAGTCCGGCTGCACACATGTTCGAGAGGTCGATGGAGCGGCACGAACATACGGACCCCTGCGCAATGTCACTATTGCAGTTCGCGGAAGCAGCCACCAAAGCCGCAATCGACATGCTCGAGCTCTTAACGCAGTACTTGGCCCCGTCCCTGCCCTTCAAGCGCGTAGCCGTAAGGTACTGGCTATACACCTTCTGCGCCTCCTTATACCTCCTCAAGGCAAGACATCAAACCACACCCTCCAAGCCTCCGCAACTAGGAACATCCTATTAACCAGCATTCATATCCATAGGCCACACTCAGGAGCCAAGAGTAACTCGACCGCACCACTAACCCTTGCATTAATCTCCTTCTTGCGGTCGTTCATACCATCAGACAAAATGCTCCTGACGACATTCACATGTCGCAGCGGTATGCAGATTTGCTAGAAGTTCTCATCAACGCGGCATTACGGCCGTCCTCTTTGACGGGTAATACTACTTCAGGGGGCAGCCAGACAGAGGTTAATGGCCGCCAACCGAGTCTGGATCGAGTAGAGAGCTCGGGCGTCGAAAATTGCTCACTTGATTTGGGGTGGATATCTATGACTCGAGCTTTTGGAACAATTTGCCGGATATGATGGGACTGGATAGCTTTCTGGATCTAGTGTTACCTTATTTTGAGTAGAGTGGTACTTTTGATAAGTTGTTATTTTATACCCTGTATAGCCAACTGAAGGTGCAGAGTTATCTTTCAGTCAGGAACATATATTGTTGAGTGAAATGTAAAAGACTAGTCTAATTCATAGCGAGGATAGAGCCTATTGTAACCTGAGAACCCAAGCATGCTATAACGTACTTCCGAGAGACTAATATCAGTGATTATTGATCAGGGAGCCAAACAGGCTAAAGCTGCACAGCCTCCGGCGCGGTAGAATGATCAATCCTCATATACAATCCCGACACACCAAGCTGCACCGCGGAATCACAGCGCTGGGAAGCCTCAGGCGCCGTCAAGATGTCCTTCTTCGACGCATCGCCTAGTCCTACAACTCTAAAACCTCTCCCGCTATTCACATAGTTTCAACCATTGACCACTGACACCATGTCAAAAGTCGCCTTGATAGTCGGAGCATAGACATAAAGAACTTTGTTTCCTGAAGAGGAAAGGATTGAAACATAGAGCTTGGGCGGACCTAACCCAGTTCGCAGAGTTTTGTAGTTATCAGAGTGATGTGACATAACCTCTACTTAACGATCGACATCGCGCGACGACGCAACGCGAACGACCCACGCGTTGAATTCCACGTCGCAGACTGCGGCCAGCCGTTGGATGTGGGTCAATTTGATGTCGTGCTGTCTTGCTGGCTGCTAAACTACGCGTCCAACGATGCCGAGATGCTGGACATGTGGCGGAATATATTCAATAGTTTGAAGCCCGGGGGACGCGTGGTTGGTATTAGTCCGGATTTGGGCGCTATCGAGGAAGGGAGGGCTCTGCCGGTGGGGAATTACCACGGGCAGGGCGTGGAGGTGATAGAGAGATTGGACAATGGGGGTGTAAAGGTGCAGACGACGATGTATACGTCGGAGCCTTTTTCGTTCCAGAGTTACTTCCTGCCGAGGGAGATGTATAACAGGGGGGCGAAGTTGGCGGGGATGAAGGATGTGCAGTGGGTGACGCATCCAAATTTTGAAGTTGCAGGGATTGAGGAGCAGGAGATTCTGCAGCGTCCTCTGTTCAATAACTATACGGCTATTCGGCCGCTGGGATAGGCTTGAAGGTCTTTTGTCACGCAGGATTAAGATCATGCAGCACACTGTTGACGAATTCTGGTCTGATATCGTATTCACATGCCGAACTGATGTAGCTAATTGCCAAGTGGATGTAACACTACAATGAGCAAACTCGAAAAATATCCCGCACTAAACACACCGTACTATCTAACTCTAAGTATCCCCGACATCTTATAAACTCAATTTCTCGGTTCCAGAAACCACCCATGACAGACCTGATGCTCGGTTTTAGGATAATCAAAATCCCATCCTCGAAGTTACACATCATGTGAAGACCCAAGGGTCAAACACGAGGACTCGTATCCCAGTAAACGCAGGTATTCATTGCGCCAGGCCCCTATCAACCTACTACTCTAACCTATTCACTCAAATCACAAACAAAAAATCATTCATCGAACATAAATCTCGCCTTAACCATTATCATCTATTAAGAAACAATATCATTCTACGAATACTACCTGCCCACGTTACCCAACCCCAAATCCAAACCCCCATCTCAAAAGCCCAGCACCACCGCTCAAACACAACCTGCCCGATCTCCCACCCCCTGGCTCGAACGGATCCCCACCCTGTACCCTGATCCCCTCGCCGCCGACATCCTCCATGCCGTGCACCAGACGGACCAAACCCATTGGGTCCTGTGCGTTCCGGGGACGCAAGGACACGGGCAGATTGAATACTTGGATCAGTTTATCGCGCGTGCCGGGCCACGGGAGGAGGTCGAGGACGGGGTGGTGGGGGATTAGGCGCTGGGTGGGGATTGGCTGCAGGTGTGGGGGGAGGGATTTTATATCGAGGGTGGTATTTAGGGGTGGTGGTGGTGGTTGGGAGAAGGGTATGAATTGCTGGACGAGGTCGAGGTCGATGCGGATGGCGAGGAGCCCAAGGATGTCATGGTACCGGAACTCGACTCGCTGGATCGAGGTTGATAGAACGGGCTGATCGCCGTCAGATCCCAGATCAAATCGGCCAGGTTCAACCGGTGGGCTACTTTGGTCGCTGCGGTGAGGAGCTTCAGCGATGGGACCTCGAGGGTTCGGTCGTCTGGGAATGAGAAGGTGGATGGCTCGGAGGCTTGGAGGGCTGTGGAGATATCAATGTTATTGGTGTTTGTCGTTGCATTTGAGTCGGAGCCCTTCTCAGTGGGCGTCTCAGTGGAAGAAAGTTGCATGTTAACATCTGGCCAGAAGCCACACCGGGCCCAGAAAGGGTCTGGGGATATGGATAGGTCAATTTCAGGCTGAGGTTCTGAGTTGAAGACTAGGTGAAAGAAGGGGTCTGATATTGTTTTCGATGGGTTGAACTCTTGACTTTCGAGACCCTGAATGTCTTCATTCAAGACTTGCATAGCATCACTAGAGACCGATGACACCGAAGTGTCGACGCAAACAGGATGGCCAGATACAATTCTATGATTCTAACAGTGAATGGCCATCATCCTTAGAGAAGCCAGTAGCTGTCTCCCTCACGTCTGTATAACCCTTGATGCCTTTGCGACACTGTTTGTTGTCGCTGCGGCCCTGTTCTGGCTACGGCCCTGTTCTGGCTAGAGCAAGAGCTTCTCCATGACTGGCTGCAAGTCGGACCACGAGAACGAGCTCGGCAACTATCAGAGCTATCTGATCTCGTACGTGGGTGCCGTCGACGTGGCTTCGACGGGCGATAGGAACGGGGGCACGGGCATCCGCAGAACCGTGGACATAACGCAGATAATGGAGATGATAGACGACCAGCGACCACCGCCACAGTATTAATTATTGACTTCATGACCTACAAAATGGATGGACTGATGATATGAAAAGGTTGGGATGTGGATAGAGATGTCGTTTTTTTCGGTCTGGTCCTTCTTTTCGTTATGTTTCCCTATGTTTATCCTTTTAACCCATTCCGACTTACGTATCGAAATTTCTTACCTTGAATGGCAGGCAAGCTCAACTTAGTATCAGCTGTAGATATAGTATGTGTTGTTTTAAAAGGCGAGTTACTAGGTGCGGTATGAGAGGATGATGCCTGCAGTGGATGCTGCAATACTTAGTAAGTTGGCACGAAGGCAGGCAGGGAAATCTATTATGGCAGTTTGGGGGACTTGGCAGGAATGACTAAAATGCTGAATTACATGATCTCCACCGATTTGATTGAAGGTCTTGATTCTTCTAACTATGCGATACAGCTCATATTTATGCAATCTCTAGAGCTTCAAAAACAGATCATCAAAATGCAATATAATTGTTAATCGATCCTTTCGGCTTAAACAAGGCGATGAAATGCCGGATGAGTCAACTCCCGCGGCCATATTCATGTTTTCCCTGTCTCCCTCCCCTCCCTCCGCTCCCCTGTGGCCTTTGGTGAACTCTGCGAAGTAAATACATCCAAGTTGGCTTAAGTCCATTTCAGTGTATATCCTCATTTTAGAATGGCATATGAATACTCACGTTTATTTGTCTTTGTGTTTCTCTTCCCAATCGGCAACTTTTTTGATGTGTTTTTCCATGCATTCTTCGCAGAGGAGTAAATGTTTAGGCAGGTCGAATCTTCTGTCTAGAGTCGGTTTGCAATGCCTCATTTCGACACATCCGTTGCATCTGACAAAGACCGTCATGGTGTCTCTCTTGAGATGATAGTCAATGGAATAGGATCAGGTTGGAGAAGATAGTGTTTGTTAGGAATGTGTAGCATTTAGAGGGTGATAAGCGGGGAGAAGAGAAGGAATTTATAGCCCTGTAAGCACAAGGCCAATGCGTCATTTTCGAGCTCATGCGCCCTTGCGAGGATATCAGTTTTTTTCTTAAAAAAAAAGAAAGAAAGAAAGAAAGAAAAGCCCCAAGGCGTCATAGGTTAGACCTGCTTCTCACTACATGGCCCTGCCACATAGCCTTGTCCGCATGTTCCGTTTTGCCGCTGCATACAAAGAGCCTGCATTAGTGCCCTGGTGTCTATACAAAATTGATTGGGTATCATGATCCCCACGTATTCGGATGCGACTATTACCAATCAATCAATCAATCAATCAATCAATCAAAATTCTATTGACCCGATGAAGCCTATCTATTAAAGTAACAGGCTATACAGGCACTTCTCCGGTAAAGCAGAATCTTATAACTGTATGCTGTATATAAATCTATAATTATGGTAAATAATTAAAAAACTAAATAACATAACTAAAAAATAGCCACTATATACCTATTATATTTATTACACCTTTAAAATATCTTTTACTTTTTTTATATTCCTTATTTATTTATTCTATCTCTGGGTATATTACCGGTAAAAAATAAGATTTTTACTTTTTTTAAAATTTTATATAACTATTATCTCTGTTATCTAATTTAAAATTTTCTAAAAAAATATTAAATTCTAGAGCCTCTTTCTCCTTTTTATTATTTTTAAATTAGATAAATCAGAACTACTGGAGCAAGCTAATTTATTATATATATTTAATAATATAATAAGTCGCCTATAGTTAATTTATAACTATATTATAATCTTATATGTATTTATAAAATCTCTTAATTAAGTTAAGGCTTCCTATAAACTTTTAATAATAGATAATATATAATAAATATTTTAAAAGGACATATTCCAAGGTTTAAAATCTTGAATTATACTAATATTTATTTAAGTTAACTACTTTAAACTAGAAGATTGCAAACGAGCTGCCCAAAACGGCCAAAATTGACGCTGTTTTTGGCTGTTAATCTGCCAGGCCTTCTGCTACTCCCCTCTTGTACTTATGTCCACGCACCGCCAAGTACTAAGTATAGGCCTACTTAAATCTTATTTGTCTATAATATAGTATGTCTTTAGGACTACTCTTCTGGAGACCGGCTAATATTAACTTTATATATTTTTCGCTGCGGCCTCCCAAACACTCTAAATATAGCGGTCTCTCGGAGGTATCTTTATAAATAGTGGCCACTTGCTCGGGCTTCCTTATATTTCTTTTTTTTTTATATATATCCGAGTCTTTAACTTCTCTGTTAAATTTCCTAACTAACGGCTAAGTATTCGGTACTACGGCGATTTTAACTAAAAATATTATTACGCAAAGTATTTCGCTGCTGACTGCCTTATATATTTATATTATAATATATTGTTATTATAAGATAATTAACATGTTATCTAACAATAGTGATTTTTCTGAACTAGAGAGCACTGAAGATATTCTGTATAGAGTTGGCATCAGTGCGGATTCGGGCGGTGGAAGGCTGTCACCGGCGCTTATCTCAGCGCGGAACACGGAACAACCGGACCGCCGGAGGTCCGCAGGGCTGCTGAGACATTCGGGAACCAATTCCCGCGATAATATCATACACGGGAAACCCCTTATTTAAAGAGATCACCTGCTTAACCCCTAGAGGTCAAGCAATTAATTCTATTTATTTTATACCTGTCCCTTAACTCCTTGTATCTCTTAGTGCGTAGCAGGCGGTCCGTAGGTATATCATAGGCGTCCTAGACTCCTCGGTATATCTATCTAAGGGAACCAAGTGCCCGGAACAGAACCTTTATAACTATTCTTTATAGTTTTAATTATTTCTCCCCTGCCTTACTACTATTATATTTACGCGCGGGTGATCTTATGATAAACAAAAATATTATATTTATTAAATATTTTTAAATAATCTCCCTTTTACCTCAGAGGAAGTAATTTAACCCTTTATATTAAATAATAATTTTTTTTTTACTTAAATACTTGAAAACTATTATTTTAAATAGTTTTTTAGTTATTAGGAGACTAGCAGTTAAACTACAGCCCTTCTACTAGTATAAATAACCCCTAATATACTAGTAATATTAATAAAGATCTTAGAAAAAGATAAGAAAAAGGAAAATTTTAAACTTAAAAAACTAAAGATTTTTAAGAGTAAGGACCTATATTAATATATAATCTTTATTTAAAATTTAAAGCACTATTTTAAAAACAAACCCTGTTTTTTCTCTAAAAAAAAAATAAAAGTTTTATATACAGAAACATGCTTATTAAAATCTTTCTAAAACTTATAACATTTAATATGCTCTGGGAATCTCTAAAAAATAATATTTAAAGATTTTAAAATCTTTCTGATAGAATAAATAAAAGGAAAAAGAAACTAGGGATAGATCTATATTTATAATTTTACTTGACTAAGGCAGGGCCCTAATTAACCTGTTTAAGCTATATTAAGTAGATATATCTTTCTTATAAAGTTTATATAAAAAGATATTAATTAATTCTTTATTAATTACTTCTTTAAAATACTACAGCCAGACCTATAAAAAGATATTAAACAGGCCCCTGAACTACTAACTAATAAAAGATTAAAAAATTTTATTAAAGCAGGTGCCCTAGTAAAATAATATAAATAATTAATAAAACAGGATAAGAAGTCTTATTAAATACTATAATTATATAGTAGATTATTCTCTAAAAGCAGATATTCTTTTTAAGAAAGAAACTTCTTTTAGAAAAAAAACTCCTCCTAAAATAATTTTTTTATTTCGTAAAATAATTTTCCTAATTCTTAGGGCGGCAGTATATCACATGTAAAACACAAATATTCTAAAAAAAAGGCAGCTATTTTAAACAGCAGGTCTTTAGAGATAAAAAAGAGTGCCTAAGCAGAGATAAATATTATTTTATTTATAAAAAGAAAAAGTATTATTCCCGAAATTACTATTCTTAGGGGGATAAAGGACTATTTATGAATATAATCTCTAGTAAAGTAAGACCTTTAATAGTAAAAAAAAAAGGCGGTTTCTCTTCTTAGTAGAAAGACGCGCCTCTAATCCTTAATATAATTAAGCTTAATATTTTATTATAATTCCCTCTTCTCCGTGCGGACATTTAATTATATATAAAAGGAAAATAAGTTATTATAAACATATTATTAAATATAAGAATAAATAATAATTTTATATTATATTACTGGTTGAAGGGGTAGGGCTTCTAGTTTAATATTAACTAGATATTAGCCCCTGTCCGCTTTATCAGAAATCAGATAATACCTTAATACAGAATATTATAAAAAGATATAAAGGTCTTTGACTTAGATAATAATATATATAACTATATTATATAATTTTATATTATTAATATAGCAAATCATAATATTATACTTAGTAAAAACTAAATAAGTTTTATAAATCCTAATCTCAGTATTACTATAAGAACTTAACAGTACCACAGTAGATTACCTGTAATTAACTTAATATCTTACTACTAATTTAAACAACATTACTGTGCTAGAAAACCAGGAATATTATTTAAAGTAATTATATTAAACCAGGAAACTCCTAATCTCCCTAAATAGTATACCTAGTTTAAAAAGGTATTCTCCGAGCAAAAGGTAACATTTATATTAATAAGATTAACAGAATATATTATTTTATTAAAGTTTAATATAAAGCTTTTATATAAACTTTTATATAATATATTTTATACCAAGTTAAAAGCACTATAAGATTATCTAAATAAAATAATTAGAAAAGAATAAATTTAGCCCTCTAACAGGCCTACTATAGCCTTTATTTTTTATATTAAAAAACTTAACAGTGGCCTGTGATTATATATAAATTACTAGGGATTAAATAAGATTATAATTAAAAATTATTATTTACTCCTGTAAATTAATAAGATTATAAATTAGTTAGAAGATACCAAGGTCTTCATAAAATTAGACCTATATAACACTTATTATCAGATATATATCTGCTAAGAAGATAAATAAAAAACAGCCTTTTAAACTTGTTATAAATAATACAAATATATAATAATACTATTCGGACTATATAACATCTTTTTTATATTCCAGGCCTACATAAATAAGGCATTATAAAAA